CTTGTTGGCCCATACTCGACGCATTGTCATGGCTTCCTCGTCTCCTACGACGTCAATTCCGATCCAAGAACCAGTGTTTCTTCAATTTCTTCATGATGTTCACCATGCTTACCTTCTACTACATCGAGCAATGGCGCTACTACCACCCACACTCATTCCCAACATTGAACCTACTCCTCTTCCCAGTACAGACGTATGGAATCAACCTGATGGGCTACGACCACATTATTCGGACCAGACCAATGCCTTCATTGACAATGCCCCCATCCCATCGCCGGATCTGGAGGAGGAAGAGACACTTATGGATGAACTGGTGGAAACCCATCTCCCTGAGCCACACCAACATGTTGCTGCTCCGCCTCCTGATGTTTTACCTGCACCTTCGAAGCTTTCTACTAGAACACCATCACCGCCAAGTCGCAAACAGAAAGCCAAATCCGCTCCAAAGGCTCCTGCCAAGCGTCGTCGCCGACGTGACCAATCCCGATCCCGCTCCTCGAGCCCACTGTCACTCTGGACCTCTGAAGACAAACAGAAACTACGCACTCTGAAGGCTGATGAGAAATCTCGATTTTCATGGAAGGTGATCTCGACCAAGATGGGCAAGTCTGAAGAAGATGTTCGCTCTATGTGGAATAAGATCAAAGACCAACTTGGCTGACCACTGACATATGCGAACCAAAAGAAAAAGGTACGTTGCGGTACGGTATTACTGTTTCACCAACCATTTGGTCTTCCTTTTGGGAATTTTTCTTCTTGTTAATCTTCAGAACCATGGGCGCTGTTGTCCCATTGAATTCTGACACGTCGTATCACACAACCCGCCAGCCATTTATTATGTCTCTCCGCGTTCACCTGGACCGCTATTGCCAACAGCGAGCTATGTCCCACGAGAGGATCTCACCTACACGACGCTCACGCTCTCCAACCAGGACTTCATCTTCCGCTATGGGCTCTACGTCAGTTCAGCACCCACCCAACCGGTCTTCGCCTCCGACACCTCACCGACCGGTTATTTTCCAGTTGGACCTGAAGCCGATGCAACAACTGGCTGTACGCAACCCCTATTACAACATCTTGACCCCCAAGGTCGCGGGCAACCTTCCTACGGCCACCTACGACAGCTTGTTCCAGACGTTCAAGGTGATCTACCCGGACTATGCTCGCAGTCATTTCGTTTCAGACCTCAAAACCGTAGTCACCGACACATTGCTACAACGCTGGTCGATACACCTACCAGCGTCGGAGTTCTACATGATGATTGACACCGATCAAGGAGCTCAGATGCTTGACGACCTTCCTCATTCTCTTCTGGATGTTTTGAATTGGTTCTACCCGAGATGGAAAACTCATCAACATCTCGATGCCTTCACGACCCGTGAGTGTTCACCGTTGCTGCTGACACCCCATCCAGATGCACAAGACACCGGCTTTGCTGTACATGTTCAAGTGATTCCCCGTGGGCATCCATTCGTCACGGCCACCCGATACACTAAAGCCGCTGAGTGATTAGCTGTCTTGATGGATCTTGGCACGGCTCATGTCTATGAGAAAAAAGACCAACATTCGTTATGATGTCCACCATCCTGGTTCTGATTTTCCCTTGTGTCATCCTTTTCTCGTTTTCCATTGGGTGATATTCGTTATTTATTCCTTCATCATTGACCTTCCCCACGGCCTTTTGGCTTCAGTTCAGTATTTCTCGTTATCATACTCTTGTGATCGTACATGATGACCTCCAACACGGATGATCCTGCTCGATTGGTCTCGTACCGTTCACCACCTACATCCATACATGGCCTTGCCTCACACTTGCCACCTGATGATCCTACCTCGGCATCCTATATTCCTCGTGCAGCGAGAATGATTCCGACCTCTACCACTGTCCACTCCGTCTTCATCAAGAAGCTGAGCTATCCTTTGTCTAACCGTTCAGATGAACTTTGGATCGTGGAAAGGACACTTGATGGTCTTGAAACGTGGAAACCAGTGGAAACATTTCTGGAGAACATGCACCTCACCAACGACCAGGCGACCCTGCGTACTACAGCTAACCATTGGCGCAGATACTATGACGTACCAATTCAATCATCATCCTCCTCCTCTACGGCAACTACTGTTCCCGTTTTACCACACCCTGAACACTCCAACGTCTATGTCTCACAGCCGTACGAAGCGATACCGGACCACCTCCATATTTTACAGTCATGCTGGGGACGCTCTGCCCAACATCATTCTCAAGGAACTACTACCTCTTTATATTGGCCACCTTGGCGGTCTACACCACCTTCTTCCCCACCGGCAACACTACAACGTACTGTACATCTCACTCGCCCCGCTGTCCCTCCTCAACAATTGCATGGTCCGCTGGATGCGAACGATATTGACCCGATGGATATGTCGGACTCAAGTGTGTAATATACCACATTATTTGTCGGCAGGAAAAAGACCTGTGATTCATCGTCTCTTTGTGTGACCATTTACTAGGTACACCGTTTCTCTTCCATTTCCAACACTTTGAGCTTGTTTCTGTGGCCATTCCAACCCATTTTGCAGCTTGGGCTTTTCGCTTTATCCTCGATACTTCACATTCGACGCAATGGCTCGTTCTTCTCGACCCAATCCATATCGCGCTACATCCACGATTGAGACACCGCTTGGTACACGAACCGTTGGATGGATTGCTGGACATCGAGGCCTTCCTGGTGATGCGAACCCTCCCCCAAACAGACCTGTCCTTATCTTGGTTGACTTCTCTCCCCTACAGGCATTGACTCACCGAAGCGAACCTGACCGTGAACACTACATGGCTCTGGTGAACTCCAATTTTAGACATGTCAGTGGCTTTGAACTTGCAGCTTTGTTTACTTGGTCACGTCAGATGGAACCAGTTGAAGCTGGCCTCATCCCAATTGCCGAACTTCGCTTCTGTATTTCCAAAAGATTGAGGTCCCAATGGGACATCCAAATTGATCCCTCGAATCTGGAGTTTCGCTTTTGCGACCTGGACGGTGATACATTCCAAGTTTCCAATGATATGACGGTCTTGCAGCTTTTGGAGGCATACCGACCTGAATGGCGACTTCGGCAGTACAACTCCCGCGAATCTTCGTTCCTCATTCCGGGTACCAGACAGCCTTTCGTACTACGTTTGCAATGCTACAAAATTAGCTCCGGTGTGATCCTGCCCTGATACGCTAGCCGGCCAAAAAAGACCATGCTTCAGGGTTTTCAATTCTTCCTTGACACCCCACTAACACAAAGGATTCTTCGATTTCTATTTTATTCGACTTTGAGCTGTGGCTTCTCCGTCGCAATTGACCCACTTGATTGAGGACTGGATTTCACTTTTATCATTTTTGTGAATATTATCATTTTCGGGATTGGCTTTTTTCTGCAATTCTTGATGCTTCAGCCGTTGTTGCACTATTTCTCGCATTTGTGACAGTTCCACCCATGGAACACAAACGAGACGCGACCGTGGCGGGCTTGTCTTGGCCTTCGAATCCTACCCGTGGACTCGCTCCTACCAATCCAGTTCAAGTACCCGACGCCCAGACTTCTGCACTATGTCACTCAGGAGCTCCCGACACTACGACCAACCCTACGTCGGCACCTTTGGTAACTGACAGTACGGCACCTGCCACGGGTACTATGGCCCATCCTGATACATATTCAGGACCAGCACCTCCTTGCGTCCCGTTTCCAATGGAGTCAAGTTCTGCACACAACTACCTCCATCGTGCTCAATTCTCTTCTCGCGTGGTTCACCAGATCCAGTTCAAGGTCATTACCCACTCCAACAACACCAGGGAGCTTTTCATTGAAGAAATCCCCTTGCTAGGGCATTCCCGATGTCGTGACCCTGAACACTACTTTTATGGTCTTTCGGGCAACTGGGAGTGGTCCCTACGTACAGCGGACTATTGGCGACATCATTTCGAGATTCCCCTTGTACATGGACACCATCCTTTTCACAATGTGCCCATTGAGACGACATCTCCAGCAGATGAACCGAGCCTTACCACCCGGATCCATGAATTAGCCAAGGATCTTTCTGATACCTTGAAGGCTGCTACGGCATCTGGGGAATTCAATGAGACGTGGGCGATGGTTGAACGCATGAGCTTCCACGATGCTTTCGAAGTCCTTCTACAAGCTCCGAATTCTTCTTCTTCTGACTGAAGTGATCGCCCGTTTGTACATTCGGTTTTTACAGGTTCACTCTCACTGGTGTATTGCCGATTTCGCCAGCGAAGTTCTTCCAAAAAAATCCAACCTCGCTATATGCGAGGTGTGTGTGTGTACCACCTGAACAGATGTAAAACTTCTTATTGGTTTTCACTAGTTTGCAGGGGGCGACAGGGTCGCTGCATGGCTGTCGCCAACGAAGCTCCATGCAGTTGACTAGGATATGGAGTCTGATCAACTCCACGTACCTGCCTTTTTTCGGACATAGCAAGGGGCCAAGCTAAGAACCCCAACCACAATATTATACAATTTGCTGCACTGTTGTCGCAATCTGGAATCAATTTTGACATTTACATGCATCAGAACTTTCCTCAGATTTTCGCCGAAAACCACATCGCCGACAGTATTATGTTTTTTGATCTATTTTCGCCGAGATCATGTCGCCGACGAACTGTGGGTCCTTTTGGGAAACAATCGCCGAAACATTATTGTGGATTCTCAACATGCTGGTTAAAACTCTATGGAATCTGGTTATGACTTCGTTTGACAATATTGGATGCCCTACATCGTTTTCGTGAAGTACCTCATTTGGCTCCTTTACTAATCTAACGATCTAGGCTGGTTTGCATGTTTCAGGATTCAGTTCCTGCCGGATCATATAATGATCCATTCTTGTCTAGTGTGTGTGATCGAGAGAGAGAGAGAGAGAGAAAGAGAGAGAGAGAGAATGTACATGCATGTCTATTCAAATAAACATACATACACACATTTGCTTCTTTTTTTGAGTATGGTTATGGGCGCTGTGCCAGGGGCTGAAAGCTGCCACCATCTACAAACCGAAGTTTGCAGAGGGAGACCCGGAGGCCACCCGGAAAGTGGCCAATGGAGACATGGTCACAGTGGATTTGACGCTCGGTGGAGGAAACAAAAATAGCAGTTACTGGGTTGAATGACAAGTTTGGGTGGAGAAGTTATGTTTTCCAAGCTTAAATGAACACACTTATATCACAAAGTCTCACTGCATGATTAGACCTAAGTTTGGTAGGTCGGTCAGTTCAATTTGCTCTCGAAAATGAATAGATGAACAGATGAATCACATCTAGTTCCTGATAATGTTGCCTCAAGTTCACCCAGAAGTGTCACGGATTTTCAATATCACCTAGCTGAGACACATTTTGGGTTTATCTAAAAGATATGGTATCCCTCATTCCACTGATCACTCAACATTTTCCATCACTTTCCCTTATTGTTCCCATTAAACCCTATCAAAACATATTACACATGGCACTTTTGCAGCATCCCCAATGGAGACCCCCATTGGCCGAGCGTTGAGATCTCAGGATCGGATATTTGACGGGCTGGAACGGCAACATTTTCGTCCGGACACAGGAGCCCAATCCGGGACGCTGGATATAGGGGGTGATGTTTTCGGTGTGGAAAAGCCACCGTTTGTAGATCAGAAATTCTGAATATGTTAGTTGACTTACCCTCTGGTAATTTAACATAGCTATTGAACATGGCCATTGAAATAGTTGAATTTCCCATAAAAAATGGTGATTTTCCATAGCTATGTTAGTTTACCAGAGGGTAGTTGACCCCAGGATATCTCCAAAAAAACAATTTTAGTTATGTATGACGAATCAAAAATATGATCCCTGCTCTAATGACTCTAACAATACCTCCCAAACTAAACAATTCAAAATCGAACATGGATATATTCTGGATCTATTTGATCTATAACACTAGTAACTAATGGTTCTATTCATTACGGGGGATCCCGTTCTGGTGCTATTCTGATCACTTGGATCATCTTGGAACAACCTCTTAGCCAGGACAAGAGTGGCTACTCTGAAAAGCCCGTGACCTTCCGTGTAGGCCCGGGGTGTCACTCTCACTTTTAGCAACTCATGTATATATATATAATGTTATAATATATTTTAAATACTGGGTGTATATATATATATGCATTATATATATACACATTATATATATACATATATTATACATTATATATATATTCATGTATGTATATATATATATATACATTTGTTGGATTTTGTTTGAATCATTTGAATCCGTTTGTTTTGAACATTTAGTTTGGCAGGTGCAGAGTGGTGATACCCAGTGATAAGTTGGTTTATGACCACCATTAGTTTTAAATCTACCCACTATAAACCCTATTGGAGTTACAAACCAATTTAGCTTAACTAAGTAAATCCGATTACATAAATCATATTGAAGCACCATGTTCATACTAACATATCCAAATTATATAGGACAATGTTCATTAAATCCCATCAAATCCCATTAAGTCAAGTTCCATTAAATATCATCAAATCATAAAGTTACCTATCAATTTTGTCGATTTAACTGATAGGTATGGGGATTTTCATGAACATTATGAACATTGTCCTTTTTGATTAAAGTTACCTATCACCTCATGTCAGTTACCTATAAATTTGACCACTTCAACTGTTAAAAAGAGCCGAAGACCTCAGGTCGAGGGGATGCCATTCCTGGTCTGGACCGTGGGGTGGTGGGGATGCTGAAAGGTGCCCCCAGCAGCGCTGAGGGGGGACGTGATGTGGCTATTGTTTGGGTCAGGGGTTGGTCCCTTTTTATAGGGATTTTTATAGGGATGTTTATGGATTTTTATGGATTTTTATAGAGATTTTTTTCTGGATGTTTATGGATTTTTATATGGATTTATATGGGCTATATGAAAAAAAAGTAGTTGTTGGAGATTATATGCCAAATAGTTGGGTGATGTGGACAACTAGGGCATTTACCAAGCCCTCTTTTAGTGGTTAATGTCAAGTAGAAGGCATTGGAGATGGTTACTTGTGTTGGATACCAATAAAAAAGGAGATGTTTTCTTAGGAGGAAAACACCAAGCATGATAGTTTTTGGGATGGATATTACCCTGGCAATTGAACATCCTATCTAAATTGTTTTTGGTTGGGAACCGCATCGAACTAAGTGGGTGATTTCCAGGAATTTTCATTGCTCTGTAAGTTTGATTACCAAAGAGCAATTGTTATCCACTTACCCGCATGCAAAGTACCATAAGATGTGTCATTGGATTGGTTTACGGGAAAATTTGCAGGAAAACCCCATATTCAATGGGCATATCTATAGTTTCCTGTAGATTTTCCCTCAAGCCAATCCAATGAATGTGGGAAAACGCAACATTTTGCACATCATTGGCAGCCCAGGGAATTTTACCATGGCTTGCCCACTGGCCAGGCGAAAAACGTCGCTTGGTCATTCCACCTGCCCTGGGGTGCCCTGGGGCCCTGGCATGGGTCAACACTGGGAATCCCTCGGTCATTTATCATGGTTACCCTCTGGTAAACATACCAAACAAACTATGGAAAGATCCACCATTTTCAATGGGAAAATCCACTATTTCTATGGCCATGTTCAATAGCTATGTTAGTTTACCAGAGGGTACCAAAGATAGACTAAAATCTGTTGTTGGGATCTGATTTTTTTGACTTAGAACCATTTTTGGTAGAAACCCTTGAAGACATGAATGGTACATACTGTAGATTCTGCATAGATTTTAGTCATGTGAATATGTGCACCAGTTATACAATTGAGAATGTTATAAGTATTTAATACATGATTGATTATTCATGAATTATATGCCATGCCCCCCAATCGAACTTATGGTTGAATGTGTTTTTTCATGACCTAGGGTCAATCATCGGGGGTTTCAAATTTTAAGGAGCAGTTCATTATAGTTCATCAGTTCCATGAACACGTCTCATCCCATCTTATCCCATATGAATCTCCAAAGATTGAAACATTAAAATTAGGCAAATTAAGCTGAACATATCGCGGGTGAACATCATCAACATGGTAGATAATAACCATACACAAGCAAACATTGAGCTTAACATAACACAGACGAACACCCCGGAGAAACTACGATATAATTACCAACCCAACAGAATCATAAGATAGACAAGTAGATCAATATAGTGAAATAATGTCTTTTTAGAATTTAGAACCTTACTTATAGGTCATAGTCATATTCGTTTGAACCTTTTCTGCATTTGTTTGGGCTTACGATACATAAACTGTTTCATCTATTTGGAAGTCAAGGCATTGGGTAGCCAATACATTTGTGACAAATCCAGGTCTCTACATCTGTGGTCCCCTGGTCCTCTGGTTCTTCAATTTTGACTCCAGGTATCCACGGCCGTGCTCCGAAGACCAGCTGGGCAAGCCGGGCGCGATCCCTGATCCACGGGAGTCTCGTGGCGTGAAATCAATCGGCCAGGGACGACTGGGGGGTGATCTGAAAATGGTGATTTATTGGGAGTTCAACATAGGCTATAGGGACTTCATAAGATTTATATAGATTTATATACATATATATATATATATGTGATATATGTATAATGAGATTTTTCCTGAATATTTAATTTAATTGGAATTCAATGGAATTTACCGGGGTTTTTCATGGGATTGAACCAGGATGTAGACCAGGTTTTTTTTTGGTTTCCCTCGGATTCTCCTGGTTGTGAACATCATTTTACTCAGAATTTGCTACTCAGAACAAGTTGCTACAACTTAAAAAAAAAAGGTCCCCCCTTGGAAAAGGACCAACCAGGAATGAAATAGTGAACAAATCATGTATACCCTTTATACAGTAATACACATGTATATTTCCAACCAGAATAACCAGAAACTGGTTGGTCAGGTCCAACCCCAAGGTCCTCAAATTTGGGCATCTCCAGGTCTGCTTCAGGCTCTGGGGATCCCTGGGAACTACGAAATCGCCTGCTGTGGCCTGGTGAACATGGCCGGGATCCGGAGCGGTTTGGATGTGATGGGATTCAACAGTGAAAGATTGGTGAAAAACATAGTGGGATTCATCAAAAAAATAAAGAGCCTTAATCCCACTATTAATCACCAGATGTGTTTTGGGATTCTTTCAACAGTGAAAGATTGGTGATCAATAGTGGGATTCAAGCGCTTAAAATTGGTGATTGGGACTCAAGCACTCAAAAAAACATATGATTTATGGTGATTCCAACCACAAGACTTGGTGAATACATGGAATGCTCATGGAAAAATCATGAGATACAACTACAGCTATAGTCAAAAGGTTGGATGTACACCCATATGGATGGATTATGAATCCATTTCCATAGGGATTTATATGCCCATTATTTTTCAGGAGGATTCGCATAGGATGGGTGACAGATGATGGGCTCCCACCCAAGGTCTTCTGGTCAATTGTTACATAGCTATGGAAGCCATGGCTCATTTATAGATGATTTACCTATGTTACAGATGCCGATTTTCCATAGCAACCTGGGCAACCTGTTATATAAATGACCGAGGGTACATTCAAGCAGTGCTTGCGCCATGGGTTTCGCAGTGGGCTGGGAAAAGTCACCCAGGAATGGGGTGTTGAACAACGCCCGGGACGATACGCTGGTCATTGATGTGAAGATCAACCGCATCGCTTGAGGGCCGATTTTAGGGTCGATGTCTTGGTTGGTGGTTGCAGGTGTTAGCCGTGTTAGCATTGGAACCGGATATGTCATATCAGTGATAAGAAACAGAGCTATCGAACATTGACATATGATGACATAGGTTTCAAAAGGAAACCCTTCCACAAAGATGTGCTAATCTGAGATTTGTTTGTTGCCATGGCTGCAGATTCGGAGTCAGCGCTGTGCTATGATCATCCCAAGTGGTTTGCATGTTTTGGACATGTTTGCACACCACCAACCAGCAAAAAAAGCGGAGCGGTGCAAGAAAAAACATAGAGCGGATGAGCTGTTTTCGCAGATGCTTCGGATTCTTTGGAGGCATCGAAGTTGAGGCGTTGAGTTAGCAGGCTCTTCAGCTTGATTGCAGGCTAAACTATCCGGTAATGAAAAACAGCTTTGCTATGCAAACAGTCCCATTTTGAATCGGTTTGAATCACTGAACTCAATGGGCACCTTTTTGGGTAAGTGGCACCGTCATGGCAGTCATGGCTGAGGTTATACAGCGATTCGCTGCGCGCTCCGTTCGGCCGGCCTTGTGTTTAACTATCGGTGCAGGCAAATCCAACCAGCTTCACGATGGTGGTACCCCCAGTAATAGATGGTTAGATGGCTCGTAATCCCTTCCCCCTATACCACTAAACTGCGGTCCCCCCGCCCCTTCCCAAATAATCAACACCTGGAGGAGTTTTAGGAGGTATATAGGGTGCGAAGCTTCCCCCTAATACTAAATTTAAAACCCTAATATTAAAACAAGTTTGTTCTATTTTAAAATCGATTAGATTTCCTTTTAAAATCTTGCCAAAAATTGGATTTCGAAGCTTTCTTTTCTTTCCCCTAATACTAAATTATCAACCCTAATATTTTTTAAAAAACTGTTTTTTCTATTTCAAAATCATTTTTGATTTCCTTTTAAAGCCTAAATAAAATCTTGCCAAAAATTGGATTTCGAAGCTTTCCCCTAATATCAACCCTAAAATTAAACAAAAACTATGTTTTCTATTTCAAAACGGATTTCCTTTTTAAATCCAATTAAAATCTTGCCAAAAATTGGATTTCGAAGCTTTTCCCTAATACAAAATATAAACAATTATTGTTTTCCTATTTCAAAATCGATTAGATTTCCTTTTAAAATCTAATTAAAATACTGCCAAAACTTGGATTTCGAAGCTTTCCCCTAATCTTAAATTAAGAACCTTAATATATAACATACTTTTTCTTTCGACCTTAAAAGACGGACCCTAATAAAAACACCCCGGGGTTGACTAGTTCTTATTATTAGGGGGTGAAACCCTGAAATGGGACCTTCATTTTTAATTTGTTTCCGAAAGGGGATCAATTAAAAATCACATGCCAGTCTGAGATTTCCCAAAATTTAACGCAGACATACGCGGACCCTAGTTTTAGATGTTTTTAGTATTTGGGGTACGTTTAGTAAAAGGAGGTGGGGATTATTGAAGGGTGTCCTTAGATGTGTCCACTGTTCGTTTCTTTTTGAGGAGCGCACCTTGTCGCCTGTGCAGAGATATCGTATGGTGAGCGTATCTTATGTCCAGGCTGTCGATATCATGAAACCCAGTTCTCGGATTGGTTCCTGAAACCAAAAAGCCCAAGCCAAAGGGGCTGGAAATGCTGCCTGCAACCCATGAACTTGCAACCAGAACTGGTCCTTTTCAAGACCCCACAGATTTGGGATGCGTTTTTTTTTTTTAATGTTTTTTTGGTAGACAATATGTTGGCTCTGAATACATCAACGAAAATCAACCCTGCTTGCTTGAACGGCTCACCCACCATTCAATACCAAAATTATAAGGATCTGGGGTGAACATTGTTCGCAATTTAATTTTGGAGGTATCCAACTTTGACCCAGACCGATTTGATGGAGTTTGTGAGCCTGACTGCAGTGGAAACTTGAAAGTTTGTCATTACCTTTGCTGGCAACTCTGAATCTTTTACACTTCCACTATCTTACACATTGTCACGTGATAAACACTCAAAAACTCCAAATTTTTGGAAAGATCATCACCGAAACAGCTCTTGGTAAACAGTCACCCTGGGACCCTTAGAGTCTTACCTGAGACTCCTGGCCATGTCTGTTTCGCACGTTTCGCCATGGAGTGCGCACGAAGATTTGCTGTTGGACTTTGGTCAAGGACCTCCATGGAGGCTCGGAAGGAGACCCAAGGAGCGGAGCCAAGGAGCGACACTTAGAGTTTCCCAACCAATTGCTAAACTGTGAGCAAACATGCCTAGATATGGCTAGCACGAGAATCCTTTGGACAAGCCCAGCTGGACATTCTGGTTTCAACCACCCATAAATCTGGCGGTAAAATAATGTAAAGTCTCAGTTCCATCTCATTTCTATTTCTCATACTGTGGATGGTTGCGAAATCCAAATCACCAGTTGATAGGTGGTAAACATCCCAGCATATTATTTATAGGATTTCAACCATCCTTTTGGTGGTGCAGGATTTCGCAACCACCCACCATATCCGATGCCAGAGGGAGGTGAACCACCCAAGAATATCGACACAATTCATCCAGCCTTGCGCCAGGCAAGGTGATATTTTGGAAGACTTGGAGCAGGAGCTGCAGAAAACAAGTTTGAAGGAAAAAGCCCATGAAGAACTGAGATGGAAGGAATGGCTTTGGCAGATCAGTTTTTGCACCTGGAAACTGCCTTTCCAACAGCAGCTTTCACCAGTGGAGGACTACATCCGGGCCGCTTGGGCGCGGGATGAGCTGGAGCGATGCGTTTTGTTCGCCAGAGACTCGACTGGGATTACCAGGTTACCAGTTCCATCCAGAATCCTCCCCAACTCAGACCCAGGATGACCCAGGGAATAGCGGTAGCCCATGTTTGGAAGACCTCTAAATAGCAGGCTTTGGAAGACCTTAGGGAGTGGTATAGGGGTTGCCATCCAGTTGCGGAAACTCCGAGCTCATGGAGCTTGGATTTCAGCCTCAGCCAAGACCAGGAATTCATTGCGTTGCCATGGAAACTGAGGGAAGAGTCACATGTAATTTAGGCCCTTGGAAAGATCGACATCATATGTGCGAGCCATTGCGAGTCGTAGCTTGCATGGAGCTATTGTAGTGCTGGGACAGCAATGTTTCGCTGTTTTGGACAGCAATTCATGACAATTTTTGGATCACTTGCCTTGCGCAACGTTTTGTGATGGGAAAACCATGGAAAACCCAAAGAAGCAGTTTGAACACACCATGACCATCCATGACCAAAATGGGAAGGAACCCTTTGGCCATAGTGTGTGGAGAACTGTGTGCCTCACATTTGCCACAGCCTTTACAAGCCACAGTGCTTTAACCATTTTGTGCCACAAGCCTTGACAGCACCGCAAACCAACCCCTTTTTGCATCAGTGATTTGACAGCGTGCACAATTTTGATCAATTCTGCACCTGCAGGTAGGATGGATTGAGAGTAGGTTCGTTAATGGAACCATGGCTTTGTGGTCTTTGGTTTGAATGTTGGACGCAAGCCATTTGTACCGTGATGTAGCTAATTGACAAAGTAGTTTTAGTGCTAAACAGAAGGCAATACACGCACACATATATATATATATATGTTAATATTATGCATCATATGTATCAGGTCTTGATGGCCATGTTGAAACCATCCCCAGGACCAGAGATTTCCAGACCCTCCCAGCCTCACAAGTCATGTTGCTGGGCCATACAGTACCTGCCAGAGCTGTTTTTGGCCACCAATTTCTGTTTCACAATGCCTGGTTCCGGAGCTGTAGATAGCTATGCTGAGTAATTGTCCCATGCATGCATGGACAAAAGGAAAGACCCACATGCTTGTCCCACCCCTAGATCCAGAGTGGACCCCAGCCTGAAGAAATAAGGCAAGTAATGGTAGCTGCCTGGTGGCTTTCTTAGTGGTCTAAAGTCTTCCGTTTTTTTCCGTCCATCCTTCGTCATTCCAGTTTTTCATCAAGCAAACATCGGCTTGACGAAGTATGGTCTCATGTCTTGATTTGTCGCAATTCCCGCATGCACTTGGAGGAACAGCAAGTCGAGCCGAGCCAACTGTGATTTATGTGAATCTTGCTGCCCTCTCGGTCTCGCCGCAAAAGCAGGCTTACCAGCAGCGTAAAGACAAGTTGCTTCCAACAAGTGGCATCAAGTCTTTTCGATTGCGAAGTTAAAGGCATCAAGAGGAAACAAAACTTGGATGCCCAGAAGTTGAGAATTACCATGCAGTCGAATGGACAAGGGACTGGCCAACTACATGGAAGAATACCGTGCGCAACTTCAGTGCGAAGCAAAGAAGCGGAAATTCATATTCGGACAAGAGGGAAGGTCCTCGCAAATCTATTTGGGGCATGTTTCGCCTTATGCTCGTCCACATTCACAGATTTCCTCATTATATAAATGCTTGGGGCAACTTTGACATCTGTGCATCGGTCCTGTCAAGGAGTTCTCCTGAATTTTCAACCAGTCCTGCTTCTGCTTTCAGACCTTGACCAGGCGTATGCTTTCAGACCTTGACCAGGCGTATGCTGAAGAGATGAAATGTCCGATAGTTGTTGTCAACCAATGCTGCCACGCATTTTCCGCCATCGTGAACCATTTCTTACGGACTGTCCCAATCCCCTTCCGGCCGGTGACAGCTGTATAATAATCAAGCTCGCTGAAGCAGCCCAGGTAGACAAGCCAACATCGCCACTACCGACATTCTGGCATTCTTATCCACCTGTATCCCGATGAAACACACAAAGAAAATTACTGCATTGACATAGGAGAGTTTTGACGATGAAGTTGGTTTGGTTTGGAGTCCGTTGTGGTTTCGGAGCCTGTTTCCAGAAATTTGGTTATCATGTATATTAATATGTATTTTTTGGATGCGTCATTCAACCACTAGAAATTTACCTTATCCATCCTTATCCAATCACTTCTCAGCCTTGAACGTTTTTCCAAAACCCTCATTGTTCCGTTTGGTGTGAGAAATTGCTCCGGCGGAGTTTGCTTTTGTTAATCCATGTGGGCTGCTCACTGACCTGCTTCGCGCTGGGTTCTTGCATTTCTCACCCTGATATTGGATACGACTATAGTATAACCTCCATTTGCCAGTTATTTCGGGTATTCCAGGGTTCATGAGGGTGCCAGGATTTTGACATGTTTGACCCTGGGAATGACCCATAGCCATATGGAAATCCCTGAGATTCGTAATTTGGTAGATCGCTGCAATCAGGAAAGCCAGAAGTGATGAAGTTGCAAGATGACGAGTACATGAAACTTGCCTGGCGCGTTTTGAAGTGTTTGCCCCACGTTTTATGGCCTGTCACCTGACCTGACCAGTGTATCTTTTTCGATCTTTTTCGGACGGACGGTCCAATGAGACACCCACTGGCAGGATTGATAGTGAAGATTGATGGATGCTACTGGGCGGTGGCCCCGTCCAGTTATAAGTTGGTTTCTAAGCACCATGAACTCTAGTCAGTGTTATACCAGGTTATATCATGTTATATCTCCTATAAACTCTCCTAGTTAAGCAAGTTGTGAACCAACTAAAATATCGTTTAGGTGCTCCGCCTTGTTGATTTAGGTGCCTCAGCCGCCTTTACCGGCCAGCTTCGCAGTGGTATTTTGATGATGAGCCCCCAATCTGATGTGCCCATTGGTACTTCAACAATCTAGCGCCACCTCGGCTATCGTTAACTATAGAAATATGAAATATGCACAAAAAAACAATGTCTGCATCATATTAATGACCCCTCCTCAAACAATATTGGACCATGAAGAAAATTGAGGCCAAACAAACTTCTTGAGACCCCATACATGGAGTTGGGTAAAGCTTTCCTTGGTTATTGAGAATGTATTCATCGAAACCAATCTGGGAAGATTCATACTGCTTTTAAAACTACATTGATTCCAAGTTGACTTCGGCTTGGTTTGATTTGTTGTGAATTTGAACTGAGTTTGAATGAAACTGACTTTGATTTGAATTTCAAATTTGAATCAATTTTTGATTTATTCAAATTTGAACTGACTGACTTGTTTGAATTGAAATTAACTCCGCCTTTTTCTAAAGTGAATTGAATTGAACTTCATTGTGGGGGGGGGGTGGTCCTAGTTAAAAACCGACTCAGCTAACTATGTAATGGGGGATTTTTGTCGGGTTACTGTCGTCAGTATATGGTTGGCGACCAGCCTTGTACCCATCAATGGATTCTAGCCACAACAGGAATCCAGATGTGACTTCACAATGCTCATTCTCTCACAATCAGATCTTTGACTCAGTCTCTGTTTTTAGATGTCTGGTTGATGGTTTGGAACATGTTATTTTTCCATATATTCGGAACAATCATCCCAACTGACGAACTCATATGTTTCAGAGGGGTAGGGCTCAACCACCAACCAGGTATGTGTTTCGGATTAGATTCGGATTTCCTGGCGCAGTGCTGTGCCCATTTAAGTCGATGATTCGGTTACCTGCGATGACCACGGCCATTTTCCATGGCATTTTCTATGGCTGGGCTGGATGACCACAGGGTAAAGCTGCTGTGGATCAACAAATTCACCGACCCTCTGGTTATGTCAAAATAGCTATTGAACATGGTGATTTATAGTGGATTTACCCAGCTATAAATGGTGATTTTCTATAGTTTTTTGTAAACGTTTACCAGAGGCTACATCGAGATTTGCTTTTTTGGCCGACCATCATTGCGATCTCTTCTGTTAGCGAAGGATTCATGATATTCATGGTGATTTTGCCAAGAAAATTGGATCAACAGACTCAGGAAGTGCCATGACTACTCCGTCCTGGCCTGTTCTTTGGAGACTCCTGGCGTGCCTGGCGATGGCGCCCCCCTCGGCTATCTCCTTTGGGCCGCTTGGATGCATGGTGATCACATGACCAAAACAACATGGTGGTATTTGCTAATATATTACAATATGCCAATATGCTGTTTGATGATCAACCCATGTGCAAGACATATTCAATTGCATGTATATATATATATATTTATAATGTATATATATATATGCACATGTTCTCTACTTGTATTGATTTCATACCTATGTGTATTTATGTATATTTATGTGTATATTTTGTGCATGTATTGACAACTGCGTACATAGAAAGGGTACAACAGCGCACAACCGGAGGTCCATCTGCAGGGCACCATAGCACCGTCCAGGTCTACTTCGAGGGTCGGAATTTGGAGCGCTTGCGGCCGCTCAGCGGGTTGGACGGTTCCCCCTTCCGTCGTTTGGGCTGTTTTTTTTAACCCATAAATGGGACAAAGAACGAGGAAACAGCTAAAACTTTTTGTTTGTTTTCAACGCATCTAAGATTGGCCATGATCAAACATGCTTTGCCTCTTAACAGGCAATTACTGGACGAATTGCAGTCTTGAATAGGCCACTGGCACAGGGTAAACTCGTGTCCTCTCAGGTGTGCTCCATGATGAAGCATGTGGGGAATGAATGGCTATACCGACTGTACCTTCCAGTGCTGGAAAATGGCCAGCTGGGCATGATGTTGAATATGACAAGCACCCATAAGTTGGCCCATAATTAAGTGGATTTACACCGGCACATGTGTTCATTGCCAAGTTTCGATTAGATTCAGGGCACGGGAAAGTTAAAAGAACACTCCTCAGCTCAACTATCAGGATTTTTTGGCCCAAACGAGGGTTTCTTGTGTGCAATTCCGCCAATATGAATCCCTTCTAGGACTCTTGGAAGGTTCCAAGATACCAGGATCACCATATGCCAATTGGGTTTCTTTGAAGACATGGTACCCCAAAATCAGATTTGTCATAATCTTCCCATGACCATGACCATAACTGGGAGGTATTCTGTATACCACATGTTTGGACACAACCATATAGGTCAAAGGCCTGGAGACAGGTGTTTGTGAAGTTATCCGAGGATGGCGCTGAAGACGATTGGCCTGAATCTGGATGAAGGCATCATTGAAAGAGTGGACTCAAAGACCAGTGTCTCGGTTTGTGTTGTTTTCTGGTGACTTGAGGTATATATGGTAAGGTTTCTGTCCAGAATGCTAGAATGTCAACACATTCAAGTTGTTTTTTGGGTTGAAACCATGCTGCAGTCGTACAATAGTTTTTCCTTACAGCTCAGTGGGTCAGCTTCAAGCTTGTGTGATCGGGCCTAATACGAGTGTTCTAGAGCTCAAGTGTGATGTCTCAGAGCGTCCAATGGCCTCAACGGCTAGAGATTTCCAGTGATTTCCCCAACCCCGACCACCCTTGAGATTCCCTTGAGATACCTTGAGATTGATTGAGATCCCTGTTGCAACTGGCATGGCGCTTTCCGCAGAATCTCAGGTTCACTCTTTGAACAAGAGTTGTTCCTCAGCAAAGAGCCCATCTTTCGCTGGGACGAAGCTGTCCACAGCCCCTCCGAGGACAGATAGGACAGGGGCGGGAGCAGCAGTGGGTATACCTGGGGCCTTGCCATGGAACCAGGAGATCCGCTTCAAGGACTACAGCTTTCATCCCTGGGCTGACAGCGGCGGAGAAAAAACTGGTCGCAATATGTCGCTGACAGCAGCTGGGAGTTGTTGTTTTTCAGGATCTCTTTGCGGGTGGAACCCCACACAATGCCAGAGAACTGTGGGTATAACATGGTATAACAGATTACACACACGAGGGTGGCGACTTTGGTCGCACTTGGCCTGATGATGTTGTTGCTAGGGCTGATGATCAAAGAAAGTGCTTGACCTTTCGTTGCTCCAAAGTGGGGCATTTTGGACCAGTGGGTATTCACCCCAAGTTGGGCTAACATCCAGCAAAGGATACTCCTCATTTCAGAGTTGCAGAGTATTTGCAGCAGACCTGCGTGCTTGACTCTGCCAGGGGGCACACCTACACATGCCTTAGGATAGAATTCTTGAGTCCGGAAACTCTTCCGGGATATCTTTAAACTATTGCAATGTTCGTCTTCTGGTGGTTCGCTTCATCAGGTGTTTATGTGCATTCAAATCCGCTCAAACTGGATGTGTCACCTGGGCATGAGCCTGAGTTTACTATAGTGGGGTCTCCAAAATAGTGACAATTCCAGGTTCAAATGCTCCTCTCAAGGGAGGAGGAAGCTAAGGACTTATGGTTGCATCCATATTCCGGGAAAACACATGGGGAGAAGGAACTACAGGCAATTTTGTTCCACCCACATGCGAGAAAAGCCAGCCGCAAATCTGGGGTTGTTGACCTTCATTGTTCCGCCTGACACCCACTTTACATTGAAAGTTGCCAGGTCGACCTACATCCAAGGTAACTTGACTTATGGTTCATGTGGTTCATGGTTTGGAATGGCACCATGCCCCAAACCACGAATTGACCATGCATGGGTTTATGTTTGGGATGCTTACCCTTTTTTCTAACTGAATCATGTGTATACTATATCACATATTCTTGGGATGGCTTGAAATCAAAAGCGCCAGAGAGAGCCATTCTCTGGACTTCTGGGCTGTGTGACAATCCCAGATTTCGGAACTTGATGTTCTCCTATTCTTTTGAGACAACCCCAAATGGGTTCAAACCATGATTTCCAGTTTGTTTATCATATTTTCTCATAGTTATCCACAAGGTGGGCCCCCCTAGTTATAAGTTGGTTTATAAACCTCACTGCCTATATAGTTAGTTATATATATATATATACATATATATATATATATATATATCATGTTATATCTAACATAAAAGATAGATATTGGAGGTACTTAGCATTCTTGAGGGCCCACCTTCCGATTTTAGTCCTCCTGGGTGGCTACGTGATGCTACGTGCCGCTCAGGTGGTGTCTATCGAGGTGGACCCGGAACACGCAGTGCTGTCACAATGCCGGGGGAACTCGGCCAATCATCGATGATTATGTCGGGATGACTGGAATTTCCGGTCACAAAGCCATGTCACTGCAACGAATATGTTGTTCATATAAATAACTGGATACATAAATAATTAAATAATTAAATAATTAAATAAATAAATAGATAAATAAATAAATAAATAATATATATATATATGTAAATATGTAAATATCTTATTTTTGATCATGTGTTCTCCATATCGTTCTAAAATTGTGTGGTGACGGCCCCATCACACAGGGTCAGGATAACCGATATTCCTTCGATGATTTCTTTCAACCCCCCCATATGGGACCCTGACATGAATAGATTCAATACTAACCCGCTGAACCAGAGGGTTCTTTGGATGGGATTGGTGTGCCTTGGTGGATGTTCGGTTGTTCTGGCTTAGTTCTGCGCTGTTTTCGGCAATTGGTATGGACACATTTTATTCTTTTCCAACCCAGAACGCGCTTGTTCGCAAAGTAATCTAGGATCATCTGGGGTTAGCCACGATTCCAAAGCCAAACTTTTCAGCCTATTTGGAAGATCCAAGCTGCTTTCGCCTGCCGCAGTTAGGTTTGGCAATCCATGCGGGCGTTGACCACCAGGCAGGAAGGCCGCCACGCCAGGATTTTGTCAATGAAAGGCCTGACATATTCTAAATTTATGCGCCATGATAATGCTGTCGCCATCAGGAAAACCAAGCCTGAACTCTGAAGTTGTTTTTTAGCAATGTACTCTTGAATGGTCTGATTTTCCCATGCTTTCCAGCAACACCATTTGTCCAATAAAGGAACACAGCAAAATCCCCTGCAGGTGCGCGTTTGGACGGGTCAAAGCGGCGATGTCCTTCGCTCCCTCCGGGACCGGTATGGTGCCGGGCCGAGAGTTCGTCCGAAAATCCTCCGCTGAACGACAAACACATCATTTCACATTGGCATGTTGCCTCAATAGCTTGGATACCAAATGCATCCGAATGTATAATTCATGTCATAATGTATCCAACAAATTCGGTTTAAACTGAAATTCACAATGAAAATGGGTAGCACAACCCAACCTAAAATAACTACATGTCTTCGAAATCCAAAGAAAACAAGCAAAGAAACACAACATAAAAACATGGAAAAACATCCCCAAGATTTGAAACATCCAAGGCTGTTGGATCCAAATGTGTGTCTTTCCCAGGTGTCTCCGATGCAGAATTTCCACGCTTCGCGATGGTGTTTATGGACCAATGCGGCCGCCTGGACCATTGCTGGGAGCCAGTGCATTGTGGGTGCGCCATGCAATTTCAACTTTCAACTTCTTTAAACCATTTAGATCCATGTAGTGTTGATTTTGGGGTGGGTGCGCCATCTCAATAGTCTCAATATGTCTCAATCATTCAACTTGGGTTTTGCTATAGTTTGATATAGTTTGATCTATGGCCAAAAGGGACCCATTTCTTCTCCCAGTGTTTCTTCTGCCTCCAGGCAGTTACTCCACGCATGCCACTTACGTTGCGAACTTCAGGAATCATGCTAGCAGCTGCTAGCAGGCACTTTCAGGATGAAGGCCGATCACCTTTCATCACCTTTCATCACCTTTCATCACCTTTCACAGCGAAAAATGGCCCGACACGAATCTGTCAATTGCCCAGTTGTATACTCCGCTCCAGAAGCCCATCCTTTGATTATGTCAAAGCACAATCGTTGTTGCGATCGTCTTGCCAACAACGGGAGTCTATGATACTATGGTATACTATGGTGGTGTCAGCGTATCCAGTTGGCAGTGCCCCCAGCGCATGGATACTTTATGATGGATTATGATGGTTCTTGTGGCAGTGTGTCAAAACCAATAGTACCCCTGGTGAACATCAAAATAGCTGGTAAATGGATGTTCATCCCCCTAAAAATGGTATTAATATGTATTAATAGGTATTGATCCATACCCTTGTCATAGTCTTCTGCGGCGATGGAAACCTCGAGGTTCCAGATTCTGGTCCGACCTTGAAGTGCTGATCAAACAGGACTGCTGAAAGGCGGAATCAGAATATGGCAGCGCAAGGGTCCTAATACATGGGGAAAAACAATCAATGATGATTTTAAAGGCCCTGGTCCTCTGATGAAAGAGCCACAGGATGTTTTCTCCCGGTTCTTTTGGCTCATGATTGTTTCCTCCAATTTTTTGGCTGCAACATAGAACCCCATAGAAGCGGAGAGCGAACTGTTTTGCCACTAATCTGTTTCTCACCTTCCATGGGCCAGTACAGTTTGAATACAGTTCTCACCTGCAGTGAGATGGCATGATATTCTATAATTGAAAGATATTGACATTTTATCAGATTTTATCCACCTAGAGCCTCACCCATACATGCAGTTACATGCATATATCATCATATATCATATATATATATATTATATATGTATGTGTGTGTAAATGTATGCTACACAATGATATCAGTATATATACACTATATATATATATTTATTTGTCATATCAACCGGCCGGGCTCAGCAGTTGAACAAACTTGAAACTTATCAATTCTCCGGCCAGTGCGGGGGAGGAGTTGCTGATGCCCGGTGCCATTCTTTTAGTGCCTGGCTGCAGATCTGCTGCAGACCTTTTTTTGGAGCCGGGAGGTTATGAATTTGGAGGGGAAACGCCTGGATTTGTTAAAATAAGATTTGGGAATTTGGCAAATCTTGAGGATTTTGACAGGCAAGTTGGGATTGAACATAATTTGTGGTGTTACCCATCAAATTTTGAAGGTTCAAAGAAGAATAGAGATGGGGCTATATCCAGCACGGCAGTGGAAACTCACATTTTCAATAAGAGACTTAGCTGCAACTGTGTGAATTGGTGGGGCAGAAATTCTACTTTCAAACTTGAAAGATCTTGCAAAAAATAGTGATTTCAGCCTGAACTTACCACATTGCAAGAAGCGATGACTTTTCTTTGACACAAAATGAGCAAATATCAATCCACTAATTGCACCCCCTCCACATTTGGACATAAAAGAAACGTATAGTTTCCCCTATTGATTGCTTGGTGATGTCAATTTCAATTTATTTCAATCAGTTTTCATGTTCAGACCATTTTCTGCTGCTGTTTATAGGTTCACACAGTTCACACCCAAATGGGGGGGCCCAGTCCGTGCCGAGGCCGACAATGTGTTGAAGCCGGGCGTCGGGAGGGCCCAGTTCACGATGATTTTCCCTTTGGTATCCATAGTGGGGATAGAAGAGGGTATATATATATATTGTATATTATAACTACATTTGTGTTTATATATATTATATATATATATGGTTGGTGGTTTGGAACATGGCTTTTATGACTTTCCATATATTGGGAATGTCATAATCCCAACTGACGAACTCATATTTTTCAGAGGGGTAGGTATACCACCAACCAGATATATTATAATTACATTTGTGTTTGTGTATATATATATATATGCATGCACATGTGTGACCCAATTGTTTATATCATATTGATTGCCAAGGCCATGTGCTGACTATGTCCGGCTGAGGCACCACTCTTTCTATGGCAACTGTTCCATGGTCTTGGCCGTTTGGAGCCCCAAGAGAGTTTCCAGTCATCATGCTGTACGTCATAACTGGTGACAAGCTACTTCCAAGTAACAAAAATCAGATATTCAATGATATTCACATGGATGGCAACATACACGCGCACACACATACATATATATATATATACACACTTGTTATATATTATATACATAAATTAGAATTCCAGTAACTCTGACCTATCCCTTTGTTTCAGGTGATGTGTTCACAAGTCACTTGATCAGTTTGGAGGAGCCAGGAATCTCAGAGTGAAGCTGTGCGTGTTCGCCTGACATTGTCTGAACTTGAACGGTGGAATCCCCCAAAGATTGGTCTCAGTAACTATTACTATTTCCCTCTGGTTATTGAACATAGCCATGGAAAATGGCCCATTTATAGATGGTTTACCTATTAAAAAATGTGATTTTCCATGGCTATGTTAAATAACCAGATGGTATGCTTCCCACTGCCGTTGTTGTTTCCTAGTATCACTATGATACTCTATGATATATTATGATAACAATATATAATGAACATGTCTGGACCATTCTTGGGTTCCAGGTTGCAGCGCTTATTCAAACCTTTCAGGTTTGCCATGCCCGGTGTGGAGGACGCCTAAGTGGTCACTGCGGTTTTGGAGCGTGGGCAGTTCTGGGGACCGTATGCTACATGGGTTTCTCTTACCCTGGACTTTGGTAGTTGAGAAATTGATGTTCCGTTCTTTTGGGCCATGTATTTTTTTGATTATTACATTATAGATTATTACATATTACTATTTAGGAATTTAACTTTCAAACAGGTGCGTATCATTGCTTTGACTGACTAATTGTCATTGTCAGGGTCAACCCCGCCGAGGGCAAACCTTTAGACAGCCTCGGCTGTCCTCACCACGCACTAGGACTGCATGCTGATGGCCAGATACCATCCATCCACATCCCAACCAGGCCCAAAGCGAGGTCAACCCCTTGTGGCTTGATACCCATGGATGGTATACTGAAAAAAAACGCTGAAAGTCCCACTTGTAGTACTTATCTAGCAAAGTCTTCTATGTTGCTTGAAGTTCACCAATTGACTGTTGCTTTGTAACCCTTATCGCCGAGAATAATCCCATAATCTTGCCAGTGAATTCATCATTTCTGTTGCTCAAAATCTTTATTTGGGTCTGTGAAATCATAATTTTGTCACTGGTTCTCCTAGTTAAATCACAAGTTTTCCCAGTTAAATCGCCAGTTTTTCCAGTGAATCACCAGTTTTCCTTGTTAATCACCATTTTTGCCCTGTGTCCAACATCTTTCGCCGGGCTCACCATAGGCAAGATGGCGATGCCACTGGAAGTTCAAGCGTTGGAGTTCGAGGCGGTGGGTGAAGGACCTAATCTTCAGCTATTTCTTTTATATATATATATATACAGTTATATACATATATACCGGCGTTCATTGGTTGGTGAAGGACCTAGTGTTTGTGTGTTTGTCTCTTTCTTTTTTCTTTCTTTCTTTCTTTCTTTGCTGTTTTGTTGCTTGTTTGTCGTTTGATTGGGGGGACATGAGCAGGAATAAGTTGTTGAGCCTTGGCCGACCGTTGCTTCTACATAAGATTTTAAACCATATTTTCATCAATGAAATATTTAGGGACAGTATCCATTTGTAGCCACTGTACTTAGGGGTGCAGTTCCAGTTATGTCGTCCCTACGGCACCCCCTACCCGCCCTGTGACGCACTAGGCCTCCTGCATCCGTACACGCGCAGCGGAGCCTGGTGGTGTACCATAGCAGCACCACATTGCCACTTCTTTGTGATGATTCAAATTCACATCATATCAACAGTGAATAACTAAACTAGATACTAGGAGATGATTATGAATCAAAGATAGTTGACGTATTTTTCTGGTTGTTTCATGGTTTTGCACGGTGTTTTGATGGGAGTTCAATCCATTTTCCGGAGCAACGCCTACGCACCTAGGTGCCGTTTGAGGAGTGGTCTGCCCACGGTGAACGCAGGGGATCACAGTTTCCCTCAGAAAAATGGGATGGTGTGCCTGTTATGTTCGTGTCCCTTGGATATAATGATGATGGGATTATAGATGACACCAGTAATTAGTAAACCATTTTCAGAAGTTAATGAAGTTGTTGCAATATATTGCAACCTCGAAATCAGCTTAATGCATGGCGTCAACGCTGAAAGCTGAGACTGCGTGAGTCAATCCGCATGAGCCAGCAACATATGAATTTGGCCGAACATATGACATTGATCAGGCTTGGGTCACCTCATTGTTTAATTTCCAGATGGTACTCCCATGTTTTTCGGGTACATTGATATTTCTTGACAAAGAAATAACAAAAAAGCATGGCATTGCAAGGCATGAAGCGGGCCTTGGAAGATCTGAATATCAGGAGTCTGGTTGAAAAGGTTGGGACGTGGGTGGCTTGTGACTTGAGGGTGGCTTTTTTTCCCCCTGTAAAATTGGGAGATGACGTAGCTGCTATAGCTATGGAAAACCACCATTTTTTTGATACACAGTAGCGGAATCAATGGAATCGGATGAATCCCAATTGTTGTTGGATCTAAAAGCTGACCAGCATGGGCATGGATGTAGCCAACTGTCAATGGGAAGACATATCACTGACCAAAAAAAAGGTTTGAACCTGTAAAACACATCAGGACAGCCTCAGGACAGCTTGATGATGTGAGACGAGAGTGGATAAGAATTGCAGCGTTCTCCTTCCCCTGAATATAACATTAACATAGTTTTCGCATAGTTTTCACAATGTACATGTCCAGTTGCCACGTACTTGTTGCTATATGACTTCCAGGATTGGGGAAGACCTGAGCTCTGCTGATTGTGCCAAAGCTGGCCGTGAGAAGAGCAAGTGAAGCTGTGACCTCCATGCAATTTTTTGGGCATCTTGGGGTAAAATCCTTAGCACTTTGAGCACGTCTTGGCATTTTTCCTGGTTCGAAAGCAATTCTCATGTTGTTCTTCGAGAATGCTGAGCAACCTGGGCCTGATCTGTAACAGGGCCGCTATCAACTCTTGATGGTTGACCAATACTGGCAGCTCAAGCTCCTGCGAGACCAAAGCTGGTCCCCTCAAAAGCCTGCTAACAATGGATTTTGATTCTTATTCGTGCGGCTTACATCCGGAATTTGAATGGATTTGGTAGATTCCATTCCAATGCAACGGTGATTATATATATATATATATTATATCGGTGTGTTGCCGCCCGACTGTACATATGACTGACCGCTCTTCATCAGAAAGACATGCATACCTGGTGATTTTTCTGTGCAACAAGTCCCAACAAGTCCCAACAATCAGAAATACCAGAGGTTTCCCACAGGTTCAACATTTGGACCGTTGCTACTGGGGCCATAAAAACCAGACCCTGGGCGATGCCGGGGTGGATCCATGTGGGAACCGAAGCGTTGCTTGGAGATGCCTGACTTTCCGGCGGACTTTACCGTCGTTCATCTTATTTATCTTATTTGCTTACTAATATTACGGCAAGACCCCGGGGTTTGCCCGGACTCGCAACGAGAATCCGGGCAAGCCAAGATGACGATGATGCTGACGATGACGATGACGATGACGATGATGATGACGATGATGATGATGATGATGATGATGATGATGACGATGACGATGACGATGACGATGATGATGATGATGATGATGGTGATGATTGTGATGATTGTGATGGATGATGGATGATGGATGATGGATGATGGATGATGGATGATGATGATGATGATGATGATGATGATGATGATGATGATGATGATGATGATGATGATGATGATGATGACGACGATGATGGCGATGATGGCGATGATGACGATGACGATGGACGATGGACGATGATGACGATGACGATGGACGATGGACGATGGACGATGGACGATGGATGATGGATGATGGATGATGGATGATGGATGATGGATGATGGATGATGGATGATGATGATGATGATGATGATGATGATGATGATGATGATGATGATGATGATGATGATGATGATGATGATGAAGACGACGACGACGACGACGATGATGACTTTGATATCTTGTTGAAACCCTGTAAGAAACCTCAATGACTGTTGGTTAGCTGTTCCATGGGGGCGGGGAATTTTGATATTTTTTTGAAACCCTGTAAGACACCCCAATGACTTTATGGTTAAATTCCATATGGTATGTAAAAGCAACATGTTCTGGCTATATGATGTATACATATATTTTTATGTGTGTGTGTGTTTGAAGCAATACTGTATGTTCTGGTTAACACCCTAGCAACATAATTGAACATAAAATCCTTCCCTTTGTTTGACGTCGTACAGAATTCTCTGGTATTTACGCTATTCTGGGCTTGGTCAAACCTCGGGCTCTGTGTCTGTGTGTAATATTACTACCCTGTACGTGAGCTGAATGTCGCAGCTGCTTCGAATCTCACAGTTGAGCTGCAATTTGACATGAACATTGTACACATGCTGCCTCCCACCATGGACTTTTGATATTTGTAATTTAAACGATCCTGTCATCGAATATGAATACTTGTTGAGATGCCACACTTTTCCACAATGCAGCAAGAAAAAACAACTCACACACCTACCTCACAAGAATGAAGCTCACCTCTCACGATATGTAGGTCCGAAGTTTCCTATTTCCCAAGTGATGGGCAGAATGATCATGACCAAGCAAAACTGCACTCATTTTGCCCAGCAGCCTCCATTTGGCCATCCGATCATCCGCGAGTGATGTCGCGTTCCAATGCGAGGCGTCGAAAGACAGTGGGTTTCATCTCAGTGGGTTTGCTTCAAAAATGCCCCAAAGTGATCCAAAATTCCATGAGATGATAGGGACATGATAAAATATGACAATGGAACAATATTGGATTTTGGGTCCCATTCTCCACACCCAGATAAGAACTGTGATCTCATGACGCACCATCCACAAAGGGAAGGCCAGCACATAAGGGGCTGGTCCTGTTGCATAAATTATACTCCAATTCGTTATTGGTTACTGAAAGTCATCAAAAACCACCAATTATACATACCCATAGTTCATCAACAAAAACGTACTACACGCTGCATTCTAAAGGTCACTGACTCATTCGTTTGGCTTGTGGGGATTCCAAGCTATCAGTTGAGTTTCCCAACCCTATAACTGCCATAACTATCTACAACTCATTGGTGAAGCCTAAGGTCCAGAAACGCATGGCGCGCCCTTTGTGTCGTGTGCGTCTTTTCCTCCCTGGCTGCTTGGAGCAAACGTTGCCAAGCGTTGGGCCGTGCCAAGCGTTGGGTGCTGCTATGGCAAGGGACCAAACCCTGTTCTCCCTCATTCTCAAAATCCATGGTTTTTCATAGGGAAATCATCCCCATGGCTGGCCGCAAACTATTCAGGTGAGGGAAATATGATAATTGACCCAGAGAAATTTTATTCTTGGTTGGTTGGTGAACTGACCCACATGGGACCCAGACAAGAGGCCACGGGAACATATTGCCAAAGATGTGTACTTTTACTACAGTAGTTTTGGTTTTTACTATTACTATACCGGCATACCGTCTGATTTTCCAAAAGCCACAAACATAGCAGCATTGTTTTTTTTGGCTATTGCTATCCCATTTGATTTTTGGGATCACCTATTTTGTCAAACCACCATGTCTTGAGGAGAGCAGGGATTTTTACGAAGTGGGGATTGGCCTCCAACTTTCTGATTCAGATTCTTGTGGCAAGGCGGGGTCGATTGTCCCATGGCCACAGGAAGCAAGGTTATCCTGTGGAATGGTACGGATGTAAGACATGATCGCCAAAACTGGCTAGCAATTGGCTTGCATATGTCGCCAAATGTGGCGACAAGTTCGGGCATGTTAGCATCTCAGTCGCTAGCATGTGCGCAAATATTCTGGCAGTATATCACCATTTTTTGCTCCACGTGTGTTCCAAAGCTGGTCTACACAGTTACCCCAAGCGCCCATTCAAGATGGGTTTCCAGTTGACATCTAACATAGCTATATAGAACATTCCCTATTTCCAGCCATGTGGATTTGTTTGAACATAGGGTAAACCGTGGTATACTGATTCTTAATTCACTGCCTAATCACCATTGTCCCAAAATTATCCCTACTCAGGGATGGAAACAATTTTGAAACATCCAGACATGAGATTGTTGGTCATATCCACGGCATATCCCCGTGATATCTGCCCAGAATGAGTTGGTTCCCATGTGAAATTCCTGGCGTTCGCTGGGGTCCAAGGCCAGCTCCTTTGTGAGCATTGTGAGCCCTACTCAGATGGCCCCATTGGCACGGACGCAGGTTCCAAGGGGAAGGATTCTTTAATGTGGAGAGTGGGTAGGTTAGGTTGGCACAGAGTTCATGAAAGGAAGCATGCCAGGTTTTCCGTGATGTCCTGGGTTGAGTGCCCTGTGAGGAATGTTGTGCCCGGTAGTTTTGGCTAAGATCAGCCAAGTTATCGTGATTTCATATGAGTCACGGTCAAACCGGTTGAAGACCACTTTAGTATTGCAGGAGTTTTTATTTGTCAAAATATGTGCACCCCCAAAAGCGATAACCCGGGACCATACACGACAGTCCATTAAACTTGGCGTAAACCACGCAAATACTGTTATGCACATTCACAGAACGGGCAAAACCGATGAGAGAAATTCAACCTGTGGTCCCCTGTTTCCTGCAGTTTCCATATCATTTGGCATTGAACTCGCTCGCTTCGTTTGTTCTTTTCTTTTCTTTTTTGTTTTCTCTCCCTCTCTCTCACTCTGTCGTTCTTGTGGCACATTTCCTTCGAATAATGTCATATGTTTGAGGGGTTATTTAGCAATAATCTTAGCGATAGCTTAGAGGCTTAGCAATAACATGCGATAACCATTTGTTTCACTCGGTCCCCTGGCTAAGCCATAGAGCCATTTCCATAACTTTGGAAAGGAAATGAAAGGACATGAATGCAAAATGAAAGGAACATGCATGCAAATGAAAGGAAGATGAAAGGACATGAATGCACATTGGAATGAAAATTAAAGGAATATGAAAGGAACATGAATACAAATGAAAGGAACATGAAAGGAGAATGAAAGGAAAATGACAGGAAATTAATGCAAAATGAAAGGACTATGAATGAAAGGAAGATGCATGCAAATGAATGCAAAATGAAAGGAACATGAAGTGTTGCCGAAGCACCTGAAACCAACAAAGCAACTCCTCGATCCATTTCCAAGCCTGTTTAGGAATTGTGTTTGTCATGGGATTTTATGGGACGACTGGATATTTGACCAAACACGGCTCCATGGGATTTACTTTGCTAAGTTGGTGAAGGTAACTCCAATATCTGGGATTTCATGGGAGATAGCTAAGCTGACTCCAATAACTATAGGGTCTATAGGAGATCTAATTATATATATATATATTATATATATTTATACTGTTATTTGGGATTTCGGGGTTATAAACTGGTTCATTTTATGGTTATAAACGAACATATAGACCTGGGCTGGCCCACCTTGTGGCTACCCAACTTTGAATAGATATCAACCATTAACCAATATGGATCATCGCTAGCAATTTACGAATCAAGCAACCATCATCGATCAGTTGTATCGTTTTGGTAAATCAACGGATATATCTATCAAATTAAAACTTGATGGTTATAATATATATATATATAATATGTTATAATCTAGCAAATCCTTGCTGGTTAAAAGGTTAAAACTGATACCCATGTTTATCAATTGCGGGAATGCTACGGTTATATTGCTGGTTTAACCAACCCCATCTAAGAACCACCATCCATCCGGTGGCAACTCCTTGCAGACCAACTTCCCGATCTAGCGGCCAGACAGATGCGGTTGACTGGTGTTGACCACATTTGACCACATTTTTTTGGTGTGTTGCATAACTAAAATCATCTAACATCTATTAAAATCTATCACCTATTTGTTTTTTGAGATTGAGTAGCTATTGTGATGTATACTAAGATCCATCTTTTCTACTTTTTTTTTCTCGTTTGGAGATTGTAGAAATCGCCCGGCTGCGCAGGCCTCGATTCTGCGCCGGAGCCTGATTCTGCGCCGTGCCGTGCCGGAGCTTCTGACCCTGGTGCCATGGAGACGGGCGTGGGAGGAATGGTAGTTGAACATGGGAATTTAATGAGAAAAGGAGTATCAAATACCAGTTAAAAGTGAAAATAATACCATGGTTACCATGGTATTAAGATACCATTTCTAATAACCACTCCTTTTTTGATGGTTTTCAACATTCCATGTGATCTAAGCATTTGGAATTTTAACCGGAAATTGGACATGTGCGAGTTCATCAATGGATTTTTTCTGGAAATTGGTAATTTTAATCAACAATCAGACACGTACGGCTTTATTCAGCATCCAGCGCTTAGGAGGGAGCTAAGGAGCTATCCATATTCTCTAAATGGGGAGCCAAGGAGCTACAATTAGAGTTCCCAAGCCACAATACAGTAAAAGGATGTACCTGGCTTTCAACCATTGTTGGGCGATATTAAAATCCATGAACAACCATAGGCATCCGCTTTTGGATGGTTGGAAAAAAAACAATATCATTCACATAATGATGAAATATCGTGGAATAGATTTTACTTCATGAATGGTAGAGTTAACATGAGTTAACTATTATATTGCTAAAGAATCATAAAGAAAACTATGATAACTTACATGGCTCCAGTCATTTCGAAGCGTTCATCCTTACCTCCTTATCTTTCATCCCATCGGAAATGCGTTACGCCGCGTTACGCCGCAGGCGGAGTCAGAGGATGAGGCCTTGGACACGGAGGTCGGGGGTTCCCCGTTTTGATTTTGCTGGAGTTTCCGGATATGGCCAGGTATAGGTATTCTATATGGTTATGATATGGTTATTATATGGTTATATATGGGGTTATATATATATATGTATGAATATGATAGGTAATGTTAAATAATTATGATTTCCTGTGGATATGGAAATAAATTACTGTAAGTACTATTGGGATTTGATGGTTAGACAATAGGGCTGACTATGCACGGGGAAAATATGGGCAACCCTGGCTGGCATAAACCTACCACGACTGGGGATGGTGATAGTTACCACATATGTGGGGATGGTTTATGACATTGGGTTTGCCACATTATAGGCGGGTGAGGTGGGGTTTCGATGATGACAATGACACACATCCAACAAGAATCTGGGGAATTAGGTTCCATAAACACTGCGAACAGCCTAGGTTTGTGAATGATATAGAGCAGTAATTTGTCCAGAAAACTATGATCGAGGATGAAGATGATCGCTTTGATGAGTGGTGAGGATGACGACTGAAGATGAATACGGTGCTGCCAATATTGTCTATGAATACCTCACAGCATCTCACAAACCTCCGGCACTCAACCTATCTTAGAGAAGACACACAAGCTGTGGCACTTGAACAAAAACAATGAGTTCGACTGTCAACCCAATGAAGCCCTTAATGCAGACCGGCCTAGGCGGAGAAGGCAGTTCTTGATGAACTGTGTCCAAATGGTTCCCACCAATTCTCTTCTCCTATTTTTGCCTTCACAAGTCTAGAAATTTCACATTTTTCTCATGGATTTCTTCTCCAGATGTCATTTTTTCAACATCATTGTATTACGGGACATTTTTGCAGCAACCCCTTAAAAAATATCATAAAACTCCTGGCTTCCTGTAGGTGTTCCGTTAAATCCACGGCAGAAGTCATGTCGCCATGCGTCGCCACGCGCCGGGCCGTGTGCTCGGCCGAAAGTGGAGCATCGACCGCAGCTACTCCCCGCAGTGCGGTCGACCCTTCAAAGATGCAGGTGGGGTTGATGCAAGATGTGGAGGTTTAACCGACAGAAATGGGACTTAACATGAATTTAACCAACATAACAAGTTTAATCACAATATTTATCCTTAATTTAACCAACATAAATGGGGATTTAACGGACAGAAATGATTACATACAGAGGTGTAACAACATGGTTTATCCGTAATTTAAGCAACAAAAATGGGGAGTTAACAAACAGAAATGAAATGACTAACAATGGGGGTTTAACCAAAAATAATTGGTTTTCATGGGGACACAATGGGATACAACATATATAATGGGATACAGAACCAAGACCTGGTGTTGTCGCAAAAACTGGGTGATACGCTGGGTTTATCTCTCACGTTCTTTCCGAATTCTTCACGCAAATGATTTCCGCACCCCAGCTCTTTTGGAGGGGCAGACTGAAACAACAATTTGATATGATGAGGAATGTGATGGGAAACCATCGCCAATTTTTTGAGGTAATGTTAGTAAAGCAATACTAAACCACCCATTTATTGTAACATTGGGGGATGTTTCCGCACGGACTTGGGCTGGAAAAGTTGAACTGGATGAGGGTGGTGGATGGTCTGAAGTTTTTTTTGTGCTGGCCCAATGACAGATCTAGCTGATTCCAGAAGTTATATATGTATATATCATATGCGCAAACACACACACACATATATACATATATACATACATACACATACTACACACACATATGTATGTATATATATATATGTATATGTACATATGTATATACACATTAAAACAGTTACACAATATTATATGATGATGTACATGTAATATATGTTTGACCATATGGGGGGCAATCCATTTATGTTCCAGATCTACCCCAGTCCCCACGTGGTCACCTACCTTGTCGCGGCCAGGAATTACGCAGTTCCTACAGGAAGAGCCACAGGGCTTCACGGCAGCCCTCAAGAGGTCCCTCTTCGACTTCCAGGTTTGCACCGGGCACCAACTTCGTCAGAAATGCGGACGAGAAAAGCAATTTCCCACCATACTACCACATGTAACGTAGATTTCTCCGCGCAGTTGCTGTCATTGTATAATATCGTTTAAGTATTTAATATGTAATATATATATATACCCTAAGCGTCATAGACTATTAAAACAATAGGCTTGGACTTTGCGACCTTAATTATCTATGAGCGACTATTTTCCAGGGTTATCCAGGGGTGCCAGATCTTGGCTGGTGCTGATGTCCTTGCTGGTGCTGGGCAACAGGTGCAAAGGCACAATCTGGCTTTGGTTGCAAAAAAGATCACAAGAGTCACAAGAGTATTAGATAGAAGAGAAGAGATGTTAATAGGTATAGAATATGGTGGCAGGAACATATTATATGATCAGTGCCTATCTTAATGATGATCAACATACTTAAGATATCTTAAGGTCAATAGTTTCAAAACCAATAGGGTTCAACATGTTCTGCACAGGGAAAATCATTTGTACTTTGTTTATGGTCTCTTCACGAAAGTGAGTTCTTTGTTCTGTCAAATGTTGCGCCATGTGTGTGCGTCGTCCTCTGTGGTGATGAATGTGGAGAAGGGTCCAAAAACGTGCAGGGCTTAAAGTTTGTTGACTCTGAATGATTCTGAAGCCGTGAGTTCAACACTCGCCATAACTTAATACTGCCTTGCTTGTGTCAAAGGTTTGAACGTAGGCTACCACCACACCAGTGAAGTCACTTAGGTCATTTTGAGGACATCACCGAGTCCAACATTGTGGACTTGGACCAGGAATGTGGTACGCTCCCTTGTGCTTTGGTGGGTTGGGGTTGCTGTACATCTAATGAAGAAAAATTGATGTTAATCAGATTCTTTCTGACATTTGATTGGTGAAAATTGCAAAGCAACTTCCTTTTGTAGATTCGGTTTGTTTCTACTTTGTGCAATCATTTTTTCGGCTCACCAGGGTCAAGGCAGGAACCGGGGACATAATTTAACTCGACAACACACAGACACACATCAACACAAGAAGGGTATATCAGCTATATAATACACTAGTGATGAGAATGTGGCCAGGGGAGCTTCAGGGCATTGGGGCAAAGTGCCTGAAACACATGTTCTTTTAGCAGATCATCATTTGATTGAGCGATGGTCATGGGAAATGCAGGGCATCGTGTTGAGGAGGTGAAGGCAAGTAGGTCAATTGCACGTGTGCAAATTGAGAATATTGTTTGTGTATCGAGTTTCTTCCGAACAAAACTAGTTCTTAGCGGTTCATTCCTCTTGGTGGCTCATAGGTCTTCTTGATGGACATCCTTCAAGAGAAGAATTTCCTTGACGAGAGAAGGAAACTGTTGCGACAACGTGCTGGGTTGACTGACAAAGACAAACGCAAGGCAATCTCCTCAACAGGGGGCTGGGTGGAAGTGGCTGAGAGTAAATTTTGGCAAGGATTCTTTGAGATACAGGTGATAACCTAGATCAATGATCAACTAGCCAATGCAAAGGGAATAATGATATGGGCTATCTAGGTGGTAGAAACCCTTATTATGTTACATATTTATAACATGATATGATTTGATGTATATCAATCAAACTCAACAATCTTAACTTATACTGTATGTTTATAATAATTGGCTAATACATGTGGCTCTATAGTAGTGTTCCTCCTGCATTTTGATCGGTTCGAGAGGATAGTAAGTATGCAGCACATCTCAAAAAAAAGGGTTGGGTTTCTGTGGCATCTCCCATTTTACATGTACTGTTGGACACCGTTTGTTGCCAATGTTTGCCAATTATGAATCTTGATGGTTGGCTTGAAGGCATGAATTGATTATTTATTGTGTTGGTAGCAGTCTCAACACAGCTGCAAAAGGCTGCAAAAAATGTTGCCTGTATTATTTTATATATGGTCGCAAAGTCCAAGCCTATTGTCTTAATAGTCTATGACGCTTAGGGGTATTATGTGTGTGTGTGACATGTTTGCTATGTCTACTATCCCTCCAACCCTCGTTTTGGGCCCCTTTCGCTCCCATGTGCCCTGTGCAGGTTCCGAAGTTTCAGTTCATCATCGTGGACAGGCCCCAAGTGGCCTGCCAAGAGGCTCTTTTGTTTTAGCTGCATCTCACTCAGCCTTGTACACAGATCAGTGGTTGCCACCCTTGCCCAGAGATAGTGCTTGCAGGTGGAATCTGACCACAACTTCAACATCGTCATGGAATTTTTGGCGGGGTTCGCTCATGACATACCGCCTGCAAGTGATATCAAGGAGAAATCACTAAATCTGATTTGTGGATAAGGCTTATGATCTTTGCAGCTACTTTTCCATGGAGGCCATATCCCCAATCTATATTGTGGTCAATGCGCCAGGAGGCCATGGCATGGTGTAGTATGCACTACAAGCTGAACCCATGGAGCGAATCTGCTCTCCATCAGGCCTCTTCAAAAACTGCTGCTGTCAGTCAGGGTGATCAAGGTCTCACTATAAAGATATCGAAATTTAAATCCATACCCCAATTTACTGACACATATGCCAACAGCTTCATTTCGAATCATGGTAGTATAATGGATGTTTACTTCTGCAATTCTAGCTGATGGCCAGGAATGGGCAGACACAGAGGGTGGCATCCTCCGCAGTTGCGCAGCATACTGCTTGGATCGGTTCCAGCGGTACCAGAAGTCAAGGCTTGAAATCAAATTTAACGCTTTATTTTTTTACAACACAATCATTGTGGTTGTTAGTATTGATGGGGGGTTCACAAGTATGGCAATGTCAACAACTCATATCATTGTATCACGTTTGGAGATCGAACAAATATAAGTCTTTGGTTGGTGCCCGGAATATTGATTATTTTCTGATATCCTCGACTTCTGCCACCAAGTCTATAGTGAAAACTTTCGCATCGCACGCCGCAGGAAAGGGCATGGCCGAATGGATGAACTTCGAGCTGTCATCCATGCGAAGCTGGAGGACTGTGGGATCACCCGGACTGTGCTCTTGACAAGAGTTGAAAGTTTATTGGCAAAAAAAATGTACTGCACTTGCAATACAACAATGTTGTCATCTACATGTGTTACATTTTGATAATGGTCTAGGCTGGAAAAGCTTAGTGATGAATTATTTGCCAAGCACATTTTTTTCAAATTGCTTCATGTTTCAAACCTGCAAAAGCCTATAACTAGGATACCTGAAGTCTGCATTAGATCATGTTCAGCTACATCCATCCAATCTAACCGTCCCATCCTTCACAAGCTGCCAGGCTGAAGGAATGCTCTCACCTGATGGCAAGAAGATTCCCACCAGGGGTCTGGGTGCCATGCAACTGAAGCAGGTGGAGGTACTTGGGATCAATTGCTTTTTATCTTGTCAGTAAAGCAAGCAGCAAAGGGTCCAATCATATTTTGTAGTGTCATTCCGGGGCGTGGGCCTGTGCAGGGACATTGGTCGATGCGTTATGTTGATTGAAAACAAATACTGATGTTGTTCTTTTTGGTGGGAACATGTTTGAATGAATTTGGATCCTAACTGTCTTGGGCTTACTGGGTTGGCGGTGGGTCCTAGGCTGCTCAACGAGCTGTCAATATGGACACCATGGAGACCCAGTTGCAGGATTCGCAAAGCATGTCCCCGATCAGCAAAATGCCAGAGTTAGAAAGCCCCAAGGCACCCAGTGGTCCAGTTGGGTGCTCGATGGATCATGGGAATGAAACGCATGAGGAAGAAGAAGAAGAAGATGAATGTCCCACTACGGATGAAGAAGTAGAAGTTATAGCTGTTCATGACAATGTCTGCATCACAATAGATGATGATTCTGAATCAATCCTTTCCCCGCAAAAGGCCAAACAGACTCAGGGACCTGAGGATGGCACTCCTGCTGCTGCTTGCCCAAACAGTTGCCCAGAGGCTCCTGTGGCAGATGCAGGAAATGTTCCAAATCCTACAAATGCTAAGATCCTGGAGCCTGAGGAGATGTTCCACGCAGTTCTGGGGAATGAGGCTGAGGACATAGTTGATTCTGAAGACGAAGGTGGAAAGCCAGAAAGCTCAACCACAAAAGGAGTTTTCAAGGTGGGGATTGGTTGATTGAGAAGGGAGTAGTTCTTGCTCTCTTTTTTTTTTTCTCTCTCTCTCTCTCTCTCTCTTTCTCTTTGTAATACATGGGAATATGATGCACTAGTGAATATCACAATATTATATAATTGATATCAATCAATATAGTATGTGCTCGACATTTGCAATATATAATATATAATAATATCTTGCATATGCTACTACGATACTGATCAAACAACATTACACCGGATCTATTTTGAATTTCCCCTTCCTGTCAGGACCGCAAGCCCCTCAAAGCTGATGTGGAGATCCCCCAGAGTTTGGCAGATCAAGCATCGGCCAAATTGAACTCGCTATGTGATGCCCTCCAAACGTCTGATGAACAGATGGCTGAAATGATGAAGGCGTGACCATCAGCAGTGCTGAAGAGTTGAATGACTCATTGCTTATCAATAAATCAACCAAACGTGAATGTAATGTCCAAGACTTGAAATGACCCAACATAATTTTCTAGCTGGGATTGATTATTCTTGATGGCCAAACTAGTGCCAATACTCTTCATATAGATCTGATAGCGAATCCAAATGTCTTTATGTGATGAATCCAAGGCAATGGGGTTTCCAAATTTGACTTCTTGTATTCCTCTTTATTTACTGTATGTATTCCAGATGTGAGCATTGGGAATGTATTTTATCTAGCAGCTCTCCTGGTACAATCCGCCCCCACCTTGCAGGCGCAAGCAGCTTTGCGCACCATGCAGAAGGAGTCTGCAGAATGTCCTGACAGGGCAATGCAAGATGAGCTGGAGGCTGAGGAAAATGAAAAGAATGGTAAAAGAGATAAAAGGGCGAAGGGCAGGGGAAGGGGACGAGGGGGACGAGGGGGACGAGGAAGATCAGGAAAGGGTAGAGGCAAAGGATGTGCACCTGAAGTGAAAGATGATGAGAAAAAGGATAATGAGAAAAAGGATGATGAGACAAAGGATGATGAAATGCCTGCCTCACACAGTGGTGATGCTGAAATTGCCACACCCCCGTCTTGCGCTGTGGAGGAGAAAAAGAAACCGTTGATTGAACCCAGCCACAAGTTTCCCCCTGATGATGCAGAGGTGACAGAATCCCCGGTGAAAAAACCTAGGCTGGGCAGGCGCAATAGTAGAAAGAAACTGCAGCGGTTGAGAGTCCTGTCGCCTAGCAGCTCGGGAAAGAAGATGTACAAGAAACGAAAACCAGATGATGGGGAGGTTGGGGGTCCTGCTGATGCCACTGAGACACCGGGTCAAGAGGATCAAGAAGGTTGGGACTTTAGGGGTGAGAATGGGCCAGAGGAGACTGATGCCCAAAATCATGAAGGTGAGATTCCAGAACCCGCTCCCAGCAAACCCAAACGTGAGAGAAAAAAAGCAAGAAGCCCAAAGTCAGGCAAGAGGCTGCAGGCTCAGCAAACCCGGAAGGCCCAAAGCAGCATGTTTCAGACACACCAGATGAAACTCAGAAAGAAAAAACCAAAGAAGAAATCGCGATGGAAAAAGCAAAGGAAGACAAGGACCTAATTGAGAATGATGTTGCTGTGATGTGGAAAAGGGTCATTAGCCAAGTAGGTCAAGAGGTATCAAACCACCACATAATTCAATCCTTGTCAGCTTGTAGAAGTTTTGGTAACTCGATGGAATATAATACTGTTCCTTGGGTTTCTCATGTTTTGTTTCACCATTTATCTGGTACATTCTGGTACAGCATATTTGGCAATGCTCATGTGGAAATCCCACTGATACAGTTTGACTGCAGGAACAAAAGTGGGCACTCCTCCTCGATATTGCAAAGAAAGATGCCAATTTGAGCCTGCCGGAGCAAATCCCGCCTGGGAAGTTCTGGCCTAAGAACAACTGTTCGAACAATGCGTTGATGGATTGTTATCATTATGGCATATTTTTTGGAATTGATATCCATTTTTCGAAAGTTTGAAATAACTGAATCAAAGAGTTTCTCAATAATCACTTGTTCATCTGTCATTGTGATTCATTTATACAATAGTCATATCATTATATGATTGTGGTTCATGGTTGGTGACTGCTAAGCTAGCACATGCTCAGGTCCTTTACTGTGTATGCGCCAGAAGGCACTGTGACACCAGGGGGTGGCACTTGTGCATCCATCGGGATCTTGCTGGGGGCTCAGATCAATTGATCAAAATTGTATTTTAACTAACATTGAATAATATTGAACACTATATAATATATGGTGTAAAGATATAAAACTGCTTCCTTTTGATTCATTACTCTGTGAAAGGGTGTTCCCAAAACATGTCTTGGAGCACACATAATGGTCATGCCTTTCCTAAACTGGCCTCAGGATGCAACAAGCGAGGAGCTCATCTGCATCCTTCTTTGTTTCCCGTACTGATGGCATTGAAGAGAGGGTGAAGGATGTCAACACAATCCTAGGGGCTTCCTTTCAGGCCATGGTATTGGTAAAGGTTAACTTACTTTGGGAGGTTTGCAATGTTTGGTAAACCTGCTTCACCCATGCATTGTATAGATCCAACGCATTTGTTCGACAATGTGGCATCTGAACCCAACTAGCATATGTTGACTAGATTATTTAATTGTCTTGTCCATCAAACTTTAGACTTGCATTATAAATCTACTGACATGGTCTCCCAATGAAGCCAATGAAACTGATGTCAGAATATAACATTCATTTTTGTTCACATCATAATTACATCAGCATGGTTCCATGTGATGCCCCTTTAATCAACTCACATGTAATCAGTGTCACGCCTTCGCCCATTTTATGATCCAAACTTCTGTACAATCCTCCGGAAGGCCAAGAAGAAAGGTGTGAGCATTGGATGGAACAGCTATGGTGGCTGTGAGCCAGCGCCCGGTGCCACAATTTTCTCATATGATGTTGATTGAACACTCAGAACAATTATATAGTTTCTTGTGGGGCAAGTTCATGTGTGTTTATATCAGAATGGTCACATTTGAACTTATATTTATATATATATATACATGATATGATAAAGGTATAATATGCAATCTGATTTATACTAATTGGAAAGGACGTGATTTGAATTTGGAAAGTGCATGGGTTTCACAATGCAATCATTCACCAAGCAAATTCATTGCTCAAATTTAAGTTTGAATTATGTGGGTTTTATGGTCTAAGCTTAAGGAAGGCAGTTCTGGTACAAACAAAGTAGATATGGGAACCTGCGATATCAAATCATGAATAACTTCACTGCATTCATGTATGACTTAGTTTGTCAAAACATTAAATACACATTGAATACTGATATCTTGTCGTGTCATCTGGTAGATTATTTTCCCAAATCAATCCAGCTGCAATGATAGATTGTGCCTGCTATTCAACAGACCAGATCCCATGCCACTATTTGGTGACTCATCCCTTGTTCGCCTCTGCCAAGTGAGGTGGCGTATGGCAAAGATGGTGGGCGGGTGGTCGCCTGTGAGCAAATAGGAATCCAATGTGCTTCATGGGAGGTCTTAGGCCTCAAAGCTGTGTAGTTGACTCGTATGCTTCAACATTCAAAAGTATCTTGATTCTAAATACTGTCCACCTGGTAAAACATAGTCAAAGTCATCCCTGATTTGTGCTGTTAGAGGCATGATCTCCTGAAGTACCTGATGACAAAAGTAATATTAGAACCACAGAGCGCCCATGAAAATGATTTGGTTTCAGTGGAAATGGCCTTCGGAAGTTCAAACATATTAGGGTGTGTATTCAAGCTGAAGTCCCATAGGGCACTGCGTGGCTGACCCGGGGTGATACAGCTGTGCCCCAAGTCTGTCACAAATTCCGCTTGTGATCAACACTTGGGATAGCATCAAAAAATGTTTGGCTTTACATCCCCACAAATGTGTTCATGCAAGAACTTGTTCAATGCAAATTGTTTGAAGCCAGTGTTTTTTTTTACTTTTTGGATCTTTTTGGTCTTTGTGATTTTTGAATGGGGACATGGCACTCACTGTGATCTTTGAGTAGTTGTCCGTTTTATGTAGGACCCAATCTGTACCCTCCAGCATTAGTCATTGCTGTGTGGGCCTGCTTTCACCAGGGGATGTGAGATGCAACAGCAGTGGGATGCTGCAGTTCGAGAAAAGTGGTGATCAAGGGGTGATAATGGTATCCTTAATCATTTGCAACTGATGTGATCTTAGGGCGGTAGTGTGAAACAGGCAGTCAGGAAAAGGTTTCACTCAGCATATATCTTCTATATGTACTTGCAGGTTTTGCTGTTCTGATACTGGTACAGCAGTGGAATCTCAAAGGCTGTTAGTAGCCATCACTGGTTGTTGCCAAAAAGGTTTTTTGTGGCTCTCCCCAATACCTAAAAGCTAAGCATTTTATATCACCTGAAATGATGAACATGAAGGATACTAAAGAGAACCTGAGCTGAAATAGAAACCGATTGATTTTACCAGAGATGTCAGACTTGCATCCATGCCCCATTCCAAGCTCACTTTCTTGCCTGCCGCAGCCCTTAGATCCTCGAAGCTCGCCTCAACCTTGGTACCAGCCAGGCATCACCATGGTGCGTAAAGCATGGACCACAAATCCGCTGGCTCTTTCAAAAAGGGCATCAGCACTTTTGATTGCATGGGGCGTTCCACTGGTGGTGTTACTCAAGCTCAAGTTAGTACAGTACATATTTTGAACACATTGATTCATGAAGTGCGTTTGTATTGACAAATGTCTGCCTTCAAAATGAATGATAGCTATGATAGATTGAGCATAGAGCACCATGAAAGGTCCATACTAATAATTTGGTTTGTGTATCATGCCATCCTGCCAACTAAGGTTGCACTGTTGTGACATGATTGCACAGAACGCTCATCCTGACTACTGCCACAGAGTCCGACCCCAAGAAAAGTTGATTGACCTAGATTGGGATCCGGAAAGTAATTGCACACCTTATGCTGAATCCTTTTTGGATACCGAAAAAATGATACACTGTAATCTTCTGATTGCCTTCATGATGGGCTTTATTTGTGACAAATGCTCAAATACCTAAAACAAACTAGACTTGGCAGACTCCTGGTGGGTAATGCAAAACCAACAGGCTGAGTTTTTTGAACCGGAATTGAATGACTGTAAAATCTGGCCATATATGAGCCAATCTGATATGTACAAGAACATCCGGTCTTTTGTTCACATTGTAAGGTTGGCTTGGTGCTCAGACATGCCAATGTAAGTGCATCATAATAGTGGGTAAAACAGTACAATACATGAGTGCATACATTAAATATGTTCGTAGATTCTTGATACTAAAAATCAAAAGCAGTACTATGACCCACTATTGACATGACACTAAAATCCAATGTCATATAGGATCACCCTTAATTCTAGGGAAATAATATTATAATTATTATATTTTAAATAATAATATAATATTTATTAAATCATATTATAATATTATATTATATTAGATATTAGATATATTAGATATATTAGATATATTAGATATATTAGATATATTATATTTTTTAGATATATATTGGATTAGATATATTAGATATATTAGATATATTAATATGTTTATAATGACTATCATATATATATCGTATGAGGTATTCTGGAACTAAGCTAGCCCATGTCACTGTTGAGTGCCAAGCCAGCCCAGGACGTGGACCTTCTTGATGCCTTCGGGGGTCACGGCGAAGTGTCCAAGCAGTTCAGCTGGAATCCCAGTGAGTGGGTAACACTGGAAACTCAATCCTTTTTTGGACTGGGGTAATGAACTAAAATGCGTGCCCAACTTTGTTGGAATTTGCACACGTATAAATTATACAACTAAAAAATATCTTGTGGTATATAATATACTGAGTTTTGGATATCTTGAGAAATTGGGAAGATACGTTTTGTTACCATAATTGATGGTGAAACTGTTTACGATCAAACAATTAATACCAACCTTCTTCATTTTGAAACTGCATGATTGGATTGGCCAACCTACTTTAGCAATGCTGTGAGCCTGTCCATCTTTGGGCTGTTGATTGAGGTGCCCAAGGAATGAAAACGTCAGGGCCCAAGAAGGCACACTAGGTTGGGAACAACCACCTGGAAAAGTCAATGGTCAGAACATATTCTGTGGAAATCAATTGACTTAAATTGTCTGGCAGAAGTGGTTGTGCTGGTGTCCACTTTGGTCTAACATGTGAATAGGGGATAAACATATGCAGTGCTGCCTATGAAGCCTATCAATTACATAAATCAAATAGATTTTCCAATTTCCATAAATTTCCATGTCGAACATCTTAAATAATGTGGAAATGTGTAAACAATCACACATCCAAAACACCACATTGAGAAACCAACTGTCTGGTGCCTGCCAAAGTGCCGGTGTAACTGAGGAGCTACTTTGACCTGGCAACGGAGGGAAACATGGGAGACATCATGTCTACGTCTGATACTCAGCTATTCAGTGACCTCCTTCGGGGTTCTTTAACTTGCTGATAACTCAAAGAGTCTATATAAGTTTTATTTCGTTGATATATGCATTGAATGTTTGCAGGATTGTAATTTGATACCAATTCATTTGATCTGATGCATCAATATCAATTATCCATAGTTGAAGTAGGGGCCTTGAAAATTCTACAGAGTTGAGTTGCACGAGAACAGCCCCGCATGCCCACAATGCATTCATGATCTGATATACTGCAGTGCTTCAACAACAACTGGTTGTAAAGATGTGGGACCTGCCATCATTTTTTTTCTTACTACTGTAAGTTGATCTTGTATCTTCATCCCAAATCAAAGTTCCAAATGCAGTAATCCTATGCCACTGTTTGCTCAGGGATGGCTGGTACAACTGCCTGTTGAAGCTGCTGCAAGTGAAGGAGGGGGGGCTCCTTGTGGGGGGCCCCCCCTGTGGGTCTTGGATTTGGGTCAACCGATCCACTTCAAAAAGATCCAAAGACCACATCTTCGGAGATACAAAACGTCCCTACATAAGGCTTGCAAATTCGATGCTTATCTGTATTATATATATATGTTGTTCAACCTGGTATGATGTTTTCTTGTGGTTGTCTCTAGTGATATTATAATCTTATAATCTGGTATTACATTCTATTATATATATTATAATAATTATATATGATATTATAATTAACCAATTGCTGTGACTTGTACTGCTGTGACTCTAAGGATCACATGTCGATTTGTGATCTTCTCTTTGATCGCAATAGCCCGTGGATTGGAGATACTTTGGGAACAACCATCGGGATCATTGATGCCTGAATTCCCGTACCTGAAATTTATGGCGATTGTGATGGACCCTGTGCTGTGGGGAAAGGTGAGATTGTTCTGGGCTCAGTCAATGGTTTGTATGTAGAACTTTCAACTTCTTGGGTAGTGTCCTCTATGATGTGTTGATGTTGCCTCACCCCACTAAGCACACACCACACATGCACGACCAAGTCCTATGGGGGCGTATGGCCATCCCAATTGCAAACCAACACTTCTTATGGGGTCTGTGTGCCTGGTCTGCAAGATCTTCGAATGCATCAGTGCCTGCATTGAGCACATGATGCTGGCTGTGCCCGGAACTGCAGCCTAGGCCTTACCTTGCTTCTTTCAAGAGGAAACTTACTCCAAAGGACAAACGTCGTCTTCAAAAGAACAAGGCCGTGAAGAAGCACCAAATGGTGAAAAAAACAATTTCCAAGAGTGGAAAGGTTCAAGTGTACCTTGATTTGGATTTGACATTGACAACGCTCATTCCAGGTTGTTGGATGTTGTCAAAGTTGAAACCTTCATATGTTAACACCTATGCATTCATGATGGTGGTTTGTGTGTGCTCTCCCTGCTTGAGAACCCATGTTATTGCCCCCAAAAAATGGTATATGTCAGTTATTTTACTTGAGTCATTATCTCTGTTGTCAGTCTCCTGGTAATCTGAGGACAGGATCCCATGGAATGCGAGCCAGTGCTGTCTATCCACGACAATTTGCCAAACACTTGGCAACCCAGCACAAAGCCTTTATGGCCCGAGCCCCATGGTTGCAAGCAATGGGTTGGATTTCATGTGTAAACGAATATGCATAATATAGGCTTGTAATATTTATAACATAATAATATAAAAATAAATGTAATATATATATATCATGTAATATATATGTAGTATACTATATATTATATGTATAAATTATAGTATTATATTTGCCAAATTTCATTGTTTATGATATATACTATTGTGCTTATATATATATATTATATATATATATGAAAATAATATAAAACTCATATGATCAACTATACTATTGTTTGTCAATATATAGTGCAATATATAATGATATATTTATTAATTAAAACGTGAATTGTATTTTAAATGTCCATTATTAGCAGACTCATTGATCAATCAGCTGATTGAAACAACTTCACATGCCCAGGCAGTTGGATGCAGGCAAAACAGTGCAAAAGCTCCAGATCCACCTGTGAAGGTTGGCACTGCTGTTGGATTGTTTTTGTTTTTACTCACATGTTATATTGTTGATTGGACAAATTGCTGTGCGAAAGAATGGCCAAAAACTAGTGTGGTGAAAGAAAGCACATTTAAACACATGGGAAAACACACTGGTTGTTGGAGATAGCTGTTAATCCAGAAATATGGTGTTTGTTGTTCTTCTTTGGTTGTAGCACTATGAACTAAAGTGTGATATCCATCATGCACCCCTACACATGACACTTCTGATTTTACATATCATAACAACCCATTGATTCTCATTTATGGGTGTACCTGCTAGCTATGATATCTCCTTTTGATGTCAAATTGAATTATGTTGTGGTAGTTTGCAATACTATAATCTATGTTCTGGTCATGGTTCCTTGGGATACATCCCTATCAAAAAAAAAAACAAATTCCTCTACCACTGCGCTCCACACCATGCCCTATATCCCATTCACCATATTGCCTCTTCGGTCATCATGCCAGGCTCCTTACCGATGGCGTCATGCCACCTTGGAAGATGTCCGAAAGGACTTAAAACAAATGGTGAAGGATGGCACCTACCGTCCCATTCTCACCACAGGGCTGGATTGGGTTTAAAATCAAATCCTCAGAGCCCATTCAAATTCAAATGTAGCCCAAATCAAATCTAACGTGGGGCTTGCCTTTATGATGCTTATTGCACACAGTGTGAACTACACACGGTGGCACAATTCAGTGCTATTTGGGTGCCACACCCCTGCTTGGGATGAGGGCTGCCATGGCCTGCAAAATATGTTGATTGTTCAACGATCAACAATTGAACATATATATATATATAACATATAATATTATATGACTAGTATTAATATATATATATATAAATATCGTATCAGTACTGGTTCTTGTATTTGTTTTTCAAATTCATAATGATTCCCAATTTGCACCCTTTGCTTCCAAGCAGTGGCCGTGGGATGGAGTGATCCAAGCTGGGTACCAAAAAACGTCACATGTATTGAGACTACATCTCAAGGGATTCCAGGTGGTTGTAAACCAATATAAAAACCAACAAAATAATACACCCATAATGTATAAGGTTTGACAGCTGTCATAGGGTTTCACGGTGTTTCACGGTGTTTCACATGTGACTCTGTATAATGTTCCAGTGTTGTGCAGGTTCACGCAGTTTCACGTAGTTTCACGCAAATTGTTGAGTAACATATTCAATTTTTATATGTAACAGGGGGGTGCGTGAAACTACCGTGAAACTGCGTGAACCGTGCGTGAACGACCTTAATTATGCGTGAACGACAGTAATTATGCGTGAACGACATGGCACCAAAAATCGCTGTTTTTTTTTGAAACAAATTGAATCCATAATAGAGGTTTTGCATTGTGTGAGCTCCATTATGGCCATGATACATTCTTGTAGCAATTTGGATTGAACATTGCCTGGTTGGGGCATCATGGCGAAGACCGTACAAGAAGTACTACAACGTGCTGCTGACCGGTCTAAGAGGCGTGTGGAGCTTGAAGTTGCCCGGGATATAGTTGAACGGAACTTGGGTCACCAGCTGGCCGATGATGAATTTGGATGGTTATCAGTTCTGTCCATGCCTTATTTTTTGGAATGATGGTATATTGCTAGGATGCTTTCACAGAATGAACCATGATATCAGATCAGAATCTAATCCCATTGGAACAAAACCTGTTGCCACCACACCGCCTCCCATTTGTCAAGGTTGGCAGATCGAGCGGCATTTGTGTCTTCGGTCAGCACGAAGTCAAGCAGTGCTGCCTCAACTTCCAGCTCTGGAGTCTCTTTGTCACAACCCAGTTCTAGTGCTCCATCCCCTGAAGGGTCCCCAGGACAGCTGTTTGTACATTGTGTGTGGCTATTTGATGTGGTGCTAAAAATAAATTGATCAACAATTGCTTGAATCTTGCATGGTGTGCATTATATTAATAAATTACTTGCACATGATTGATGGTTGATGGAATTTTTACTTCCAGCAATTATCAGCTATGGTTTTAAAATGCATGTGAAAAACCACAATTGTTTTAAAATCATTTCTGTTATAGCTCAATGTCAAAAAAGATCCCATGGATTAGAAGATTGTTGCTACTGATGAACTCAATATGATTGATTGTTGGGTTGATGTGTATGGTCCATAGCAGTGACCATTTCAAACACTAATGCTCATCTTGTTCTGGGGAATCGGGGAACCCTGCTCCTGTACAAGTTATATTCTGTAACAATGTGGTTGCTGGTGGTTGTTGTGTGTTGCATCGTGGCATGCATCATATTGATATAGGTGCCATGGCCTTTGGTGACGCAAGTTCCCTAAATGCAATTGCATCCCGAAATAGAAGCTGGGATCTTCAGTGGTGAACTCTGCCCAGTTACACAGTTGCATGTGTGTAATTGCCAAAGTAGAATCTAAATTGTCTATGCTTAGCCATTCTCTTAATTGATACTTCTGATGTATTTTCCCATATGTATTTAGACTTGAATGTATATTGATCATATAAACTAATAAGCCTAGAAAACACATAATGCATCTGGATCAATGCCTGGCCTATTGGAGTGATATTGGTACCACACTGGTCATTGTTGAAACACAGGTTTGATCCCAACACAGGTATGTCATACCAGAAAAACATAATCTGGAGTTCAATATATTATATAATATTTCAGATAATGTCCATTGGGATTCATTTAACAAACACAAAATTGTTTACATCCTAATTGATCATGATTGTGCTTGTTTGATGTTGAACAAAACCAAAGTCTTTGAACCATCCCATCACACTGTGGCCACCTGCAGGAGCCAGCAGCACTGCCACGACAATTCCTGCAACAGATGCCGAGGCTGTGGAGAATGCTCGAAAGGGCTTGGAGGCTGCTAGGATCATGGAATCTCAAAAGCCCCCATCACCACCAGTCACAGCAAAAGCTGGTAAGCTTGTCAGGGTGAACAGTGTGCCTATCCTAGAACCACCTAAGACTCCAGTGGAGAAAATCCACCGCCGAAATACCCCAATGCTTGATGCTGGTGAGAATCAGACCAATGGAGAAGAAGCAAGCCCCAAGGAACCAGATCAAAACAATGCATCAGGCACCAAACGAAAGAACAGGCTCAAGGGAAAGAAAGCCAAGAAAGCAAAGACAGCAAGTGAGCAACCAGTGGAGGAGGAAAAGGATGCAAATGGTGAGAACACTCGAGATGATGCAAACAAAGAACCTACTGGCACAGCTGTTGCAGCGCCAGCAATGGAACAAACCAATGTACCGCAGCAAGAAGCTCCACAGGAGCAACCTGACAAGCGCCCAAAGGCAACTGCAAGCAAAGCAGCAGCGAAGCGTCCCCAGCAGACTTCACCCCAGGAAACTCTTGGTGCAGCAGCCCTGCAGCAAGCTGTGAAGCTGCAGGCAACCCCGATGAGAAGTGAGGCAGCTGATGATGCAAGCAAAAAGAAAGCAAATGAGGACAACTTGACCAGAGCTAACACCAGTGAGCAACTTCCCCCTGCACAACCAGCAGCTGATGAGAGAAAACCCAAGTCAGGTCAATCTGGAGGAGATCTTGAGACAGAACTTGACCGAGAAGTCAAAAAAGAAGATGATGGGAGCCAGAACGCACATCAATTGGCAACTGGAACAGCTGCCACATCCAAGAAACGAAAGGAAAAGACCCCAGCACAGAAAGCTGCCCATGCAAGGTATATGCAATTTTCGAGGTCGTTTGACCGAACCTTGTCATGATTCAGGTGAACAATGCATTCTATGTCTTGAGAACATGCACAAACTCGACAGCTAGAGCTTTAGCATGGCATGACTGCATCATTAATAACTACTGCAAGTGTGTGTGTGTGTACTATCAAATGTGTGCGTGTGCTGTGCTCCCACCTGTCGTGTTTGGTTGTTATATTTGATACCAGTTCATCAGATCAGTTATGTGTAGTATATAATTTTGTATATATATATATAATATATATATATATATATATATATCCAAATATATATTGTATATCATAAATTCATACAATGCATACATGCATATATATATAATATACATCTATTAGATATAAGGTAGGTCGTCGCTCCATGCATGTTTGTGATGCACACAACTGTATTCTCTTGGTGTTGAGGTCTGCAAATAGGATATTAAATATGTTTGATTAATTTCTTTTGTCGGTGTTTGCATGCATGCAACTTTTTTCCTTAGCAAACCATTTTTTTGGGTATGCACCACTATTTCCTCCAGAGGTATATCGTTCGTGTTTACTGAAAAAAATCCCGTGATGCCTCAGGAAGGGACTGCCCGAAAGAGATGAAGCGTGCATACAGTAATGCGCACTACTGTTTCTTGGCTAGCTGTATAAGCCTTCTTGGAAGATCAACCAAGTCATCTTTAGCAGTGAAATCTAAAACTTGTATGAAGTAGCACTTAAACATGTGAGGATTCTGCATGATGTATGATATTTGTGGGTTTGTTAATTTGATCGGTGTAGTGTCCATGATGTGCCTGCTAGCTCACACTTACATGCTGTTCTTCCTATGCCAGGCAAGGAGAAGCTCGCAGTGCTTCGTGATGCATGGGAGCAGTGTGAAGGTGAGTGGAAGCGTTCAGCGTTGTACAAACGCTTTGCAGAGAAGAACACCACAACCCAACACGGAGCACGTGTATGGTTAACACGAAGCCAAGTGGCCAGAAAATATGAATCCCAAAGCATGGCAGACAAGATCTGCAATGCAAAGCTTCAGGATGCTGAAACCAAAGAAAAAAACAGCAAGGAGCACCCGGACTGTCCGGGTGACGAGGCTGGGGAAGTTGTGGTGCTGTTGGGGGTTGGAACTGACTATATATTTGTTTGGATCGATCTATGCATGTATGCGTGCATTTGCTGCAATGATTGTTGTAATATCATTATATTTATTGAATGCTAAAGGTTACTCATACTTTAAAATGATATGCACATAGGGTCGACTATTGCCCTGGTTTCCTCATGGTGCTGTTTTGAGATCTGCTGGTGGGCTGGTGGATGTGATCATTGCAGGGTTGGTCAGTGTGGCAAGTCTATATTGATTCAAACCAATGTATCAGTAATCCAATTTGGAGAACCCTCTTCGCATTCCAACTATGTTTGAAAAAAACGAAATATCACAAACAACAAAGATCTATATAATATGTGGCACCGGTTTTTATTCATACAAGTATGTGGTACAATCAAAGACAAGTCAAGTCAAAAGCATTAGCCCGAACTCCTTTTTAGCCTGTCTTGTGTATGTGTCAGTGTGTTGAGCACAGTGGGTATGGTGAGGTGATTGCTTGATTTAAACATCATGGGCTGATAGCATTCGGTAACTTTATACTATTGATATATCGAATGAGCACAATCCTTGAAACATGACTTCACATTTTTGTTTATGATGCAGCTAGTGTATCACTTTCCAACCACCATGTACTTTGAGGACCAATGGTGGTTTACAAACACAATCATATGAATCTGTTCATGGGATGTGTGATGCAAATGCAATGATCATTCATTGACAACTGTTTATTTGTCTTGCACGGCAACCCCAAAAATGTGTTTGGATCCCTTTTCATTCCTGACCTGACCAAGCTATGCCGACCCTGTCACAAAGGAAATGAGATTGTTCCTTGTGTGGGACAGTGAAGGCATATCAGAGAAGAAGGATACGATCATTGAGGACCTGTTTGAGGCCTGCGACTGTGACAGTGATGATGAATCCAGGGAGAAGAACAAGTCAAAGAAGCGAAAAAAGAAGAGATCCTTGAGTGGGTCTGATGATGATGATGTGGAGATCGAGAGTTCAGAAGAGGAGTCAAATAGTGATGATGAGGCTTGATAACCTCTGCGCCTGGTTTTAGTGTTGAGTATTTCCGCAGCACTGTGTGCATCTGACCTGAATGTAGACTAATGCTAACATGGCTTCTTTGGTAATCCATAAAGATCGATCTGCATGCATACTTGATATTTTTTTTGCTGCTTGCACCAATGAAAACTCTTAAGCGCATGTGCATGTGTATGGTTCGGTGAATGATTTTCAATCTCTCGATAAATAATGTTCAATCTCTCTGTATGTTTCTCCATTCCCTAGTCCCATCCTTTGCCACCACATGATACGGCAAGGGCAAGAAAAAGAAAAAAAAAAAGAAGGACAAGAAGGGAGGAAAGCGCAAGGGAGGCAGAGGTGGGAAAAAGGAAACCAAGGAGAAAAAGGAGAAGCGACTGAAGAAGGAGCAAGCCAAGTTGGACAAGGAGAAGGCACGTGAAGAACAGAAAGCCAAAAAAGATCTCTTCAACAAAGCAAAGAAGGCCCAGTCTGGGTGTACCCAATATAAAACCATCTTTGGGGTAGAAATCATTACCGTCTTGAAATGGTGTACCTGGTCCTTTATGATGATTTTTGCCTACCATGTTGGCTTTTGTTTAATGGTTCGAAAACATGTATGGATCATGTCATCACAATAAACGCATGAACGAATTCACCAAATGATCCAATTAGGCTTTGTGAATTAATCCAATAGGGATGTTGTCTGGGAATTATGTGTTATCATAGTTTGAAAAGGGGGTAGGACAACAATTGCCCTTGGTCCCATTGAGCATAAGTGCAATGGCATGGTTTCCCTCTAGCAAATTGCAGATTTGACAATTGATGTGGATCTAAAGTATCTCCCCAAACCAAAAGGACCATCAAAACCCAAACAACAAATGGGATATTGGGATTCCGAACTTTTAAGCTGATTTCCCAGGACCTTATTTTATATTAATACACTACGTGTTGCATAAAATAACACATAATACATAAATCCAAATCATACAGCATGACAGGCTTTGAGCGCGCTCAACGACAAAATCGTTGATGCCTCTGGTCGTGAGAAAGGTCTTTCTAATCTGCAGGGGCCTTAGGCCGAGTCTGGGTGATGGGTTCCTATATATATATATACATATATATATATATATAGAATATATAATATATTATAAAATACAATGTATATAATAAAATATAAAAAAAGATCAATATAGTAAATATAAAATAGAATATACTAGTGAAGATATAATAAAATATAATAAACTAATAAGATAAAATAGTATAATATACAATATATCATATCATAAAATATTATATTATATATTATCTATCATGTAAAATGCAAATACAATTATAAAGAATATTGAATTATGAAAATATAATATAGTACCATTGATTAACATACAATATTTATAATATGGTAAACCAAAATAAAATATATATTATATAACAAAGAAATGAATATAATATACATTATATTGAAAAATAAAATAGATAATATATACATATATATTATATAATATATAATAATATATATAGGTATAATATTGTAATATATCATAATATAATAAATATATAATGATATAATTATTATTTATATAATATATAGTACGTACTATGCTATAAATAGTATTATATTGTAAATATAAACTATGATATTATCAATATACGTAATTATTGTAGTATTAACACTAGATTATATGTTCTTCATGCATTAATTCGTTAAATGTAAACATAATATTTACCAATCGATCATATCCAATGTAAATACATATAACATCTATAAGCTTACTTCCTGTTTTTATAGTTTATTTAGTGCCAGTGCCCAATTATATGCACAATTGCTATGGATTATCTTTAGTATATTTTGAGTTGCAGTCTTTTTTGGTGCATTTTGCGAAATAATAGCTGATATTGCCACACCATGGCAAAGCATTCCAATGGGAAATTCAATCGAATACATGTTATTCAAGATGCAGGCTACCATCTCTTGGTAAAGGGGAGTATGGACCAAAAAAGAATCTTGTCATATGAGCCACAGGTTAAGTTAAGAACATCTCATATGTTCTTTTATTGCACTGTAAACAAGCGTGGCTTAACCCCATCATCCAACACCATTGGGTTTAATCCTTATACTTGTATGACAGTGTGCCCAACCGTTAAGATTGCTAACATTGGGGTTCTTTGTTTAATCCATTATATAGTCGCTATCTACAACACTTAACACCAGAATCCTCTTTTGTTCACAATCTTGTTTTGTACATGCCGTTTTTGTGTGGCTAAAACTATGTTTTGTTAACTCTGTTTTGGATAAGATACTAGTTTCATTGTGCCACATTCAGTGACAAAGTCAATGCCCCACTAGAAACCCATGATTTTGTGATCCCCAAAAAAGCATTGAATATATACTGCTATGTTTGATGATATTTGGGATTTTTTGGGATGTCACCATCAATCACATGATAGCTGCTGAACCCCCTCAGGATCCCTGAGGCCAGTGCAAGTAAGGTCCAATTCACGTATTACAAATTAATTGACCTTATTTTTGACATATGTCTAAGGTGGAAACAGGGCACCACTGCTTGTGAGGACCTTTATTGCAATGGCATTTCTTAATTTGAGCCACCAAACCCTGACACTATTTTCTATTGGGCATTTTTTGTTTGATGTTTTTTTCATTTTCCCAGGGCTCCAATGTGAAGCCACATGTTTTGGCAATTCTTACTTTTGTTCATATTTTGAGCAACATCAATGGTCTCTCTCCAGTTACAATTGTGCCGACCAATATCACCTAAGCCCACAGTTAAGTTGCATTTCAGATTGAACATATTCTGAAATCATTGTATATTATACATAGTAATAATTTAATATAATATATATCGATCAGTGTATATATATATAATATTTTTTTTATGAATACTATGCTATGATTTCAGAATCTACTCAATCTAAAATGCACTTGCACCTGGGTTCTGCCACCAAATCCATTCCTGGGAGCCCGTGGCGACTGCCAAGGGTGCCTGAGCTACGAGTTGCGATTGGTGGCCAGATGATCAAGAAGAAGAATTCGATGTGTGACATGCGTCAGAAGATCCAAACACAGGTTGACAGGCATGACGATTTTTGGCTGCAAAAATGTCACTTGTTTGGAAAATAATTGGCTATGAAATCAGAATCAGAACATTGATTTTGGTGAACATATCATATGATCTGATATTGTTTCAAGTTATGTTGGAAATCCCAATGAATGTGTTTACTGCTTTCCTCCATCCCTAGTACAATAAAATCAGTAACATGTTTGCTCAGGACTCAAACCTGACTAGCTTGATCAGCGATGCCCAGAAGGTGATTGAGGACTACACCACGATGCTGTCCCGGTCCAATATGAAGTAGATATGGAACAGAACCCAAACGGGCCAATCAATCGATAATTTTGATGCTTTCAATGCTTTTCTTGACTCTGGAATTCCCAATGCAGTGTTAGGGTGCAGCTATTGCAAGGGGGAGCTAAATGCTGCCGGGATTTATTCTTTCAATTGACATTTGACCCCCAAACATGTGATTTTCAATTCTGTTGATGATGATGCTTTTTGGAAACCATAGTATATAGGTCAATATAGTATTGTTGGAACCTGGCAACTTCTGGCTCATGTGGGTGCAAGTCTGTACCATCATTGCAGGTTTCCAGAGTTTGCTAAAAGCTTGACCATGACGTATGGTCTGTCCTATGGTTGCTACCCGGTTCCAAAAGGGATCGGTTGCGGCATCTTTGATGAAATATTTGTGTTGCCATGATCTGATCTGGCAGATTGACCTATTCTCAACCTGATGGTGCCGCATTCACTCGTGTGAAAAGGGAATGTCTAAACTATTTTGGATTTGCCGCAGCTCCAAAAAAGTTTATGCATGATCAATCAACAGGGAACTTTTGATTTACATTCTCCCTCCCTACGCAGGTGAACATGGTGATGATGCAGAATCACAAGTTCTGTCAAATGCGATCACTGATGTGTGTGGTGGGGAAACTTGCCTGCATGTTTCATATGGGCTGTGGATATTATGGGCATCATTGTTTGTCTCTCTTAGCAATGGTTTAAGACACATGCTGAGTGTCCTAATGGATGTAAGTATTGAACCTTCTGGTTTTGATTTGCTGACATATCATATCATATATTATTATTATTATTATTATTATTTACCGTCCACTTGCATTAGGGTTTCAATTTCTCATGTTTTCAGATTTCCCCTTATCATTCCTTATCTATATATATGAATTACAAATGTGTTACCAGTAAAAACATAACACCCATTGCAACAGAAAACAACTGCAAGCATTCCCTGGCGCCAATGCTGAGTCAAGCACTGTGGGGAAAGCGATGCGCAATCTCCAAGCCCATGTCAGTGAACCTTGGCATACAGCATTGCTTGGTAAGGGCTGGATGGACATGAAAATTGGTGTTATATCATGTCAGGTGGTTTATTCGACTTCGATACATATATCATAGTCAACTACCCACCCTTGGGTATATGTTTTATGGATCATTGAAAAAAATGTGATACAGTATTTACAGTATTCAAAGGAACTTCAACAAATTTACTGGTGTCGAAAATTCAATTTGACAGGTGATGATGAGTGTGGTGCCTACCAAATAACCAATACATGCATGCAAAGTTGTTGATGGTCATTAATCATACTGCTATGCTTGTTTATTGCATTTACCTGGTAAAGACCCCTAGTGGTTATAGATTGGTTTATCTCTGTGAAATCATTAGTTCCCTATTCTGTTCTCAGGATTCAGCCTCAACGATGTTGGCACCTACCACCCAGAAATTGGGCAAGTTGACTCGAGGGAATGAAAGCAGAGATTTTTGGCGTATCCTTTCTGGTGGTCCTGAAACTTGGCTGACACAAATACCCCTGATAATGCTTAATATAATAATTACGCAATAACACTTAAAATTGGAGTAGATACCCCATATTCTTATGACATTATTATATATTAAAATTTATAATTTATAAATATTATATAATTTATCTTCTTGCTCCTTGATTTCGGCGCCCCAAAATTATGTCCAACAGAACCAAACACAACAGCTTTGAGATCAGCATATACATCATGGTGGATGGAGGGCATATTTTCATGACAACCCCCTAGGGCAAATTTTCTACACATACCCTATGAGATACTTGACATGATGACCCTGCCACACTACTTTACAATGGTCACAATTTTTAACTGTATAATATTTTTTAACAATTACTATTGTATAGGATATATCATGTATGGGTAGTGCATCCCAAAAACAACCATTTGGATTTACTATCCATGAAAATCCTGTGTCAAAAACCTGATACCTTCATATAGGGAAAAAGCAGACTGCACACACCCAGGAAATTTCCTACGTCGATTTGCCTGTCAAATACATGGATACTAATGGACGCCCCACTGTTGTGGTAGAGCCCTGGCCTATTTTGGACATCCACAACACTATGAGCTTTTTATTCAAGGAGGCAAAAATCAAAATTCCTGGCCCCAAACTGAGAGAGTACTGGCAGCGATCAAAGGCTTATGGTGAGCCTTGGGCTGCTGATGTTCCTGATGAAGAGATGTCGTTCACTGTGCCAATAGGCATTTATGGAGACAGTGCAAGGGTGGACACAAATTTCAATACAGACCATATCATGGCATTGTTTGTCAACCTGATCTTGTGGCGTCCGGTGTCAGTGCGCTGGTCGAGATTTTTGGTTTGTGCAATACCAGAATCAAGACTGACAAATGAAACCATTAATGGTATACTACGGAGGGTCACATGGAGTGCAAACCATGCATTCTATGCCCGGTTCCCGACGACTGACCCCTTGGGGCAACCGCTCAGAGGGAATGCAGCACGTATGGCTGGGAAGCCCTTGACAGATCAGGGATACAAATTTCAGGTGACAGAATTGCGTGGTGATTGGAGTTTTCATAAGAAGATCTGGACATGGCCAAAGGTGATGTGGAATGCCGAATCGATTTGCCACCTTTGCACAGCAAAGGGGATATCAAACGACTGGGATGAACTGTTTTGGAACCTTGAACACAACAACCATCAGGAGTTCTCCCTCACCCAGTACTTGGCTCATCGCATGCCAACTCGACGTGTTTGATTCTGGGATCATGTGAATTGATTTCAAGCGTGTTTTTCTTTGAAGAACTGGTGCCGGTGGTTGTTTCGTAAATGCTGCCCACTGTCTACCTGTCATTTTTTTGAGTATGTACCCATTTGGTTGATTTTGACTTGTTGGTATGTTTATGGGATGGCCTGAGGGGTGAAAATCAAGGGTACCAACCAGCAAAAACACAAGTCAGACTAGTATGCAAACAGATACAGATCAATCATTTCCAGTTTCCAGGAAAGCCTCCTCCAAGAAAAACAAACCACGACAATTCAAACAGATGTGAGCTCTTGGAAATGTTTTGTAGAGATTCAAGAAAAAGTGACTGGTGAGATAAAACAAGGACCGATCAAAGCCTTACTGCATTCCCTGAGGTCCTTTGATTGGACTTTGCAGATTCCATCCCTCAGTTATTCGCTGGTGTTTCATGCACGTGCTCCACCTTGGGCTTTTGTATGTGGCCAATGGTGCCACGATGTTATTTGGTAGCATTGAAGTGTCTTGCAGCCAATGAGAGAGAAAAAAAGGAAGCCAAAACAGTGTGTGTAAAGCTAAAACTAGCTACTGACAGGTGTGCAGAAATATAAAATGTTTTTTTCTCCAGAGATGTGGCTAGCCTTGTGATATTGCACCGTCCAGCTGAGGCACCTTCTACTCTCCACTGGTATCTGGGGAGCTGTGGATGATTCTGTGCAGACTCGGCTGCATCGGGCATACTTGGAGTTCAAACGTTGGTGTGCTACACACAAGATTGCATGTAGCCAACCTGCATTCCAGCAGAAAATGGTAGCTTGGATTTGTTTATTTTTTTTGGTTTGCCAAGAAATCACCAAATTGGATGAATTGTATGGCATGGATGTATATGGTGGAAAATCATGCTGATGATCTTGCATCCCAATGATGCAGCTCATGAACTCAGTTGTACCAGCGCAATGGGGACGTGATGCTGATTTGCAAAGCGTACAATGGACGTGTGGTGATGCAATGGTTAGCAGAAACTATAGCTGGTGTGGTGGAACAAAATATCCCTGGTGCAGATGATCGCTTGGCACCCACTGCACTGTGCATGCCTCTTGCCAAAAAATCACATAGTAACTTGTAGAGACTGAAGGCTGACTATGGGTTATTACATTGTGCAGCCCTGGGGATTGCTATGTCAAAAACTCCATCCACATCCATCAACCACTGATGAGTGCGTGACACTGTATTCTAGATCGAATTTATATAGTATATTTTTTTTCTGAATAAACTAATGTTTTTTATCATATAAAAGATTTTCAACATTGAGGGAATTAGTTGACACATTGGTTTGTACAAAGTATGCCCTTCTCACACACCAAGATCCACCAGTAGACAAGATTGCCTGGCCTCTATCCCCTGTCCGAGTTCCCTGGCCCCAATGTGCCATCTCAGGCTCCATTTGGCCCGTTTCGTGCTGAACATCGAAAAAGCGGGCCGTTTCTTGACACTTGGTGATTAAATGTGACAACATTCCCACTGGATGAACCAAATTGAATTTCATTTCCCTTTGTTGTCACCCTGGTTGTACATCAGGTTGATTCATGTTGTTTGAGAAGATGGAAATGGAACCAAGGACCATGGAAGAATCTGAATCAATTTTCCATGATGGGCGTGAATTTCTCCGCCTATATGTGAAGTTGGCAATGATCTCACTCAGGACTTTTTGGGTTTGATCTATATTCGTACTGCTTTTGGATGGTTGAGCTATATAATATAGATTATATAATATTTATTTAACATATTCAAAATATTGTTTGAACAATATACCCGCTCAGCAATTAGACATTCCTTTTAAAGTGCATTGTTGATGAATCCCAATGAATTTGTAGTCTAATTGGAATTCGCTATATACAGTGACCTATGGCATTGTATGTGCTACATGCCCGAATTCTTGAAGCCATGACATTGCATCGCAGGATGGGCGTGCAAGAATGGTACCTCCGAGCAAAAATACATGTTGCTCAGTGGCACGTACCAGGTTTCCAAAAACATGTGTTCTAATTTGCACTTGTATCACTATAATATTATGCCCAGAATCTATATATATAAACAAATTATTTATTATAAGTGTCGCTCAGCCAGCACCGGCTCTTGAACCTGAGGCCCTTTGGCATATCCTGAAATCTGTGAAGATGCGAAGATCCTTGCTTACACAATGTTTTTCCATTTTGAGCTGAACCGAAAACATGTACTGGTTTGCTCTCATATCACTCTCCTCTTCCTAGTGTCCTAGGCCAGCATCAGACACCAACCTTGAATACTGCTTGTGTGTTCTGTCATCCAGGATCCAATCCCCGCTATTGGCATTGTTTCGTAGATGAAGATGCTATGTCTTGGACAAAAAGTTCCTTGGTTTTTTTTTACGTGGAGTGATTTAGATGTGTGTGTTGTTTATATCAAACCTTGAGCATCTGTTTGCTCAAGTGATATTGTAAAAGTTCCAAGGCACTTTTCTCAAAGCACACCCCAGCTGCCGGACCAGCTGGATCACAAGATGTGGCCGTCTTCGGCAACTGGACTGCATTTGTATTTCAAATTTGGGTTTAAAGATATCAAATGCTAGAAATACGTTGTACTGTCCTGCCAGTGTCAACAAGAAAACAATCTGGTACTGAATGACTTGGATAAGGATCTGGGCGACCAAGCTGAAAATCAAAAGGTGGCTTGGGCCAATTATTGTTCGCTTCTGCAATCATTGATTGACAATGATGAGCACAAGGTTCCAGCTATATATATTAGTACTATTTAATGCTATTTCTGATCTGTGTGTTTTTTCTCGCCACTCAGCCAAGGATGAACCGAGAAGTACGTCTCAAACTTTCCAAGGGACGCGGTTAGAAAAGAAGCGTTTCTGGAATCATTGTTCTGTTTGTTTCAACATGTGCTGTTGGCATGACTTCTGGAACCCTCTATTTTGTGAACCTTGCGTCTATTTTGGAAACCGGTGCTGGCTGAGCGACTATTGTTTTTATAGTCTTTTGAAGCCTAGGGTATATATTTATATATAATATGGAAAATCCTACAATCACCATCACCATCAATCACCAGTCACCTCGGTTGTCAACTGGTGCTCGGAGGGTCCCACTTTAACGTGTCTGACCTTTGTGTTTTTTCACGTGTTTTCTTCAGCCAAGTTCGCACAAAAACTACACCGGCGGTTCCTTGCAATGGGAATGCCATCGAACAAAAAAAAACCTCCAGAAATCAGGATATGGGTATGTCTGAAAATGGGGTATACCCCCAATTATAGCCATTTAGTAGGGATTAATGATCATTAACCATTGGGTGTAGGGGTACACTATTTTCAGACAAACCCATATGAACTAAACGTATTTTGGACTTGAAGCAACATGGAAATTACCCTCTGGTAAACTAACATAGCTATGGAAAATCACCATTTTTAATGGGTAAATCCACAATAAATGGCCATTTTCAATAGCTATTTTGACATAACCAGAGGGTAATTGTGTTCTTGGAAGCTGGCGAAGTATCACTGATTTTGGATCTGGAACTGCCGTCGTCTCGTGAGCAGATGCTCACCTTGACGTTGGTAGATGATTTACCGCCAGTAAAATACAGTAAACATTAATGTAAGCATGGCCATTTGCAGGGTACCCAAATTTAAGACACCATTGGTCAAAAGCTCCAATGGGCACTTTGTAAATGCATCATTGAAAGATTCTATCATTCAAATTCTATCCTGAAAAAAAAGGCGTTCAGTTTCATTTCATCACTAGATCTTCGACATCAAATCAGGTCACGTCTCCGATCTGCGGATGGTATCCTCACCTGGTTGCGCACGAAGCGGCAGTTCATGCCTTGCATGGACATCTTGCGAGGCCTCATCCGACGGATTGGGAGTATTTTATACATCTGTGGAGGGGTAAATATATTGATAAATATCTGGTAAATGAACAAATATACATAGTTCAAACATAGTTCAAACATGTTCAAACATGTTTAAACAAACATTTGAAACAAACACATTCTATATTAATTGATCACACAATCATCAAACTCCAAATTCTTGGATAACCATGAACTCACTTCATGGTCATACTTTTTGGACCCAATGTCAGTGCTGAACTTCCAAGGTGTCACCGTTGTACCATGAACTCCCTAGGAAAAACATGGAAAAATACCCATTGTTGTTCTATTTGAAAAAGGGATGCGAATTGTGAAAAAAGTCCTTAAAGTTCGACTGTCGGAGCCTTTTTTCGAGTTTTCCCAGCACCAGTGATTTTTTTTTAGCCCAGGACTGAAGCACTGGACGAAAACCGTGCCAATCATGGATATACAATGACTTCCATGTGTCTGAAAATAGGGGATACCCACAAATAACAATTTGAATAAAGAAAATGATGGTAATCCATTGGAATTGGCATGCGACCCATATCCCGTCATATATATATATATATATAGCATAATATAATATATATATATATACGTATATTATATATAATACATACTGGGTGAACCAATGAAATAGTTCTATACCACCTCCTGAATGGGGTGCACATCCCAGCGGCGGCAACATCTGGGCCGCCCCTGCCGACGGGTCTTCTTGATACCGTTGCGGTGGTTCCTGACGGCATGGCGACGGGAGGCTTGGTGCTGCCACGGCGGAAGGATATTGAAAAGACGGTAAAAATTTAAACCAAAGGATACAAAAAGTAAGGTATGTGATGTTTCCATGGTTTTCCCATAGCGACCCGTTCAAAGGGCGCCAGAAACAGAGACGAATTTGGGTGACAAAAGAAGGGCTGTTGGGAGATCCTCAGTGTGAAGAGGAACCTTGGCCCCAACCAAAGCCTTTTGAAAGTCAGGATAGTCTTTCCAAACGGTGGTGATCTCTGGAAAATCAAAAAAACATGTTTAAGAAAACTGCAAACCAACAAACATTGCGTAAATCAACTCTCATGCGGTGATGTAATAGGGATATATACATATATATATATACATATATATACATATATATACATATATATATACATATATATATATATATACATATATATGTATATACATATATATATACATGGCCAACCATTGATGATGTTTGGTGTGTTTTGAAATGGGATCTATACCCACCAGTTCTCGACTTCGGGGTAGCCATTAATTTCCAACAAACCCACGTTGATATGGCCGCAGCTTGCAGATCACATTCCCAGTCAGAAAAAAAACGCTGATTCTCCATTGAACCAATCAATACAGGTAAAGACTATATATATATAATATTATATAATTATATATAGACACACATCGCAGACTTTTCAGTTTTTGAACCGAGAATTCATCACTCCGTTTTCTTTTAAACGTGTTTCAATTCTTCATATGTTCGAAGCATATGTTCTGCAAGCGTTTCCTTTCACTCAAGCGAAAGCGAGTTTCCACCTGGGCAAATTAAATCCAATTCCCAAATCAGAGAAGTTGTTTTTTCATGTTTTTTTTTTGTTCCTGTTTCTTTTTGGTTTGTGGATGGTTCCCCCCAAAATAACCATCATCTGAAGCATTTGAGGGATGAAAACACATATGACTGAGACATACTGAGACCATACAATGGGGGTGTCTAAGGGCTGAACGGGGATGGGATGAATCTCCTATTCAAATATTGCTCTGTTGAGTTTGAACTTGGGCTTTGACCAGAAATTTCACAAAATACTAAGTGCTTCATGATGATTCTCCCAACTTCCAAGGCTAACTGACGCACCAATGGTAGCTGTGGATGCAGCAGGGGCAGCTTACCACCATAAAGCACGACAGGCTCCGTGGCTCCGCCATCTTGGTGCCGGACTTGTAGATCTGGTTGTGACCCGTGTGGTTCTTCGATTTGGCCATGACCTCGAAAAAGCCATCGATGCCGCGAATGTGGGATGGGAAAATCCTCTAGAGGTGGGGAGAATGATATGGAATACGTGGAAAATCAAGGTCGTTCGTTCATGGTTTCAGATGTTTTAAGGCTTTTCTACGGTCGAGTATTTGGATGTTCCAGTAGAAGTTGTGGATCTGCAGAAACTGGGATGCAAGCCATTTATTCTACCCTCTGGCTATTTAACATAGCCTGGAAAATGGCCCATTTACAGATGATTTTCCCATTAAAACCTCCATTTGTAATGGATTTGCCATAGCTATGTTAAATAACCTGATGGTATATTATATATATATGGCATGATCAAAAGCTGGTAAAGGGATGGCCATCCTCTTTTATGGCTTCTTCTCTGAAGGGGGGATCCCAATAAATGTTGATTCGAGTAGGGAATGCCAGGTTTCAAACCATGGAATCTGAGGCTTGCCTTTGAGACCAGCCCTGCAGAATACCCTCTGGTAATTTAACAGTTTGCTATTGAAAATGACCATTTATAGTTGATTTTCCCATTAAAAATGGTGATTTTCCATAGTTATGTTAAATTACCAGAGGGTAGAATAGATTCTCAAGATTCGGCCTTGTCAAAGTGGTTATTGCTGCAACTGGCCCTCAAGAACGCCTTAGGGTTTTGCCACCAAAGCACGAAGGCTGAAAAACTCGCCGCGGAGCAGTGGATTCAACCGGAGCAAGGGGAGCCGCTAAAAAGGCAACGGGCAGCACCAGGATGAAATCTGAATACCCTCTGGTACTTTAACATAGCTATGGAACATGGATGAAAATGGTCTGTTTAGGTAAGTTGTATTTATATATCCCCAAGGGACTGGATAAACCCTCCCAAAAGTTGAGTTTGGAAGATTGTTTGGTAGTTTCACTCCTTCCAGTTTCTGGTTGAATTCATGACCAAATGTCATGCCTCTTCATGCTCTGGTTCAACCTTCTGCTTGACATTCTGTATCTTGTCTTCTCAACCTCGGGATGGGCAGTTTGAGCGGAGTGGGAGTGTTGAAACACAAGTGTGTTTTTAACAAAGGACTTCATACGACCAAATACCGAGCACTTGCCCAAAACCTGCTTGAATTCTTTTCGTCTTCCTCTCTTGGGCATTTGCGGTCTTTGTCATGCTTGCCTTATTGCAAGGCAAAGTGGAATGTTAAACAATTCCAGCCCAAATGACCTGTGTATAATCAACGAAAACTTGAATTTGAATCCAGAAACACACTTCCTTTGAACCATCACAGTTTTGAAACTGTGGTTTCACAGTCTGGAAACTGTGAGCAGTGGATTTTCGCATTTTTCTTTCATGTTTAGTCTTTCACAGGTGGCAGTCTCACTTCTGTGAGGGCTGCCTAGCCGTATTGTGAGTGGCATTGTCAAAATCCTGACTGGCACGGAGCCCCGGGCAACAATGGACACAGTACAAGTGAAACTTTTGACTCACAGTAGACGTACTTGAACACTCAGTGCACGGGATGCGCCATGTGTTGTGCCTCTTACTGGTGCAGCTCTGATGTTCGAGGGGAAATTGCAACAGGCACTGCGCATCGTTCGTCATATTGGCAAGCGGTGCGGGCATCACGAACTTCGAGTAACATGGCTCGCAAATAACAAAAGCAAGCTTTGGCCATAACTGGAGTCGCATAGAGAGTGGCAAAGTGGCCCTGATTGAGCCCAGCTACGGAGCATCAGGGTCTACAAAGACAATGCTACGATAAGTAGTTGTTCAATTCCAATTGCATCAACCTTCTGCAGCACATCATGCTGGCTTCGCACTTCCATACCATCCCATCTGAGAATCCCGACAGCAAGACCGAGAAGGGTACGGTGAAGATGTAGCAAAGGGCGGGGCAATGAGCAATGGACGAACGCATGGGAAAATTCTAACCACTACAACAAGGCATACTATTGTTCAATCAATAATAGACAGCTTGCTATGTTTAAGCGTAAAAGAACAACAAATGGAAAAACAATGAAAATTCAGATGATGATGATGATGATGATGATGATGATGATGTAAGATGAGTTAAGATGAGTTACGATGAGTTAAGATGAGTTAAGATGAGTTAAGATGAGTCAAGATGAGTTAAGATGAGTTAAGATGAATTGAGATGAAAATATGATGAAATTATGATGAATTATGATGATGGAAAACGGATGAGATGGGAAAACTTATGCTGATAGAATTTATTATATTGTTGTCCGTTGTTTTGTTTTGTGTTATATATATGTATTGTTTGTTGACGGGATTGTTTTTTGTTTGCGGGGTGGGTGTTTTGTTTTGAGTATTGTCTTATGTTGTTTCGTTTTTGTTGATTGTGTTTTGTATTTTCTATGAGGTGGCACTGGCGCACCTCGGTAATGTATCATGGTATAGATGGTTGGTAGGTTGTTATGAAATATGTTGTATATGGTATGTTGTTATGATTTTGTTGTGGCGGGGGGTATGAGATTGTATGTAGTTCTTAAATGTGGGTTAAAGTGTCGGGGGGGGTATAGATATGTGAAGTGCGTCAGTGCCAAGGTCTAACTTTTATCAACTCCTACAAATTCGTTTTTTGGGGATGGTGATGATTACGAACTGCCAGATGGCTTACAGTTCCTGGGATGCCATAGCAGGGGTCATCCCGGATTGGATGGTCAAACCCCCCTGCAGCCGTTGTGCAGCCAAGATGGGCACGCCACAGTTGCCATTTTTCTTTCTGCGCCGCCTATCTCCGCCCATCTCAATCCCCATCTCCACATTCTTGACCCTTCTCCACGGCGCCGCGCATCCGCGCGCTAGGAAGGCTCCGCGGTCCACGGTCCACGGTGGATCTCTACCTGTGGATCTTCCACGGCAGGGGGATGGATAGGAATTGGGAAAGAATCCATGAAAGATTCAGGATTAATATACATTACATTACATTACATTATATTCCATTGCATTCCATCCCATTCCATTGCATTGCATTACATTACACTACATACATACTGTACATATATGTATATATAATCATATATATATATATAGAAAGCAGTAAGCCCCAAAAAGATAGAGAAGTACATCATCACTATCTTAGTGGGATTTTACGATATTCTTTGGAGGTTCCTAGGTTGACCCTTAAAAATATTGGAATGTGGGTGTGCTACCAATCGCGGATACCCCTATTTATACCAATTCTAATGGGAAAAATGGTGATTAACCATGATTAACCTATTGGATTTAGAGGTATTATATATATAATATATATATATTATTATATATTGTGTCTTCAGACAAAACAAACCGACATATTTAGGGACAAATAACCCTGTCGGAAACTAACCCTGGCTCGAAAGTCATGAGAAATTACCAGTGCGCACCTGTCGTAGCGGACCCAAAAACGGGGGATGTCTGAAGGTGATTGGTACTTTACACAGACAAAATGGGTAAACTTGGTGAAAAGGTATTAAAAACTTGAGACCAACTGCCAGAAGCCATATTTTGATAATCCTAGATTGAATTATCATACACACATATACAAATCATATACATATCCTGGCTGGGATATTCCCGAAAGCTTGGCATGTCCAAGTCCAAGAGGACTATGTGAACATCGTTCCCCTGGAATGTGTCGATGATTCTTTGCCTTTTGTGGCTACTCTTGAACAAAGCGATTGGTTATTTTTTTGCTCAATGACTCAGCTGGTTGAAGCCATGTGTCTCCATCATCCCCAATTCTCGTTCTGCATGGATCGGCTCCAAGGTCCACAAAGGCGCGCGGCGCTTGAGCCGCGCGTGCGCTGTTAGGCTGTCAGGTGTTGGGCCTTGCAAAGTGCCAAGGCTGCCAAGGTTGGGCTGACTGGTGTGCCAAGACATGGGTGCCATATCTCGGGATTTGAGATTGACCATGCGAAAATAGGGAGTTTAGACTCAAAGCGCCCTAATCAAGGGGTTGATTTACGAGAAATGTTACAGTCAGCTCCCAGTCTTTGCAGTAGTCAATATAGGAGGCTTTGCTCAAAGTGGATCCAGCCTGGCTGCCATAAACCCACCAGCAGATGGGGACGGTGGTTCCACCAACGGGTGGAAACCCACCATGATTTTCAGAATTTCCCCAGAATGGCGCTGGGGATTCAAAATACCCAGCAGGATGCACCCTGCTTTTTTGGATTATATATATATGTATGATTATGTATGTATATATTATATACAATTATATATATGTAATTATATATAATATATAACTATATATATATATAATACATATATATATGTATACGTAATTATATATAATTATATATATATATACACACACACCCTCTGGTAATCAACCATGGAATGCTGGTAAATCATTTAGTTCGATGATTCATGATTTTTCCATTAGGAATCCTATGACAGTAAAATCTAAGGGGATGTTCAGTTGCTATGTTTGATTACCAAAGGCTAAGGTCTTCAAATGTGCTCCAAAACCTGGACCGCAGGCGCCTCAAAACCTGCAGCTTTTGCAGAGCTAGTCGCTTCTCCGGCGGAAGAAGCCATGCCTGGTCGCACCACCACAGCCACTGGTCAAGTTTCGAGCAGGAAAATCTGATGTGGGTCACGTCGACTTTGGAATGCTTATAATGCTTGCTTAGCTCAATTTCATCATTTTGCTGGGTACACCACAGTCATATGTGCCAGGGTCAAAACTCAGTAGGTAGGGTATGGTCATCCCATTATAATAGGGTTCCTTTTTAATGGTTGTTATCAAAGGAAGTTGGGAAGCAATACTTCCGAGGTACGGACAAATAGAATTCTGAGTCTTGAAATGATGAAGGGTGGTGCGCGGTTGACACTTGACCTTGAAGGGTGGTGTGCGATTGAGACTTGACCTTGAAGGGTGGTGCGCGATTGAGAAAGGGTGGTGCGCGATTGACACTTGACCTTGAAGGGTGGTGTGAAGGGTGGTGTGCGATTGAGACTTGACCTTGAAGGGTGGTGCGCGATTGAGACTTGATCTTGAAGGGTGGTGTGCGATTGAGACTTGACCTTGAAGGGTGGTGCGCGATTGAGAGTTGACCTTGAAGGGTGGTGTGAGACTTCACATGACCTTGATGAAGGGTCGTTGCAGATCGGATTGAGACTTTACCTTGAAGGGTGCTGCGCGATTGAGACTTGATCTTGAAGGGTGGTGTGCGATTGAGACTTGACCTTGAAGGGTGGTGCGCGATTGAGAGTTGACCTTGAAGGGTGGTGTGAGACTTCACATGACCTTGATGAAGGGTGCTTGCAGATCGGATTGAGACTTGACCTTGAAGGGTGGTGTGCGATTGAGACTTGACCTTGATGAAGGGTGGTTGCAGATCGCATTGTAATGGGTGCATGAATGTTGCATGGGCTATGTTTTGGGGAGGAAGCCGGAGCACCAAACCTTGTGTTTTTCCGTGTAAAGTGGCTGCAGCCGACGATGAAAGGTACCTCGTCTGTGCGACGGCTGCGGCTGCGGTCGTTTTGTGCGCGAATTGTTCCTCCTATGTGTTTTGCAACGAGTGGTTGTGTCTGTGTGCGTAGTTCTATGCGTTTCTTGACGCTGTGGTGGCAGATCGCATTGGAATGGCTGCATGAATGTTGCATGGGCTATGTTTTGGGGAGGAAGCCGGAGCACCAAACCTTGTGTTTTTCCGTGTAAAGTGGCTGCAGCCGACGATGAAAGGTACCTCGTCTGTGCGACGGGTGCGGCTGCGGTCGTTTTGTGCGCGAATTGTTCCTCCTATGTGTTTTGCAACGAGTGGTTGTGTCTGTGTGCGTAGTTCTATGCGGTTCTTGAATCTCTGGTTGCAGATTGCATTGGAATGGCTGCTTCATTGTCGTCATTTGATGTTGCCACGTGCGTAGATAGGTGCGGGTTTGCCACGGGATGTTGCGAAACGCATTGTAATGGCTGCATGAATGTTGCATGGGCTATGTTTTGGGGAGGAAGCCGGAGCACCAAACCTTGTGTTTTTCCGTGTAAAGTGGCTGCAGCCGACGATGAAAGGTACCTCGTCTGTGCGACGGGTGCGGCTGCGGTCGTTTTGTGCGCGAATTGTTCCTCCTATGTGTTTTGCAACGAGTGGTTGTGTCTGTGTGCGTAGTTCTATGCGGTTCTTGAATCTCTGGTTGCAGATTGCATTGGAATGGCTGCTTCATTGTCGTCATTTGATGTTGCCACGTGCGTAGATAGGTGCGGGTTTGCCACGGGATGTTGCGAAACGCATTGTAATGGCTGCATGAATGTTGCATGGGCTCTGTTTTGGGGAGGAAGCCGGAGCACCAAACCTTGCGTTTTTCCGTGTAAAGTGGCTGCAGCCGACGATGAAAGGTACCTCGTCTGTGCGACGGGTGCGGCTGCGGTCGTTTTGTGCGCGAATTGTTCCTCCTATGTGTTTTGCAACGAGTCGTTGTGTCTGTGTGCGTAGTTCTATGCGGTTCTTGAATCTCTGGTTGCAAATTGCATTGGAATGGCTGCTTCATTGTCGTCATTTGATGTTGCCACGTGCGTAGATAGGTGCGGGTTTGCCACGGGATGCTGCGAAACGCATTGTAATGGCTGCATGAATGTTGCATGGGCTATGTTTTGGGGAGGAAGCCGGAGCACGAAACCTTGTGTTTTTCCGTGTAAAGTGGCTGCAGGCGACGATGAAAGGTACCTCGTGTGTGCGACGGGTGCGGCTGCGGTCGTTTTGTGCGCGAATTGTTCCTCCTATGTGTTTTGCAACGAGTGGTTGTGTCTGTGTGCGTAGTTCCATGCGGTTCTTGAATCTCTATGATTGCGTTGGAATGGCTGCTTCATTGTCGTCATTTGATGTTGCCACGTCCGTAGATAGGTGCAGGTTTGCTACGGGATGCTGCGAAACGCATTGTTGTGGCTGCGTCAAGGTTGCTCGGTGCTGCGGCTGCATGCGTAATACTATTGTCTTTTGCAGCTGAAGATCGTAAATCGTATTGGAATGGCTGCATCAAGGCTGCGAAAGTGATTTGTCAGCAGATTTTCTCAATTTTGGCGCTAATAATTTTCCTTTTAAAATTCCTTTTAAAAAGTGCTTTAAAATCGTCTTTTTGTCGCTTTGGCGTCGAGATCCGGTTTTGGAGCTGCAATTTCCGACGCCATTGCACGTAGTTCTATTGTGTTTTGCAACTCAGTCTCTGCAGATCGCATTGTAGTGGCTGCGTCAAGGTTGCTTGGTGCAGCGGCTGCATGCGTAATACTATTGTCTTTTGCAGCTGAAGATCGTAAATTGTATTGGAACGGCTGCATCAAGGCTGCGAACGTGATTTGTCAGCAGGTTTTCTCAATTTTGCCGCTAATAATTTTCCTTTTAAAATTCCTTTTAAAAAGTGCTTCAAAATCGTCTTTTTGTCGCTTTGGCGTCGAGATCCGGTTTTGGAGCTGCAATTTCCGACGCCATTGCACGTAGTTCTATTGTGTTTTGCAACTCAGTCTCTGCAGATCGCATTGTAGTGGCTGCGTCAAGGTTGCTTGGTGCAGCGGCTGCATGCGTAATACTATTGTCTTTTGCAGCTGAAGATCGTAAATCGTATTGGAACGGCTGCATCAAGGCTGCGAAAGTGATTTGTCAGCAGATTTTCTCAATTTTGGTGCAATGTGAAGTGTGAGGAAAGTGTTTGCATTCTACGGGGGTCGCGCGCAGGTCATGTTCTTGGACAGCAACACTGCAACAGCTTCGCACAAAGCACGCACGCACGGGCCTGGCTGGCGCACGGCGCATGCAAGTTCCTTAGTAGTAGTAGTAGTAGTAGTAGTAGTAGTAGTAGTAGTAGTAGTAGTAGTAGTAGTAGTAGTAGTAGTAGTACTGGGAAGTGATTCATGAAAGCTTAGGTGACATATGAGAAGAGATGAGATGAGAAGAGATGAGCTGGGATAAGGTGAGAAGAGCTCAGATGAGATGAAGTGTGGAATGTGAAGAGTGCAGTGTGAAGTGTGGGGCGTGAAGAGTGCAGTGTGAAGTGTGGAGTGTGAAACTGTCAAGTGTGAAGTGTGACGTGGGGCTTCAAGTGTGACATGTGAAGCAGGACACAACTTTCGCAGAGTGCACGCACGCACGGGCTTGGCTGGCGCACGGCGCATGCAAGTTCTATAGATGAGAAAGGTCTCATGTATATCTTTAAGGCAACTTCCGCCCCGCCTCGTGCGGGTACTACTGGTACATGTTAATTACCTATTAACCATTGGATGACCATCCCCTATTAATGGTTAATAATACCCAGTATTGACCATTGCTCATATAAATATGATACAAATGTCATATCTCCGTGTTGGACGTGGCTCACGATTCCGATATTTTTATCCGGACTTTGCAGAGCGGCGGATAAAGTCGACATGCTGCATAGTACCCTCCAGTAAATTAACAGTTCGACCCTGCCATTTTTCGGGGTCGGAAGATGAGTTTCCACTAAAAATTGGTCATTTTCAGGGTCGAACTATTTATTTACCATAGGGTATTGTACAATATTTAGCTAGAGTTGTGAAAAAATTAAGACACACTACCAGCAGTTCTGTAGTAGAATGTGCTTGTTAAGCCCAGATTTCTCGGTTTTTTGCTCATGTAATTATCCCAAGTGTTACCCTCGGGTAAACTAACATAGCTATTGATAATGGCAATTTATAGTTGATTTATCCATTAAACATGGTGTTTTTCCATAGCAAACTGTGAGTTTACCAGAGGGTGAGATCCTGCATGCTGCGGTGAGATCCTGCATGCTGCGCAAGGCTGCGTCGCCCCAGCGGCAAATTGGCACCTGGCGACAGCACCCGCATCCAGGGTGTTTAAGCGGGGGCCTTTGCGATTTAATGGATGGTGAATGGATGGTGAATGGATGGTTGATAATGCATCAGTTAGCAAATCGAGTGGGGATGAAAAGTGGATGAATACTAGTTAATGGATGGTTGATAATGAATGGATCTTTTTTCCGAAAGGCAATAGTGGCTGCTGGCTGATGGATATTTGGGCCGAAATATATGTATATGTATATATATTATGATATATGATATATGGGTAACCTTCGGTAATCAAACATGGTCAATGGAAAATCCCCTATGAATGGAGGTTTTGATGGGAAATCATCTTGTAAACTATGATGATCCGTTATAACTTATAACCAAGAAACCAACCATTTGGGGATATAATTCATATAATCGACAACACTTGGATTAAGATAAAAATATGTAAAATCCACTATGGATATAGATCATGTCCAAACGGGTAACAAGCATGGATTTGCTATATCTGTCTAGTGAAGAGTAGTTGAGCCTCTTTTTATGGGTATACGTGATGTGTTTCTCGCATTGATATCATTTGATCTATGTTAATCTTATATAGTAAGGGCATATTTACGAAGGCAACGGCATGATTTAAGGCAACATCTTCACAACCTCCGGTCGTCGCCTGCTGTGAAAACTCCAGGGCCCAGGAGGCAAAGCGCTTCAATGGACCAGGCGACCTCACCGCGACGCAGTGGGGGGTCTTCCTTTCTTTGGACAATACTTCGGTATGGTGACTACTGCAGTAGAAGAATTTGGATCTGAAAATTCTCCCAAAGTCACAAGTCTTGTAGCATTTGTATCCTGCAAAATCCATTTCTTAGATAGTAATGTCAAAATCTGGATCCACACACTCCCAACGTGTGTGACTCCACGGCAGGCAGTTTAAGTCTGTTGTTGGTGCATCATTTCTTTCCCCATGCTCATAGTTTATACGGGTCTGAATATAGCGTAGCCCAATCCATCCCATGGCTATGTAAAAATATGGTTGTTTCTCCCGTTTCAGACCCATCCACATCATAAATTGGTCATATATCCCACTAGATCAATACTATATCATATCCCCATGATTGAACATTATGGTTGATAAATCCCCGTGTTCCGTGGTTGTTCCCATGAACTCCATGGGTGAACAAAAACCTGCCTGAAGCTGGGAAGATGCATCACCAGCAGGCGACTACTGAGGTTCAGGTCCGTCCATCCTGGGTAAAATGCAGGAAGCCCCTGAATTTGTGTTGCTGCATAGTGTCAATAGATTGGTCTGGTACATATATATATATACCTGGAAAACCGTATGGACATTTTTTTTGTCCATTATGGGTTTTACCCGTAACGGACGTTTTTTTTGTTCAATTGCGTATTTTGGTTTTTGATTGTGAAGGGTTGTTCAAATCCTTTGACAACACCGTGTTCGGACATCCTCCGACAGTTTCCAAAAGAGGAATTTCAGTCCAAAGTGGAGCAAATTGGGAGTCGTGATCGGGCACCCAAATCTGGCCACAAATACTGCCATATTTCCCACCAAATTTGGATGTACCCATAAAATACCAGTATTTTTTCAACATCATGTTGAAAAAAAACAGTAAGCAAATGTCAACATACTGCCAAATACTGTCTCTAGACGAGACACTCATACTGTCGGAACCAGTCCGACAAATCCAAGAGTTCAGGAAAACTATTAACTAAATTAACCTGTAAGTAGAGGGTTTGCAGCCGGACATGGCCGTATTTGGAAAAAACACGTAACGGACAAAAAAAATGTCCAAACCCGTACGGACAGAAAATTTTGTCTTTATGGTTTTCCAGGTATATATATATATGTGTGTGTGTGGGTATGTATGTATAGGCTCGTCCCACCTCCTGGAACTACATACGATGGGGTGGGGAGGTGGAGTGGGATGTTAACGTTCATGTGAACTTGCAGAAGCAGTTGATGCTACGCACACGCGGGGTGGGGTGGGGGGGGATGGGGTGGGATGTTGACGTTCATGTGAACTTGCAGAAGCAGTTGATGCTACGCACACGCGGGGTGGGGAGGGGAGGGGATGGGGTGGGATGTTAAAATGTGAACTTGCAGAAGCAGTTGATGATGATGATGTTTATAATAATGATGATGATGACCCTAATGAAACTTGTCAATTCCGGGACGAAATTTCGTCCCGGAATTGAAAAATTGAAAAGTTTTACCAACCTAATTCGGGGTGTGCGCAGTTCCAGAAGCGCGGACGAGGCTATGTATACATATATAAATATATATATATATATGCATGTGTGTGTGTCTGTATATGTATATAGAGATTGATAGATCGATAGATCGATCTAGACTAGATATATTAGATTAGACTACAAAGATTAGACTAGATTGGATCAGAGTAGATTACATTGATAGACAGATAGATTGATCGATTGATTCGGTTAGACTGTGGATGGTATGGCGTGGGCACCTTCTTAGCCGGACACAGGCTTTAATTTGCGGGGTCACTGACTATGTTAGAAGTGATTTCAGCAGCTCCCCCAGTCAGCAAATCCAGGTCGATCCCTAGTCAGGCGGGGTTGCAGTGGGAACTGTCAGAAATTCTCACAGCCCGGGTAAGATCGAACGAACGTTGCTAAGAATGAAGCGCAAATGTTGAGGTCCCCAAAAAAGCAGAGTCACAGAGTTACCTGGTCATGACTTGGAACATGTCACATCACCTGCATTGACACGCTGGTTTTCTATGGTTTTCTCTAATCCAAGCTGCCATCCTCGGCAAACTCGCCACGACCCCTTGGGCGATGGCCGATGGGCGATCCAAGTAAAGTCAAGGGGCCAACGGGTGCCGGTATCAGGTGTGGCGATATTCGAATCAATATGATATGAAAAGCATCTCTTTGAGCTTAGATAGGGCATACCCTATATATTTATACACTGGTTTTCCATTGCTTTTCGAGTTTCCACGTACTGTACTTCCTTTTTCAAACGGTGAAACTTATGCCGATGGACTGCCAGAAACTGTGCTCCCAGTTGCATAGGCATAAAAAAAGTCAAGAACAGGACAAGTACATTGTATGCATATCACATACAATTATCTACACACTCCGTGTATATATATATATATATTAAAGATTAAAGATTAAAAACCATGGTTACAGACCACTTACTAACTACAATGTACTGCACATCTAAGCAGGACCTAAAATTTTGAGACCCATGTATGATACAATTATTCACATGATGTGTACGATAAATTCACGCCAAAAGACTCGAGAAACAGCCAGTGATAACTGCTGGATGCCCACCTCTAACATGTATCTGGGAGAATTATATGTGATTACTCTAGGGTAAACTAACATAGATGTGGAAAATGGCCCATTTATGGATGTATTTCCTATTGAAAATGATGATTTCCCACATCTATGTTCCTTTACCCTGGGGTACATATGAATACTGGATGTATGATGAAACCGCAAATCCCACATATCAATTGGTCACCAGCAATCACCCCAAATGTCTGGGGATATCTGGTCTGTTTTTCCCAATTTTCACGATGCTTCCCAGCGATTTCCGCAGAAATATCCCAAGCATATACCAGAATATGAAAAGAAGAAACACAAAGATGTCAGATGTCTAGAAAATCATCCCAAGAACTTCCAAAGATGATTCCATAGTTTTCCCCAGGGATGTTCCCCAGGGATTTTCCCCAAACATCATCCCAAAATGACGCGAAAATTGCGCCTCATCTTCTCCGCCTGCCGAAAGAGCAACGCCAAGGTCCGCAGCGCCCGCGGCATCCGCAACGCTAACCGGTCTTCGGGAAGGAAGCCCAAAATGGCGCCTTCGGTCTGGGGAAATTACTAAGCAACAATGGCAATATATTGGGATATATAACATGGAATATATCATATGGGATATAATATATATATGGAACATATAAATGGATGTGTATATATATATGTGGAATATGAGCAATCTGATGAATAACATTAGTGTCTGGGTAACTTAGAATAGTTCACTACTGTAATGTGGCAAACCCAATGCCATCAAGCATCCCCAAAATCACAGCCTTTATGGGGAATTATGGGATACAATGGATCAATAAGCAATATCGGATATAACATCATATAACATAATATTAACAATACGGGATATGATGTGAATATGGGACGCACTATACAAATACCATCAATAATGGAACATATCATATGGGATATAGTCTAATGGCCTGGGTCAATGACAATAATTCACTAACCTACCAATATAGATATAGTATCAATATAGCAACATATAGTAACTATACGCGCAAACACCCCGATTCGCCTACACCCCTTCTATGCTGTACACTTGGGGATATCAAACGTTAGACTTTACATTCAATTGGGAAGATCAACAAGGGTATTTAGGGAATATAAATTTCCCACCCCCGTTAAACTTTACATTCATTGAAGATCTTCAATAAGGGTTTAATTCTCCCACCCCCGTTAAACTTCTACATTCATTGAAGATCTTCAATAAGGGTTTAATTCTCCCACCCCCGTTAAACTTCTACATTCATTGAAGATCTTCAATAAGGGTTTAATTCTCCCACCCCCGTTAAACTTCTACATTCATTGAAGATCTTCAATAAGGGTTTAATTCTCCCACCCCCGTTAAACTTCTACATTCATTGAAGATCTTCAATAAGGGTTTAATTCTCCCACCCCCGTTAAACTTCTACATTCATTGAAGATCTTCAATAAGGGTTTGATGATGATGATGATGATGATGATGATGTGTAAGAGACTCGCACAGGTCTCTATGCTGTGCGTGCCGATACATGAAGTTAGCCATGATGCAAAAAACTCTCATTTTTACAACGTTTGCAGCACATACGAAGATGGCCGCCGACAAGCGCGGGCAAATCGAGGTGTTTGCCCGTAACTATACAATGACTATATATTTTTATTTTGGAATAATTCCCCTTACTATCCCTTACTAACATTTACTAAGCATCATCGAAGAAACGCCTTCGACCCTCAATGGATCACAGGGTTTTTCACCATGTTGAACCATCAAACATCGGGGGCTCACCCATCAAAAATGGTGTTGTTGTGTTTTTTTCGATCAAAAATGGAAAGTTACAATGACTTAATAACTGAAGGGCTTAATGATCCATGACTTAATAATGATCCATGTTTCCAAAGTTACAATGACTTACATGAAGGGCTACCAAATTCTTTGTTTTTTTTTCCTATGCCGTTTTGGGATCTCTGGGGCTCGCCGGCCATCCCGTCTGGAAGATGGGATAGCGAACCGGAAAATCATCCGTTTATTTTAATGGGTGCATGATGTAAATTCCATGAAGTCACCATAAATCCTAGCTACTCCCATTAAACCCTAGTTTTCAATGGCTATGGTTAAATTACCAGAAGGTACTCAAAACAATTCATACGGCCATGGGGTTTCCCCACTGAGGGATCACCTCCCAGCCTGCACTGGAGGTTTCACGCACCAAATCACGATCCAAGGGAATAGGAAAGGTGACCTGACAGCAGGCGGCGGGGATGCGAATCGTTCATGGAACTATGATTTGAGCTATGATCAATGGAGTGGTTTAAGGGACAATCTACAGGAAACTGTTTTACATGTTTTTACCATCAAAGACAAAGGGTGTTCCTGTAATTTTGCCCATCATCCAGTTCTATGATATGAGAAGAGGACAAGAAAAAAAAGATGAAAAAAGGGGATGCCAAATGGGGAAATCGGTCGAAGTTGCCAATGATATTGAAGGAGGTCGCAGAACTATCACGGGGACCCCGCGATCTCATAGACATGGAAATGGTTCAAAGACTCAAAGATGTTCAAGTCTATGATATCTATTCAATAATTCATGAGTCAACCATAGTCAACCCCATAAAATTCTGTGGGCGCCATGATGTTCCAATTTCACAAGTATGTCTGGTTGGTGGTTTCAACCCCTCTGAAAAATATTAGTCAATGGGAAGGATTATCCCATATATATTATGGAAAACATTATGTTTGAAACCACCAACCAGATGTCTTTAACAATCTCAAACTCCTCCCACAGATCTTCCAAGTCACATCAGAGTCAATCCACAGTAGCCAGTCCTCAGCTCGCGGAGGACTGGCTGAAGCATGAAAGACAATGTCTGCGTGGGATGTCTGCGTCAAACCATGTCTGGTTGGTGGTTTCAGCCCTTCTGAAAAATATTAGTCAGTTGGGATGATTCTTCCCAATATATCCAAAAAAAAAATGTTCCAAACCACCAACCAGATGTGTGTTTGTGTGTGGTGTTTTTTTTGGGAAGAACCGTGAACGACCAATGGAATTTTTGTAATTTTCACACAAGGCAAAATAACTGGCAAAATATGAAGGCTCGGTTGTTGCATGTGAAACTTACATCATCTTACATCTACTTTTCTAAAAGCAGGTGCAAAAACTCAAGGTGGACTGTCAGAATGAGCGTTGCACAAAGTTTACCCAAAATCGAAAAACATATAACTTGTTGGTGGTTCAACCCGCTGAATAATATCTATATGTTTCACATTATCATCCCAGCTAATATTGAAAATAATGTCCAAACCCATTCTCAATGTTAGATACCCTCTCAACAAAAGCTATAGCAGCTATGGTTCTAGCTGGTGAGTATACATCGCAATGCATCACACATATTCACATTTTTTTCATTGTGACAGATTCATTCGTAATGTGGTAAACCCAATGCTAAAGAATCCCCAAGTCATCACCACTTCATGGGTTGGCTTGAAACCATCCCGGTGGTGTAACCCTGGCACGGTTTACCATGGTGGATCCATCCATGTCCCGAGAACAGAATTCCGGCCAGGTACAAAATCCTCAATGGCATCTTCGTCCAACAGCCAGGCGAATTTGAACCTCCAGCAGAAACACACCACGAAAGGTCCACGGTTAACCCACGAGATGGAGACGTGTAAATTCAGTGCAACTGCTGGATTCGGATGGTGATTGTCACAGAAATGGGGTATTCTATAGGTAAAATCAGCTTAGGGGCATCTATTGTGATTTTTATCCAATGTTTTTCTAGGTCTAAGAATGGGATATCTAGATACACGTAGGGCAGGCCGTCCATGATGCCATCAACGGCCAACTACCTCAATTACGATCTGGTGATTTAAACATAGCGAGCTGGAAAATCACTATTGTTAAGTTCGGTACCCTGTGGTAAACGTTTACATAACGAACTGGAAAATCACCATTTTCAATGGGTAAATCCACTGTTTCTATGGTCCATTTTCAATAGTTATGTTAGTTTACCAGAGGGTAAATTTAGAAATCATCTATAAATGTGCCATTTCCGAAAAGCTATGTTGAGTCTAACCAGAGTCTAACCAGATGATAAAATGCCATGAAATTCCCAGGGAAAGCCCAGCAAACTGACCATGGTAAAACCTCTGGGATTTGGCCAAGAGGTCCTGAGGGCAGTATTTTTGGGTCGTGTTCAATGTCTTTCTTTGGGAATGGATTGACCATGTTTGAAATCTTTGGGTAAATATTGAAAACAACTGGATTTTTTCAAGAAAAGGTGGCCATTTAGTATTTATCAATATCATACGTCGGCAAACCTCTCAAAAGTTTGATATGCTCTTTTAGATGATCTAAGCCCATCTAAGCATCTTTTGATGCGGTTTTGATCCATTGCTAAGTTCTCTAGCTGTCATCATGTTGTGGTAACATCTTCCAAGTCTTCCCCTTCGAGTACCCAAAAATTATCCTTATCTATCAATGTTCCAATTAAACGCATTCAAATTTTCTTTCAGAAAAACCAAATTTGCTTTGGGGAACATCCTCCAGTGTTTACTACCATAGTTCTCAAACGGTTTTACCTAGGATTTGTAGGTCATTTCCAGGGGTTTTTCCCACCCAGATTTCACCTGCCCCGGCCTGCAGCTGGCATCGCTCGCATCGGTCTTCCGCCGAGAGCTGAAGAGGGGGCCCAGATGGGCGAACCAGACCTGCGTTCGCCAAGACCGTGGTTTTTCGACAGCCTGAAAAATTGGGGGATTTCTAGCCACCCAGAATGGGGATATAACATGGATATAAATATAAATAATATAACCAAATATACTGGAAATTTTAGCAACAAAGTTTGAGATGGTCTGAAATTCAGCTAGATCCTGCATGGCTTCTCCGAGAATTTTATTGATGATCAACCAGTGGTTGGAATGGAGTCTTCCCCTGTTCAGAACAACATAGAAAAAAGCATAAGGTAAATTGTACTGAAAATAGTAGGGAATATGGTGGACAATTGGTTTAGTACTGTAAATCCAATGATACAAAGTATCCCGAGAATAATGTAGGGAGTATGTCTGATATCAAACAGGATAAACATTGCTAAACTCCTTTTGATAAATATGTTTCTTTGAAATATCCTTTAATATCTCACTCATTGAAAATGTTGGTAAATTGGCAATGGATAAGCATGGTAAAAAAATCTGGGTCTATCACAAGTAGGTGGGTATGGCAGCCAGAAAACGGCAACTCCAAGGAGACACGAAGAAACACGGGAAATTCAGGACCCTAGAGGTACTGCATCATATATAAATAGCACGAAAGAGCCATATTTTGGGGGATATCTCCCCTGAAATTCAGCCCTTGCATAAACCTTATATATGGTCGGTACCTCCAATTTAGGTACCTGAAATGGCCATTGAAAAGATAAATGGAAAGACTATGTAGTCATTGCAGTAGCGTAAGACGCTCTATAAGGGACTTGTCACTGGAAGCCATCGTTCTACCCAGCACTAAACTTTAGATTCGTTTCTTGTATATAAATGGTCTCTTCATCCAATGATCCAATGCATTCGGTATTATGATTCATGTGCCATGGTTGAACATGGTTACCATGCGGCATGGTCATCTATCCCATATAAAGGGAATCTGTACAATGGGTATATGCCATATATGCCAATCCCAATGGGTTGATGATAGATGTTGAGGATAACCGACCAAAATTTAATGATTTGACCACGTTTGACGAAAATTGTAGGAATTGAACCATCTCAGATCTTGGAGTCTGGAAAACACCTGACGCAAGAAAAATCGAACTGTGCAGTTGCCAAAACCCGCAGAGGAAGTCCATAAAGGATCAATGGGTCATCAAGTCTAGTGAGCATCTACACAAACGTCGCCCAACACTGCCTGTGGATGAAGATCAATGTTTTTTTTGGACCATAATGAACAATGCTTGGGGGAATAGGGGATTTGAACATCTTGACCTGAGTCTCTGTTGGGTGTTTCGAACATTTGGGCCCTGAACCACATTCTAATTGAGAAAGTGAGGTCCTAAACCAAAAAAAGACAAGCATAAGTTAAGTGCCCCCTAAATTGTCGGGTACTAACCTGTTTGTTGATTTTGATTAAATTTAAACATGATTTAACTTGATTCAACCATCAAATTTGCGACATTTTCACCAGATTACCCTCTGGTAATTTAACATAGCTATGGAAAATTGCCCATGTATAGATGCTAAATTTGATGATTTGCCGAGTTCAAAAATAATGATTTGAAGATCGCTATATTAAATAACCAGAGGGCAAATCCCATCACCCAAAAAAGTCCAAACCCAAAGGTCCATCCCATGATATCACCATTAAATCACAATTAACTCTCCATCATTTCCAATGAAATCACATGAAATCACCATATTTGGAGGTTTCCAAAGTCATGGAGGTACCTCCAAATCATCCATTTATAGATGGGATTTTCCATTATAAACCAGCTATGGGGGGAACCACCCACACTTGTGGAAACCTCCATTTTTAATCAAAATCTTCGGAACTTCGCCCTGCACACCCTGGTGGGTGAGGCTGCCCGCAGCCGCAACGCGGCATCGGTCTCGAGGCCCTGGTGAAAGCATGGTGGAAAAAACTGGAAAACATGTGGAAAAACTGAGAAAACTGGTGAAAACCCACGGTAAACATATGCCTTGAATATGGCTTGAATGGTTGATTGATCATTCTTCCAAACCGGACATGGCATATGATAGTGGGTTTGGTGTTCAAAACTACGGGGAACTTATGCATGTTTAACCTATTGAACTTATTGAGCCAACAAAAATGGGGGTTTACAACCGACCAACAAAATTGGGGATATGATAGGATGCGCTTAACCAGCAATATGATTTTGGAGATTCTCCAGAATTGCGGTAAAAGAAAGAATTAATGAGCTGACTTTAGCTGCGAAAACAACTGGATTTGGTTTAGATCAACCCTGGTGGTGGAACCCCCAAGTGGCAGAGCATCATCCCAGGTGGACGACGCTCCCGTTGAAAATCCTCGAGAGGTTGCCGTTTGAAAAAACGGGGGCCACAACGCTTTATGGAAAACAACAACAAAAACACCTGCAGGTCATAACATCCGCCTCATGAAAGATGAGGACTGGATGATCCATCTGGTTGTTGAAGCTCTCCTTGGCAGCGAAGCTCCATCTCTGAAACTAAGGCCTTTTATTGGAAAAATCCTCCAGTCCGACATGGTGGATTTTCCCACGTTTCATGACACCGGAGGGACCCCGCAGGGATGATTCCCTGGGGTCCCTGGGGTCCCTGGGGTCCCTGGGGTCCCTGGGGTCCCTGGGGTCCCTGGGGTCCCTGGTTCCATGATTGAAATCGGCGGCTTGGTCACAGTGACTATAATTTCCCCAGATCGTGAACTCAAATCTCCGTATAAATCCCATATGAATCCCCTCAAATCCATGGTTAGATCCCTAGAAGCTGCAACAATTGGGGCACTGGTCTTGAAACCACCACAGACTTGGTCGTCAAGTTCGGTTGCCATACGAGACCACCAAGTTGTAGTTCGCCAGTTGACAGCGATGGAACAATCAAGGCTCGCTGATTTCACCCTCGCGGATATGGGTCAAAAACCCCAATGAAACCCTCAAGACCAAAACAGCTGGGTTTTCATGAAACCATGAAACTTCATCGCCCACAACATATGGTGTATATATATATACAGTACATGTATAAGTATATACATAAAACAGGTTTTGATTCATGACCATGTTTGAAATCACCAAGCCATGATTGGTTGTTTCAATCCGATTATCGATGTATTACTGGGCAAGATATGGGGGTTTCCACAAATGGGGGTATCCAAAATGGTTGGTTTATAATGGAACATCCTTCTATCAATGGATGATTTGGGGGTACCCCTATTTCAGGAAACCACCATAGTGCCACACGAATCGGAAACACCCAGCGATTTCACACATCGCACAGGCTTTTGAGGCACAACTCGGGACACATCCAACCAAAAACTGCCAATACGAGACTTGCACCGCTCAAACATGGTGATAAAATCACATACTTTGCTATAGTACACATGGAGACAAATGAATGCCCCCTTTTTTTGGCGAGTTCTTCGCAACACTCCTGATCTTCATCAGTTAGTTTTTCAAGATCTTCCAGCGCCACAGTGACAGAGTTAGCCCAGCATCCCACCAATTCAGAAGGTTCTGTTCCAGTTCACCTTCTCCACCCGGAAGCAACCGCGTGGCGATGATGGATCCTGCCCCGCGAAAAAAACCAGGCAGCCGTTTTGGATTGGCTGAAAGCTCATCACCCTGGATGCACAAAATTCACATAGCAATGGAAAATCCACCACGAAAAAATATGGATACTTGTCCTATTCTCTTAAAATAAGTTCACCTGGGGTATTTCTGAGCCATGACATGAGCCATGACATGAGCCATGACATGAGCCATGACATGAGCCATGACATGAGCCATGACATGAGCCATGACATGAGCCATGACATGAGCCATGACTGACGGCTCACATCCTCATTGCAGTCGCCCAGATATCCTACAGATTAAAAGTTGGTATTTACGCACTTAGATAACATATACGACCCCCCTACAAACAAGTCATAGTTGGTTGGTAGATGTATATACATATATATATATATAGAATATTATATTAATATTATATGATATGATAAAATATTATGTTATATTATATTATATTATATCATATTATATCATACAATATTACATAATACTACATAATATTATGGATATAAAATCATATATATACACAAATGTGTACTTCTTTAAATTGGGCTACCCCAAACCCGTGGTTTCCCATTCAAAATGACACGTTTAGGAAACCACATAGACATAGATATAAATATCATATTATATTATACATACACATATATATATAATTACATGCATAATTATATATAATTATGTATATATATATATATGAAGATGGACAGCATATCGATCATCCCCATTAAGATAGGTCAGATTTCCATCAGTATATGATTCCATATGTATATATATATATATGTGTGTGTATATATAATATATATATATGTGTATATATATAATATATATATATGTCCATTGTTTGGTGACCATTGATTACCCCCAGTATATACCCGTTGAAATAGCCTGTTGATCCGTCGGATGTCCTTCGCTTCCATCCCCGGGGGTTTCCTGGCGATCGCACAACGCATCCCGCCATGGGGGGAAGCATTCGCAGAAGTTCTCCTGTGGGCGCCACGGGTTAGTCTTATGATTGGGTACCCCCAAAATCCATGTTGGAGGTCACAAAGGGGAACCCAATTTTGACCTATAACATGGTAAACCCAATAAACCATCCCCCAAATCACCATTTTTATATATGGGAAAAAAACACACAAAAAAACGTATATATAGTTCTTTATGCCAGCCAGGGTTTTCCCACACCCGAAATTCTCCAAACCCTAGAGCCCCCCAAGTGCATCCCACTTAGTACATGGATGCTACCCCCAGTTATATATGGAATGTCCCCCACTATGGGGTGAAATATGGCTTATAGACCATTTCTATCCATAAACATCAACCACTTCATCCTTAAGTGGGGCCAGTGCCACATCCAGTCGCCTCCAAGAAGCACCTGCCGCGGCCGCTCATCAACTGCGCCCTGCCGGGGGTCATGGGCAGCGTCGCCCCGAGGAAGGCGCTGCGGACGCTCTCCGTCGGACCCGCCAGGGCCACACAGCGCGCCTGGGCATGGCACCGGTGGGAATTTTGTCTGGGAAAAGTGAGTCAAAGAGCTAGAAATACATGGGGAATTTCGAGGTTTTTGCTAAGGTTCAAGTAGAAATCGGGAATTGTGCGAATTCAATCAACACCAGGAACCAGGAGTTCACCCACACAAATATGGGGGGGGGTAAAATCTACAATTTGGCTCAAGTGTTTGTAGCTGGTGCAACAGCCAGGGTATGCTGACTGTATTTCACGAACTTACGGCTTGTCTCAGTGACTCATGCATGGGCACTGCCGGCCTGGTTTCCGGACACGAAACCGCAAAGTTTCGAACCAATGATGTTGCTTCTCATCAGAAATGCTGTCAGGCTCGTTGGGCCTTAAATACCTGGTGCTTGGTTCATGTTGGCCACGTTGACCGTGCTGCCCGTGTAGCGTATCTCAATAGATCAGATCAGTTTTGGACGTTGCGCAGACAGCTTGTTGAGCAGTCGGATGCTTTGCACTTGTCATCGCTTAGGCAAACAGTTCTTTTGAGAATCAGCACAGCTCTGGCCTTCGCCCTATGTCCCTGGTATGTTGCGCTTGCTGTTTTGGTGGCCGAGCCTTGGTTGACCCACACGGTGTGTTTGCGCGCATCACGGCCAGATTCACTTCTGCTTACCTTGTGCTGGCGTGGCCTTCCTAGCACGCACGAACAGACGCAGAGTGAACAGTTGCGCGATGACAGGGTTTTGTTTGGGCAACGAGCATTCACGCCTGGATTTGAGAGCATCATCATTGGACAATACTTACCCTTGGCCGCTCCACAAGAGAGTTTTTTGCTTTGGGATGCTATGCAATCAAGTGCTCAGGCCTTGCGACTTGGCTTGGAACAGGTTCGACACATACTACCTTGGGATGTCGGAGAACATCATGTCGGGCTGCTCGCAAACATTGCTCGGCTCTCCTTCCATCAGTGGTTTGTAAATGACATGGAGATCAGTGGTGATTGGGGTCCCATTTGGCTTCCTTCCTGGCTTGCCTTAGCTTCTTGGCCTGGCACTGGTGTGTGTGATTTTTCTCCTTCGGCATGCGGTGAGTGGTGGGATCTACTGCCCAGACGAGGTTCGCTCAGCTGGGCGTCGTTAAATATGGTGGCCTCGTTCTTCGTATTGGCCTTGCCATTCCGTTCGTTTGAGCATCCCTTCTCTAGGCGGTGGCTCCTTGATCACTTGCGCTGTGCCCTGTGGCATTGGCTTCTTCTTTGCCACTTGCCGCTTCGTCTTGTCAATGGAGATAATTCGCTTGGAACCGCCAAGCGGTTAAGATGCAGATTGGTGCTGATTCTCTTTCAGCTAATATTGACACTGCAGCCGTCACCCGTGCAGCTCGTGAAGGTCAGATAAGTGCCCTGGTTCTCAGGCCGTTTCCGCTAGAGCCGACTCGGCGTGTCATTCAGGAAACAGGAAACTGGTGGTTGATCCCTACAGAAATGTGTCAATTCTCATCGATCCTAATTCCAGGGATAATCCAAATGGTGCAAGACTTTGGGCGAGAATCATCAGAATAATCCTGAAGCAGATATGGAGGTTTCCTAGGTATGGTACCCCAAGCCACTTGTTTTTCCCATGGATAATAACCAATAACTTGGATTTTGGGCTACACCCATTTTAGGAAAACCTCTATATATCCAAGGGCTTGAAGTTGTAAATGTCGATTCATGAGACACAGATATCGCTTCTCTAAGGGTCACCAGAGTCCATCTCTAAGATCCAGAGGATTTAGGAAATTTAGGTCTTCCAACTATGACCCCCTTCCCCCGGCACGGCACCTCAGTCTCGGGATAGAGATCCTTGTTCTTCACTTGGGGCCTGAGTCTAGCCGGTCTAGCCAGAACTTGCGGAGAAAAACATGGTTGTTTTAAGTACCCGTAAATGGAGAAATGACATGAAATTGCCACCAATGTATGGCAATGTTTCAGACAAAGTCGCATGACGTCAGTTACTGGTGAAACAAATCATTTGCAATCAGAAATCATGGATCTATATGCAGGTGTTCTATTGCCAGGCAACATTCGTGTGAAACACGTATTGGACAATCCCCAAATAATGATTGGCTTTCCTCAAGTTCCCAGCTCATGGATTGCAATATTCCCCAATATATACAGCATACAAAGGATATATGCATGCAGTATAAACACCTACAATCATGAATCAGCAACCAACGGTTTTTCGAAACTGCCCACATAGCAACTCGATAACAAACTCCACATCTCTTAAGGTATATTCCATGTATAAAACTCGGCGAACTAGCTATAGTATCCCATGGATTCCCGCACATCCAAGTGGTTTATTCCCGAATAAATCCCATGTATTGCTATATTGGATGACATATTTTCCCAATTATGCATATCCAATCATGGATAACCAACCATATTGATTACGATTCCCCCTGTATTTTTTGGCAAATGCCCCCAAAGTTCTGGTTGGTTTGAAAAACCCCTCACCAGGTTATCTCATATTTTGCTGCTTGGTCATATCACTTAAGTCCCAATTTTGGCGAAATCCTCATGGGTGGCTACATGATCTCAGTCATATGGTTGAACCGGATCACCATTGTCGTTCAACATGAGCCATGAAACAAATACCCCTATCCCTAGACTAGTTGGTTTTCATCGGTCTCCCGACTATGGGTTAGTTCAGAATCCCCTTCATAACCCAGCTAGTATGACTTCCACCTATCAGGCCATTCAGGCTATTCTCAATGGCCATGCTTTCTTGGTGATCCATGAGCCAAGCGACAAACTCCCCTTGGCCAGTTGCGGCAAGCGCAAGGCTTCGCAGGGCCAGGCAGCGCTGCCTGGCGCAAGTTTTCCATGCGAAAAACCATGGCACCATTCGCCTCCAAGGGATTTCATGGGATTTGTTGGGATTAACTCGTCATGGTGACCCTAAAATTTTTGGTGCTACTGGATATACCCGGTAGCGAAAATCCACCCATTCTGTATAGGTTAAAACATCTAGTTGTTTCAGAAATCATCCCGCGACGAATTGTCAGTGGTTAACTGGGTGAACGTTTGCAAATGGGATACTCCACTGAATGGAAACTGAAAAAACCAGGGTTATCACGATCATCGAGGGACCGTGGGATGATCCAAAAAAGGTGCGCCGCTTAAAAAATGTGCCATCCGAAAAAAAACGGCAATCTTCATAAGAAATTCTGAGAAAATCATCACTACCAACCGACTTTCAGAGAAAGCCAATTGGAAATCAGCCATCAAACAGCCAGTGACCCACTGGGAAATGACCATGAATCTCAGGTCTTGAAGCTAGTGAGCCATCGTCGAGATACCCGTGCTCTTGCTTGGGTTTTTTTTGGAGTGACTGAGTGACCCTCCAAAAAATCAGAGCGGCTGTTCAACGGTTGCTTCAATGAAATGTTTTTGTTGCTACCGCAATGGGAAAAAAATGTCATCAGTGCCATATAGCAACCCTGGTAGATGTGTGCTTCCATCGCCCCAATGTTGAGGAGAGCAACCCCAAAAAGAAGAGCTGAAAGGTTCCATTTATCACTTGACAGGTTCCATTTCTCACTATTTCAAAATAGGATTTTGCTTTTCTAATACTACATATACTAAAATAGTACAAAAGAATTACGCAAGTATATACACAGCAACCCCCCAAAAAAGATAGAAAAGGTTCAATTTACCACCGAAACAATTAGTAGGATTGAAGGAACTTCTATCTTTTTGGCAGTCACTGTTTATATAATATATAATATGTAAATATAAATATACATAATATACAATATATATATATGTATCCCATCTAAACCCCAATTTCTGACATATACATCCCATCACATCTTTTCATGGTGAAATCCATGAAAAGCCACCGTTTGTAGATCATTTTCCGAGGGAAATCAGTGGTTTTCCACATCCCCGAAACATCTCCGAAAAATGGTGGAAAATCATCGGAAAATCATCGAAGTAAATGGTGAATTTTCCACGCCATGTTTCCGGAGGGTGGTGATATTATGTAGGGCAATGGATAGTAGTATGGATAGTAGCAACCTCCAAGTTACGAACTTCGTAAAAGACAATCCTAAAATAGTGCTCGATTGAAACTTTTCTCCACCTTAATTTGGTGATTACTACATGGTTAAATCACCATTTCACCATTTACAATAGGCACATCACCAGTTACAACAGGTAAATCATCGAACTAAAACGGCCATGTTCCATAGCTATGTTGAAGTACCAGAGGGTATAGTTCAATCCAAATCACATAAAAAGTCACCCTAGTTACCCTAGTTAATCCTATTAAATCACGATTTAATATGATTTAATCCCACCATTGTACAGCAAAAAACGACCAGCGCGGCGGTCACCGCCTAGCGCAGCGGCTTCCGCGCTAACTGGACCTCCTGGGAGTGGGAGATGATAGGGATGGCGGTGTGAATTTTTCGAGGGAAATCATGGAAAAATGATGGGAAACTTATGGGAAAATCATGCCAAACCATGGAAGAATTATGGGAAACTTATTGGAAAATCATTGGAAGAGTATGGAAGAATCATGGGAAGTCTTGAAGTTTATGACGCTCCGAAATGGTAAAATTAGCTGTGTTGCATATATGGACTTGTCTAAAAATACAGTACCCTGCAAACACTGGTCGAATCAAATTTTTACCACTGAAAATAACCCTCTTGGGGGCAGAATGGCAGACGTTGATTGAGCAGGTTGGGTCAAGAAATGGAAGTTGCTCTCCAGAATGAGGAGTTTACGAAGGGACCACCAATCTGAAATAAGGGGTGCTCACCAAAATCAAAATAGAGACCTGGTATCCTGGTGGTTAGGCCGCGACAATTCTTTGTCAATTGGGTACCATTTGGATTCCCCGGAAAATAAGGGACCCGAAAACACAATGTTTTATCATCATGTTCCCATCAAAAGTGCGATTCAATTTTTTGTTGGGGAAAAAAACTATGTTCAGGCAAATCTATATAAATATCATCTTGTTGGTGTTAGATATCCAATTATATTCGTTACATGCCCATTCTGGATGGTCATAAATCCCAATAACTTAATAGTATATGTTTGCAAATACCATTAAGTTATTGAAATTTATACTATACATATTTGCAAATACCATTTAATACCATTAATTCCAAAAACACTTATATATCTGCTTTTATACCCCATTTGTGTTGGTCAAATCGCATGATATCCCAATTGTGGCCGGCTATGGATCCCCATTTCTGAGTTTATTCCCATGAAATTCGATTTTTTTATATACCTATGCCATTCTATTTCCATGACATCCACATGATATTTCCGTTATATCACCATGCTATAAGTTGATTCACCACCTCTACTACCCATTTTCCCGCAAATCCAACGAAATCCCAAGTTTGGGATACTTCAACCATCACTTTCAATAGTACCCTCTGGTAATTTAACATAGCTATTGAAAATCACCACTTCTAATAGGTAAATCAACTATAGCTGGGCCATTTTCCATAGTTATGTCAGTTTACCAGAGGGTAAATCCCCATGGAAATCCCCTTGGAAACCCTCGTTCCCTCCTTCCGCGTGCGCTTCCAATAGCTCCACCACTGGCAGCGTGCAGCTGACGCCGCGGCGCCACAAGGTGCGAGCCTGACGGGTAATATTATGGGATTTACTATACAGGCTGGGGTCCCCAAGATAGCTAAGCTGCCTTATAAGTGGTTTAACTATGGTTTATTGTAGATATAACGAACTAGTTAATGGATGTTAATGGGGTTTACAAACCAACTTATAGTTGGGGGGCACCATCCTGTAGATAATAATAGGAAATAATGGAATAATATCTATTATAATTATGAGATATACTGTAAATAAAAACATTAACAAATAACATCTATAATAAATGACATTAGTGTTAATGATATTGTGGGTAATCCAACTTATCGGGGTAATATATACTATAAATAAAACATATTTATTTCCCAATAAGAACACTATGTTTTTTAATGATGTATATCTGGGATATATATCCTATGTCGTATAGTGATTTACCAATAAATATTATAGGATATACTGTAGATAATAACGAAATATATAATGGGAAATAATGGGAAACAATATCTATTAGCAATACAACATGTTCTTTTAGGTAATATTAGCAATACATACAACATGGGAAGTAATATTTATACTATAGATAAGAAAGATCAATAATATGGTGATCTTTATACTATAATAATAATCATTCATCTTTCTAAAATAACATTGTGATATACTAAACTATCCCAAAGATCCATAATACGCATTAGCAATGTGGGACATCATGGGAATATTAGGATACACTATATAACCATCACAAATGGAAATATGATATCATAAAGTAGGAATATAGATAGGTAAATAATATAATCTGTAAGTGATCATGAAATAAGTGATACAAATACCTATATAATGGTAATCATGAAATAATTGGGTGTATCATAATATAGATCAATATGTATATGTATATATGTATAAATCATTTATATATTTATCAAGTTATCTATATCTGCATCGATACCTTGATCATCTATGACATAGATAGCTTATGGATGCATAATCTAATCAGCATGTGACTATCGTAGATGTGTGACATACTTAGATTACATTATTGTAGGGGTATACCTATGATGATCTGGTCGGAACCCCTCCCATGGTAAAATTGGGGGTGGCTTACTATTGCTTTACTCACATTACCCCAATAAATGACAGTAACAATATCTATACGCCAAGATCATCTATAATAGGTATACCCCAATATGATGTTGGTTTATGCACACCATGATATCACAAACAGAATAGTCGCAATTTATATAAATGGATAATTTAGTGATATTGGTCTTCTTTTAGATAATTTGTAGATGATTTACCTATTCTAGATGCTGATAGTACCAATTATAGGCATTTTAACTATAGTATAGTCAGTATAGTAATTCCCAAGTTAAGATGGAGAAAAGGTCAAGTTCTCACTATTTCTTCGAAGAACTTTATAGGAACTTCTACCTACGGGGTTGCATATATATATAAACATATATACATATTCAGAGCGATAATGAACTATATCACTATAATCATCGAGGGAACATTATATATGCAAACACATAATTATATAATATAACATACATAATCATCTGTATATATATATATATATGTTTACACATCAACATGTGTGCATATATAACCATACCATATAAAACATTTACATAGAGAGAGAGAGAGGCACTGTATATAAAGATCAAAAGAACGCAAGAAGGAAAGATGGATGGATAGATTAGGAAGATAGGTAATATGCACATGGAAGGGATAGATAAATAATGTATCTACACATATCTACACTATAAAACAACATATACATATAGAGAGAGAGAGAGTTGTTGATCTAATTTCCTTATCATTCTTCGCGAATAAAAATGTTACTTTCGCGAAACTTTCGCGAACTCCATGTTTATCTGATGGCCGTACACAATGTAATGGCGACGTGCGGTGAAGCTGCTCCAAGTGAGAGGGAACAAGACAAACAACTGCGGATTTCGCTCAACCCAAAAATGAAGGGTCTAACTTGATCCAACTGTCCCATAACGGGAAAAAAAACAACCAATTAATCATATCGTTAATCTGGATGAATAATTCACTAACCTGAAAAGGGTTGGATTGAAATCATCCGCGAATGGTAGGTTTATTGTTGGACTTCTCATGTTATAATATACCTAGCTATGGAAAATCACAGTTTTTAATGGGGATGTATTATCGAACTGACTAGGCCACGGGGCTTCCATGGCTATGTTAGTTTCCATATCTATCAATTGATCGTGTTCCACGTCAATGAGGCTTTGCTGATGCTCCGACCTCTGCATTGAAATCGTGCCCAAAATGGTGCCGCACGGCCCGGCTGACGAAGACAGCACGAAGTCCATCCACGAAGAGCAAAACGAACCTGGGTTCCAAGGAACGTGCGGGAGCCAGGAATCTTAAGTGAGCAGTGCTCAAAACCCTGCGACGTCCCTTTATACTTGGCTTCCCCGCTCATGGATTGTGAGTATCACCGATATATATCGGTTAGTAATTATAGTCCCCAAACCCATCATTAACCAATCGGGGTTCTTAAAACTATATACTCAAGTTGATCAGAAACTGTGATTTCTAATTTTCAGGGAAGACCCGCTAAAACCCAGTGGCTTATTATCATCTCCCCGCAACTTTTTGAAAGAACACCTACCACGGGTTGGGGAAAAAAAACTCCCTGAATCCCCAATGAAATCCATCATTTTCAATGGATTGATCTCAGCGTTCCCTTCAGCCTCCTGGCTCACAAGCCATAGACAATGACTATACGAATTCTATGAGATAAAATTAGGTCAACTGGGAGAAAAATTTTTGGTAAAATGCAATCCCCAGGCCAGCGATTGTTTGCATACCGGTTTGCTGGATGGCTGAAATGACTTACTAACTGATGCACATCCAAGAAGGGCCTGAAAAGTTGGGTTTTCCTCGCTATAAATCCATGATAATCCATTTAAATCAGCGCACAGTCTGAGTTTCAGCAGAGAGACCCAGTGGGACCTACGGTTTGAAGCATGAACGAGCAGCTTCCAAATTCCACGCAACACTCACGACCTGATCCCCAACCTAGGGCCAGCAACTTCACCAATTCAAATTCAAAGCCAAGAAAAGACAAGATGTTACAAATTGACCCCAGGTTCAAAACATCAAAAGGTTTTACTCAATAAACAACTTGGGAATTTATGAAACCCTCCGCTCATCAGTCACATGCTGGAGAATCCCACTGCAATAGTTCGATCTCATTTTTCCAGCGAACTAAATCTCCATGCCTAGTTCAAGGAGTTTCCAATCTTTTCCCATGATTTTCCCATTTTCCCATGATTTTCCCAGAATCGATGGTGGATTCCCAGCCAGCCGCCGTGCTGATCACCGCCACCCAGTGAAACACCACGGGGCTGGGGGAGAAAATCGATGGCCGATTGCAGGGCGCAATGCCTACCCAGCTGAAAGCTGTCCCTCCTCGGCGCTACCCTGGGGTTATCAAACGTGGATGGTTGGGAAATCTCCTATAGAAGGAGGTTTATATGGGACAATCATCTCTAAATCACCACGCCAGGTTTTCTTACCAGAGAACATGGGGGATTTATAACCAACCATTTTGTGGGGGCATCATTGGATTTAACCCAAAAAATGGATTAATAACCAAATATACTTGCAAATATCCCACAACTAGGATATATCATTGGGGATCTGATGTTATGGGTTTATATCTAGTTGACTGAAAACGGTGTTTTTGAGCAAGAAAAAAGTGCATTTATAGCCAACCATTTTGTGGAGATATAATGGGGGAGAACCAGCAATCGATGTTTTTCCGTGTGTCTGAGAATGGAGGATACCTAAAGTATATGCCAATGTTAAAAGGGGAAAATGATGATCCATCAAATTTGCTGGTACCATATATATATATATATTCAAATAAGGTTTCGGCTTTGGCGGGATCCAAACTCCCCGCGAAGCGTGATCACCTTAGCGGGGCAGAGCCATAGCTGTCCCGCGGGCTGCTGCGTTTGGCAACTTCGCGGCCGCCTTAGCACTTTCTCTGGCATCGTCGTCCCGGCGACGTAAAACTCCCGGGTGCACTAGTGCTCTGCTTCTACTGAAGCATCACCTTGGCTCCTTGGCCTTCTACGTGTACTTCCTGGTGTATGACACGGTGCCTTCACCACATCCTTGTCTTGGTCTTTGGGATCTTGCTTGGAGAGGGCAAGTGCAATATCGTAGATAGTGGCTCAACCCTTTGTTTTGAGGACCTTCTGGTCTGCTGCCCAAAGGAGAGCACAAAGGCGACAAAGAGCAAGAGCCCGACTTGGTTGGTTCCTTCACAGGAAGGGAGTGCGGCCTTTGACCTCAGCCCAGCTCCTGAAGATCTACTCCCAGCTCAGCCGACACCATTCAAAGGATTTGCATTTACTTCGTTCTATTTTTGCAGCCTCCAGAGCAGCAATGACGAAGAAACATCCTTCTTGGAGATGTGGCCACTGCCATGTAGTGATGAAAGGAACTTTTCCCAGGTGTTGGAAATGTGGATCCGAATGGAACCAGTGCAACGACACTTCTTTTGTGCCGCCCGAGTACAAGCAGGCCTACGACCAGCAGACCGGGCATCAGGTTCCGTGGAATGGGTCCTCATGGCAATCACAAGACAGTGGCTCGAGAAGTCCACGCTCTCGAGGCAAAGGGCAATCAAAGCGTGGCAAGAAGAAAGGAGGCAATCAACATCAAGGCAAAGGTTTTGGCAAAGGACAAGAACAGGTACCCTTACCACCTATGATGCCTATGATGATGCCTTATCCTCAACACATGATGACAGCCCCTATGCAGCAGCCAATGATGCCAGCCCCGATGCAACCGCCTATGATGGACAAAGGGAAGGGCAAGGGAGTCGCAAACCCTGTGGTAATGGTTCCTCCACCGCCACCCATGCCGGCCACATCGGCGATGCCAGCATCGACCGGAGCTCAAGCATCTTGGAACTCAGCCATGCCTATGATGCCGTTTCCAGTGGCACCGGCGGCGCCAACAGTTCCGGCCCAACAGGAAGATGCTGCCAAGGAGGGGAAAGCACAGAAGAATTTGAATCGCCTGCTGAAGGAGTTGAAAAAAGAAGAGGACACTTTGTCCCCCAATCTTCAGTCGATGGCGCACGAAATGAAAAAGCAAGACGAGAAGAGCAATATGAGAGGACTCCATTCAGCTGTCCGGGCATTGGGAGATGCAAAAGACGAGCTACTGGAGGCGGAAAACGCCAGAGTCCAACTGCTGTCGCAATGGAAGCATTTCTTGCAACAGTCTGTTGTCAAATGGAAGGAATTCACCATGAACTTCCAGGCATCAGACTCAGCCCACCAGGCCAGTGTCCACGCAGCACGCCTAGCAGTGCGACGAGCTCAACGCAGTTTCGATCTGGCTTCCAAAAGGGAACACATTGGCAAAGAAGAGCCTTGGCCTGTTTCCGACGAAGAGGACGAGGCTGCGGAAGACATGACAGTGGATTCCAAGGAAGAGAGCGCGCAAAAGATCCACGACGGCATGAGCTCAATTGTTGCCAGCTTAGAGGAGCTTTCCTCTTCAGCGGATCTTCTCGAGCAGCGTGTGAAACGTCCGAGAACCTCGATGGGCAACGAAGAGACAGCAGCGGCCGAAGGGTCGTCTTTTCGAAAGGCCTGCGATACGTGACAAATGCGTACGGTCGCCAGGGGCCAATGCTCCTTCCAACCATGGACCCCCTTGCGGTCCGGCTACACTGGAGCCACTCAATCCTTCAGGAACGCGACTTTTTGAACGAATGGCAAGCGCAAATACATGCGTCAACATTAGCTGCCGAATTGGGATATGAGGAGAAGCTTGTGATTGATGTTTTTGCACTTCCATTGCGACGTGGCCGCAGTTCTGGCAAGGTGACCTTTGATGATGAGGTTGTCATCCGCATGGGTTTGGCAGATGACTCACTCTTCTCGCAGGTTTCGATGAATCATGTCACGCTCTCTTCATGGGAGGAAAAACCATGGGCAGTTCGAGCGAAACCAAAGATTTTTGAAGTACAGGAGCAGGAGGAAGCAGACCACACTTTTTTCATGGCACGTCGTCCAGGGCGGCAAGTTCCTTCAGATGGGGCCACATCGTCTGAAGCTGCTACATCATCGGCGACATCCATGACCAGTTCCAGTGGTTCATCTTCCTCATGGAGACAAACTGTGCTTGTCCTTCTGAATGGACACATGCTGCCAGCCCGTTTACCATGGCACGATGGTGACGAGTTGGCCGCCCAAATTTCACAGACCATTGGAGTCGAAAACACTGAATTGCTTGGGATACACCATGTGTCCCATCGGCCCAGTGACCTGCTCCAACAAGACCTACAGTGTTTACTTTTGCAAGTGAAGGATGAGCACAGACCTTCCTCTTTCGTTCGCTTGGTCTTGATTGATTTGGAGCTTTATGAACCAAATGAAGTCTTGCCAGGAGCCTTCCGACGTTTTTCAAAATGGCTCCCCTTGACTTTGAATCGAGTTTCGGCTTTCCGACTCTTAGATCTTGAATCACTCCTTAATGAGCATAGGGAGCACAGCCGCCTTTGGCACAATCATGTGCTCATTCCGGATGGCCAGATCAGTCCCATGCATCTGGAAGACGGTGATTTCTTGAAGATAATTATTGGAGGACATGAAGGGGGTTCTGCATGTGATTCTGATGTTTCTTCCTTTGAACTTGAAGAAAGCATGCTCGAATCCGATTTTGTAAGTAGTGTCCAGATTTCACACTTTTATCACATTTGCCGTCACAGTCATGCCGACGCTGATCCGCTGTCTACACAGGGCGTGTGTATCTCCGGCGACTGTCGACCATTTGCCTGCCAGCCCCGAGTGAACAGCATCAATGAGCCTTTCACTTTCTTCACGGGATCCGAAAGCAATCCAGTGCCTGATCAACCGGGCAGGCCGCCCAGGGTGGAGAGTCCAATTTGGCATCATGAAATTTGGGATTTGCTTTGTGAAGCAGGGGCTGTTGAAATGGAAGAAGAAGGACCCATTATATATGTCAACTCCTACTTTATTTCGCATTTGCGCACTCCACAGAATTCTGTCATGAGGCCATTGAGGTTTGATCTTGAACATGAATCATGGGAGGCAAGTGTGCGATTTATGTGGGAAGATTTTGTAGATCAAAGTGCATCTCTTGACATCTTCATTGTGAGACCTGATCCACCACCCACGATTTATGAAGGCACGGTTGCCACTGTCCTTGTGGTCCAACACCCGATGCCTCGCAAAGCTGCCATTGTTGTCACAGCACTGCCGGACTCATATGACATCAGGCACAAGCGCGCAACTGCGCTGTCAGTTGACCCGGTCGTGACACAGCCTCAACTTATAGCAGCTGCTCAAGTGCAAGACCTCTGCAATGCACCTGGTTGCACCACATGGGTAGGAGCCAGAGAATTTCATGCTGATGATGACATCAGAGTTCAAGATGGACTCAGTGTTCTGATTCGCATTCCGACCAGCCGCCTGGATCCAACACAGCGTAGCACGGACCTTGTAGGCCTGCCACAGCGGCGAGAAGATGCCGGTCGTGACAACGCAGAGGATGACACCGATGAATTGCAATTGCTATCAGTCCAATCACAAAACCTGCAGAGGATGCTGAAACGCACTCTGCGTTTATTGAGTGATGATCAAGTTGAACCACAAGAATGTAGCCTTGCAGCACCTGTTGCCAACCTGCGTTTGGACCAGCCCAATATTGATGGACATCATCTAGAAGGACTGTACGAAGCATGGCATCAAGTGTCCCCAGTCTTCGCTGCATCCTCTGATGAAGCGGCAGTCACTTTCATGACCTGGTTTGTACATGGCACTCTTTGGACGAGCTGTGACAGCCCCAGAATGCTCACTCTATTCCCACAGCGATCGGAGTGGGACGGGCAAATCCGAACACTCTGGAGAGATAAGATTCATCCGAGACAAAACTTCGAAGTAAGTGTAGTGCATCCTGAGAGTGGACAAGCATCTTTGATTCATGTACTTGTGCATCAGGCCATTGACAATGGCAGCAGAGGGATATTGCTTAGCACCTTTTTGCATGCTGGTAGCTCTCAACGACATTCTCAAGGTGCATTCGTGACCCCTCGCCAGCTTGCTTTTGATGATTTAACAAGGCTGGGAGGCTTTCAGAGGGAATGTCAAGGTCGCAGTGCTCTTTGCGTAGGCTTCTTCGGAAGTGACTCCCTTGATGAAGAACGTTTATTCTACCCAAGGCATGGAGCACATTTCGAGCTGCACATTGTTGACTGGGACCTTGTTCCTCCTTCATTGCACCCTGGGTCGGTCGAAACTGATGCTCTCTCACTCATGCAGGATGGTACTCCAATGCGTTCAAGTGCACCTCTGACTTGTGGTATTGACCTGCCTGAACAGCCTCATGAAAGCATGCCATTCCAATTTCATGTAAGTGCCCCTGTTTTTGTGCCTGGTATTCCTTGGGACTTGCATGCGTATGATGAGTTTGTCCAGGACCTCTTCGAGGCATGGAATCAAGTCGCAGCCGCAAGGAATGACGAAGACAGATCTTGCCTAATTCAAGTTTGGTTCGTGGATCACCAATGGCAGCATCCACATGGTTACGCACCGAGGAGTGTCAGACTTGGCCCGGGCATTCATGAATGGCGCACTTTGCTTTGGCAAGCTTGGCAAGATCATATCATTCCAGGCCAGGAACTTGAATATCAGCTTGTCACACCATTACCACACACCTTTGATCGGAGAGTAGCGGCACATGTGATCATCATCCAAAGGCCGATTGAAACGTGGGTCACAAGTGTCGTCACGCTTTTTGATGAAAGAGCTCTTCAGTCGGTTGTTTCTCAACTTGCAATCACGACGCATGAGCACATCCTTTTAGATAATCTGGCTAGGGTTTTCGGCATCTTCGACTCCTGTTTTGGTGCAGTGCCAGTCTTTTCTTGTCTTGCGTGGTACCGAGATTTGAGCATGCGACTGGGTGCGCCCATCCCAGGAAGAAGTGGCATGAGTATTAATATTCTACTCCGACACGCTTCTGCACCGCAGTCACTGCCTGTAACGCTGGAATCTGATGCACACAGCCTTCTTCAAATACCTGTGCAGAAACGACAGCCCCAGCAAGCTGCAGTTGAGCATGAGCCGGACACCCCTGGATTTCTAGAATGTAGGCTTCCAGACAATCCAACACCGAGCGTGACAGATCAGCATGATGGGACTGATCCACAGTTGACGCCTGTTGCTATTCCGACGTTTGCAGCCGCTCATGAGCCAATCCCTGATTTTGTGTTTGAAATCCTGGCTGAGCTGCGCGCCAACATGTTACGCAATGACATTGGACAAACAGGCTTTGTCGTGCGAGTTTGGTATATCCATCATACCCACCGTAGGATGTCCAGGATCGCCCGTTATGTGCACTTGTCAGGACCACCACATTTGTGGCGGTCTCGCTTGATTGCTCTTTGGTCTGATCGCATAGTTCCCTTTGAAGCAACAGCAATACATGTTGTCAAGCCTAGGCATTTTCGTACTTCACATGAGCAAAATCTTGCATTTGATCTCATCCTGTCCCAAGGACTTCATGAACAGCGCAGGTCGGGACTGATTTCGGTGTATCCATCGCCTGCGGATCCAACTTTCCCGCAGTTTGCAGCTGCTTTTTCACTTCGGCAGCACGTGAGTGGAGCCCGAATTATCAGCAAACTCGCTTTCCAACAGGTATGTCAGATGCATAGATGTCAAATCTTTCATAGATGGAATGAAATACCTTTGACGCAAGAGATTGCTCACGTCATGAATGATGGAGATGGCTTTGCAGTGCATATTTACAGGTCTGCACCAGCAGCCCAGGAGCAACCGGTGATCGCCCCTGCAATGCCCCTGCCACAGCCAGAGCAGGGACAACAATTAGGAGAGACCCCAGATGAAGAAGGACCAGTCCTCCTGCAACTTGAAAGCCTCTTGTTTGCAACCCAGAACTCAGCAGAACCGAACAGTGGAAGGTCGCCGATCGAAGCCCCGATACGAGTGATAGGCCTTGACACCCTGCAACCCCTTGTGCCTTCTTTTGTCACAGTAGGGAGTCCACCCACTGAGAGTGCGGTTCAACAAGAGATTTCATGTTTTGGCATTTCGTGCGCGGTAGTGCTTTCATCCAATCACATGCTGGCAGTTTGTGTTCCTGAGCAATGGCCTTTTGAAGATGGTAAGCTTCTATTGCTGTTCACGGACATGCAACAAGATTTCCCTGACGACCAATCAGCCTTTCTCACTCTGATTGACCAGACAGAAATTGCAGAGATCCAATTAATGGCGCTCTTGCACAGGCTGGGTCATGAAAAGGCAGTCATCCAAGCGCGCAGACACATCACTGATGCATTTGTAGAAATTGTTTTTGTCCAGGCAGGGGGCACACCTGAGATGACACATCCATTGAGCAAGCAACAGAGACCTTGGCCTGTGCACCCTAAAGGGGACCGCCAAAAAGATCGACCAATGTGGGTAGAACAGAAGGCGAGCAACATGCCTCCTTGTCTCTTGGACTTGGGCGTCTCTTTTGAGGATCTTCAGACTGTCTTTCACAGTAGCACTGACTACTTGTGTCAGGTCACTGAAGGCCTGCCAATTCCATCAGTGACCACTGAAGCAATTGCCAATTTGAAGCATCATCGCACCTTTGATCGTCTCATCATTTATGCAGATGGCTCCTCACAATCGAAGCACAAACATGTGGCGCCGGCTTTGAATGAGGAACTTGATGTGCCAGATGCATGGTGTTTTGTTGTGCTTGGTGAAACTGAGACGGACTCTGGCACCATGGAATACACACTGGTTGGTTGGCACGCCCATCAGGTCCGATGTGATCCAGCTCATCCATGGTACATTGGTGCGAATCATGTAGGATCAACCATTGCTGAGCGGGAAGCGCTCACTTGGGCGTTTCTTTGGAGATTGGGACTCGACAGCTGTCTTCCAACGGTCTTTCGTAGTGACTCCCTCTTGACGATAGGCCAGGCCAACGGGACAGTCGGAGCAGCAGTTTGTGACCTATCTTTCCAGACCCTGCGTGGCTGCTATCAAACTCTCAAAGCAGCACTTGGAGAAGATGTAGAGCTTGATCATGTTTTTGGGCATCTTGATGACCCGTGGAACGAAATGACTGACGCGTTGGCGAAGCACGAGGCCAGATCAAGCTTCTTTTTGCCACGCCCATTGATTGACATTCCGAAGTTGCTTCCGAGAATGCCTTTTTTATGGATGATCTTCCACAAGCAACATGGTCTGCCACCCTTTGTTGGCACAGGTTTTGACATCCAGGCTCCGAAGTTGCCTCCATTGGAACCGCCAGCTCTTGAAGCTCGTCAGGAGGGGCTCGACGTCAAACAACTGCATTTTAAGTTGAGCATTGCCACAGCCAATGTGCAATCCCTTGGTGCTGCTGACCAAGGCTTCGCTGGTAAACTTGATTATCTCAGAGCCCAGTTTTCAGACATGCACCTTAACCTGATGGGAGTCCAAGAGTCTCGTTCCTCTGAAGGGGTGTCGGTAAAGCAAGGAGTACTGCGACTTTGCTCAGGTAACTCCCACGGTAGGTGGGGTGTTGAGCTCTGGGTGAACTTACAGCAGCCCTTCGCGCATCTCAAGAAGAAGGCACAGTTCTTCCGCAAGCAAGATTTTCATGTGGCACATCGAGACCCAAGGCGTCTGCTGGTACATATTCGTAATGCACACTTTGAATCATGGTGTTTTGTGGCTCACGCACCACAGAGTGGCATTTCCATGAGTGAAAGACAGCAATGGTGGGAAGAATCAAGAGACATCTTGCTCAAGTTTCTTGTGTCGAGAGAACCACTGTTTGTCTGTCTTGATGCGAATGCCGCGCCTGGCGTCCCTGATGGAGTGTGCGTTTTCAAGCCGGGCTTTCGTCATTCTAGTGGCACCCCATTTCTACGAGACTTCTTGGATGATTTTGAGCTGTGCCTGCCCAGTACCAGTGAGATTCATCAGGGAACCACTACAACGTGGACTTCGCCTGACGACGGAGAATACACGATTGATTTTGTTGCCATCCCAAGAGACTGGATAGGTGCCTGCAGTCACTCCTGTGTTCTAGTTGATTTTGATTTGGCCAACATCAACCTTGACCACTCGGCAGTTGCACTTGATCTCAGATGGACACAGACTGTACCTTTTAAGGCCCGGAACAAAGAGACAGTGCCAGATTTTGATCGCAGTCAAATTGGCAAGGATGCGGACCTTTGTCTGCGACAATCGATTTCCTGCACATGGGAAGATGATGTAGAATCACAAGCTAACAAGATTGCTAGTCATTTCCGCCAACACCTTGCGTCATGCTATCCAAAGGCGAAACATGGGCCAAAAAAGCCGTATGTCTCTGAGACCCTCTGGAAGATGAGAGCCCAAAAGATAGCTTTGAGAAAAAAGCTGCGAAGCTGCCGAGGTTTGATTCGCCGAGAAGCATTGACACGGGTTTTCCTTGCATGGAAATTGGGCCAAAGCCAGGAGCAGCTTTTTGATCTCTCCTTCAATTATGGCACCTCACTCCGCATAGGATGTTTCCATAGCTACATTGCGTTCGCAACAATTTCAGCCCAGTTAAGAAAAGATCTCATGCACAGTCGAACGCAAAAGCTTCAACAGGTCCTGCAGCAGATCGACTCTGCCACACCAGCATCCAGGATCCAGCAGCTCTTGAAGCCATTCAAAGGACCCAGCAACAAGTTGCGCCAGGGACTTGCCCCTCTACCGATGATCAAGGATGCCAGAGGTGATTTCTGCCGCACAGCGGAAGATGCATTGCAACGCTGGATCGCTTTCTTCGGAGACATGGAGGGTGGCCAGAGAGCCTCACAACAAGACCAATGGCAAAGATGGCGTGCCAATCTGGAAACCTTCATACAGCATGATGTTGTAATCCCGACTGAAGAAGTTCCTACGCTTTGTGACCTTGAACAAGCATGCCGGACGGCAGCAGCCGGGAAAGCGACTGGAATCGACGCAATCCCTTCAGAAATCTGCAAATTTTGTCCACAGGCCGTAGCACTGCACCTTTATAGTCTGATGCTCAAAACCTGTGTGCATGGGCAAGAAGCTTTGTCGCACAAGGGAGGGATTTTGCTCCCGATTTGGAAGGGAAAGCATGTGAAAGATCAGTGTTCAGCATTTCGTTCGATCCTCTTGTCGTCTTGTCTTGGCAAAGTCATGCATAAAGCTGTCCACACGAAGCAATTGGACCTGTACCAACAATTTTTGCATAACCAACAATTGGGAGGACGACGAGGTGTGCCGGTCACCTTGGGAGGCCATCAGGTGAGAGCTTTCCAACGTCACTGCGCACAGTTGGGCACACCCTCGGCGCTTCTCTTCATTGATTTACAGGAAGCATTCTATAGAGTTCTGAGACCACTTGTGGTTGATGGCCCCATTGATGATGCCTCCATTGCTGCTATGGCAGCGCGCATTGGCCTTGATGTAGGATTCCTTCATGACCTTCATTTGGCCCTTCAACAGCCAAGCGCACTGCAGGAAGCTGGCATTCCGAGACACCTACAAAGAGCGATCAGAGCTTTACATACTGACACCTTCTTCAAGCTGCCCACGCAGCTCGACCAAGTGGTCACCCAACTTGGTACGCGCCCAGGCGACTCATTTGCTGATGTCATCTTTGGATATCTCATGGCCAAAGTGCTTCAGAAATTTCAGCATGCCATGGAAGCACAGGGGCTCCTTTTGCAAGTGCCGGCTGTTGAAACCCTGAGCTTTGAAGGTGCCTCGCATCCCGAAGTGCTACCCTTTGTAGGGCCATGCTGGATGGACGATCTCTGTGTGTGCCTTACTGCCGCCACGAACACGGCTCTGCAGTCTGCTTTGGGGGTTGCCACAGGTTTGATTCTTGACATTTTCAAGAGCTATGCCATGACACCGAACCTGCAACCAGGGAAAACAGCAGTTCTCATTACACCACGTGGACCTGGTACTCACAAGTGGAAGAAGGCCATGTTTGGACCCATTGCTGATGGGCACTTCCTGAGTCTTGGTGAACACCACCCATACAAAGTTCCCATTGTGACAGAATATACGCATTTAGGCGGCAAAGTGCACTTCTCAACCAAGCTCAAGCGAGAGATCAAAGCCCGACTCGGACAAGCACATCAAGAATTCAACCGACACAGGAAATTGCTTTACCACAACAAGCATTTCCAAATTGAAAAGAAGAAGGAACTCTTCCAAAGTCTGATTCTCAGCCGTCTTCTTTTTGGCGCTGAGACATGGACCTTCCCAGACCAAAAAACTAAGGAATACTTGCATGGAAGTATCATCAGCCTCCTCAAGAGACTCCTATGTTGGCCTGGGCAATGCCCGATTTCCGATGAGGAAGTTTTGTTCCGCACAAGGATGCCGTCACCCACCACCTTGTTGCGACTTCGCAGATTGAGATACTTGGGCTCGCTGCTTGCCGTGGGCAACACCGCTTGCTGGGGACTTCTTAATCAAGACCACGACTGGCTAGCCTTGCTGAAAGATGATTTCCGCTGGATGTGGCATCAACTTCACCATTGCTGCAGTCTTGGCGACCCCGCCACACATCTTCCGAGATGGCTGGAGGTTATCAGGTACCACAGAGGTTACTGGAAAAGACTCATCAGAAGAGCCTGTGAACACTCCATAGGAGTCCAGGATCGAGAGTTTCTGGTTGCTACGACACATCTGCGCTTTCTTTCCAGTTTGGCTGATGGACAGTTTGTGGAATCTGTCGACCCTACTGAGCAATGGCAAGATAGACCGAGTCCTCAAGCTTTTGGATGCATGTACTGTGGCAAAGCATGCAGATCGCTAGGTGGTGAAGGAGCGCACATGCACAGAGCGCATGGGGAAGTCAATCCTGTGAGAAGACTGATGGGCAGCACCCAATGCAGTGCGTGTTTGACGGAATACTACACCATGGGAAAGCTCAAAATGCACCTCTGTAGATCCTTAACATGCAGAACCACGTTGTTGGGAAGGGGCCACCGGGAAGTTGTGCAACCGGGTTTGGGCTCGATTGAGGATACAGAAAGATGGACACAATGGGATAACAAGATCCCTCCTCTTGCAGCAGAAGGACCACAACTTCCGGCTGTATTAGGGCGTGATTTTGAGGTGGAGCACAGGGCACTCTATGAGGCGATCATCTTAGGCATTCTGGACACTGACACGGTTTCTTATGAGGCCTTTGTTCGCCGCATCATTCAGGAACAACCCATTTCATGGACGAGGTGTCGACAGACACTACAGGAAGCACAGCGGCAGCTTCAGGCCGGTTTCCTTGATGTGGATACAGTCCACCTCCACACATGTTTGGATATCTTGAGACGGCTTGCCACGACAGACGCATGGCCGTTCCTTGACCAGTTGCAGAGCAGATCACCACCTACAGTGCCTTCCATGGATGAGATTGACCTCCAGGTAGCTGAGACTCAGATCCTTCCAAACCGACAAGCTGTTCCGAGGCCAGTCGGCAAAGAACGAGTGTTCTTGCATGCGTTCTCGGGTCGTCGACGTCCAGGAGATTTGCAACACTATCTTGAGGCTGCTTTTGCTCGACAGGCAGAAGGAGTGGTGCTGCACGTTGTCTCCATGGACGTGATCATTGATCGACAATGGGGCGATGCGTGCCGACCAGAGACGAGAGATTTCTGGCTCCGCGGAGCGCTGGATGGTTTTGTCCAAGGCGGGCTTTGCGGCCCCCCTTGTGAAACTTGGAGTCAAGCGAGGTTTGTGGAAGCAGAAGCTGAGCAAGGGAGACAACCCCGCCCCTTGCGCTCACTGGAGTGGCTATGGGGACTTCCTTCCCTATCTCTTCGAGAAGTGGGACAAGTCGCGGTGGGCAACGAGCTGCTCCTGTTTTCCATTGATCTTTTGATTTGCTTGGCACGATCTGACGGCTTAGGAGTGCTTGAACACCCCGGCGAACCAGCGGATGAGTCTAAACCATCCATCTGGCGATTGCCAATTGTACAGCTTCTAGGACAGCTGCCAGGGTTTGAGTTTGTCGACTTCGCACAGGGGCTTCTCGGAGCGAAGTCTCCGAAGCCTACTCGCTTCCTCACCCTTAACATGGACAGTCTGCCTCGTTTTTTGCACAGTCATCGCTTGTGCCCTGATTTGCCACGTGGCTCAGCGATCGGACGCTTGCAGGATGGCCAATGGGCTACCTCTAGTTTGAAGGAGTACCCACCAGCGCTGAACAGGGCGCTTGGTGAAAGTTTTGCTCATCATCTTCTGCAGTTTTCATGTCATGGTGATTCTGTGATTGATGCGGAGTTCTTAGACCGTTGTCGTTCCATGCATGTTGATCAGTTTGGGGAACACTTCGGGCCTGATTACCACTACCAACACAGACAGTCGCACAGAAGATGAGAGCATTTTGTCCCTTCAACCGCACAGTTCAGAATTCAATCGCTCGCCGCGACTTAGATAGTCCCAAAAGGCCGTAGCAAAAAAAATATATTCAAATAAACCTATTTGATGCCCAGTAATTAACAACACAGGAAGGAACCCACTAGGCGATAATGGATGGATGGATTTTACCAGAATTGAAAATAATAAATAGGGGAATACGGAATGCAGCTAGCCATAAGCACATGGGATCTGACAAGGATACAATGGCGTAAAACAAGAAAGGAAACTGCAAAATGATGCGCAAAACACAACGCTATATGGGTATGGGAAAATTGGGTACCCCAATAGTTAGATGGTTAATACATCGTTAATACATCTTAATACTAACAATAGACTAAAAATGACTAGTCAAATCTGGTACTTTTTTTTGAACCATTCAAAATAGCCCTATCCATCCCTGGCGCTGCCTCCTGGCATCAACTGAGGCTATACCTTAAGGCCTTCCGAATCTGGCCATTTCTCAAAGAGGAAAATGATGATGAACCAATGGATAACACATATATTTTCAGATAAACCCATCTACAAACCAACAGTCACAGCTTAGTTCTATGATTCATAGTTGCAAAAAAAAACTAGAAAATTCACGAATGGACATATCCATAGCCAGCCACATTATTATACGTAGAACACCAAATAATGAATTATTTTCTGGTTGCATGGTTCATATTTCAATTTCCAACCTGAAAACATCTCAGATTCTGGGTGTTTTCTGGTGGATGGAGATCCGAGTGAATTGTTGTTCCTTGTTCATCACTGCACCACTCTGGCGGGTATAGAACCCCATGGTTCCTGAAGATTCTTGGTCGGTTCTCAAGACGTCAATTTTCTTCGCAGATTCTTCTTGGAAACAACCATTGACCCCTTTTCTTTTGGATGTTAAAAACAAACAGTAAAATAGACTAATAACTACAATTACACTGGGAACTACAGTATATACATTGACACCAATTTCGGCGCCATGGTTTTGAATTACAGTAACAACCAATTGACCCAGTTGTGTGTTGTCATGTGTTTATTTTTGGAAGGGCATACCTCATTTTTGAACCCATTTGCATGAACCCTGACCTTAGCACATGGATAGCAACTGGCTGATGAACCCAAATGTCCACCATCAACTTTTGCAATTGGTTTGTCATCATTTTCGCCTTTAAAAACTACATGTGTTGGCTTAACATGAACGCCGGAATAACTTATGTCCGGGGCTAACCCAAAAATAAATTTCTAAATTACGATCCAAATTGGTACCCCCAAATTGTGAGCCAACATTACAATCATCCAAGATTTATTGTTTTTCATCATGTTGGAATTCACACATGTTCGCGTATTCCTATGATTATTCCCATGAAAATCATTAAATGCCCAGTTTTCGTTATGGCACCACCATGTTTCACACTTAAAATTGCATTGAAACACAATTTTTTCGTCTCCCGCAGGAACTCTCTGACCCCATCTGCCGACAAGGCTAGCGTCTCTCGCAGCCTCTTGGTCGCTTTCAAGAAGTCCGGCGCCGCCCGGCGCGGCGGTGCCAACCTAAGGCGACAACGACACGAAGCCTTATTGGTGGCAGGCAGGCATGAGAAAATGGAACCTACATACTAAATGGCTATGTATATATATATATATGCATACATGTGTGTGTGTGTGTGCTGTGTATGTTGTTGATATATATATATATATATATGATATATGTTGCAAAAAAAAATATGAATGGGAACAAGTCAATCGTTTAATCCATATTTTTGAATCTAAATCTGTATGCATATGATATGGAATTATCTAGCTGTCTGTCTATCTTTCCATCCAACCATCTTTCTGTTTGTCTGCCTATCTATCTGTCTATCTTTCTATCTACCTATCCATCTGTGCGTCTATCTATCTATCGATCGATTATTTATTTAGCTAGCTAACTAATCTACCTTTCGTTATTTTAATTTCTATATACGCATATATGTATCTGGGTAAATATATATATATATTGTTTTTTATATGTTTGACTTTATTTATTTTCATATATATATATGTATAATATATATGTATGTGCGTGTGGATCCATACACACAATTGCATTTATGTATATACATTACGTCTCACCTTGGCGGCCAATTGTGCCAGACCTTTCTTCAAGTCTGTCATGCGGCTGCGCGGCCAGGCAAAAAAACATACATACTTTTCAATCCTCTCTGAGTCCCAAGCCCTTTGTTGAGAGAGAAAAACAAGAAGAACACGTCCACCGACAGCTTCGACAACGGATTCCCAGATATACACATGCAACTCAAGCAAATCCTTATACACGTTAAAAACCTTATGGTTAGGTACCAGCTCTAAGAGGTAGCTGTAGTCATGAAAATCAGGCGGAAACAACTATGACAGTAGCATCAACAGAGCGTGTTGTAATTTCCTTGCGATAGTTAAGAGCAAAGTAGCAGAAACAGAATGTTCCTGGGGAAAGCTATGAGCGTAGCATCAAGAGCATTGTGCAAGTTCCTTGAGGAAGTATAAAGTTATGAACATAGCACCAAGGGCGTGCTGCACCTTCCGTGAGAAAGTTGAGAGCGTACCATCAAGAGCGTGTTGCAAGTTCCTTGAGAAAGTCCGCACCAAGCAGTTTTATCAACGCGCAAGAGAACGTTAGTATCCCCTCACCCGCCCACCCACACACACCCTCGACACCGGCTAAGGGATCAATAAACATTTTAATTTAAGGCATCAAAAAATTATCCCGGCAAGAGACCCCAAACAGTGTGGGGGGCCGGGAGGAAAATGCATGATAATGTTGATGATGATGGTGATGATGATGATGATGATGATGACGATGATGATGATGATGACGATGATGATGATGATGATAACGGAGATGAGGATGCTAATGTTGCGGACGATGATGTTGAGACAGGGGTGTTCAGGATCATGAGGTGCAGAATGATAATGATGTTGAGGGTGATGAGGTGGAGGACGATGTTGAGGATGATGATGTTGAGGAGGGTGAGGATGAGGATGATAACGCGGAATATGAAGCAGCTGAAGATGAGGTGGAGGATAATTCTTTTCTTGCACTTGCACACATACGTCATACTACACTCTGGGATCTTCTCTTGCATTGGCACACATACGTCATGCTACGCTGGGATCTTCTCTTGCACTTGCACACATGCGTCATGCTGCGCTCTGGGATCTTCTCTTGCACTTGCACACATACGTCATGCTACGCTATGGGATTTTCTCTTGCATTTGCACATCTACATCATGCTACGCTCTGGGATCTTCTCTTGCACTTGCACACATACGTCATGCTACACTCTGGGATTTTCTCTTGCACTTGCACGCCTACGCCATGCTACGCTCTGGGGTTTTCTCTTGCATTTGCAAACATACGTCATGTTACGCTCTGGGATCTTCTCTTGCACTTCCACACATACGTCATGCTACTGTACACTCTGGGATCTTCTGTTGCACTTGCACACATACGTCATGGCACACATACGTCATGCTACGCCCTGGGATCTTCTCTTGCACTTGCACACCTACGTCATGCTACGCTCTGGGATCTTCTCTTGCACTTGCACACCTACGTCATGCTACGCTCTGGGATCTTCTCCTGCACTTGCACACCTACGTCATGCTACGCTCTGGGATCTTCTCTTGCACTTGCACACCTACGTCATGCTACGCTCTGGGATCTTCTCCGCACTTGCACACATACGTCATGCTACGCTCTGGGATCTTCTCTTGCACTTGCACACATACGTCATGCTACGCTCTGGGATCTTCTCTTGCACTTGCACACATACGTCATGCTACGCTCTGGGATCTTCTCTTGCACTGGCACACATGCTACGCTCTGGGATCTTCTCTTGCACTTGCACACATTCGTCATGCTACACCCTGGAACCTCCATGCAACTGTTTCATTCTCATGTTCCAAATGATTTACTACATCCGATGCATTCATAAACTCATGAATCCAAAAGATTCCAAAAGTTAGTCTCCGACATCCTGATTTTTACGTCTAGAAAGACCAAAATCACTGTATCCCTTCAAACTCATGTTAATTTGAAGAACAAAGAACCTCAAACTGCCTGTAATTGAGTGTTCCAAACACATTGCAAAACAAATGAACCAAAACACACACACACACACTTACACACTTCTTGTCCTGAGCACAAAAAAAAACGCGCGGGTTTCTGTGGATGTGCGCCCTAATACCCTAATAAAAAGTGCAATCAAAAAAAGGTGGGAGAACATTGGGACAGAGAGACCAACAATAAGGCAAACAAAAAATGTAGTATATTAATACAGAGACCAAACGCACCTGGCTGAACGTATCCAAATATCTTATACTTATTATATGGATGGATGCCACCAGCCTGAAAGCCCCTGTCATTAGGACATTTGTATGTGTCAAAATTGCGGCACCTTGAAATTTTGCAGTTAGCGCCAAGCAATGAACAAAATCTTGTCCACTACGTCTCAAATTCTCACCCTGCCCAGATCACCAAATTGTCTGGATCAATCCTGGAGCTAATCCCAAAAATCACCTTTCTCATTCTGAATTCTCCCCGAAATTCTCTCCCAAGCCACAGCGCATTGATGGGCAGCGCCAGCACCTGCGGCAGTGCCGTCTGCAGCACGGTCGCCAGGAAGCGCTGCAACTCCGCGCAATTGCCTGGTCAGTAACTCGTTTGGACATGCACTTCATTGGTTCCAAACATGCCAATCATATGGCTATTTTTTTGGAGCTATATATCATACCCTGAAGCAAAAAAAGCTGTTTCGCAAACCATAGAAAATTGTATACCCCAGCACACGATCAGCGACTGCAGTGGCTGGGTAAAGGTTGGAAACAAAGACACCGGGAGTTGAGCTGGATCTCCCAGCCTGACCCTGCGCGCCTGCGGATGGCGACAAAGTGAGGACGTCCACGGAGCGATCCAATACCTGAGCGCTGGAGCCATGCCGAAAACACGCGGCCAGCCATGCTGCACAAAGGCCGGGCACTGCTTTCATCGGGTACTTCGTCTTCGTCGGAGGTGGCGACAACTGCGCGTAGCACAACGAGCTAGCATGATGACGTCAGCTGCGCGTCCGTCTGCAGCTTCCGCTCCGCACTTCAGGGGTCCAGAAAATGGGTTTGCTTGGAACTGGAAGGTGTGAGACTAAAGACGACCCATCTGCAGGCACCATGGGTTCCAATGTTTTGTTGGATGTCATGAAATTTCCCAAATGACCAGATTCCACCTTTCTGGGCCCATTGAAGTGGTTTTCAAATGTGTCCAATACTGCAAATCAAATGGGTCTGTCTGAAAATGGGAAGTATCCCCCCATGTTTGTGGCTATCAAGACAAAAGGAAAATTGTGAGTAACCATCACATAGGGCCGGTTTCCCACAAATTCACACATACGCCCACCCAAATGACACAACCGTCTGCCAGGCTCGGCTCGGGTCAAGTTACTTTGGGGAACCCCAAAAACACTTTGGCATTGATGGGTTCAGGGCCAGGGCTAGCTCGAAAGAACCGGGGACGTGAAAACATCCAGAGTGAACCCACCAAAGGAAAAGAATGCTCTCGAAATATATAAGCATTTCTTTGTACTATCGTTTACAAATTATATGCAGGTGATCCCCTAAGTTTTGCTGGTTAAAATCACATAACTTTTACAATGTTACAATGCGGTGCTCCCTTGTGGGGCTTTTATGACTCAAATGCCCACGGCATCACCTTGAATACACCTTTGCAGAAATCTGCAGTTGGGTACTGTACAGGTCGAACATTTGGATAAAAGTTCATGGTTTCGCGGCCTCACAATGTCCAGCCGATGATTGGTAATCGGCTTGAAATTTTGACTGATACTCTCTCTCCAGAGTCCTGAAAGTGGATTTTAAAGGAAATTCCACTGGAGACCATGGGTTTTACCTCCAAAATCAAGGGGTTTTCTGCAAGTTGTCCCGTAAACCAAGTCTGGGACTATTGTAAAACCTGTCAACCATCCCTATTAACTCTACCCATCCTCAACGGCTGTCGACATCCCAAATCAAATAGCGTCACTTCACCATCAAACGGTGGCTCTCCTCGAATTGGGGAGCTGTCACAAACCGATGCTCATTGCTGTTCCATCCGAATGGGGAAACGCCCATGAGCCCATGAACACCAGCTTTTTGATGTAGCAGGGTACTGCTTCGCTTCGATCCATGCCATGTCTTGAACCCCCAAAAAAAAGCTGACGTGCTGGACTGGGAAACGATCACCAAATTGCACAGAGAAAAAAAATGTTGTTGCTATATAGGATCCACTTCAATTCGATGATAGTCCCTTCCCAAAAAATCAAACGCCCAGAGTTTGTGGCTAATCGAAATTTTTCAGGCCATGATCACAGCTGGATATCCCATAACATGCCCGATTTCCTCATGTCACGGGCAAGAGACCATACTCTCTACCTCTTCTGCGTTCAGCTCCCTGGTTCCTGGAAATCCCATGGGGCCATTGTTCCGCTATGATCCGCTGATCTGCCTTGGGCACCTCAATTTTTCTTCATGGACCTCTATTGAAAAATCCTGGTGGTTGAGCCCGTCTGAAAATATAAAAAAGAGTCAGTTGGGATGATGACATTCCCACCTGGATGGAAAAAATGGGAAATAAAAAATGTGCCAAACCACCAACCAGAATCAGTGCAACTGGGGCCCCAAAAGATCCGATTCAAAATGATGCCACTTAGCCACTTAGCCATATATTGCTATGGGTCAAGATTCCTGTGCAAAACACTTTTGAAGAATTGGTACACAAAATGACCCGTTCATTTACATATCAAGCCATCCAATAGAGCAATGTTCAAAATCATCTGTCATTCCATGAAATATCGGTTGGCTAACAAGGATTCCCATTTCATGGGCTGTGATAAATTCAATCTATGTATATATATATATATATACACTATATCTATGTACAGCATGTTGTAAATGTACAGCAACTGTTGTTTAAAGAAAGATAGACAGGTAGATGGAAGGAAGGAAGGAAGGAAGGAAGGAAGGATGGATGGATGGATGGATGGACGATAGATAGAAAGATAGATAGATAGATAGATAGATGGATAGATAGATAGATAGATTGGATGGATGGATGGATGGATGGATAGATAGATAGATAAATAGATAGATAGATCTGTTAAAGGGGAATTCCGATTCCCACGTTTGATTACTGGAGGACATATGCATTCCCCAATAGGGACTCCGCGGTGCCAAAACCATTTCCATGTTGTGGTCAAGTCTTGGTGTTGCCCCTGCAAACGGGCTGATTTCCGTGAAAAAGACCGCACATATCCCCAAATACTGATTGTGGGAATGTTTTTTTGGCAGTGTGAATCCCATCATCCGAAATACCGCAAATATCTTGATCATAGTCTCAACCATTATCCCAACATGTGGTCATACAGGAAAATTATTCTCTAAAGATTTCCCAATCTATCATTTCCCAACAAGAGTCTTGTTCTTGGTCAACCCACCTTGACAAAGTCTTCATCTCCTTACCCAAAACATGTGAACACCTCCCAACATCTGGCCTTAACACTTGAAATATTTCCCAACTCAAACTGTTCTGCACCATTTTGGGGATCAGATCCCCCCGGATCCAGCCCCATTGATGTCGGCACCCTCGCTCCTTGCATAGATTGTCGTCGGGGTCGGAAGGTGCCACCGCTCAAGCAGCTCGACTGAGCAGTTTGTGAAGTTGGTTGAACTAGCTGCTAGCTAGGCTATAAGTAATCGGTTTATGGATGTTTATGGTATATCTGTACACAAATTCATATAGATATCTGTAGATATTCTGTAGATACATGATGATACATGTATGTAGTAGATATGTCGAATTAGTGAATGGGGGTTATAACACACATAGCTCGGGGGCACCACATTGTGGAAATGCTATAGGATTTTCTGAGGAAAACCCACTCATATTTGTCCGGAAATGGGAGATTCTGATTTTTGTTGGTTAAAAAAGCAGCCCCTCTCAGTGAACTGCTTTCCTGCCAGCATTTCACTGAAAAAACACATATGGGCCACGGTCAATATTTTGTATATAGCTCCAAGTCATCACTTTTTGAAGAGTGTATTATTGTTTTTCAGGTTTTGGTATATAAGTAAATGTTATCGTTTTTTGAAGGGTGTATTATCGTTTTCAAAACCCCAGCTCAATTTCCAAAAAATAGAGACCGCTCGAATACTACTCTCCATTAACCTAAATTTTGGCTGTAGCTCATATGGGGAATGGTTCAAAATTGGGTCCCCCCCAAGAGAATTGGAAAGTCGATGCTAGAAACTTTCTCAAACTTTCTTGCGGTCCCCTGGGTCTTAGATTTTGTCCCCACGCTTGATTTTCCTAAATTGATCTAAAATTCTAAAACCCAAAGGATTATCGGTTTTTCATCCTCTGCATCCCCCACCTTGGGTAGGTACTGGAAAATCCTTTCGTTTTTGCGAATGGGAAATAACCATGACCAGCAAAAGGAATAGAGTTTGAAAACGTTGGGTGACAAAATAGGAGAGTGCAAAACCAATACCAACCCGAAAGGAAAAAGATAGCCCGTAGCCCTCCAGAACTAACAACAGTTGTGATGGAATTACATGATGCCAAATGATGGTAAAAACCGGGTCGGAAAAAAGGGAAACTCCATCGGAGACCATGGTGATTGTTTTGTTGAAACTATAAAATACAAGGGTCGCCCTGTAATTGTTCCCTTAAACGAATTGCAGGAATGGTTCGAGCGTATCTTCCAAGATCAGAAGTAGCATTTTTTGATAGTTCTGAATCGACGCTTCATGATCAGACTGTTTCTCTGGAAAACAAATATCCAACTCGCAGTCTGTATTTTAAAAGACAGTAACTACTTTAATTGGCTCAATATAAACAGTAACTACGTTCAATATTTATATAAATGGTTGTTGTTTGTTGATTGACAATAATCCATTGCCATAGTCTTATCCCATATCATATCCGTTGGAACCCTAAACCCCGATGATTTTCTTGCTTGAATCCCCCACTTTGTGGCCAATCTTAGACAATTAATTACCCCACTATCCTTTTTGTCTAGCTGGTTGTGTCTGTAATGGTTTCTACATGCCCATCGCAAAGAGTTAAGGCATGAAACTGCCCATCACCAGTTTGCCCCTATCTTTGATGGTAACTTCACCATATTTTGTTGATGAAATTCGTATGTTCTCATGTTTCTTGGGAAAATCACCCATATTTTGTTGGTGAAACCCCATTTTGATGCTAAAATCCACTGAGTCTCAACGCTTTCAGTGGGGGCCCCGATCCCGCCTGTCCCACACAGTTGGTCGTGTCCCGAAAAAGTGTCAAGGTCTCCCAGGCCCGCAGGCGCACAAGTCCGCAGCTGGGATCCTGGAAATCCATGGAAATCCAGCAAACATGAAACATCATGAAACAATGTAAAGAAAGAACATGGATTTTTTCCAGCAACAACAAATAAACATGTGGTTTTTACTTCGCCAAAATGGGATTCCAATTTTCAACGGGATGGGATTTGAGAGACAAACATTTCGTGCCTGAAAGGTCCCGAAGTCGTCTGCGTGACGACTGCAATCATCTTCGGAAGCCCTGGGGCTTTGAGGGCAAATACTTGATACATTCTTGATACCCTCTGGTGATCAAACCTGGCAATGGAGAATAGCCGCAGCCTGTTTACAGCTGATTTTCCCATTTGACAAACCTCTGTAAACAAATTGTGTAAAATATCTTGAAAATCTTAAAAATGTTGGCAACTGTGTGGGTCCCCTTACATCATTTATGGGCTCGGCCAGTGTGCCTCTGCTAATTTGTCCAGATGACGATGCCTCATGCGATGTCTATATCCTGTCAAGGGAATGGAAATTACTACTTAGAGGATCGTCCCACTTAGTAGTTGGCTAGTACTTATAACTTATAACATGGTCAATTTCTGGTAGTCCGCAAAAAAAAAATGTTTTTGTTGCTGGTTATGATTATGTTCCATTTACGGCAAACAACCAGCAGGATCAAAGTACCTATCCAAGGCTGGGGATGATAATATGTTAGTTATAACTTAATATAACTTAATATCATCTTATAACCCATATTTACAAGGGATCCCGCACGAATCGGGGACTTAAAGCCGTTTTTTTGTCTGAGCCCTTCCCATCGGGTCCCACAGCCTGTCACGGAGGGCGACATTCAGAAAGGACTTCAGGGGCAATTTCTCGAGCACCGGCTCAAGCCAATGCATGGGCTTTGAAGGACGTGACACGCCTGGCTGATCTCGTCGTTTTCAGTTTTCCGTTTCAAAATGAGATATAAGAACCACTTAAAACCGCTGACCAGAATCCAACTACTTGGGAACAGCGCTGAGAGGCGCCTGGTACTTTTAAGGCTCTCTGCTTTGATTTCCCCCTGTAAACGTGCATCGATGTTGGAAGCAAAGATCAATGGGGTAGCATCACTTCTGATGGCAAGTGTAAAAGTAAAGATCAATAGCATGGTATCCATCATTTCTGGTGGCAAGTATAGAGTAGAAACAAAGAGCCATGGGGTAGGATCACTTCTGGTGGCAAGTGTAGAAGCAAAGATCAATAGTGTAGCATCGCTTCGGATGGCGAGTGTAGACAGAAGCAAAGATCAATAGCGTGGCATCCCTTCTGATGTGTAGTCACAAGCAAAGATCAATAGCGTAGCATTACCATTGAAGGCAAGTGTAGAAACAAAGATCAGTAGCGTAGCATCATTTCTGATGGCAAGTGTAGAAGCAAAGCCACCCCGACCCCAAAGGAATGATCGCGGAATGCATCAGAGATGTGTCAAAATAACATATCACAGGAAGAACCCGAACAGCATCCACATCCAAAAAACATCCACATCACGTCCAAAGCATCTCAAACCTGGTGTGACAGGAACCCACACCGTGTCTACGTAGAATAACCAGGCGCCATGCAGCGACGCTGGCAACGACTTAGAGAATCAGCCAAGTCAGTACCTCGTATAGGTGAAGTAGTTTACACAAAGTATATGACCCAACAAAAACTGGCAAGCACAAGTAGACCCAACGAAATCGACATCTATGAGCCACGGTTTACCTGAACCACTTCCTACCATTCTTTTTGAGACATCGTTTTAAAATCCAATCAATTGGGGATCAGGACCGATCATACTATGATTCCGTGCAAATCCGAACCTACGCATCACAATACATCAAAAAAGTTTTACTTCGAGTAATCCCCACCTAGACATTTGGCATCCATTCTGACATTCTTTCTGGCATTCTATCTGACACATGTTCTGACATTCTATCTGGCATCTACTCTGACATATATTCTGACATTCTAACTGGCATCCATTCTGTCATTCTTTCTGGCATTCTATCTGACATGCGTTCTGACATTCTATCTGGCATTCTGTCTGGCATTCTCTCTGACAGATGTTCTGACATTCTATCTGGCATCTACTCTGACATTCTATCTGACATATATTCTGACATTCTGTCTGGCATCCATTCTGACATTCTTTCTGGCATTCTATCTGACATATGTTCTGACATTCCATCTGCCATTCTGTCTGGCATTCTATCTAACATATATTCTGACATTCGGTCTGGCATCCATTCTGACATTCTTTCTGGCATTCAGTCTGACATATGTTCTGACATTCCATCTGCCATTCTGTCTGGCATTCTATCTAACATATATTCTGACATTCGGTCTGGCATCCATTCTGACATTCTTTCTGGCATTCTATCTGACACATGTTCTGACATTCTATGTGTCATTCTGCCTGGCATCCATTCTGATATTCTTTCTGGCATTCTCTCTGACATATGTTCTGACATTCTATCTGGCATCTACTCTGACATTCTATCTGACATATATTTTGACATTCTTTCTGGCATTCTTTCTGGCATTCTGTCTGGCATTCTCCCTGACATGTGTTCGGATCCAGAAGTGCTCCACAGCATCCGGAGCTGCACATTCGGGCCGTGGTGTGCCTAGGCAAGGCCCACAGGAAGGAAGAGGCGAAGGAGCCGCACCTGTTAAAATCTAGAAACCCTCACCTGGCAGGTGGGGAATAGGTTTGAAAACGGGCTGCCCCATTCCATCCACTGGTTAATCATCATTCTCCCATATTTTCTCGTTATTATTGCCATTTTGATACATCCCAGCCCGCGACCTTCCCAGGGCATGGCATCTACAAAGTCCAGGGCCGAGCAATGAGGAAGCAGGAGGCGTGGGGCACCTGCCAGGCTGCATAAGGGCATACGAGGCTAAGATGGGGTTAGATGATATAAGGTTATATTACCCCCTGGTTATGACTAAGATAGCTAGGAAAATCACGATTTTTGATAAGCAAATCATCATTTTTGTCATCTAGAACTGGGCCATGGCTTCCATAGCTATGTTAAATAACTAGTTCCCATAGTACCATATAAATCAATATAACTGGACTAGTGGACTTGGGGTGCAGTTGAAGTTAGTAATGGCTACAACTATGGGATTTAAACCTCTACAAGCGGGAATATGGGTTCTTACGACTGTGGTTAAATGTCCTTCTATAACCTCAACTGCACCCCCAAGTATGATGTAAGGTTGTAATATGAGTTTAGTTGGATTTATAGGGGGCCCTAATGATGGGACCACCCATAAAATCTACTCAACTACCACAAGAAACCCCATATTAGTTTAGTGTGAGGTTGTGGGAATGGAGGTCCCAACATTGGGGGTCCCTAAAAATTCTATAAACTAGCACCATATACTGGTGATTATAGTTTCCATAGTACAATATAATATATGTGCCACTGTCAAAACATTGTATATGGGTTGTGGTCATCCACTCATATTGCGAATCCTTACAATGGGTAATCCTATTAATGGGTTGATGGCCCATCCTTTTGATACGAAAACAACCCATGGTTTGACGGAACCCTGCGCGAGCGAAGTCGCAGCACCAACTCCCCTTCCCGGTTGAGGGGGGTACGAGGTGCAAGCAAGGATGGGGGTGAACCGAAAATGGCAAGCACTCAACAACTACAATGTACTGGCCGTATGCCGGGGAAATGTCACACTAAGGATAGCAGTTGACAAACCACATCACGCGGTTGCCCCTTGCCGAGTGAAAAGACAATGGCATACAGAAACAGCCATGTCGTCAGAGCTGCTTCCAAATTACATGTCTTGGAAGACTGTACAACGAGAACCACTGCCAACTGGATAACTAATATCAAGCAAGCAACAACTGCAAGCAAATCAAGACAAGGAAAAACCAGCAGACAGCGCAGGCACCTAAGCGTTGGTACGACTGAGGGCGTTCCGTTCTCGGACAACAAACTTATGCACAGTGCGCGGTCACGACTTCTGACTCAATAACAAGCTCGGGTGGCAAGCAATCATCATGATTCAAGTCAAACTGACAAGCCGGAACCTACAAGTGATGCACTAGGTCACTAGGTGCGCTGGTAGGCAAGAACACACTCATGATTCAAGTCCAAGGCAAAAGCTGAAGTCACTGGCAACTCAGGACATTGCAGAAAGCGAGTGACATGAGCCCATCCAGAGCATCCGCCGCAAAGCAGTTCAACGACACACACCATGCCATAGGGGTTTGGTTTCCAGCATTCAGGCACCATCCGTCAAAACATTAAAACACTTGGCAGGGACAAATGTCTGCAAGCAAACAACGGATGTCAGTCCACACCATAGCTCAGGTGTCATCTTCAAGAGGAACTATCTGCGATGTCGTGTGGACGCGACCTGACGTCAGTCCCAAGCTATGGAACTGAGATTTCACTAGAAGCATCCACAGGGGAACCTCTGAAGATCCCGAAACAACCACCTGAAGGCCAGTCAAATCAACTGCACGAGTCCACGGATCAAGGGAGGTCTTCAACAAGTATCCATCCACGATATCATGTGGGCAACGTCCATGTGTTAAGCCAAGCGACCGAACTCCATCTCTCGCCAGGGAATGGCAAGAGTCAACACGGCAAGCCAAGACAACAAGTAAGACACTCATCGAGACCACAGTCAAATCCGTCAAGATACAAGAAACCTGGTAATGGCAAGGGCACATGGTCGGAGATGGACAGATGTACTTCACGACCTGGGTCAAAGGTCCATTTGAGAACTCCATGGCTCAATCGGTAGGGCACCACCCTCCTACCTCGCTACGTGGCAGCTTGAGGCTACCCATGGTTTGACCATGGCGCATATTCATATAAGCTTATAGAAGTACCACATGATATAGTTCCTATGATTATGTTCCTTATTTTGGGGGATCAAACCAACCATCTTATGGGAAGATACTGATCGACATCCGCATGGTTTATGACATTTGCAACCATACCCATAATTAGAAAAGCTTAAAGGACGCCCCAAAGGGCTGGTTATTGAGTATGCTGTATCATTGAGTTGACCACATTGCTACAAATTACTTCTCAGAGGCTGGAAGCTACCTTGGGTGATTAATTTTAATTGCCTAGGAACCAAGCGAAACTTCCTAGCAGCTATGGATCAATATGGTAGAATCACCATGGATTCTCCACCACAAAGGACTCTGACACTTTGGATATGAGGTCCGCACCAAATGTTGTTGACCCTTAGTTTCACGCTGATCCCCGTCACAAAACGGGTTTGTCAAACAAAACGGGCATACCCGCCAAGTAGCAGTTGAACGGGAAAATGGTGATTAACCAAAGGGGGAGTATGGACAGCATGTTTGTTTTCAAACAAAGCCAACTGTGCTTTCAAAAAGTCACCGCTGAAAGTTGTCATTTCGAGCCTCCACCAGTGAACCAGGACATGCCAAACTCAGGCTTCCAAAGTGCCTGCCGGAATGGGTTAAACTCCTTCGCCACTTGTATTCATCATGGAAGCCACCAGTGTAAAATCATTTTTGGAGCACCATTTCTTAGCTTCTGCGTGAGTTTGTTACTCCAAGATTGTCATTTTTCTGGTAGAACATGATGATGATCAATCACTGGGTGCTTTTCCGTCCCAAACTCTCGACCCCCATTTTTTGTGGATGAGATCATCATTTTTGAACAAATGCCCCTATGTAACTACAGTATGCTTGAATCGCCATTGAAAGCCATGTATAGATGATGTCCCCGTAAAAATGGTCATAGATCGGTCATTAAAAAAAAAACATGGTTGCTTGTTAAACTTGGTGGTTTGTTGCTCATATGGCTTTATAGCGCCCCTCAAAAGGATAGAAAATAGAAAAGTCGGTAAATCCGTATAATAAGATAATGGAAAATGACTATACCCCCTGGTAATTTACATAGCCATCGAAAATCACCATTTATACAGCAGGTACAGTAAATCATAGAACTATTCATGAGCCATGGCTTAGCTATCTTAAAGATCTCAACTTTATCGTCCCAGTTAATACCTATGTGTTGATGTTTTGATTCTTCCCAGGACACCCCCTGGTCATGGCAATGGAAATCCTCCAGGAACTCCTCCATGGTGGATTTTCCCATTCCATAGGGGAATTCTCCAAAGATTTCCCAGCCAGCTGAGGGATCTGGTAAATTCCCAGCCACTCTCTCCAGTACTTGGAGGATCATCCCACGGTCCTCGTAAGTTAATAACCCTGTTTTTTTTCGGAGTCGTTCCCAATTCGTGAAATTTATCCCAGTGATATATGTTTTTTTTGGTTCACTAACCCCAGTTACTAACCACTTGCGAATCGTGAGATGATCCATGTATGTATAGACGATAAAAATGAGGATTTACCATATTTTACCTATTAAACATAGTAATTTGCCATAGCTACCAGAGGCTGTGTACAGTCCCCCATTTTGCTCAGACTCGGCGCCGTGTAGACCAGGTCCATGGCATAGGCCACGGCGGCACCGACCACGCTATTGCCCTGGACGATCAGCGCCTGCCTGGAAGCCAAAATCATTGGGTTTTTGGTCGACCAAAATGGTATGGATGACTGGATGACTGGATGATTTGGGGATACCCCATTTTGGGACATGGACCATAGGACACCTCCATACGCCGTAAAAAAAAAGATGGAACATGTTCAAATTGTCATTGTTTTTTGTTGGGGGATTGCCACATCTATCTTTGGAGCTTTGATCATCTTGCTTTGGATATATTGGGTATTTCCAAATTTCCACCATCCATTTTTTGGAGGTTTCAGTTTCATCAGTTTCTTGAGATGCCTTTTCACACTTTAGCATCCGTGTTTGGAAGTGTGGAAATGTCAGCATATTTCACCTTGGTTTTTTTTTGGTGATTCATCTTGAGCCATGTCCATGATGTCCATGCAATGGGTTGACCTCCTTGATTCCTTTGGCTCCAAAGAGTAACCATTTTCCTTCACTTGCAATTGAACTTGGTACCAGACTATTATTGTCGACCAGTGGTTTACACAAATTCTGGGTAGTCCGTCGTTTCGGAAAAATATCCGTCAGTTGGGATCATCTAATATATATATATATTATATATATATAGGCTTGGAAATAACACACACATAATATAAAAGCTCTAGAATCCTAGAAAATCATCGAACATCCCAATCACTATATGGATTAAGTCATGGGGGTACCCCACTGATCCATTTTAGGACCTAGGATTGTCCATGAAATAAACCATCCGATGCCATTTAAGGGACTCCAAGATCTCCAACCAGAGGCAATTCCACCCATTGAGGATTTTCCACGTCCTTAAGTCCTTACCCTCTGGTGAACTAACATAGCAATGGAAAATGGCCATAGAAATAGTGGATTTTCCCATGAAAAATGGTGGATCTTTCCATTGCTATGTTAGTTCACCAGAGGGTAACCCCCAACATCCACTTAGGAAACCTCCACCGGCCTCACCAATGCGATGAGATCTAACGCTCTCCTTGAGAGAGCCGAAGCTGCAAGACCTGGGGAGGCACCTTAGCAGGTGAAGATACTGAGGTTCACAAAAAAAAACAACATTTCAACAGCCGGGGAGATTTTGTAAGATTGAACTCAGACTCAGAAACATATGAGACTGGGACAATTTGATGGTGAAATGTCCCATCAAAACCCATGATTAAGCCATTGATTTCCCAACATTTCTCAGAAACATATGAGACGTTCATCATGGACAAACCGGTAAGAAAAACACATCTATATAGTATATAGCACAACGACTTTGGGAGTTGGCAACCCGGGAGATGATCGTCGACAATTCACCACGAGTGCATCACTGCCTGATTATCCTGATTGCTGTCCGCTGAGCCAACCTTCTTCAGTCTTGCCGGAACAATTTGAACACGATTCATCGCACAAATGGTTCCAAAGCAAAACCAAAATCCTTAGAAATGGCAGCCCTTACATAACTTACCATGATTGACAATGATTTCAGACATGAATTTTGATCTGATTCAACGCTTCCATCACACCACAGCATTCTCGCTGAACCCGTTTGGTGCCATCAGCCCATCGTCACACCAGGCTGTTTCTTCACCAAGAGGCTTTCTGCACCAAAAGATACCGGTCCGCCTGGCGCCAGGGATGGCCATTGAATCACCGAAGATCAGCAGTCATAACAGTCATACAGTGAGACAAGTCCCACCATTTGAAGGTCTCCTTTTTTAAGCACTGAGCCGCTGAGCCATTCGATTTCTGAGCGCCCCATTTTTTGCCGAAAAGCGTCGTGGGCATTTCCCAAATTCTGCTCAACGATCTTGAGGACTTGCGAAGGCATGAGAAAACCCGACATGTTTGGAAATGTTCATGCCAACGGCTGTCGGTTCTGGCAATGTTTATCCCAACCTTCGTTTGTTTCTGGCTGAATTACAATAATTATTTGCAACCCCAAATGGTTAGATCATATTTGGATTAATTTCCCTTACGTCATGTGATAAACCCAATCATAAATACCAACTTGGTCATGTTTGTTCTTTTTAGCGTAAAAAATGTGCATGGTGAATTGTTGAAATTACCACGTCCCTGATTTGGTCGTCCAACATAACATCATCTCTAGGAATTCAAAAATGTGATTTCATATGAAATCATATTGCTTCGTGGTAAGGCCATCACTGAATCACCATGCTCATCAGAGTAACAAACATCATCGTCATCGACGCCGTTGGTGGCGTCCTCGTGGGTCATCATCATCATCATCATCATCATCATCATCATCAAATTTCTCTAACCATCACGTGATTGGTGCATTTCTCAAAGCGGTTCCCACGTCATCACTCGCATGATATTCTTCAATTTTGTTAACCTATCTGCAAGGGTCAAAACATTGTTTTTTTGGTTTCTGGTCGTCCATCCCACAATGGGAATCCTTGTCATGGGATATCATGGGTATATAAATCTCCATGAATGGATTGTTTCCTATGCAAAGTCTCACGGTTTACCGGGATTTCATGTCCCCCAATCCCTTTCCCCTATGAAATATCTCCCCAAAAGCCCTGGATTTACAGAGTTAGATATTGTGCTAACCCCTACTTGGGACTGCAGTTGTTATTTTTCAGTCTGTGTATATATATATATGTATATACTGTATATATATATATATATCTGGTCGGTGGTTTCAACCCCTCTGAAATATATTAGTCAGTTGGGAGTATTATTCCCAACATATGGAAAAATAAAAAATGTTCCAAACCACCAACCAGTATATATATATAATTAACCAATTGTAACCATAGGTATAGGGTAAACGGGTCATCTGCGCACCTGCATGCCAACTTATGGATGTTATCACTACGCTTATACCACTTATACCCAGCTATAATTCCATTCCATGCCCATCTTCCAAGAATGGAGACTGGTTGTACCTTAGATACATATCCTAGATCCCAACTTATCGTTTTACACCACTTATACCCATTAAAAATGTTTCCGTTGCCTCCTCCCTCAGCCATCAGCAGTGGAGCTGCCAGCAGCAAGGAATCCGGAAAGATGCTGCAGACCGACAAATTGTGGCCTGTGAAAGCGGCGTGATGACTGAGGGCCCATATGGCTGAAGAATATGGAAAATCAGCACAAAAATCATAGGGAATCATAGGGATAATACTGTATTTAAAAAATCATAGGGAATCGTAGGGATAATTGAGATAGGATATTATAAATTATGATCAGTTAGACACGTCTATAACTTGACAAAGACGCTGGTGAAACCCGCCTTTTTATGGGTGAAAGTGGCTGACTCTCTGGTGTCATCAAACAGGGCCTGCTGGAAGATCCATTTAGTTTGAGGATGTTTCCATTATATATTGTGGCACCTCCATGTCTAGGAGATTTCCACTTGACATGTTTGATTACTAGAGGGTAACCAACGAACATGAGGAATTGTAAGTTACAACCAACCATAATGGGGAAATTGGGAAAAATGGAAAATGAACCAATGAAGTGATGGTGGTTTATAGCCAAAACAATCTTCTGTGGATATACAATAATGGAATATATTTCCACCAAACCAAGAGGTGTTTAACCAGCCAAAATAGTGATCAAAATAGAATTTAAGCAACTACGGATATGGGATATAATTGGAAAATAATGTATTCAACCAACAAAGCTGTGGTGGTTTATCATTTTACAGGGTATAATTAATGGGATACATGATCCCCAATCTGATTTCGGGATATTTCAGGTGTGTCTGAAAATGGGGATAGCGACAAAATGACCATGGCAAAGTGCGTTTCAGCGCCTCCAGATTGTAGTTTAGGCTGCGCCATTTTTTGGAAAATCCATTGAAACCATACCCATACCCCCGTGAAGATTGTACCGACTCTCCAATGGTGATGAACCAACATCGGCTTGCTGGTGGGCCTCATCCCCAAAATGGCCTAAAGTCATATGGTTGAACTGGAAACGGAAATGCTTGAAAGCATCAACCAAATGGCCTCTTAAAGCATGTTAAAGCTACAAAAACAAGGCTTTGGCAAAGCTACCGGGAATTCCAGAATGATGATATTACCCGCAAAGATGTCCGTTTGGATTAAATATGTCGAGATCGAATTGCTCGGCCGCTTCCAATCATTTTTATATGTGAGGTGTTGCCCGTCCTTTTCACGAAACCGTGGGAAAAGGACCATCGATTGCCACATCAAACTTCGTACATATTCCCGGCAAGATGGAGTTTTAACTCAGGCAGCTTCTAGCAGATGGGGGATTGAAACCAGCAAACTTGCGGTTCTATCGAACAAGAATCGGTTTCAACCAGCACATTGTAGGTTTTCCTACAGTCAAATGTTGGTTTTTATGGGGTTATGCATGAGGGTGAAAGCTTGCAACAAACAACAATCTGTATGTAAACTCTGAATGAATTTGGTGTTATGTTTTTTTTGTTGTACCATAAAAAATACCGTTCAATTGAACCTGAATCTATTGTACAACAAGCATGTTAAGTGTAGGTGTTTTTTCGGAAAATCCCATCGAAAATTCCGCGAAAGTCCCACCTTCGCCGTCCTTGCAGGCGCAATAGCCGCGCTTCAGGACGGACAGCGCGGTGGTGCTCGCCATGTTCCACACGGTGAAGACCTGAGCGGTGGCTTTTCGGAAGTCATGGCTGGATGATGACTGGGGGCCCATGACTTAGGAACCCCCCTGTGGGTAAAACAATGTCATTTTTACCAGCTATGACTGGGAATGGTACCCATACCACTTATATCTTTATGGTGATGACTGGGGGATAGTTTATGGCATTGTTTTGCCCACATTATATGGAAATAGTGAGATGAAAGGAGGAAAAAGTAATTAGATCAGTTGAGAGGGGAACAGTTGAGCAGTAGCTGCTTCACCGGGGCCCCGTTGCGTATCGTCCCATAGATCATCTTTTCATGTTTGATGCGTTGACCCGCGCGAAAGCTATATGGAAACCAACAATTGCAATCTCTGCTCGAAAAATCATGTTCCAAAGCCCGTTTTGTTTTGGGTTCCACATCAAATTTCCTGCTAATAGTCCCCCTAACCTGGCAACCCTGTTTTTTATTCGGGAACATGCAAAGACCATTCGTTCGGTTCATATGGTTCTAAAATGTTTAAAATTGGCTCATTCTCGGGGTCTATGTCAATTTGGGGCATGGTTCTTAACTTCCCAAAGAAATGCTGGGTGCTGCTCTTCCCAAAGAAATGCACCGCCCACCGCCAGCCCACCAGAAGGTGCTCCGAAATCTCCATCAGAGGCGAAGAGCGGTTCTCAGTCGCCTGGCGGTGATCCACTATCCCCAAGTTTATCCATTTTCTTACTGGTGCTAAACGTAGGGAATGGATGGGTTGCTGGGGGTTGCTGGGATGATTATGAAACTAGTGATGATTTATGGATCATTCCCGAAAATTCCCTGCGTAAAACGCACCAGTAAGTTTTTATGGGACTGAAACATATTTAAACCATCAATTTATATATGGCTGGTTTATGCTTGACTAACATTAACCATTTGTTGCTTAGGGGATCCTGGGGGCATTGTCCAAGCCATGATTCATTGCCAGAGCTCAAGGCCAGGCAGGGGTTTAAAGAAATTGTAATAAGTAGTTATATAGTTATAGCTGTATATATATATAGTTATCATATATAGTTATCATATATAGTTATCATATATAGTTATCATATATAGTTATCATATACAGTTATCATATATAGTTATATGTAGTTGCATATAGCTACATATAGTTGTATAATGTTATAAAAAGTTATATATATATATATATGTATACATATATGTATGTATACATATATGTATAGATAGATAGATAGATAGATAGATAGATAGATAGATAGATAGATAGATAGATAGATAGATAGATAGATAGATAGATAGATAGATAGATAGATAAGATAGATATGATAGATATGATAGATATGATAGATATGATAGATATGATAGATAGATAGATAGATAGATAGATAGATAGATAGATAGATAGATAGATAGATAGATAGATAGATAGATAGATAGATTAGATTAGATTAGATTAGATTAGATTAGATTAGATTAGATTAGACTAGACTAGACTAGATTAGATTAGATTAGATTAGATAGATAGATAGATAGATCAATACCTGGTAAACGATAAGTATGCAAAATGTTAGTCATTTCACGAAAACCAATGTTTTTTCAAAAAATGCATTTTTTTGGTGTACAACTGCACAAAAAAATACGGTTTTCTGTTGTTTCATAATTTTGATGGAATTGTGTCATGTATGCATTCAGCTTACACCTAACGGTATACCAGGATTCATTGTGCAAGGACACGTGGGTTTTCCGGGGCATTTGCCACGTGTGAAATCTCCGTGGGAAACCTCTCCATCCCGAGGCCCGGGTGGCCACAGTCTTTTTTTCCCACAGCTCTTCGGTTCACTTGCGCCCTGGTGGAACCTTAGAGGCTGCGGCAATGGCTGGTTCCGAAGTGAAACTGGTGGGTGGAACGGGGCAGAATTCATCCAAGCAGGGGGAGTTGGAACATGTGAAAGTCACCGCTCAGACCCGGGTATGGATCCGAATAGGGGGGAAAGCAGTACAAAAGATGGGATTGTGGGGATGGCCTATTTTCAAACCACATGACCAACCTTTCTGATCTGTGTACAATGGTAGCACAATGTAAGGTCGCCATCTTCCTCAACGGGCCTCAAAAAGCACGCTGCATCTTTTCGTTCAGCATAACACAACTCGTCCACACACGTCGGCCCTCGAGACACACACGGGCGCGGGGAGCGCTGACTTGCCGCTGTGTCCAATGTTTGCGCTTGCCCTCAGCACAAACGGCCTCTCACCGTTTGGGTGCAAATTAATTAAGGATCCAAGGTGCCCCTGGGTAGACCAACAATGTAATTACAGTATCCTCCTGTTGAAGTGTTCATACAAAAGCAACCCTGAGGCGGGAAGTCCTGAACTTTCAAGATGTACCAGGCTTTTGGGACACCAGACTAGAGCCACGATGGATGGGTAAAAGCATGGCTCTGACATCGAATTTGAGTGCAACTGCCCTTCGCGAATGGGCAAACGATTTCTGGCCACTCTGCGTGGCATCTTTGATACGGCCACTCCGATCCTGATTCCAGGAAAAACAACAGCATTGCAGCATCTCCTCAAATCACCAATTGAAATCCAGAACCACTTCATCAACAAAATGTCTTCTATAGATTCCTTAAAAAGAAAAAAAAGACACATCAAAAAAGGTCTATATAACCTCACTAGTCCAAAAAGAATATCCGCAGGATCATTGCCATGGCCATGGCGCGTGTTCCTCAGGCGCCCGCGGTGGCCACAGCCGCCTCGGTCAGCGGCTCAGCCGTGGCCACGTCCTTGGCCTCGGATGCCTCGGATGCCGCGGCCTCGGGCTCCGTGAGGCGGTGGTCCTTGAGGTCTTCGAAGCAGGTCCAGTTGTAGTTCTGGTAGTTCCTCAGCCCCAAGGGATGCCCCAAAAAGTGTAGCCCCAAGGGATGCCCCCGGTCGTCCAAGGGATGGCTGAAGGGGGATGGCCCCCAGGGGGCGCCCTAATGGGGTCCGGTTGATGAGCCATCGATTGGAGAGGTATCTGCTGTCTAACGCTTGCTATATATTTGGTTCATGGTGGACATGAAAAAAGTTTTTCGGCGGGTTGTCAATGAAGGTTAGATGCACCCAAGAGCACCTTCCCTCCACCAAGCGTCTCAAGTTCAACCGAGGCCTCCTGCAACACTTTCTTAGCGCTCTGCAAGGTGGGTTCTGCCTCTTCCACCTAAAACAGATGGAGGATGACTGGCAAAGAAGAATTGGCGTGTCAAACCTACCAGAAATGAGGATTTAATCAGCAAGTAACATCAAGTAACTTGAGATGTGGTGTTGAGGTCAGCAAATTTGGTGTTTTCTGTAGGTTCGCAACCTAGCAAGAATGAGCAATCCAGCAGAAGTGCGGTGTATTCGAAAAAAAACAGGTCGTTTGCGTACCATCTTTGCAAATATTTCAGATTTCGCAACCAGTTCCTTTATGAGAAGTGTTCCGTACCCCCATCAAACACATCCCAAGAAAATTGTAGTCAACTGGGATTATCATTCCAGGGATGGTATATTCATTTGTATTATAATATATATATAATATATATATATACATACATAAGTTTAGAACAAACAAAAAGTCAAACCACCACCGAATCTTAGCGGTTCCCCATTGCATTGAATATGCCCACGAGTTGAACTGAATACCCGCCATGAGTTGGGCGTGGATAGTGGATGCCCCCGGTGAGTGCTAAACTGCGCCTAATTTTAGGCGTGTCAAAATCCCCATTTATATCATTTTATATCCATTTATCCACACTTGTGGCTGTTAAAACCCAATCAACCCATGTTAGTTTGGGGGTTTTCTACAGTGATAAAGTACGTATTACCACAGCCGTTCAGTAGGATTCATTGACTTTTCTGCATCTTCTCAAGGGCCGCCAGTTCTTCCTCCCGCCCGCCACAGCGCCTTTTGATCCGCCTCTTTCTTGGCATCTTGGCAGGCCTTGAGCGCCTGAAATGTGTATCGAATGTCATTCATATTCTGATATATGATACATGATACATGATATATGATACATGATATATGATATATGACATATGATATATGATATATGACATATGACATATGATATATGAAATATGATATGTGATATATGACATATGACATATGATATATGATATATGACATATGATATATGACATATGAAATATGATATATGATATATAACATATGATATATGATAAATGATATGTGATACATGATATATGATACATGATACATGATATATGATATATGATACATGATATATGATATATGATACATGATACATGATACATGATATATGATACATGATACATGAGATATGAGATATGATACATGATACATGATATATGATATATGATACATGATACATGATACATGATATATGATACATGATATATGATATATGATACATGATACATGATATATGATACATGACATATGATTTATGACATATGGCATATAACATATGACATACGACATATGACATATGACATATGACATATGACATACGACATATGACATATGACATATGACATATGACATACGACATATGACATATGACATATGAAATATATTATATATGATATATGATACATGATATATGATATAATGTGTATGTCTATATCTATATATCTCGCATCTAAATATCACCAGACTAAAAAAAAAAACTGCTTCCCCGGGGCACCGTCTGAGTCTCCCGGTACATCTCAGCCGTCTTTTCCTCATGGACTTTGGCCGCCTGGGCTGAGCCCCTACGGGATTTACGGCATGTACCCTATGGTAACTAGGGTTTATGGTGACTGAATCGGAGTCGATGGGATTTATCGTTGGGGCAAACTAACATATCTAACATAGAGGTGGAGAAGCCATGCTTTCCCATTCGAAAATGATCTACAGATGGTGGGTTTTTCACATCGACTGTTAATTTACAGGAGGCTGGCCATCCAAAGGATGACAAAATCCTGGTTGAGCCATGATTCCATGCAGATTCCGTTGTGACATGGTGTAGTTGAATAGGGCCGGGATAGAGTATTCGCTTCTTCACCAGCATGGCAAATATTCACCAACAGTTCATATCATGTTGGTGTGAGAAAAAACACCCATCCAACAACATTCTATGAACACTTGAGTAAAACCAAAACAAGTTGAAAATCACCAGCCAGTCTTCGACCCCCATAGATTTTGAAGTGCCCATTCCATGATCAAAACCACCTATGACATTTCCCAGGATCCTCCACGCAAGCGCCCCGTTCCCCTGGCGGCCTCCAGTTCCTTCATGGCCCCTTCCACGGCGGCCTGGCGCTCCGCTGCAGCGGGCTCGCCCTGCTGGATTTGCTCCGCCAAAGCGGTGCAGCGCTTGGTGAGACCCTCTTCCAGCTTGACGACCACCTGAAAAAAAAACTGGGGGAAGGTGTGTATACATATGTGTGCATGTATGCATGCATGCATGCGTGTATGGATGGATATATATATATATATAGGTTTGGAGATGGATCTGAGAGAGATGTATGTGTGTATATATACATATATATTGGGAGATGGAAGATATATATATATAGAGAGAGAGACAGAGAGACATATACATATGTTGTGTATATATATATATATATATGTGTGTGTATCTCTATATATATAGTATATGGAGATGGAATGAGATGAACATATATACATTATATATATACATGTGTTGGGGACCCTCTGAAAATCTTGAATATGACACTGGAAAATCCAAGTTTCAAGGGGAAAATCACCTCGTAGAACTGATTTGTTGGGTGGATATTGGTGCCGCTGGCCGTTCTCCATCCAGGCGCATTCACCAAGATACTAAGATATACTAAGATATACTAAGATATACTAAGATATACTAAGATATACTAAGACATACTAAGACATACTAAGATATGCTGCATGCTAAGATATGCTAAGATATCCAAATGGATGTTTTAACCATGCTTTGAAATCCTGCATGAATATGCATGAAGCACATTGAAACACTTTTTCTTGAGATGTCTTTGAATTGTTTCAACAAGGTGGTAACCCAGTTCGTTCGCTAAGTGCAAATAACTCCAATAGCTTGGGGTTTACGGTAGATATACCTATACTTAATGGGGGTTATAAAACAACTTATAACTGCGAGGGCACCACCTTTGTTCCCAGTTTGTAGATATGATATATCCAACTACTTCAAATTTCAAGGGGGTGATAAACCCACAAACATCACTGGAGGGGTACCACCTTGAACCACCCCAAATCTCAAATTCCTCGGTCGGATCCCTGCAGAACCCCCAGTCCCTGCGGTGCCAGGCACCATGGCTTCGAAGGAACCACGTTTGCTGGGAGGTTTCAGAATGCTGTTGGGCAGCACCCTCAGCAAACCTTAGGATCAAAAAATGGAGGTTGAACCATCAACAATGGAGCTTTAACCTTATACAAAGGGGTGTTGGAAACGTTGTTCCAAAAAAGAGATATGAGCAGGTATGAATTCCAGCTGGGATATCAAACGATCAATGTGCAGGGTGCATAGTTTTGACGCATACCCCAAGTGTTGACTTTTATGTTTTTTTTGATGAACGGCAAAAAAACACCAACCAGATTTTTACGGTGGCCAATGATGAAGTGTCAATTTGGACTGTTGGGAAACATGAAAAAGTCGCCATAGTGATCGTCCCCTTCATCAGGAGATCCTTTCATAAGGAGATTCAAACCATCAGCTCACCATCGCAATAAACAGCTTGCTTGGTGCTTTGGAAGTTTGGGAAGCACCAAACTTCAAGCGATGAATTCAACTTTCCCAAAGATTCCCTTGCGCTTTGATGGATGAACCGAAATTCAAGACCCCCTTGTGAAGCCCACAAGTGTTGGTCATGATTAGGAACCAATTCTGGCTGAATTATAATCTGCTTGGTGGTATGCCTACCCCTCTGAAAAATATGCTCGTCAGTTGGGCTGATTATTCCCAATATATGGAAAAATAAACAATGTTCCAAACCACCAACCAGTAATGATTCACTAATCTGAGAATGCCGAAGTAAGGCCACGCATCTTCCTGTGATCGGCTGCGCCCCACACTTGCAGAGAGCTGAAATGCTGGGCCATTTGGGGATGATTCCCCCAGGTTTCAACCATCATTCCAGTGATGCCGCAGGGAGGTCATTATAAATCATTCAGAATCATCCCATTTTTTGTTTTGAACAGGTGAAACCGTGGCATACCGTGACTTCCCCATCTTCTAAGAATGCTGCTGACATGAAACACAATGTGGTCTGGTGGACCACGGGCAATCCAAACCATCGCCGAAGTTGTCCGCAACTTTGAATTACCCCAAAAAAATCATAATTAATCAATTGAGGGCCAATCCCCCACTTTCAAACCCCCAGATGTAGAAAAATCTTCATTATATCTATCCCAGTATATCCCCGTGATTAGTTGTTTTTTCCCCGTAACTTTGTTTTTTGTCCAACCATTTTTGGGACAAAACACGCCGACACAACTATCATGTGGTTGGGAAAACGGCTGCCTCGTAGCTCCGAACCGCTCCCTATGCAAAACCAGGAATATGGATACAACCATAACTCCGTTCACCGCCGATAGCATATTTAAATCACCATATTGATCCCGTTAGATAACAATATTCCTCGGATATTCGCATTAAACCACCATTAAATCCCATTAACCCACCATTAACCCACCATTAACCCACCATGAAATCCACCCTTAATCCACCATTAAACCACCGTGTTGGGTACCAGGAAGCTGTTCTCCATACCGCTGCTCTTGGCCACCTGCTCCAATTTCCTGGGCTTGCGTTGGCTTGGATTGACGCAACAAAGTTAGGGAGGGATTTAGAACCAATATAATATGTTAGATATGTGATACTGATTTTTCATAACCATAAATAAGAGTATAAAATATATAATGATTTTGTAACATATATATATGACATAATGTGTTGGGTTGGTTTTTATGGTTATATAATATGATATGTGATAGATAATATGATAGATCTATAACATGCTGAATATGATTCCAATGATGATAGATTGTTTTTAATATAACCACCATTTTTGTTATGGACGTGATGGAATATATAGATGTATAAAAATGATAAAACCAGCAAGATGATACTTGATATACTTTAAAACGTGGGATGGGCCCTCGAGGAGATGATCTGCCAGTATTACTGGCTTTGAACCCTGCAATGTGTATCCAAGTACCACTTGATGTTCCCAAATGTTCCCAATATATGGCCAAAAAGTTACAATTACCAAGTGGAGTTTCACCACTAGGATTCACCACCATTGGACCGATGCACTTGGAGACAAACCAAAAACCCTAACTTGGTGTTTGTATCTCATCCCATCAAATCCCATTGGATCCCAATATTGTCCCATAAAAATCTGGTTGGTGGTATACCAACCCCTCTGAAAAATATGCTCGTCAGTTGGGATGATGACATTCCCAATATATGGAAAGTCATAAAATTCATGTTCCAAACCACCAACCGGTTCTGGTAGTTATGGTTACCTCTGGTAAACTAACGTAACCATGGAAAATCACCATGCTATTAATGGGTAAATCCCATTGGATCCCAATATTGTCCCATAAAAAATGCGGGGTACCCCCAAATCATCCATTTTAGATTGGGATTGTCCATTATAAACCATCCATTTGGGGGTACCCCCAAGCCACCAACCAGCCTAAAAATGGTAGGTCCCAATTGTTCTCTCCCTGAAAACCACCCTGTTTTCGCAGCCATCGCAGCGACCAAGTGGCTTGTAGTGCGCCTTTGCTTCATCACCATCGGTGCCGTCCCGCAGCACGCGAAATTCCTAGCTGTTTGGCCACAAAATGGTGAGTAGACCCTACTCGTCATGGCATTTTCATGGGGAAAATGAAGTCTTCACTTAACCCCATGGCATTTCCGGGTAGCGTATTTTCAGAACATGGGAAGCACAGCAGTTGAATCTCTCCCCAAAAATACTTGGGATGTTGGGGAATCATGTCCAGCTACGGCGGAATATATCCCAAGAAATTACAACATGCCCCCAAATAGGGTCCAATCCTGTTGGTTGGCTCCCTATTTGTTCAAGAAATAGTGATGCAGACCTTGTACAGTGAATCCCAAATCATCTTCACTATTTCTGACTATATTCCTTGATTGGTGTTGATTAAGAGCCCGCCTGAAGATTTGAAAAGCAAACAGTTTAAGGATCTACATGGAGTTTCTTAAAATTGCGGATCCCCAAAAATGCATGGGTTATAATCATGGAAAATCCTATTAAAATAGATGAGTTGGGGGTACTCCCATTTCAGTATGATTAAAATAATAATCATCAAAGAATTGGCATACCCTGCGATAATCAAACATGGTTGGCTGGGAAAACTATGGAATGCAAATTGGACTGCGTGAAATAATTTGGCTTAGTGTTTCAAGAAAAACAATGATTAGGGGATGCGTCAAAGCCTATTATTGCCATATTTGAAGAAATAAACATCATTAAACATCCATTCACCAACTATTTTGTGGGTACTGTCACCAGGGTTTTGACCCAAAACCCTTAAATGGGGGTTTCCCAAAATAGGGGTACCCCTAAATCATCCATGTTATTTTAGGATTTTCCGTGAAATAAACCAACCAGCTATTGGGGATACCCCATTAATGGAAACCCCTAAATCTTCTTCAGCCCCCACCAACCAACCCCTCCACGATGGCGCCACCTCAGTCAGGGCCGCTTCAATCTGAGCCTTCTCCTTCTTGGCGGCATCATGGGCGGCATCGCCTGGGGATTGGAGGATTTGATGGTTCTTTAATGCGCATTTAAGGGGATTTACTGGTAGTTGACTGTGAATTTCATGGGAATTTGATTCCCGAAAGCTCATTACATTACGTTACGGTTCATTGCGCTACATTACATTGCATTACAGTACATTACATTATATTGCATTGCATTGCATTAAAACATGCATGTATTTTAGATCTATACAGAATGCATTGTATACATATATTCTATTCTATACATACACATTTATGCTAAATATGTCAGTAAAACAATTTTCATTGTTAATCCTCATGTTTCCTCTTAACCTGGCCATAACTGGGGTGTAAATCCCTCATTTCAAGACACACCCAAGGTCCTCTTGTAGGGTTGTACATACATACATGCCATACCATACCATACCATACCATACCATACCATTACATTACATTACATTACATCACATTACATTACATTACATTACATACATACATACATATATATATACATACTTTATATTCAAATAATACATTACTAGATTAAAAGGATGGTTGTTAAATCCCATGACGAAAACAACACTGTAAATCCCATAAAACCACTATAAACCCCCACTAAATCCCCAATAAATCCAAACTAAATCCCATTAAGTCCCATGAAATCCCCATAAAGTCGTCCCACTAAATCCCATTATTTAGGCCCCCCTTAAATCCCCATTAAGTATCTCCTTTCCAGCGCACCTTCGCTCCGCAACTTCTCCAGTTCCGACAACTTGGTCTGGGCCGCCCGGGCGGCACCGGTGGCCTGTTGCGGCCGGGCTTGCAGCATGACCTTACTAGAAAAATTGGTGAAATGGGTGGATTTAGAAGCAACTACAATGGGGATAGCACTGAGATGCATGCATATATATATATGTATATATCCCATTTAATCCCTATTCTTGTTGGTCAAATTACCAGTTTCCCGTGTTTGTTTTCATGTTTGGGGGCCTCACCTTGTAGTTCTACAGTGTATATAGGGTTTCCTAAGTCATGGTGGTCCTCGCAAATCATCCAATCATTAAATTGGTTTAATATTTAAACCCATGATGACTTGGGATCCTCCATTTTCTGCACCCCCTATATGTATATATACATATATTTATAAAAATCATTTCCCCCTGCTATGATCCGAAAACTGTGTGAACCCCTATTAAAACCGTTGTTTCTAGTGATGTGTTCTATTTTACCTGGCAGGGGCTATATAATGCGACAATGTGTATGTATATATACAGTAAAGCCAGATAAATATATAGAGCTAGAGAAAGGGGTAGACAGACAGACAGACGGAAGGACGGACGGACGGACGGACAGACAGACAGACAGACAGATAGATAGAGAGAGGTAGACAGTTAGATAGCCAGATAGCTAGATAGCTAGATAGCTAGATAGACGGATAGACGGATAGATGGATGGATGGATGGGTGGATGGACAGACAGACAGACAGACAGACAGACAGATAGATAGATAGATAGATAGAAAAATTAGGTAGATAGATCGATAGAAAGCTAGAACAATAGATAGATAGATACATGGATAGTTAAAGGCATAGACGGATAGATGGATAGATGGCTGGATAGGAAGGAAGAAAGACAGGTAGAGACAGAGAAATAGCTAGTGCTAGATACACAGACAGACAGACAGACAGACAGACAAACAGACAGGCAGGCAGGCAGGCAGACAGACAGACAGACAGATAGGTAGATATGTAGATAAATAGAGAGGGAGAGGGAGATAGAGATAGATAGAGAGAGGGAGATAGAGACAGATAGGGAGATCGGGATAGGTAGCCAGAGAGAGAGAGAGAAAGAAAAAAAACAGATAGACAGGCGGACAGATGGAGATGGAGAGAGAGAGAGAAAGAAAGAAAAAAACAGATAGACAGGCGGACAGATGGAGAGAGAGAAGGATAGAGAGGAGAGCGAGAGAGACAGACAGAGAGAGAGAGAGAGACGGGGGGGGAAGAATGAGAGAGAGAGAGAGAAAGGGAGAGAGAGAGATAGAGAGAGACACAGAGAGGAGGAGACAGAGAGAGATCGAGAGAGAGAGAGAGAGAGAGACGCAGAGCCTCAACCACCTTTCGGTCCATCAGTGGGTTCTCTCTGCCATCCATGCGTCACAACGCAAAGCTCTCCTCTACTACTAGTAGGTGTCCTATTTTTGAAATTTCCGCCACTGCCTTGTGCGGTATTATTGGTGTATGGTTAGTTAAATCAACACACCAAAAAAAAAACGGGATCCTGCCATCCCACCAACCAAGACAGGGGGACCGAAAAAAATCGATGTCGGCTGAGCCAATGGGGTACAGCCAAGGACCCCATTGAGTTGGTCGTGTTTAGTCTTCAACACTCCAATGTGGGGGTTTCAATACTACAGAATAGGTTATATAACACATGTTCCGTGTTTCTTTGGATGTAGTTCCCATGTCACTACCGAGACTACGCTTTTCTGTCCCTAAATGAATGGTTGCTGGTCTGAATCCAATCCAAATGGCATGATCGTATGTAGTCTTTGTTGCACATCTCACACGAACCCAGGATGAAACCAATGATGATAGTGACATATAGTGGCAATAAGAATTTCATTTTTCTGTCACAACAATATATATATATATATGTATGTATATATATATATATGTATGTATATATATATGTATGTATATATATATATATATGTGTGAATTTGAAACATAAACATTGGTGAGTTCTTCCCCTTACTCATCACAATCGTCAGGTCCAAATTGAGGTCAACAACCCTTTCGCACCTCGGCGAAATCCTCTTTTCCTGGCTTCAAACATGGAGACTGTCCGCACTGCCGATGGAGAATCATCCGAACATGGGGAGATCACGACTCTGCAAAGGGAACCCCACGAAGTCCAGGAACCAGCGCTGGTTTGTTAGGAAGCCTCATGTTACATTGATTGGGCTCCCACTGGCTCTAAATCGACAATGTTTCATAATGTTTCCATGTCATGATCTTCCACTTTATTTTGCCTTGATCCCTTTATTGGACTGACATGATGTCTGTGGAAAAATCCCCTTGGAGATGCCCTAAAGTCTTTTTCTGTCTGCCCCTCGTTCACCATGACATGCAGTTGGAACTGACATTCAATCACGAAAAGTCGCTTCTTTCTTTTCAGTGGCTTTTCACAGTTCTTTGATTTATATACCTCCTCATTCTTCCGGCCTGAGTCTAACTTCACCTTTGGTTTATGACTTTTTGTTGACAATCACCACCCCTTTCAATGTCCCACCCACGGAATGGTGCTGACTTCCTTGCGTTATTGCCCCATGAATTCACGGTTGGCAAAAACCATTCGCTTCCGATTACTTGTCGATATTCAGCGCTTCCAAAAAAGAAAACACCACTCTGTGTGACCCTTCAGTCAACCTCAGCCTCCCCATTAGCTGTCCCATTAACTATACCATTTCAGTGGGAAAATATAGACATACCCCTAGCTCCAAGTCGCTCCCTCCGTTCACCACTGGATACTTTGATTCTATCAAAAATAAAGATCGCATCATCCAAGTCATAAGACCATTTATCCTCTGGTAAATTAACATAACTATGGAAAATCACCATTTTCAATGGGTAAATCCACTATTTCTATGGGCCCAAAGGGTAAAAAACATTGAAACCTATGGTGACGATTGGGGATCCCTCATTTTGAGAAACCCCCATTTTTTGTGATCAACCAACAAGCTTGTGAACACTATATCCAGTCAAAAGATTCCATGAAAAATCACCATGCAATCCCATGAAAAAACACCATGAAAATACTCACCACTAAATCAATGTATTAAATCACCAGGCTCAAAATTCCAAGCTAAAATGAGCAATCCATATAGAAAATCCGATAGAAAATCCAGAAAATCTCATGAATTTCCTGGTTCAATGGGTGGAACCACCATCTCTTCCCATGGTTTCTGCGCTCGTTCTGCTCAAGTCACCCTTGCTCTCGGTCTCCAGGGCCTTCTGCAAGGCTTCATCACTGGCCGAGACCTGGCCATGCTGGTGCCACGGGGAAAACGTGGGAAAAAGGTGGGGAAAACCTGGGGGAACATGGGGAAAATTGGGTTTGTTTTTATGATTTTTTTGGGAAATCATGGGGAAAACGTGGGGGAAACGTGGAGAAATCATGGAGAAGATCATGGAAATCATGTAAAAAGTGCCGGGAAATGATGGAAAATAACGAGAGATAGTGGGACATAATGTGGATATAAATGGGAAATAGGGGGTACATATGGATATAGATGGTGTTAACATTGGGTCATTCCAGTGATATCATATATCCAAATTATATCACTAGTAAAACGATTTCTAGCCTGACATCATTGATGCAAGTCACCATGGATGGAAGAGACATCTACAATTATGGTTTTTATCCTGAGATATAAGGGGCTATAATTGGACGGTTGAATATGTGTACTGGGCGAAAAATGAAGGCCCCTGCAGATGGAATGGTCATTTTTGTATTACTGTATTACCAATTCAATTCCAGGAGCACCCAACTATGCACATATGTATGTATGTATGTATGTATGTATGTATGTATGTATGTATGTATGTATGTATGTATGTATGTATGTATGTATGTATGTATGTATGTATGTATGTATGTATGTATGTATGTATGTATGTATGTATGTATGTATGATGTATGTATGTATGTATGTATGTATGTATGTATGTATGTATGTATGTATGTATGTATGTATGTATGTATGTATGTATGTATGTATGTATGTATGTATGTATGTATGTATGTATGTATGTATATATATATATATTATGTATACTGTATACATATGTACATAAATAAATGTATATATACATATGCTTTTCTATGTATCTACAGTAATTATATATAAACGATCTATGTACAAATATCATATATATATAATATATATGCACATGTGTGTATATATATATGTTATTGTAATTGATAATCACTATGTAAAGTATTGCAGTCGTACAATTGGCTGTACACATCTTTATACAATACTTATATACATACCCAGTCTACTGGCTTTTTTATAAAACCAGTCTTAAACCATCCCATCAACCAACTGGCTGCATCCATAAACCTCTATTGGGGATGGCATTATGGCATTATGGCACAAAGGGTTTACCACAGTCCCTATGAAAAATGCCCAAAAAAACAAAGCACCAAGGTGAGGCCCTCTAAATGACCAAGTTTTTTGACACAGAACTTGGTTAATGTTTGGATTGATGAATGGGGGATAAGATATTATTTCATGGGGTTCATAAATCACTTGAAACTGAGGGGCCCTCACCTTGTAATAACCCATATATCACTGGATGATAAGATGGTCAAATCCCATTCAATCCCCATGGAAAATCCCCATCAAATCCCATTAAACCACATTAAGTCACCACAAAAATCCAATTTTATCCATTAAATTCCCATTAAGCAACCATTAAATCCCCCATTAAACCACCATTAAACCACAAATGAAGCTACCCTTCACTGGCTTCGATCTCACCTGGGCTTGAAGCTCCGTCTTGGCTGCTTCGATACGAGAGACTTCCTCAGTGCCAGTCTCCACCTTCATCTTCAACTTGGAGAGAACGCCTGACGGTGATGAAAAATGATGATATAATATGGGTGTAACATGGATATAACATGGGTATAATATGGATATAATGTGGAAATATAGGATGATATACGGAAAATCTGGATATAATATGGCTATAGGGAAAGCTGGCACAGAAAACTAGGATATACGATACTTCATCAACTTCGATTGATTTTTCATCGAACATCTACGGAAAACCCATCGGTTTGACCTCCGCGAAATTTTACACCCCGGGGGATAGTCATCAACTGGGATTGAACCAATAAAACCAACCGGAATACGGTGATTTTTCATATGGGAATACAATAGGATATATCAGCAACAAGAGGTGTAAACACCAACAAAACTTGGGGTTTCTAGCCAACAATAGTGGGGATGTGATGGCATATATAACCAACAGTATGATATGTGTTGGGTTGTGTGTGGTGGTTTAGATATTTAAAAGTGTGGATTTAATGGGATATCCATGGGGATTATAATAAGAATAGATAAGATATATAACTTATATAACCAACTACAGTATATCCAATCTGGGTGCGCCTGACAATGGGTATATGCCCCCAGTTCATGGCAAATTTGATGGGACCTGGTTTTCAGAGAAACCCCTGGGACATGGGGCTGGAAACCTACACCAAATCCACCGTTCGGATCTAAAATAGATCATCCAAGTGGGTACCCACCGGACATATTTTTTTAGATACCCTCTGATAATTTAACGTAGCTATTGAAAATGGCCATAGAAATAGTGGATTTACCCATTGAAAATGGTGATTTTCCAGTTCGTTATGTTAGTTTACCAGAGGGTACCATCTGGTAAATCATCATCAATTCTCATTTCATGGTAAATCATGACTGTTATATACACAAGTCTCATCTATAAATGAGCCATTTTCCATAGATATGTCAAATCACCAGAGCCCGCCCTAGGACCATTTTCCATGCTCCTGGATAACTTGGATGCGCGAACAAAACTTGGCGTAACCTTTTCGGCTGTTTACTCGGGATCTCTAAACCATAGATATATTTCTACTATATTATACCATCTGGTTATTTAACATAGCCATGGAAAATCACCATGGTTAATAGGTAAACCATCTATTTCTATGGGCCATTTTCCATGGCTATGTGAAATAACCAGAGGGTATATACATTGATATGTGTGTATATATACATATAATATTGTAAAATGTGTATATGAATATGTGTATATAATATATCTATAACAAATAGTGTGTATATATATATATTGCGGAAGCGTTTTGATTTGGTTTTCAAGTATATCATTTGTGAGGGGTGGGCACTCCATCAACAGGGCCCTTGATCAGCCAGGGTCCAAAATTAGGAATAATAAAAAAAAATATCAAAACATATCAAAATATTAAAAAACATTACTATTCATTATAAAAAATTATCACAAATACCACACATCACAATACATCAGAGGCTATTATTATTACTGGACAAATATGTATAGATACTATAAAGCATGCTATATCTTCAATCACCAGGTGTCCACCCACAGGCTCCCTGTCTCCCCCACTGCTCCATTTTCTTTGGGTACTTTGCCTTTCTTGGTAGTTCTTCTACACTACTCGCTAAACTTGTGAAAACATGCTCTTTGATCACTCCAGGCTCCTGCCTCTCAGATTCACTGAGCTTGTACATCCTTTGATTTGACAACTTTTCTTGCCAAACCTTCCAAATAATTCTGTGCACTTCTGTTAATTTGGCCCTCCAACTGGCTGGGTCAGTGCTGTCAAAAGATCTTGAAGTGCTAGATATTGACAAAGATCTCCATGAAGCTGTGAATCGGTGGTCATTGCCTCAAGGCACTAAGTAGTGGGAGGCACTACCCAACCCAATATGCTATTAGGAGCTTATTACTCAATATTATCCAACCCCTTTGTTGGTCACAATATATATATATATAACAAAAACTGTATGTTTATATATATAAATATTTGGTGGGATGTCCAGTACTTGATGCCCCAAACCCCACTTAAAATTCTGGTATAGTCACATTATGTTGTATTGTCAATGATTATGCTATAGTGCTGCATCTCCATTATTCAAACATCACCATTTTGTAACCAGCAACATTCAGAACCTGGTAGTTTCATAAGTGGTAACCCTGCACACCAAAAAGGCAAAGACTGGCTGCAAACTAGTGTCCATTTAAGGTCAGGCTGCAACCAGGTGGGCAGAGGGTATGTAAGATTCCTGGAGACAAGAACTGCCTTGGGCCTCTAACCCCACTGGCCCTCTTGGGGGGTGGGTCTCCTGGTGCATCAAGTGGTGCATCAAGTGGTGCCTCTGCCATGCTTGATTCAGCATCTGGTGCACCAGATGGTGCTGATCCTGCTATGTTCGGTTCCTCATCCTGTGCTGCTGATACTACTGCCATTGTAGGTTCAGCAGGTTCTTCAGCTGCTGCTGCTGCATCTGCCATGCTACACTCAAGCTCAGCTGTTGCTGCCTGTGCCATTGCCATTGTAGGTTCAGGGGGGTCAGCTGCTGCTGCTGCTGCTGCATCTGCCATGTTGGGCTCAAGCTCAGCTGCTGTTGCTTCTGCCAATGCAGCAGCTGCTGCTGCTGCCTTTGCCATGCTGGTCTCAAGCTCAGCTGTTGCTGCATCTGCCATGTTGGGCTCAAGCTCAGCTGTTGTTGCTTCTGCCAATGCAGCTGCTGCTGCTGCCTTTGCCATGCTGGTCTCAAGCTCAGCTGTTGCTGCATCTGCCATGTTGGGCTCAAGCTCAGCTGTTGTTGCTTCTGCCAATGCAGCTGCTGCTGCTGCCTTTGCCATGCTGGTCTCAAGCTCAGCTGTTGCTGCATCTGCCATGTTGGGCTCAAGCTCAGCTGTTGTTGCTTCTGCCAATGCAGCTGCTGCTGCTGCCTTTGCCATGTTGGCCTCAAGCTCAGCAGTTGTTGCTTCTGCAATGCTGGGCTCAAGCTCAGCTGCTGTTGCTCCTGCCAATGTAGGTTCAGCAGGTGCTTCAGCTGCTGCTGCAGCTGCTGCTGCCTCAGCCATGCTGGTGTCTAGCTCAGGTGTTGCTGCAACTGCCATGTTGGGTTCAGCAGGTGTTTTTTCAGCTGGTGCTGTTTCTGCCCTATCAAGTTCACTCCCTGATGGGCTAGGGAGTGGGGTGCCTGGTTCATAGGAATTGTCATCTTCTAGGGCAAACAGTGGCACTTGGTCTGGCACATCTGAAAGGACTATTTCTTCTTGGGGACTGTTTTCCAAAGCTTTTGCTTTTCTCTTGCTCTGTGCTTTTGCTTTTGCCTTTCCCTTGGCAAATTTCCCAAGAACTGGTTCTCCAGTGCCAGTCCCCTTGCCTCTACCCCTCCCCCTGCCCTTGCCTTTCCCCTTGCCTTTTTTTTGGTGGTCCTAACATGATATTGCCATCAGCATCCTGGGAAGCCTTGGCCTTTGGTTTGGCCATTCTTTTCTTTTTCACCTTTTGCTGTTCAGCTTTAATGTCTGGGTCTCCTCTGTTCTCTGTGTCCTCTTCCACAAGGTCTAAAAGGTCTTGGTACTCTGACAATTGTGAATCAGCTCCATCAGCATCAGCCTGCTGCATTGTAGCATTGGAAATTTGCAATGTTTCCTCAACTTCCACAGGGTCTTTGATGAACTGCTCCACAACTGCTCTGTACACAGCAGCTTTGCTAGGCTGGCCAGGCAACTTGATGCCACATGCTGCAAGGACCTCCTTGGCTTCATTGACTGTCATGGTCAAGCCATTTTTGATCCTGGCAAGTGGCAGGATTAATTCTGGACCATTTTTTTCTAGCACCAATGCACCATGCTCATTGTGCAAGGCAGGCCTAAATGGTATTTCCACCCATTCATCCAAAGTGCATATGTGATGGAACTGGGGTGCTGCCTCCCTGGGAATGCACTTGTAAGTGGCTGATTCCTTGCCCTCCATAGGCTCCACAGCCCATGTGAGAACACCACTTTGAGCTCTACTAAGCACAATGCACACCACACCCTTGCATGATGAAGCCATCAGTGTACCTGGTGGGCCAGCCAAAGAATTCAATTGCACCTCTTGAGTGCTTGAGCCCTTCAAAAGCAATTCCAAAGCTGCAGCTTCCTCAAACTGAGTTGCTGCAGATGTGGATGGCCACCAGTGATCACCAGATTTGTACAACATCATCTTCTGAAACTGCCTCTGCATTTTGTGAGAATTTGGGTGTGTGAGAGGAATAAAGGCAGGCAAACTCTTCAAAGATGTGGTGCTAACTTCCACCTCACTTACAGCAATGTGGTTTGTGTTCCTTGTTTGGAAAAGCCTGCTGTCAATTACAGCACTCATTTTATGGACTCTGCTCCTCACATTGTGCCTGGAGTCTCGAAGGCAGTCTTTGGCAGATTGGTGTGTATTTTCTATACAAAGGGTATCTCCAAAGTGGGTTATCAAGGACTTCATCAAGGTGGAAGCTTCATGTGAACCATCATGGCAATCCTGTTCATTCAGCAAAAATGCAAGCCTGCAAACAGCACTGTAGAGAAAGTGCAAGGATGGCAAACTTCTGACATATTTGCCTTCCAAATCTTCCTTCTCCAAAGCCAAGATCATTTCCCAGTCAGCCTGCATTTGTGCCTGAGTAGCTTGCACATCACCTGAATTGCTGGACACCAGCGCACTGTATCTAAGAGGTGGCCTCAGGAATTGAGAAGACAAGCTGGATGCCCTCTTGGCCATCAAAGTTGTCAGAAAGTCATAATGGATGTCCAACCTGCATTGCTGTGTGGTCTCTGAAGTGCCCTGGAAAGGGTACAGCCTCTTCAGGTTTGTGGTCGACAAAAATCCATCCAACACCAGCTGCAAAATTTCCATTTTCCAACCACCCTTGCTTTGAGAGATGGTGTGTTCTGCATTCTGTGCAGGTGTCACAATGTTTTGTGACATCCAGGCATGAGCTGACCAACAAGCATTAGCAAGAATAACAATTGCCTCTTTTTGCCAAAATGATGCTGGTGTCACAAGCAATGGGGCCAGGCCCCAACTTCCATGCTTAGCCTTCAATTTCCTCAATTGTTCCTTGTCACTTGTGGTAGGGTCATCAGGCACTACCATGGTTTTAGACTCCTCTGATTTCACAAAATCAGCACCATCAGTGACAGAAAATTTGTCAGTTTCAAGCATCAATAGTTTTGTTGCCCATACCTCTCCATGGTACCACTTTTCTGACTGGAAAAAAGAAAAAAACGCATTAACTTTACAACTGGGCCCAGAGAGTTCAGAGAATTCATTGTTCCAAGAGATTGGAACAATGTTTCTCTTTCAGCAGGGGTGGTAGGCTCTTTTATTTGCCTTTCAAGGCAAATCCATGGGATGAAGCTGAGAAAAGGCTCTGCATGTGCTGACCCAGACTCAAGAAGCTCCCTGGCCCTCTGTTTTTTTTTCTCATGCCAACTTTTGGAGCCAAAAGGCCCATAGTTTATGTTAAAGAAGAGGCTATAGCTGAGCACACATTTGAACAAATCTCCTTTTGAAGCTTTGAGACTCAGTTTTACATCATTCCAACTACGATGGTATGGGTCATACCCTACATGGAGTGTCATTCCAAGCTTGGAGGTTAGATAATCCAACCCACTTCTGTTGATGCCACCTTGGTCTGAGATGGAGATGAGCAGGGGTGTTTTTGCAATGGAAAAATTTTCTGGCAGCTGCACAGCTTTGCTGCCTGTTCTGGAATTGACAATCCACCACCTGCCACCTTCAAACATTCTGCTCTCAAATTCTTGCAAGGGTCTCCAAAGAACATTTTTATCCAAGAAGAACTTTTCCAGTGGCATCCCCACTGCCTGCAAGCTGTGGGACACTGCTCTGATCTCAGCAAACCCATCTATTCTTGTGAGCTTGCTTTTAGCTCCTAAAGCCTGTATCTCTGGATCTACTTCTTTTTTGGCTACTGGCCTTATATTCTGTATGGGTAAGTATGCTGCTAACCCTTCAGTCCCCTTACCCCCTGCCTGAAGTGAGAAAATGATGCTCACCATTGTCTCAGTATCATAATCTGATGGGTCCCAGTGAATAGAGAAGTGGAATGCCTCTTCATATGCACATTTCAACTTGTGAGCATAAAGTGCAGTTGTCAGCCTTTGCTCAGCAGTGACAAGCCCTGAACCTTTTGGGACAAGGTCACTGTGGGATTCCATAGTATTTTTCCTATGGTGCTTGATTTGCCTGACTTTTCTTAATAGCATTACTTTATTTTGCCATGGCACCCTTTTGCTTCTCCCTTTTGCAGTCTTTAGGAGAGGCAGCTGCTCCAAAGGTTTTGTGGACCTTTCCAAGGCTAAGGCATCTAGAACCCTGCCACATAGCCACAAACATTTGGGCCACAGCAGCTGGCCAGCATACTTCCACACATTTCTTTGTGTGGGGTTGCACTTGGCCCAAAGGAGCAAAATGAGCAAGTCCCACAAAGTGGGAAGTGATACACTGCTTGTGATTGTGTGTGAGCACAAACATGTTTTCATAAGGTGGGCCCAGGCCCAAGCCATACCAGGGTGCTGCTGGATCAGCTTGAACAGGCCATGCACAATGCCATTGCTATCAACTTCCAAGGTTTGGTGTATGTAACCCTGGCCCTTAACATACACCATGCCCAAACAGGATTCAGACTGGTGCAAAGTCTTGACACCTACTTGCAACAGGCCAATGGCAAGGGACAATGCATTCTGCTTGACAGGGGCTGCAAGTTGCCTGATAGATGAAACCAAGAGGACCAACAACATGAGTGCAGAGCTATGCATGCAATGGGCATGTGCGCCTGACACAGCACCAACTCCATTGTACATCAATGCTGATTGTGGAATTTCTGCCTCCATGAGCTCTTTGATGTGAAGCTCTTTGTTGGCCAGCAAAAATCTGTGCTCCTTTGGAGTTTTCAATCCTATAGCATGGACTGCTCTTGCCCACTCCATTCTACTACTACAGATCTCTGACCACCAGGGGCCTCAGCCACACATGCTGCAAGCACCACATCTTCCTTGGGCCTAACCACTGCTGTTTTATATGGCAAAGTATCATCTTCTGAAGGCCTGACTATGTGCCTAAAGACTGGTGCTGGTTTCTGGTCAACCAACTGCCCAGCCTTAGCCTTTGGCACCATTACCATGCCACTGTCTGGTGCCTGAGGATCTGGTGGGTGTGAGTGTGGTGGCACATTATTTGCTGAACTTTCTGGCTGCTGCATGCACATGACCTGGCTGTCTTCAAAATGCCTGTGTACTTGGAAGTCCTGTTGGGGTACATACTGGCTGGGGCCTAATAAGAAAGCAAACACATCACCATTCATATGAGGTGGCTCTGGCATGGCATGCAAATGGCTGGATGGAGTTCCTTGCACAAAACTTGGGCTAGGCACACTGGAAGCCATGGGCACATCTGGCTGAACACACTCATGTGAATGACTGGGCACAACACCCTCACCCCCATCCTCACCAATTACCCCAAACACACTAGGCACTGCAAAGCTATCTGGTGCTGACCCTGGGCTATGTACATCTGAACCAATGACTTCATATGTGTCTTGTGGCACCCAAAGGCCTGGCATTGCACTGGCATTGGAGGTTGCATCTCCTAACTCAGGCTGTGACACCAAAAGGTCAGGCATTACAAAGGCATGTGAAACTGGCTCTGGGCTATATACATTTGCCATGCTAGGTTCACCTTCCCCTAACACAGGCTGTGGCCCCAAAAGGCCAGGCATTGCAAAGGCATCTGGGATTGGAGCTGTGCTATGTACATGTGCACCCATGGCTTCAACTAGGTCTGGCTGTGGCACCAAAAGGCCAGGCATTCCAAAGGCATGTGGAGCTGGCTCTGGGCTATGTGCACTTGCCATGCTAGGTTCACCTTCCCCTAACACAGTTTGTGGCCCCAAAAGGCCAGGCATTGCAAAGGCATCTGGGATTGGAGCTGTGCTATGTACATATGCATCCATGGCTTCAACTAGGTCTGGCTGTGGCACCAAAAGGCCAGGCATTCCAAAGGCATGTGGAGCTGGCTCTGGGCTATGTGCACTTGCCATGCTAGGTTCACCTTCCCCTAACACAGTTTGTGGCCCCAAAAGGCCAGGCATTGCAAAGGCATTTGTGATTGGAGCTGGGCTATGTACATATGCATCCATGGCTTCAACTGGCAGTGGTTGTGGCACCAAAGGGCTTGGCATTTCAAAGGCATGTGAAACTGGCTCTGGGCTATATATATGTACCATGCTAGGTTCAGCTTCCCCAAACACAGTTTGTGGCCCCACAAGGCCAGGCAGTGCAAAGGCATCTATGATTGGAGCTGTGCTATGTACATGTGCACCCATGGCTTCAACTGGCAGTGGTTGTGGCACCACAGGGCTTGGCATTTCAAAAGCATGTGAAACTGGCTCTGGGCTATATACATTGGCCATGCTAGGTTCACCTTCCCCTAACACAGTTTGTGGCCCCAAAAGGCCAGGCATTGCAAAGGCATCTGGGATTGGAGCTGTGCTATGTACATGTGCATCCATGGCTTCAACTGGCAGTGATTGTGGCACCAAAAGGTCAGGCATTGCAAAGGCATCTGGGTGTGGAGCTGGGCTATGTACATGTGCATCCATGGCTTCAACTGGCAGTGATTGTGGCACCAAAAGGTCAGGCATTGCAAAGGCATCTGGGATTGGAGCTGTGCTATGTACATGTGCACCCATGGCTTCAACTGGCAGTGGTTGTGGCACCACAGGGCTTGGCATTTCAAAAGCATGTGAAACTGGCTCTGGGCTATATACATTGGCCATGCTAGGTTCACCTTCCCCTAACACAGTTTGTGGCCCCAAAAGGCCAGGCATTGCAAAGGCATCTGGGATTGGAGCTGTGCTATGTACATGTGCATCCATGGCTTCAACTGGCAGTGATTGTGGCACCAAAAGGTCAGGCATTGCAAAGGCATCTGGGTGTGGAGCTGGGCTATGTACATGTGCATCCATGGCTTCAACTGGCAGTGATTGTGGCACCAAAAGGTCAGGCATTGCAAAGGCATCTGGGATTGGAGCTGTGCTATGTACATGTGCACCCATGGCTTCAACTGGCAGTGGTTGTGGCACCACAGGGCTTGGCATTTCAAAAGCATGTGAAACTGGCTCTGGGCTATATACATTGGCCATGCTAGGTTCACCTTCCCCTAACACAGTTTGTGGCCCCAAAAGGCCAGGCATTGCAAAGGCATCTGGGATTGGAGCTGGGCTATGTACATGTGCATCCATGGCTTCAACTGGCAGTGATTGTGGCACCAAAAGGTCAGGCATTGCAAAGGCATCTGGGTGTGGAGCTGGCTCTAGGCTATGTACATTTGCCATGCTAGGTCCACCTTCCCCTAACACAGGCTGTGGCCCCAAAAGGCCAGGCATTGCAAAGGCATCTGGGATTGGAGCTGGGCTATGTATATATGCATCCATGGCTTCAACTAGCACTGGATGTGGCACCAAAGGGCCAGGCATTGGAAATTGTGGCATGGTACCTGCACCACAAGGGCAGGAAGCATTGCTTGCATCAGGCGCCTGCCAATGCAAATGGGGTACCAGTGGCTAGTGCCCAAGGATTGGCAAGTGTGGGGCCTCACCCTCATCATCCATGGCCAAGCAACTACAATCAGTGCATTGCAAAATTGTCTATGGTTTCATGGGTGCCAAACCTCTTGGATGATCACAAGCAAACCAGCATGGAATCAAAGTGCATCACCTATTCATTCCTATATTGCACCTATGACTACTAGATGGTGCAAACACATATGGTGGCTTCCAATTGCAGCTGAAACCAGAATGCAAACCAAGCCATTCTGTGTGTGTGGCATGGGGTGTGCATGAAATCCATTTCCACTGTTTCATGCACAATGTCATGGCCATGACCTATCATGCCACAACACCACCACAGGAAGGTTACACCATTTTCTCCCATGGAGCAGCAAAAGCCCAGTAGATTGTTGCAAGCTAAAGCAGCATCATAGCAGTAGACCATACCTTGGATGTGGAAAAGGGCATGGTGCATTCCCATTGGGTTCAAATAATCATGAACTTACCACCAAAATTGCCACAACCACTGTGGTTACTTTCCCCAAGGCTTTTTGATGGGAGGCAAAGGAAAGTTCATGAGAGGCATGCTAAAGTAGGGGACTTCAGGACATGAATGGGCCAGGCTACAGCCATTTGGGAATGGGCATCAATCTGAACCTGAATCTGCAACATCTGAATCTGCAGGAGGCCTTGCTGGATTCACCTTGGCCAAATGGCAAAAGGCATGGGTGGGAAACTCAGTAGTCCAAGTAAGTACCTCCAACTGGGCCACCCCCAGCTGTTGCCCCTACCCCCCAAGCAACCAAAGCCAAGCCACATCGACTTCAAGGAAATGCAGCCAGTCCCCTGACAACCCAGTGGGGGGACAGGTGCAAGTCCTCTTCTCATTGATCATCTTCTGGCAAGCCTCTTGTCCCAAACAATGCTGCACTGCCACCTTGCACAGCCTGAGCCACATGGTGAGAACAGGTATGCACTACCCATCAGTGCTGGCAACCTCCTAAAAAGTGAAGTGGCAAGAACTAGGCAAGAAACTTATTGCATCTCATACATCTTGAGCAAGTAGGGCAAAAGGTCTGGTGCATCACCGAGGTTTTCCACAAGGGCATATTTTTGTGCTGGCAGCCCATCACCATAAGAGAAGTGGCTGAGAAACACATGCACTCCAAAATGTTCTGATTCTGGGAAGTGTCATCACTCAACTTGTGCTGCTTCCTATCTGCCAGCATTAAGTGCTTGCCAAGGGTAAACTGGACAGATTGCCAGTGGGCTATGTCTCCTTTGGCACAAGGCTGGTGTTCCCCAAGCCATTTCAGCAACCTTTTGCAGGCAGCTGTGCCACCAGCAGCCAAACCAAAAAAGCTTTGGACTTTTTCAGCATCATTCAAACACTGCACATTGCCATCCCATACTTGGGGCCTCCTCAAGCCTTGAACCTCCAATGGTGTGATGGAAGCACATCTGAGCCTAATTTGTTTCTCTGATTGCCAAAGGATCCTTTCCTCTCTGACCATCAAGTCCCACTCTTCCTCATCAATAAAGTTCTGCTGGTGAGCCATGTGTAGTCCTTAGATACATTCTGCTGCAACCAGTGGCAATGAGGAAGTTACAAACCACCATGACAGGACAGTGGCAGCACTTAACAACCACCAGTTCATGCACTGAGTAAAAGCCTAGCTTCCAAGCCCTTGGAATGAATCAGCCCCAGCTGATTTTTTGAGCACTTGGTGGTCTGCTGCAAATGATGCACCAGGTTGTCATGGGCAATTCCTGTCCCCTATGCTATGCACACTGACATACACAACACTTCCTCTGTTCTTGCTTCAAAACTGCTTTGCACACACCCATGCCATCACACCACAAACAACTGCCCACTGCCCACCCTCCCCCAAAGTGGTCCAGAGACATTTTCCATGCCACACCAGGATGTGCTCATTGAAGCAGCATCTCACCACTTGGGCCCAGTGGCACCTGAGCCAGACATGTGTTGGTCACATACTTTCTTTGACATTTACTATTTGGATCCAGGTACCTACAAGTGTTAACCCTATGCCCACTTGTGTCTTTAAACACTAGAAGATGCTAGGCCCATGCCACCTTGTCTGCACCTACAAAAGTATCCTCCACTGGTGCTGGTGCCAATGATACTGCAGCTACATCCACACTAATGCTGCAGCCATGGCACCCAGCCAAATCCATTCAAGTCAAATCAGGCCACAAGTTTTACCTGAGCAGGGCTGGTGAATATACACAAATGGCAATACAGGTGTCTTGCCCTCACCTAGGTTTTATCAGCATGCTTTTGCTAAGGCAAGTTCCTCCCACTATTAGGCACCAAGCTGCCTAGTTTCCCCAGTGCCACCCACTGCAGCAGCAGGGTTGAAAATACCACTGGGTGTAGCCACCTTAGGGTTCCAATTGGCCAGGGCAAGGACAGGCCCATTAGATGCACTGCCTGCCTAAGTGGCAAGCATTTTGGGTTGCAAATTGCTGATGTTTAGTTGCATCTGGGGCACCCTCAGATTGTACCAGGCCACCAGTTTGGGTCGAATGGGCACAAGGTTGGGTTCAGGAAGGCCCAACTGGCTGTAAATCCTTTGAATTTTGCATTGTGCATGTGCTATGCAAAGGTCTATTGGTCTGCCATGAGTCTCAGTACTGTCCATGGCTACCTGAATTGCACTCACTTTCTCTTGCCACCCATTGGCAAAGAGCCAAACCCAAAAAGGCTCACCATCCTCCACAGTCCAAGATCCACTCATGACCAGGTTCTCATCCCCCAGTGGTGCAAAAGGCAAGTTTGCCTTACCTTGGCATTTTGCTAGGTCACATGCAACACCTCATACTTTACCAAGGTCTGGTTGACACCCCTTACATTCCACCAAAATGCCAACAAAATCCCAATGGATTGCATTACTCCCTATAATAACCCTGTTTCATTTCTTGAGGGGTTGCTACATTGAATGCCCAATTGTGGGGATAGTAGCAAAGACACTCACATTTCACTGCTTGGTGAAGAACAAGACTTTGGTGGTTGCCATTATTAACACATGTTTGTTGGCTAAACCATTACCAACCCATTACTGTTGATTATTATCATACTGATGTGATACCATTCTTATAAGATAAGCCCTCAATTAACCAAATAATGTTTCATTATTACACACATATTATCAAAATAACATTAACCCATTATGGCTAGCTATTGTTGCTTATAATCCCAGTTAGCACTGGTTCTATATCCCAGTATTGTGGGTTATCACCAATACTAAAACATTATTACCATTAGTAACCCATTGTTGTTGGTCATTATCTAGTACCAAGCCATCATTTTTGAAGCCCCCCATTCTTGCTGGTTAAAATCCCAATAAACCAGTGTTGATCATGGCACCCCTAGCCTTTGCCTCCTCCCAAGTGATGTAGCCAAGCTGCTCATATCATCATGTGAAATACTCTCAGACATGGTTGCCAGCAAAAAAAAACCTATAGAGTTCCTAAGTTTGTGACATGTTACAATACATAAAAGCATACATGCAGTTGTGAACAACAGAACAGGTGGACACATGGCATTTGCTGTGCAACATGTTTTGTTTCCAGCTGAGTCTCAGTCTCAGTGAAGCCACCAGGCTTCAAGTTTGCCCCCTCTATTCTAGGTAGGCTTTGAGCAGAAACCAAGATGGTACAATGGCACCTACCACCACAATGCCCTTATTCCACCAAGGTGCAACTCTGCCTACATATATGTATGGTCACATGGTCAAAGTTGGAAGACCCAACAATGGATGGATCACACATACAACCTTTGAAAATAACCATATTAAGCCACAGATTTTTGCTGCCATGTCAGCTCCCACACCCCCAGTTTTGTTTTAAATCCCAAGGGTGCCATCACATGCCCACTGTGAGGCAAACCAGGCTCACATCATAGGCCCTCAGCATGGTTCAGGATGGCCAGAGATTTCAAGGTTTAAGGCTGCAGGCTACTGCTGGGCCCAGGGATTTAAAGGATTAAGGGCTCAGGGCTTAAGCTTAAGGGTTGCCTTACACCCTGGCTGTAGCATAATACAATTGGCCACTTGTTTTTTTACATTACATTGCCATCAGAAACATATATTGGCACTCCACAGGGCCCCCCTAGGGGACACTCTGCATTTTTGGTGGCATCAGGGTTTAAGATTTAGGGCTTAGTGTTACTTACATCTCATTGGCCACTTTTTTACATTGCCTTCAGGAGCCTACATTGACCATCCAAAAGGGGGACTGGCCCCCTAGGGGAAACTCTGCCTTTTTTTTTGAGTTTAGGGTTTAGGGTTTAGGGTTTAGGGTTACTTACATCTCATTGACCACTTTTTTTACATTGCCTTCAGGAACCTACATTGGCCATCCAAAAGGGGGACTGGCCCCCTAGGGGAAACTCTGCCTTTTTTTTTTAGTTTAGGGTTTAGGGTTTAGGGTTTAGGGTCTAGAGTTACTTACATCTCATTGGTCACTTTTTTTTGATTGCCATCCAAAAAGAGGGTTGCCCCCCTAGGAAAACTCTGTCATTTTTTTTTGTGAGTTTAGGGTTTAGGGTTCCCAACATTACAAAAAATTAGAAAAAATTAAAAAAAATGAAAAACATTAAAAAACATTAGAAAAAATTAAAAAAAAATAGAAAAATTAAAAAAAAATAAAAAAAAATGAAAATTCTGGGGGCACATTTTTTTTAGTAGTGTTTTTAGTCTAGGGTGCTTTGCAGATAACATTTCATATCAAAAATTTGGTATTCATCAACTTTAATCACATTTTTTTACACTTCAAAACAAATAAATGCAGTTCAAAACATATAGGCAAAATCATGACAAATAAATGCAGTTCAAAACAAGTACACACTTTTCAGCACAAATTAGTGCAGTTCAAAACAACCAGACAAATTTCAGAACAAATAAATGCAGTTCAAAACAAATAGAAATTCTTGAAACCAAATACATGCATTCTATAGCACATAGAAGCTTCCTCTCCAAATAAATGCAATTCAAGCAGCTCAACATTTTTCAAACCAAATGCATGCAATTCAAAACAAATAGAAACTTCACAAAACAAAAATATGCAATTCAACCCCAATAGAAAACCTTCACAACAAATAAGTGCAATTCAAGACAAATAGGCAATCTTCAAAACAAATAAGTGCAGTTCAAAAGAAATAACATTCCTTTCAAACAAATAAATGCAGGCCAACACAAACAGAAACTGTTCAAAACACATAAATGCAGTTCAAACCAGATAGACACTTCTCAACACAAACAATGCATGTCAAACCAAAGCAAACAGGAAATTTTCACAGCAAATAAATGCAGTTCACAACCAATAGAACTTCTTAAAACCAAATACATGCATCTCAACACAAATAGGAAGTTTTCAGCACAAATAAATGAAATTCAAAACAAATAGAAACTTTTCAGTACAAATAAGTGCAGTTCAAAACAAACAGAAACTCTTCAAAGCAACTAAATGCAGTTCAAAACAAATAGAAACTTCTCAACACAAAGAATGCAATTAAAAGCAAATAGGCAATCTTCAAAACAAACAAGTGGTGGTGCTCAAACCAAATAGAACCTCTTCAGCACAAATAGAAACTTTCAACACAAATAAATGTAATTCAAACCAAATTGAACCTTTCAATACAAAGAAGTGCAGTTCAAACCAAACAGAACCTCTTCAAAGCAACTAAATGCAGTTCAAAACAAATAGAAACTTCCCAACACAAAGAATGCAATTCAAGACAAATAGGCAATCTTCACAAAACAAAGTGCAATTCAAGACAAATAGGCAATCTTCAAAACACAAAGTGCAATTCAAGACAAATAGGCCCTCTTCAGCACAAATAGAAACTCTTCAATACAAATAAGTGCAGTTCAAAACCAACAGACACAGACACTCTTCAAACCAAATACATGCAGTTCAAAACAAAAGAAATAAACATTGTCAAAACAAGTAAATGCATTTCAAACCAAATAGCTACAAACTCCCCAAACTACCCCTCTGGGCCTCTCATACCAGTCACCTCCAGCCATCAGTTCTTTCAGCCAGGACACCTCCATGCTTGCATTGCACATAGTGCCATCATAGAGTCATACCTGAGGTACAGGCTGCACAGGCTAATCTTATGCTGATTACAAGCTTAAAAGGCTATGCCAGTCTGTATGTCTACCATGCAAACCCAAGTACCCAACTTGCTGGTATACTATTGCCATTCTCTTTTACAAATCCTGCCATTGGTACCACCAGCCTGATAGCTCTTCCATGCCATCTCATATCGAAGCCAGTGGCTTTACCTTAGATCTGCAAGGGTGCCACTCACTTTTACCCATGCCATAGCAACATCCTATGGTTGTGGCTAAGGTTTTATAGAGGGCTGACTACACCTGCACACCTTTTTTTCCCAGCCAAGCCAGTTAGTTTGTCCTCAGTGGCCCTGCTCATCCATGAGTGGCCCTGGAATCATAATCCTTTTGCAAAATGTGACAAACACAGTCACAATCTGGACTGGCCACAGTTTGACAGGCATTTGTACTGCAGCCAGACATGCACACCACTGATCTATAATCATGAGCTCCAAGTTCACTTTTGAAATGCAACACCTTCATTCTTGTGTATCCACAATGGACCAGGTCAGTTTCCATATTTTTGACAAAAGGAAGGATTCCTTTTGGTGTAGCTATCCACTTGGCCATGAACTCTTTGGGAATAACTTCTTGGGCCAGAAGGGGGTCAGCAAGGTGGCAGGTTCTTTTCAATCTCTTGGCTGGCTGCTCCACAGCCACTGAACCATCCTCCTGAGTGTCCCTAGGAGTGTCTAAAACAGTTGGCTGGGCCATGGCTGCTCAGGGCACTGCAAGGCACACCAGTCCTATGTTTTAGGTGCTGGCAAGGCTACATTGATCCAAATGCTCCACATGTTCTTAGCAAGTAAAGGCTTGGGCAAGTATCCCATTATACCCACATTACCAATCATGGTTCATACCCAAGAATAAGGACATACAACTACACTTTGAACTCATACATATATATATATATATACACATGCATAATTATCCTTCAGTGCCTGTACCCCCACTATTATTTACTATGGCCTATCATATGTTTATTAACCTGTGGGTGTCTCCACTTACTTTCTGCCCATTTGGTTGGGCAGTGCTACAGGCACTATATTTGCCCACTATATATATATATATAGTCAGTAAACACCAATGCCTATTGATGCAGCAAAAACCCATCCTTCCACATTGCCCTCTTAATATTTCTGATGGGTATATAAACTTATATATAGATGGATATATCTGGAATCCCAGTCCATCTGGGTCAGGGATACTTGGTGGTGCATCAGAAGAATATACAAACAGTATTACCCAATACTGATTAAGGTTAATACCAATGTGTCCCCTCCCAAGGTTGGTGGATATTACAGAGGTTGCCCACTTACTAGTCTCTAGTTTTGGTTGCTCCTATTTATGCAAACTATTCCCCATAGCTGGTTAGAATACTCTCACATTGTTTTATTATGATGGTTATATGATAATCCTAATGCATCATACATTCAAGGTTTCACACAGCACCGCACAGGTGCACACATATGATGGAAGAAATGATCAATGGTGCAGCATGGTGATGATGATGATGATGATGTTGATGATGATGGTGATGATGGTGGTGATGATGATGATGGTGATGATGATGATGATGGTGATGGTGATGGTGATGGTGGTGGTGGCCTTGATGATGCTGAATAGCAAATTAAGTTGTCCTCTTACCAGTGGCCCCAAACTGGCACCATGGTTTGGCATCCCACATGCAGCCCAGGTGCAGAAAGAAATTGGAAAATAGGATCCCTTGCTGGCCACAACTCCTGAGATGCAAATCTGTGAGAACTGGGAGCTGACTCCCAATGATTCTAACTGATCACCCAATGTCTTTCCACAGCACCATGGATCTACACTAAGTTTCTAGTGGTAATCCCCAGCCCCCCAAACATTTGAAGGTGTATCTCTTGTATCCTTGTGTGCATGTGCATGGTACTTGCATGCATACAACTTATTTTCAATATTTCTGGCTGCTGATGAATGCATGATAGAGCAATTGGAATCTGGTACTTTTGGTTCCTTACTATACCCCTTTTGGAGCACTTTTATCATGTATCATTTGGGTTCCATTACATTTGCCTGTGACTTCCAGTTTGGAGTTATCACCCCTACCCTCTAGAACATAGCTGCTGCTCCCCATTTTCTCCAAGTGTCCCTCAGAAAGATGGGTAGGGTGAAGTTGGGGTAGCAGACTCTTCTGCCTGCTGCTGCAGCAAAACCATTGACTCTAGCTCCTCTGCAGGTACTCCCTCTTGGTCTTCGCTGCTCATCCCCCCACCTACTGCTACTTCCATCTGACCACCCTGCTGTTGCTGATCTGCAGGTGGTGGCTGCTGGCCTGTTGTACCATTGTTGGGCAGGGTCTGCCCACCATTGCCCATTGCTGCTAGTATCTGGTCAACATCTTCCTGCTGATCTGCAGGTGGTGGCTGTTGGCCTGGTGTCCCATTGTTGGACATTGTCTGCCCATCATTGCCCAGCTGCTGCTGCTGATCTGCAGGTGATGGCTGCTGGTCTGGTGTCCCAGTGTTGGACATGGTCTGTCCACCATTGCCCAGCTGCTGCTGCAATCCTGCTTGCATCTGGCCAAGCTGTTGCTGCTGATCAGCAGGTGCTGGCTGCTGGTCTGATGTCCCAGAGTTGGACATGGTCTGCCCAGCAATGCCCAGCTGCTGCTGCAATCCTGCTTGCATCTGGCCAAGCTGTTGCTGCTGATCTGCAGGTGGTGGCTGTTGGCCTGGTGTGCCACTGCTGGGCATTGTCTGCCCACCATTGCCCAAGTGCTGCATTGGTGCTTGCATGTGCCCATGCTGCTCCTGCTGCTGGTCTGCAGGTGGTGGCTGCCCTGGTGTGCAACTGCTGGGCATTGTCTGCCCACCTTTGCCCAGCTGCTGCATTGGTGCTTGCATGTGGCCATGCTGCTGCTGATCTGCAGGTGGTGGCTGCCCTGGTGTGCAACTGCTGGGCATTGTCTGCCCACCATTGCCCAAGTGCTGCATTGGTGCTTGCATGTGCCCATGCTGCTCCTGCTGCTGGTCTGCAGGTGGTGGCTGCCCTGGTGTGCAACTGCTGGGCATTGTCTGCCCACCTTTGCCCAGCTGCTGCATTGGTGCTTGCATGTGGCCATGCTGCTGCTGATCTGCAGGTGGTGGCTGCACTGGTGTGCAACTGCTGGGCATTGTCTGCCCACCATTGCCTAAGTGCTGCATTGGTGCTTGCATGTGTCCATGCTGCTCCTGCAGCTGGTCTGCAGGTGGTGGCTGCCATGGTGTGCCACTGCTGACCATTGTCTGCCCACCTTTCCCCAGCTGCTGCATTGGTGCTTGCATGTGGCCATGCTGCTGCTGATCTGCAGGTGGTGGCTGCTGCCCTGGTGTGCCACTGCCTGGCATTGTCTGCCCACCTTTGCCCAGCTGCTGCATTGGTGCTTGCATTGGTGCTTGCATGTGGCCATGCTGCTGCTGCTGCTGATCTGCAGGTGGTGGCTGTTGGCCTGGTGTGCCACTGCTGGGCATTGTCTGCCCACCATTGCCCAAGTGCTGCATTGGTGCTTGCATGTGTCCATGCTGCTCCTGCTGCTGGTCTGCAGGTGGTGGCTGCCCTGGTGTGCAACTGCTGGGCATTGTCTGCCCACCTTTGCCCAGCTGCTGCATTGGTGCTTGCATTGGTGCTTGCATGTGGCCATGCTGCTGCGGTGGTGCTGCTGATCTGCAGGTGGTGGCTGTTGGCCTGGTGTGCCACTGCTGGGCATTGTCTGCCCACCATTGCCCAAGTGCTGCATTGGTGCTTGCATTGGTGCTTGCATGTGGCCATGCTGCTGCTGCTGCTGCTGATCTGCAGGTGGTGACTGCCCTGGTGTGCCACTGCTGGGCATTGTTTGCCCACCTTTGCCCAGCTGATTCAGTGGTGCTTGCATGTGGCCATGCTGCTGCTGATGTGCAGGTGGTGGCTGCTGCCCTGGTGTGCCACTGCTGGGCATTGTCTGCCCACCTTTGCCCAGCTGCTGCATTGGTGCTTGCATTGGTGCTTGCATTGGTGCTTGCATGTGTCCATGCTGCTGCTGCTGCTGCTGCTGATCTGCAGGTGCTTTGCCCAGCTGCTGCATTGGTGCTTGCATGTGTCCATGCTGCTGCTGCTGCTGCTGCTGCTGATCTGCAGGTGGTGGCTGCCATGGTATGCCACTGCTGACCATTGTCTGCCCACCTTTCCCCAGCTGGTTCATTGGTGCTTGCATGTGGCCATGCTGCTGCTGATCTGCAGATGGTGGCTGCCCTGGTGTGCCACTGCTGACCATTGTCTGCCCACCTTTCCCCAGCTGGTTCATTGGTGCTTGCCTGTGGCCATGCTGCTGCTGATCTGCAGGTGGTGGCTGCCCTGGTGTGCCACTGCTGGGCATTGTCTGCCCACCTTTGCCCAGCTGGTTGATTGGCATATTGTGTGCCCCTGTCTGCATACCACTGCCCATATGCTGCTGCATTGGTGGTTGGCCTGTTGCTGTTTGGGCTGGCCATGCCTGGCCAGGAGCCTTTGCTTGCAGCTGCATGGCATGCATGGTAGCCTGTTGCTGCTGGTGCTTGAATTGCATTTGCTGCTGCTGCTGGAACTGCACCCTGGCAGCATTCTGCTGTTGTTGCAACCTAGCTGCTGCTTGTTGAGGGGTCTCCATCTGCACTTGCCTTTGTGGCTGGGCTGCAAGTGCTTTTTGTTGGCCTGGTTGGCTTGGCATTGGCTGACCCCCATGTGCCATCTGCTGGCTGTGTGCTGTAGCATGTTGTGCTTGCTGGCTTTCCATTGCTGCTGTGTATTGGGGTGATGATCTGAGTGCTGGCATTCTCTGGTTCTGCTGAGCCTGAGCTTGTGGAGGTGCTGGCAAGGCAAGGGGGGGTTGCTGCTGAGAACTGGCTGCCTTGCTCTGGGTTTGCTGCTTGATCTTGCTCAGCAGCTCAGTCATGCTCTGTTGTTTCATCTCTTTGGGCTCATATGGTGGGATCTCCTGTTCAGGGGTGGAGTGGTGACAGGAACCCTAAATCAATGTTAAGGGGTGGTGGCTGGTGCTGTGGATTCAAACTGGCACAGCCTAAGCTATGACTGTAATAAATGCTATGTGAACACTTGCCCAAACTCTATACAAAGACTAGTTACTAGTTTCCTTAGGTGGCCACCCATGTTTTGATCCCCCCCTCACTTGGCTGTTTTGAAGTCTTTCTGCCCAAGCTTCATGTGGGAACATCTGCGCTGCTTCCATCTAGGTTGGCAAAGGCAGCACATGGCACTTACAGTGGCCCCCTGGTCTCAGCCATGCCATGTGCTAAGTTCTAAGTTCAAAGTCTATGCCCAGGATTGATGGTGCAAATGAATTTCTACTGCAATCACTGCAGTAAGCAGTGGCAAGCTATAGTTATGGCTCCTAAAACTGCAAAGGCCCCAAGCCAACACCAAGTAGACCTAGTTGGTGGGTAACACAAAGCTACACATACCAAGTTACAGTGGCTTTTGCATTCAAACATTCACACAGAAACAGTACTAAGACTTATGTTGAATTCTATTGTGTGGTTGCTCTCTATTGCCCCACCACTGCTGGAGCTTGCTGCCAAGATGCCAACTTAGAGAGCCAGGTGGTGTACCCAACCTCTGTGTCATAGAGCTCTGACATCAAGATCTGGAAGTGCTCAGGTGGTGGCCCTTTGACTGCATGTTTGCCCTGGCTGGTGTAGAGCTTGCAACAAGGTGCATCCTTTGGCCACACCAGTTTGGGCTCACCACCTGGGCACAAAGTTAATCACAGCTGGTGGGCCATTCTTATATACAACCAACTTTTGCATGCAATGCTTGTGGTGCCCATGATATGCATATAGGCTCTTATATTGTTCCAGGCAGCAGCCCAGGTTATGCACACCCACCAGTTACTGCAGCCTAGGCACCAGTCTTGCAAAGCATCCACATGTCCCCAGACTTGGACATTTCAACCCAGTGCAAGGGCCTTTGGTCTTTGTCACCAGGGCCCATTTCTGGAGGTGGAGCAGTTGCCTCAGCAAACACAAGAACTCTATGGCATACCTTACAGGGCATTGACCATCACAAACAGTAGCTACTAACAAAGTTTCCACATACATTCTGTTCCATGGTTTTCCAATATGTTCAACCCACAATGTTGGCAACTGCACATGACCAAGGTTCACACCTACCTGCATTGTTGCAAGCAGTAGCCCACTACCCAGCTTAACATCCAAGATATAACTCTCCAACAGTTACTTGGTTGTACATCATGTTGGGAATGGCTATGCAATGGTGGTTTTGTTTATTTTTGTCTTGTGCATTGGTATCACAGTTGCCTTTACACAAAGCCCACCAACCAACCACCCATCCAACCAACCAGCCAACTGAACAACTAACCAAACACACAGCCTAACAAAGTAACCCACATAATTACACACACCACAACCAAGGCATTACCAAACCCAGCAGTGACAGGCACCAAACAAACAAACACCCATCCAGGCAAACTCATAAACAACCCCAAAGCAACCAAGCATACACACACACCAACACTACCAACAATACCAACACTACTAGCACCAACCATACCAACACCACCACCACCACCACCACCAACAACAACAACAACAACAGCACCAACAACACCAACAACACCAACAACACCAACAACACCAACAACACCAACAACACCAACAACAACACCAACACCAACAACAACAACAACAACAACAACAACACCAACAACACCAACAACACCAACAACACCAACAACAACACCAACACCAACAACAACAACAACAACAACAATAAGAACAGCAACACCAACACCAACAGCAGCAGCAACAGCAACAGCAGCAGCAACAACAAAACCAACAGCAACAACAACAACAACAGCAGCAACAGCAACAGCAACAACAACAATAAGAACAACAACAACACCAACAACACCAACACCAACAGCAGCAACAACAACAACAACAGCACCAGCAACAGCAACAACAACAACAACAAGAAGAACAACAACAATAACACCAACACCAACACCAACAGCAGCAGCAACAGCAGCAGCAACAGCAACAACAACAATAATAATGCTCCTAAGCCCTAGTGGGCCTCCCCTGCACATCCATCCCTCCAAGCTGCACCCACAGGCTTGCCAGCCCAAACATCGTCCCAGCCATACTTTCTTGCCACCATCTCCTTGTGCAGGAGTTGGCAGTGTACAGGTTGCACACCCCCCTTGCAATAGGACCAGCTTGCTTTGGTTGAAAAAATCTACATCACCCATTCTGGTGCCAAATGCTTGGTTGAAGTGCTGGGTTAATACCACCAGCATGGACTTGGTTGAAAATGATAGAATTAATTCACAATGATGGCACCCAAACTGTATAGACATGTCAAATCAGCAATGAGCCCACCACCCCAATATACAGTCATTGACTGTGGTTTTCTTTGCATATGCCTCAAATGCCCTACCTGTACTGCAATCAGCAATGGAATGCTGAACAGCTAGCTGCCTTGATAACCAGTTTAACCTACTACTATTACCACTTCTTCTTCTTCTACTACTACAACTACTAGTACTAGTACTACTACTACTACTACTGCTGCTACTACTACTACTACTACTACTACTACTACTACTACTACTACTACTACAGCCCATATGAAGCCCACCCAAACCATCCATGTCCAGTGCCCCAGCCCCTTGCCAATGAGTATCAAGGTTTGAATAGTCAGGGTCAACCTCAGTCAGCCTTGATTGTCCCAACCTTTGTGTCATTCTCTGTGCATTCTCCAGGAACTTCTCTTTCCTGAGGTGCTGAAAGCTGAGGTGCCTTGTTGTGAAAACCATGCATAAGGCCACCATGTCCTATGAAGAATGCAGTCTCAATATATATTTTACCTATTCATTTCAGTTTATCAGCATTGTGTACCTGAGTACCTGCATGAACCATGAAAAGTACCACTAGCCCATTCTTTATAATGATTGGTAAATAGAATGGCACTTTCTGTGATCAAACAGCATCCACTGAATCTTATGCACATCCCAATAGGGGGCCCACAGAAACACAAGACAAGTATCAGCTGCCCTCTGGTTTTGGCAGACAGCTCTCTAAGTCGCATTTGTGGTGGGAACCCACATGCCAGCCAGAACACCATTGAGATCTGGTCATCTGACAGTGCCTGCCTCATGCCATCTGCAAACCTGTCTGGGTCTATGGCCTTCAACAGCCTGAGACAATCTCTCCTGCAGTGTCAGACCAAGACTGCCTGCAACCTTTTGCATGCTGTTCAAGCATGCACCAGCTAATAAACCCATGCACAAAGGAATGTCACATGTGCATACATCATTACTATGACTTACTATGACCTTCTATGTCTACAAGCTTCAGTAGGTAAACTTTACTTTCCTGCATCTTGAATAGTGGAGATGAGTAATGGTACTAAGAATGTCTGAATTACATGGACTTGATGCTATACATTACCACTTCTAATTTAAATATCAGTGCATGTGGTGTACATGTGCATGTGCATGGAAAGGCCAACATATGCATCTAATTCTGAACTTAGTTTGTGAACAACTGAAAAGTACAGCTCAATACAATCTATATATATATATATATCTCTCTCTCTGTCCCCAGTGTTAAAAGTTACACCCTGTCCCTTGGCAACTTCAAGTGGGCATCCCTGAAAACCACAGTCTCCTGGGGTATAAGTTGGACTTGTTCTTCTTGCACCTTCCAAGAGAGCAAGCAGGAACCTCCTTCTTGTCTACATCTTCACCTGAATTGATGGCTGTGATGGGCAAAGGGTGCTTGTGATGGCCCCCATTGTAATGCCCAAGCTTGGCTTGACCTAGCATGGCAGACTTCATAGTCAACATAAGCTCAAACCCCTGTCAGGCTGGAAGCCTAATTGTGGGCACTATTCAGATCCACTCCATAGACTCTAGTAAAAGACTAGCATAATCCAAATTGCTGATGGTAGGTCTATCTGGGGCTACCATATGATTTCATGCACTACCACCTGTTGTGAATTTCCTGAATAGGACCTGGCTTCTGCCAAGACACTCAGTGCATCTGATGATTCATCTTTGTCTTTGTCTTTCTTGCCTGCCAGGATGGTGGCCCTCCATGAAAAGCCCCAAGCTCTCCCACTCAAGCCCCCATAGTTTATTCTTGGCTATTCTTTCTAGGGTTCACCCATACCAACTTAAACACATCATTTTCTATGCTTGTTGTGTGCACTGAGGGTTGCCACACCAGGCCTTTCTTGTCCTTCTTCTTCTTTTTGCCCCTGTGTCCTTTACTCTTTCTCTTTGAGGTCTTCTTTTTCTTTTTCTTCCTGGACCTGCAAACCCATGGGCTATTTGAAGCTGGCAATGCAGCTTTGCACAGTTGAGGGTGCTGAATGCCTTGGTAATTTGATGCCTGAATGCCTGAATCATATGCCATACTGGCTGGAATCTACAAAGTGTTGGTGTTGCCTTGGGGCTCTAACCCCAACCATTCCCACCACACTAATGCAACTGAAAGGCTCTGATGAGCTGCCTGAGGTTGCTGGAAGATGTGAGGTTTGAGACAGGTGGTATTCAATGGTCAAAATTGTCTTTCTTACTTGCATGAGTGTGCATGAGTGTGGTGTGTCTCAAGCCCAATCCTTTTGCTTGAGATTGGGCCCTCATATGTGTGGTATCCCACTGTTAAAGCCAAGCAACTGGAGCTGGAATCATCACTGTCTTCATCATCATCATCATCATCAGGCTCTGATCTGGCAGGATCAGAAGATTGCCATGACTGTGCTCCTCCATGAGGGACCATCTGCAATCCTCAGCTGACTGAACCCAATCCACCCAATGCATTTTCATCACAGGTCATGGCTAGTTACCTGGCAAGTGGCACACACAGAACAATGCATACTCACAACTCAATTCATCTATCTTGCCCATCTTAATATAGGTGGTTTTCCCACAACAAGGGTTACCCTCACATTATCCATCATAAAATAAAAAAGAGAGCTTATTGTGAATCATGTCTATTGTGAACCATCCATTCTGGGCCCAGCTTGGGAATTTCAAACAGAATTGGCATGACCACAACTCAGTCTATTTACCTTGCCCATCCTAATTTAATGGATTTCCCAAAAATGAGGGGCACTCATATTAGCCATTTTGATGGTGGTGAAAATGTGGTGCCCTCATATTAGCCATTTTGATGGGGGTGCCCAATGTGAACCATTCATTGTGGGTCCAGTGTGCACAGTTCACAATCTAGTTGCATGATTACAACTCCATTCATATAATGTTTACCCTCAAATAAACATTTTTGGGTGGGTGCCCATGGTGAACCATCCATGTTAATATTAGGGTCTCTGTGCACATTTCACTACATATTTGCATCACAACAACTCAGTTCATCTACCTTCCCCAGCTAACAATAAAGGATTTTGTAAGATATGGGTAGCCTCACATGATCCATTTTCAGCTGGTGAGCCACCATTTTACTTTTAAGACTCCTGACCATTGGCCCTAAGGAACCCCTCACTTATGCAAGGCTCCAGAAAGGTTCTGGTGTGTAGGTGGCTGCACAGCTGGAGCTTGCCAGTGGGCTGGAGGGTAGTAGCCAGGTGGCACAGCCATATAGCTACCCATCTGCGTCTGGTCAGTCCTTAGATTAGATTTGTATCATGAGCCCCCTGAGAACTGTGGCCACTACCCACACCCTATCTACTACCAGCTTTTGCCATCTTGCAATTTGCAAACCTCATGTTTGTGGCCCACTCTGGACACACAGATGTCTTTCATTGGCAGTGGATTTCCCACCTTATCACCAAACCAAGTTTCCTTGGCTTCTTCCCTTTGTCCCGACCCATGGCAAACTGCAGCAATTACAGCATAATTAAGCAATCCAGGGTCAGTCGAGGGGATGAGCCACAATGAGCTACAAAGGCCCAAGTCACTTTGGATCCAACAAACCCATGGTCCAGACCTGCCAAACACAGAGTCCAAAGTTCCCAGACTGACAAGAAATTAAATCTGATGATTTTTGATTATTTTTAATGTTTACATCAGGCCCATGAGGAGCCCTCTCATGAGCACCCCTGTTCTCACAGAAGAGTATACTATCAGCATATATATTTTCCATTTCTATATTATGTATCATAAGTGTGACTCAAATGTATGTATATATCTATATTATATATGTTTATATTATATATCATTTCTATATATTATATATTATTATAATAGATATCAAAACCAGCTGGCTACCCATGGCCCGCCGTACCGGCCCGTACCGGCCCGTACCGGCCCGTACCGCTCCTTGCAAGGTCTGCGCCAACATTTCCACGTAGCTGTTCTGGAACTCGTGGCGCTGGTTGACCGGCACACAGATGCCTGGTGGGATCGCAAGCCGTTGGGGCGTTGTGGGCGTTGGTCTGAACGCGATGTATTAAAAAACAATTGACAATGTGTATATGTACATATATATATATAATTATGCAATGTATATATATTTTAGATATATATATATGTGTACACTGTATATCAGCAACCCATGTAACAAAAAAAAGATAGAAACTAAGATCTGAGTAGGAAAATGGTCTATCTTTTGGGGTTGGATGATCTTGGACGATAGCTGAGGTGATCAAAATAATATATGGCTCTGGGATCAAAAACCATCAAAACGGCCATAGATGGCCCCTTGAAACTGGTCAATCAACAGCCTTCATTTAAGAAATATTCAAGAATATAGGACATTGACCAGTCTGTGAAACTAAAACATCTCAGCTGATACCACGAATAGATACCAGCTACATCCACAACAAGGTCTCTATTAGTGACCTCCTTGGCTCCCCGGTCCCCGACCCTTCAAAACACTGGCGATCAACATGTCCCTGGCGGAGTCAGACACATCGATCAGAGGGTGCTGAAGTGCCTGGCAGAAAATCACATCCTCCAGTGGTTTACCCTCTGGTGAACTAACATAGCAATTGAAAATGGCCATTTATAGTGGATTTTCCCATTAAAAATGGTGATTTTCCATTGCTATGTTAGTTCCCCAGTGGTTTACCCTCCGGTAAACGTTTACAACCTTTGCGACCTGGAATCCATCACCATCTGAAAGAGTTCGGTTTGCATCAACGACAGCCATGTTCTGCCATGTTCGCCTAACAAATTACCAGAGGCTACATGATGAAATCCTCATATTTCTGCAGATGGTAAATGACTCTCCTCATCCTCTGATCCTGAACTCAGTTGTACCCTTCGGTCATCCAACGTGGCAACAAAAAATGCCCCTCTCGTTATTGAACGTAGCGAAGTGGAAAGTCACCATTTTCCATAAATCAACGTTAAATAAATGGCCATGTTCAATAGCAAACTATTAAATTACCAGAAGGTATACAAAATCAGTGGTTCGAAATAATTCCAAATATGGAATCATATCACATCCAGAGACAACCATTCCAAATTGTTTCAAATAGAATGGGAAACTGAAACCGCCAATCAAATACTGCAAGTTGTTGCATTTAATCCAAGAAATTGTAAGAAATTCAATGGGTATTCTATGTTATTCTCATGAATTGGGGTAGGTGGACATATCTGTGAATATGGGTATACAATCATATTCAATTCTGATTTCTGACCCATAGATCTGGGACAATTGGGAAAAACATGAATTGTGCATGGATTAAATTGGATTCATCATGATCAATCTTATATATATATACATAATGTCAATGAAATTGCAATACGTCTATGTTGTTCTCATAAACAGGGGTATCTACGCATTCATTATTCATAGACAAGGACGACCTTTAGAAAACATGCCCGCTTCGAAACAGCAACCTCACAACAAAATGGCAAGATCCTCGATGTTGAATATCATCTTCCTATGCATCTATATTCATTATTTTTATCTATATCCATATCGATATCTATATATAACGTATATAATCTGGGTATGATTCCCCCAAACCGAACCATTCTTCCAAGCGAGAGCTGGGGGTTGCCACCATCCAACAAGCTGTTCCATGTTTTTTATCATCATGTTCCCTTGAAAAAATGATGGAAAAAAACAATAAATAGGGGGGTAACAAGGGTATACACTCATGCAAACCCCCATATTTTAAAGATGTTTATCATCATTTTCCTTCATTTTCCCCATTGAAAATGCCAATTCTTCTTGGGATGACCATCAGGATGTTCCACCCAGGATGTCCCCCCGACTTCCGCGCCTCCACCACGGCGTCGTAGGAGGTCTTTGAAACGCCATAGGCTTTCAAAGTCTCCTTGAGGTCACTTGGGTTTTGGGTTTCGCCAGTGGATGGGCCAGCGAAATCCAAAAAAAAACACCAATTTAAGGGATGGTTTGAAACATGTTGAAAGCCTATAAATAATGGGAATATAATGGGATATTGGCCATAAAATATCATAAAATTTCAGCAAAACCTCTATTGCGGATGGTGACTCTGGCATTATCTGGTTGGTGGTGCAATGTGCCCATCTTGAAAAATGATGGAGTTCGTCAATGGGAAGGATGACATCCCATATATGAAATGAAAAGTAAAAAATGTTCCAAACCACCAACCAGCTATAAATAATGGGGTGTTTACCACCGTTTTCAACTGGTGGATTTCGCTGGCCCATCCACAGTATGGAGACATGTTTCATGATTTGTCTCACTACGTCTCACTCCTTGATAGTTTGACCAACGTTTTAGGTGATCTACATCGTTTCTACAGCGAACTCTACAGGAAGCTGCAAGACCCACCGACACGCAGCGGTATCTCCCATAAGTTGCTGGGTGCCACAAAATGTGGCTGAGATCGTTGCTTTACACAACTTGTGACATCACGGCATCACGCATAATAAACATCACCGACATCACCTTTTGCAAACATCCATAAGGATTCCAAGTATTGTACAGTACATTGCTCATCCTCCCCAATGTGATTGCCTCAGATCGGAAAATTGGTTGCTGACTATCCTTGGAAATCCCAAGCAGCACTTGGATGTGCATATCCAACTAGCGGCACATGTAACTAGTATCCCACGATCTATCTATCTAATCTTATCTTATCTAATCTAATCTGTCCATGCATCCAGCCATCGTTCTAGCCATCTATCTAACTAACTAACTAACTAACTAACTAACTATCTAGTGACAAACGACACATTCCAACTAACGAACAAACGAATGAACGACTTATCTATCTATCTATCTATCTGTCTGTCTGTCTGTCTGTCTGTCTGTCTGTCTGTCTGTCTGTCGATCGATCGATCTATCTATCCTATCCTATCCTATCCTATCCTCTCCTCTCCTCTCCTCTCCTATCCTATCCTATCCTATCCTATCTATCTATCGTCCATCCATCCATCCATCCATCCATCCATCCATCGACCTATCTATCGACCTATGTATTTATATCTATATATACAAAGAGATATATATATATAGCTGGGGGTAAACATCCCATATAGAACAAGATGACCGTATGGTTGCTCAATGATTCGGGATGCACCGCTTTCGCACTTCGCGAATCGCTCCTTCAGTTTCTTCGCTTCAGGAAGTTCCACCTCCACGTGGGCCACGGCAGCGGTGCGCTTGGTTCCCTTGGTTCCCTTCGGAGCCATCGTGACGGGTGAAGTCGGGGCGAAATCACAGGTCGTTTGTTTAGGCCGAAATGGCTACAGCTCTGGGAAAGGACTCGGACTGTGGAGTTGAAGAAAGAAACGGTCCGAAAAAAGGAAAAAAAAAGATGTGTCCCATTCAACTTTGTCACCCGTGATGTTTCATGGACCCTATCCATTTTCAGACTTCGTCATGAACCCTTCCATACTCAGGGATATCTATTTGGAGTGCATCCTAGTTGCATCCAGTGGTAATAACCATATTACATGTACCCCAGGACTATCCCTATGACTAGCCCCCAAGACATGAACACATCCAACAACCTACACCAGTGTTTGGATATTGGGGAGTATGTAATACTACACTACAGCGTCCCCCACAAAAAAAGGGAAAAAGCCCTTTGCCACTGTCTTAGCAGGATTTTACTGTTCCATGGTTTTTGGGGGTTACCATAGGCGGAAGAGATTACCATGATACTCACTTCAGGATAGTTAAGCCATGTTAAACCCCAATTGCTGATGACAAAACCACCATTTACTATTCCGAAGAATGGATTCCCGTGATAATGTAAACCCTAAATTTCCAAACCCTAACTATTTCATTGATCGGGGTTACAGGAGTTGCCACAATTGTAGAACGGAATTAGGAGTACAAAAGTACGGTAAAATATCGTACTTTCGTACTCCTCCGGATCCCGATTCCGCGCGGATTCGGATCCTGGTCTATAATAAAGTTTTGGCTGTTCTATAATTAAGTTGTGCTTCTCAACTTCCGATATGGTACAGTACATACCTCGGTCCTCAAGTTCCCATCACCGGCAACACGCAGATTGCGTGAGTCTTGGAGGTTCCTTGCATGTATTTAAATCAGTTTATGATAATGTATCTTTCTTGGACCCCGGAAGAATGTATATAAATAGAAACCAGAATTATAGAACGGAATTATTGCAAATTTCATTATAGAACACGCCATTTTAGAACACACACAATTGGGACAGAATTGGTAAATGTGAGAAATGAGAAATATGAGGAAAAACAAAAACACGACTATAGAACACAAACAAGAATTATAGAACGACAAAAAAGTTAGGAGAAAGTCGAGAGTAAGTTTTTTTTCCCAACGTTCTGAGGAAACAGGAATTATGGAACAACAGGGTACGATAAACAGCCGTACTTTCGTACTCCTCAACTTCCGTTCAATAATTAATTGCGGCAACTACCATACCACCAAAATAGTGATCAATTACTACCCCCTGGTAAACCAACAACACTATGGAAATCTCAAGGGTATCTCAACCAATCCAAATATAATAGCCGAAATCCCAATCATATCCGTTGATCCCGATTAATCACCATGTGAATGTCCATGAATATCATGAATATCCCATCAAATCCCCATTTTCCCTGGCTCAAGTCACTATTTTCAATGGTAAAATCACCCATTATTTTGCCAAGGGAACTTCCCATCATTCACCGAAGGAGCTTGGCCAAAACCTTTCTTGGACTCCACCTCTGCCTGGGTACAACTGGTAGCACAATGTAAGGTCGCCATCTTCCTCAACGGGCCTGGAAAAGCACGCTGCATCTTTTCGTTCAGCATACCACAACTCTTCCTCACACGTCGGCCCTCGAGACACACACGGGCGCAGGGAGCGCTGACTTGCCGCTGTGTCCGATGTTTGCGCTTGCCCTCAGCACAAACGGCCTCTCACCGTTTGGGTGCAAATTAATTAGGGATCCATGGTGCCCCTGGGTAGACCAACAATGTAATTATCCTCCTGTTGAAGTGTTCATACGAAAGCAACCCTGAGGCGGGAAGTCCTGAACTTTCAAGATGTACCAGGCTTTTGGGACACCGGAGTAGAGCCACGATGGATGGGTAAAAGCATGGCTCTGACATCGAATTTGAGTGCAACTGCCCTTCGCGAATGGGCAAACGATTTCGGGCCACTCTGCGTGGCATCTTTGATACGGCCGCTCCGATCCTGATTCCAGGAAAAACAACAGCATTGCAGCATCTCCTCAAATCACTAATTGAAATCCAGAACCACTTCATCAACAAAATGTCTTCTATAGATTCCTTAAAAAGAAAAAAAAGACACATCAAAAAAGGTCTATATAACCTCACTAGTCCAAAAAGAATATCCGCAGGATCATTGCCATGGCCATGGCGCGTGTTCCTCAGGCGCCCGCGGTGGCCACAGCCGCCTCGGTCAGCGGCTCAGCCGTGGCCACGTCCTTGGCCTCGGATGCCTCGGATGCCTCGGATGCCGCGGCCTCGGGCTCCGTGAGGCGGTGCTCCTTGAGGTCTTCGAAGCAGATCCAGTTGTAGTTCTGGTAGTTCCTCAGCCCCAAGGGATGCCCCAAAAAGTGTAGCCCCAAAAGGAGGCACCCCAACTGGTGGATCCGCTTGATCCAGCTGGGGATTGGAGACATGTCTGCTGAAACAACGGTGATATATAGCTGGGTTCATGGTCTAGGGCATTGAAAGGGTTAGCCACGGGGGTCCAAATGAAGATTAGATGTGATATGATGAAATGCTGTTTCTCAAACATCACCTCCAAGTGTATATTGGAAGATCATACCCCGAAAGGTTTGGGATTCTTTCAGATGGGACATTTTTGACCATCTGAATAAAGCGGAAAAAAGTGAGGTGAGTGGGGGACCAAAGACTGGAATGCTATTTACATCCATTTACTCTTGTATAGATTATATAATATTATATAGACTAAATTAGACAAGACTAGATTAGATTCGATTGGACTAGATTAGATTGAGATAAGATTAGGTTAGGCGAGATTAGGTTTGGCTAGGATATGGATACCCGCAATGCGAAAAATGGTGCATAGCCCTGATTCAGAGTGGCACTAAAAACACAAGCGATGGGTCACAAACCCACCACCCAATAAGAACATCCTCGACCCCACAGGAGTAGAATCCTCCAATTGACCAGCCTTTTGTGACCCGTACATGTTCGTTGGTTGACATCCCCACTTTGGTTGGTTATGTTATTCAGTCTGGATCGCTATGTCCCCATTGATATCACCGCTAAGCAGTGGAACCCCCTGGTTATTTGTTGGCAAGACTCCCAAAAAGAGTATGGGCAAGACCGAGATGATTTTGCTTGGTTTAGAGCCCCATTGTTCCTTTGCCAAATCCCGTGACAAACTCCGCCCAACTGTGTCTTTCGAAAAACTGAGCGTCTCAAGTTCAAGGGAGGCCTCCTGCAAAACTTTCTTGGCGCTCTCCAAGGTGGGTTCTGCGTCTTCCACCTGCGTGCAAAAATTCTCGGGGAACAAAATGATCCGACGTGATAAAAAACTGGAGGATGATTGGCAAAGAAAAAGTGGGTGTCAAACCTACCAGAAATGAGGATTGAATCAGCAAGTAACCTGAGATGGGGTGGAACCAAGTGGCTATGGATTGAGAAGCTGCCAGCAAATTTTGGGGTTTTCTGTAGGTTCGCAACCTAGCAAGAATGATCAATCAGGCAAAAGTGCGGTGTACTCGAAAAAAAAAACAAGTCGTTTGGGTACCATCTTTGCAAATCTTTCAGATTTCGCAACCAGTTCCTTTGTGATAAGTGTTCTATGTCCCCTTAAAAAACACATTAAGAACTTCTCCCAAGAATATTGTAGTCAGCTGGGATCATCATTCAAGGTAGGATCGTGTATGTATTTAAATATTAGATATGTATATATATATACACATAAATATATATATATACATAAATATATATATACATAAATATATATATACATAAATATATATATATACATATATACATAAATATATATATATATATACATATATACATAAATATATATATATATATGTATATGTACAATATAGACACATATATATATATACATACACACATTCATACATACATACATTTAAATTTAGAAGAAAAAAACGTCAAACAACCAACCACTCAAACCGGTTCCCGACTACTTACACTAGTTACACTGAATATGCTCCCAAATCTTCCGCCCACTAGTTGAACTGAATCTACTTCCAAGTCTGATGATAACTCATCTTAAAACTCCATTTGCCATCCCTCATTGACGATCCCACTGTGAGTTTGGCGGATGCTTAGAGTAGTAAACTGCCCCTAAAAAGGCTGGTCAAAATCCCCATATCCATTCATCCACACTTGTGGTTGTTTAAACCCACTGAATTAAAAAAAAAAAAGCTTGGGGATGATAAAGTACGTATTACCACTAAGCTCAATAGGACTTTACTGTTCTGCATCGTTTTGGGGTGACTTTCCAAGCTTTCCAAGACGCTTCATCTCCCCCCACAGGGCCTTCTGCTCTGCCTCCTTCTTGGCATCTTGGCAGGCCTTGAGCGCCTTGGAGTCTCCAAGTGACGTGCAATACGTGACGTGTTGTGTATGTGTCTCGAATGTCATCTATATTCAGATATATATATATATATATATATGTATATATATACTGTATATAGTGTATATATAATATGTATCGTGTATATATATATAATATGTAAATTCAAACATATATACATATATAGTTTATATATATATAGTATATATATATAGTGTATATATATATATATCATCTAAATCTCACAAGCCTAAAGAATAAGTTCCTGCTTCACCAGGGCACCGTCTGAGTCTCCAGGTACATCTCAGCTGTCTTTTCCTGATGGACTTTGGCCGCCTGGGCATCTCGGCATTGGGATGGGAAGATGATGTTCCACTAAAAAATATATATATTGGGATGGGAAACCAACCATTTTATGGTTATATAATATGATAAATATATGATAGATATATTGCTTTGTTATGGATATATAATCTGGTTGGTGGTATACCTACCCCTCTGAAAAATATAAAAATCAATGGGAAGGATTATCCCATATATTATGGAAACTAAAAAATGTTCCAAACCACTAACCAGGAACTATTTTCAGGGTCTAATTTTTTTGCTAGAGGCTAGCTAGATGCGGAGAACCTACAGATGGTGGTTTTTCCACATCGAACTCTTAGTTTATATGAGGGTAACCATCTAACAGATGAGAAAAGAGTGGTTGAGCCATGATTCCACGAAAATTCCATGGTGACATGGTGTACTTGAATAGGGATAGAGCATTGGCTTCTTCACCAACATGGCACATATTCACCAACAGTTCATATCTTGTTGGTGCTGTGAAAAACCACCCATCTAAAAACATTCTATGAACACTTGGGAAAAAACAAAACACATTGAGAATCACCAGCCAGTTTTCGACCCCCAAGATTTTGAAGTGGCCATTGCATCGTGCGCGGTTCCCACCAGCACTTTTGGAGACCCTCACATTGCTTCAGCAAATCACATATGAAGAAATAAAACTTTGGGAACCACGAATCAACAACGATCCAGTTCGGGTCCCGTTTTTGGACTTTAAATCATGGTTTCCTGAAACAGTTCTTCTGATGTGTTTGGCCGTCTAACTCAATTCAATGTTAATTGGATACCCATCTTCATCCCCTTTACAATTGGATATTACCCAGTTGCAACCTGGAACGATACCCCATATCTTGTATATAACTGGCTTGTGACTTATAACCCCAGAAACACTCACCAGCGCTTTTATATATATAATTAACACTAATTAAGAGTAATTAACTGCGTTGTCACTTATAACTCCACTTACCAGACCCTCTGGTAAACTAGCATAACTATGGAAAATTACCATTTTTAGCAAATCAAATACTTCTATAACCATTTTCAATAGCTAACTCTTAAATTCCCAGAGGGTAAATCCCATTCAATTCCATTAAGTCACCAAAAATCCTAGTTAAATCACCATTTAATCCTTCTAAAAGTGGCCATTTTACCACCCACATCATGACATCTCCAGGAATCCCTCAAGCCGTCGCTGACCGTTCCGCCCTTGCCTCCAGGTCCTTCATGGCCCCTTCGACCGCAGCCTGGCGCTCCGCTGCAGCGGGGGCGCCTTGCTGGATTTGCTCCGCCAGAGCGGTGCAGCGCTTGGTGAGACCCTCTTGCAGCTGGGCGACCACCTGAAAAAAAAACGGGAAAAGTGTGTATATGAAAAAGTATGTATACATGTATGTATACATGTATGTATGTATGTATGTATGTATGGATGGATGGATGGATGGAAGTATGTATGTATGTACGTAATTATGTATGTATGTATGTATGTATGTAAGTGTCTGCGTATGTATGTATGTATGTATGTATGTATGTATATATGTATGTTTGCGTATGTATGTATGTATGTATGCATGCATGTATGTATGTATGTATGTCTGTATGTATGTATGTATGTATGTCTGCGTATGTATGTATGCATGTACGTACGTACATACGTACGTATCTATGTATGTATGTATGTATACATGTATGTATGTATGTATGTATGTACGTATGTATGTATGTATGTATGTCTGCGTATGTATGTATGTATGTATGTATGTCTGCGTATGTATGTATGTATGTATGTATGTATGTATGTTATGTATGTATGTATGTCTGCGTATGTATGTATGTATGTATGTATGTCTGCGTATGTATGTATGTATGTATGTATGTATGTATGTATGTATGTCTGCGTATGTATGTATGTATGTACGTACGTACGTATGTATGTATGTATGTATACATGTATGTATGTATGTATGTATGTACGTATGTATGTATGTATGTATGTCTGCGTATGTATGTATGTATGTATGTCTGCGTATGTATGTATGTATGTATGTCTGCGTATGTATGTATGTATGTATGTACGTATGTATGTATGTATGCATGTCTGCGTATGTATGTCTGCGTATGTACGTATGTATGTATGTATGTATGTATCTATGTATGTATGTATGTATGTATCTATGTATGTATGTATGTATGTTTACATGTATGTATGTATGTATGTATGTATGGTTGTCTGCGTATGTATGTATGTATGTATGTATGTATGTATGTCTGCGTATGTATGTATGTATGTATGTACGTACGTATGTATGTATGTATGTATACATGTATGTATGTATGTATGTATGTACGTATGTATGTATGTATGTATGTCTGCGTATGTATGTATGTATGTATGTATGTCTGCGTATGTATGTATGTATGTATGTCTGCGTATGTATGTATGTATGTACGTATGTATGTATGTATGCATGTCTGCGTATGTATGTCTGCGTATGTACGTATGTATGTATGTATGTATGCAAGTACGTATGTACGTATGTATGTATGTATGTATGCCTGCGTATGTATGTATGTATGAATGTATGTATGTATGTACGTATGTATGTATGTATGAATGTATGTATGTCTGCGTATGTATGTATGTATGTATGTCTGCGTATGTATGTATGTATGTACGTATGTATGTATGTCTGCGTATGTATGTATGTATGTATGTACGTATGTATGTATGTATGTATGTCTGCGTATGTATGTATGTATGTATGTACGTATGTATGTATGTACGTATGTATGTATGTCTGCGTATGTATGTATGTATGTACGTATGTATGTATGCATGTACGTACGTACATACGTACGTATCTATGTATGTATGTATGTATACATGTATGTATGTATGTATGTACGTATGTATGTATGTATGTATGTCTGCGTATGTATGTCTGCGTATGAATGTATGTATGCATGCATGCATGTATGTATATATGTGTGTATGTGTGGGTATGTATGTATGTGTTTATGTGTATGTGTGTATGTATGTATGTATGTATGTATGTGTGTGAGTGTATCATGTATGTATGCATGCATGCATGCATGTATGTGTTTACGTATGTCTGTCTGTCTGTCTGTCTGTCTGTCCGTCCGTCCGTCTGTCTGTCTGTCTGTGTGTATGCATGTATGTATGTATGCATGCATGCATGCATGCATGCATGCATGTATGTATGTATATGTATGTATATGTATGTATATGTATGTATATGTATGTATATGTATGTATATGTATGTATATGTATGTATATGTATGTATATGTTTGTATATGTATGTATATGTATGTATATGTAGGAATGTGTATGTATGTGTATGTATGTGTATGTATGTGTATGTATGTGTATGTATGTGTACGTATGTATGTATGTATATGTATGCATATGTATGTATATGTACGTATATTTATGTATATTTATTGATATTTATGCATGTTTATTGATATTTATGTATATTTATGTATAATTATGTATGTATGTGTATTTATGTCTGTATGTATATTTATGTATGTATGTATATTTATGTATGTATGCGTATGCATGTATATTTTTGTATGTATGTGTATTTATGCATGTATGCATGTATATTGATGTATGTATGTATGTATGTATGTATGTATGTATGTGGTCGATCAAAATTCCTTTGTCCGGGAACGGCCATTCTTCGCGAATAATTTTTCTCCTTCGCGAATCTTTCGCGAACTTTCGCGCACTCCATGTTTATCTTTCGCGGAACCCATGTTGAGCAATAACTCCTCTGTTGAAGATTCATTCAGCACCTGCCAAATCACACCAAACTATCACGGATAACTTCATAGCCTTGTAAACATGCAGCTAGCATCACGGAATCCCCTTCTCAGGACAGGTCGTTATTGATAAGGCGATTTTTTTTGCAAGGCTTACTGGGCCACTCCCTTCAAAATGCACTTTGGCTTTTGCCCAGTCCTTCGCAGAACTTTCGCGGAACTTTCGCGAAAATACCCCTATCCGCCGACCCCAGCCATCAGCAGGGGGGCGCATCAGAGGAACCGCAAACACCAGGGGCCTTGGTGTTTGGCTCTCGCAAAGCCTCACTTTTGGAAGCTTGGCTGCTGCGTTTGGAGCTTGTTTCTTGAGACTTCAGAAAGCAACGCCAGGCAGTACCAGCGGCAGGTGCAAGGATGTGCTTCAAGACCATGGTACTTGGCTGTGGCGAAGCCTCACCTTCGAAAGCTTGGCTGCTACCTATGAAGGGAAAGGTAATGTGCGGTACCATTCTTCTGCCGGACCCCGGGCCCCGGGCGGCAGGAGGTGGTAGCCCAGAACAAGCTGTAATGTATACATTGACTCATAATATCCAACTTTCCAAATTTTCGCGAATACAAGATTCTCGTTCGCGAACTCGTACGGCTTTAGATCAACCACCATGTATGTATGTATGTATGTATGTATGTATGTATGTATTTATGTATGTATGTATGTACGTACGTACGTACGTATGTATGTGTATGTGTATGTGTATGTGTATGTGTATGTGTATGTGTATGTGTATGTGTATGTGTATGTATGTGTATGTATGTGTATGTATGTGTATGTATGTGTATGTATGTGTATGTATGTGTATGTATGTGTTTGTATGTGTATGTATGTGTATGTATGTGTATGTATGTGTATGTATGTGTATGTATGTGTATGTATGTGTATGTATGTGTATGTATGTGTACGTATGTGTACGTATGTACGTATGTACGTACGTATGTATGCATGTACGTATGTACGTATGCATGCATGGATGTATGGATGTATGGATGTATGGATGTATGGATGTATGGATGTATGGATGTATGGATGTATGGATGTATGGATGTATGGATGTATGTGTGTATGGATGTATGGATGTATGGATGTATGGATGTACGGATGTATGGATGTATGGATGTATGGATGTATGGATGTATGTGTGTATGGATGTATGGATGTATGGATGTATGGATGTATGGATGTATGGATGTACGGATGTATGGATGTATGGATGGATGTATGGATGTATGCATGCATGTATGCATGTATGCATGTATGTGTGTATGTGTGTGTGTATGTGTGTATGTGTGTATGCGCGTATGTGCGTATGTGCGTATGCGTGTATCTGTGTATGTGTGTATGTGTGTATGTGTGTATGTGTGTATGTGTGTATGTATGTGTGTATGTATGTATGTATGTGTGTGTGTGTATGTGTGTGTATGTATGTATGTGTATGTATGTGTATGTATGTGTATGTATGTGTATGTATGTGTATGTATGTGTATGTATGTGTATGTATGTGTATGTATGTGTATGTATGTGTATGTATGTGTATGTATGTGTATGTAGGTGTATGTATGTGTATGTATGTGTATGTATGTGTATGTATGTGTATGTATGTGTATGTATGTGTATGTATGTGTATGTATGTGTATGTATGTACGTATGTACGTATGCATGTATGGATGTATGGATGTATGGATGTATGGCTGTATGGATGTATGTGTGTATGGATGTATGTGTGTATGGATGTGTGGATGTATGGATGTATGGATGTATGGATGTATGGATGTATGGATGTACGGATGTATGGATGTATGGATGGATGGATGTGTGCATGCATGTATGCATGTATGCATGTATGTGTGTATGTGTGTATGTGTGTATGTGTGTATGTGCGTATGTGCGTATGTGCGTATGTGCGTATGTGCGTATGTGCGTATGTGCGTATGTGTGTATGTGTGTATGTGTGTATGTGTGTATGTATGTATGTATGTATGTATGTATGTATGTATTGTATTGTATTGTATTGTATTGTAATGTAATGTATGTATGTATGTATGTGTGTATGCGTGTGTATGTGTCTGTATGTGTGTACGTGTGTACGTGTGTATGTATGTATGTATGTATGTGTATGTATGTGTATGTATGTGTATGTATGTGTATGTATGTGTATGTATGTGTATGTATGTGTATGTATGTGTATGTATGTGTATGTATGTGTATGTATATGTATGTGTATGTATGTGTCTGTATGTGTCTGTATGTGTATGTGTATGTATGTGTATGTATGTGTATGTATGTGTATGTATGTGTATGTATGTGTATGTATGTGTATGTATGTGTATGTATGTGTATGTATGAGTATGTATGAGTATGTATGTGTATGTATGTGTATGTATGTGCATGTATGTATGTATGTGTGTGTGTATGTATGTATGTATGTATGTATCTATGTATGTATGTATGTATGTATGTATGTGTATGTATGTATGTGTATGTATGTGTGTGTATGTGTAAGCATGTGTATGTATTTGTATGTATGTGTATGTACGTGTATGTATGTGTATGTAATTGTATGTAGGTGTATGTATGTAAATGTATGTGTATGTATGCGTATGTATATGTATGTGTATGTATGTGTATATATGTGTATGTAACTATGTGTATGTATGTGTGTAAGTATGTGTGTATGTATGTGTGTATGTATCTGTGTATGTATGTGTGTATGTATGTGTGGATGTATGTGTGTATGTATGTTCGTATGTATGTGCGTATGTATGTGCGTATGTATGTATGTATGTATGTATGTATGTATGTATGTGTGTAGGTATGTGTGTATGTATGTGTGTATGTATATGTATATGTATATGTATATGTATATATATATGTATGTCTGTATGTGTATGTCTGTATGTGTATGTATATGTATATGTATATGTATATATATATATATTAAGTATATTTTTACATATTAGATATTAAGTATATTATTATATATTATTATGCAGGTCTGGAGATGGATCTGAGAGAGATGTGTGTATTGTGTATGGATATGTGTTGGGGACCCTCTGAAAGTCTCGAATATGACACTGGAAAATCCAAGTTTCATGGAAAAAATCACCTCATAGACTGATTTGTTCATGGGTGGATATTTGCTTATGTCTCACTTCCTGGGGGATTGATTAAAATGCGTGGCCCCATATCCAGATGAATTGGTGCCGCGGGGGGCCTCTGTTCTCCAGGCGGGTGATGTGTGCAATTCTTGTGCGGGACTCTCGCCCCCAAGTTGTACAGGGTTCTTTCATCCACACGCATTCATCAACATACTGAGATGTCCAAATGGATGTTTCAACCATGCTTTGAAATCCTGCCTGAATATGCATGAATCACGTTGAATCACTTTTTGTTGAGATGTCTTTGAGTTGTTTCAAAAAGCTGGTGCCCCAGTTCGTTCGCTAAGTTGGTGCAAATAACTCCAACAACTTGGGTTTATAGTTGATATATCGAACTACTTCTTGGGGGGTTACAAACCCACAAACATCACGGGGTGGATGCCACCAGCCGCCCGTTGCTTGCCAGTTGCCATGGCGTCGAAGGAACCACGTTCGCTGGGAGGTTTCAGCATGCTGGTGGGCAGCGCCGTCAGCAAACCTCGATCCAGTGGCTGGGGTTGGAAGGGTGCTTGGGTTGGGAATGATGGACTCAACCAGTAAAAGAACGGAGGTTGAACCATCAACAATGGAGCTTTAACCTTATAGAAAGGGATGATGGAAACGTTGTTCCAAAAAAGACACATGAGCAATTGGGTGTGAATTGAAGTTGAGGTAGTTCATTGTCAGTAGCTTTTAAAATAAAACCATCCACTTTCCACGGTGGATAGTTTTGACGCATACCCATGCATACCCAAGTTTTGACTTTATGTTTTTTTTTGGATGGGCAGAAAAAAACCACCAACCAGATTTTTAGGTGGCTCAAAACCAAAGATGAAGTGGTCATTTGAGTTGTTGGGCATCCTGAAAAAAACACCATAGAATAATCGTCCCCTTCATCAGGAGATCCTTTCACAAGGTGATTCAAGCGATCAACGCACGCTTCCAAAAAGAAATCACGTACGCTTTCTTGGATGAATCGAACAGGGGGTTCTGGGTAGCGTTGGTCATTCTTAGGAGCCAATTCTGGCAGAATCAAACCCCCAACGATATGTTTTTTCATTATATCTATCCCATTACTGGTTGGTGGTTGAGCCTACCCCTTTGAAAAATATTAGTTCGTCACTTGGGATGATGACATTCCCAATATATGGAAAGTCATACAATTTATGTTCCAAAGCACCAACCAGATTAAATCACCATGTTAATGCCATTAGATATCATTCTTCTCATGGTATTCACATGATATTCCCCATTAAACCACCGTTAAATCTCATTAAGTTCCATTAACCCACCATTAACCCACCATTTTCGCTACCAGGAACTGTTCTCCATACCACTGCTCTTGGCCACCTGCTCCAATTTCCTGGGAGTTCTGCTATTACCAACCATTTTATGGCTATATAATATGATAAATATATGATAGATATATATAACTTTGATGGATATATAATGATGTGTAACCAACAATTTACTGGTTTCAATGGCAATGTCATGGGAACATATCGAAAACAGAGGAGAATCATCTATAAATGGGTGGTTCAATGGGAAGATCATATGATAGATATATGATACATGATAGTTATACATGATAGATATGTATTGTATATATATATATGTATATAGTACGATGGATATGATGGTAGAATAATTTATAACCAATTTATAGCCATCCATTTTAAGTTATAGATATGATGGGATAGATATATAATATGATACAATTAACTAGCTGATAGTTGGGTGTACTTTGAAAATGTGCGATGAACCCCCCACAAACGATTGTTATTATAGTGAAGAAAATCATGAGATTGGCCAGCTGAGAACGCTGGATACACTTTCAAACGTGGGATGAGCCCCCACTTGATGGTCATGAAAAAATGGGGAAAATGATGTGACCGGTGGATGGTCAATCTTCAGGCGTCCATCTTCCAGTGTTTCTGGCTTGGGACTGCTGCCAGAAGCTTGGTCTTCAACCAGCCAGGTACTGGCTTTGAACTTTGCTGTCTCTGTATCCAAGTGGGTTCACCACCATTGGACCGATGATGTCAAGCCCTTGGAGTTTCAAATGGAAGCCCAAGATGACTATGTTCTTAAAGGATCTTGTCTTTCATCCCCCCCATTTTTGCGGGTTCCAGGTCAATTTTGAGAGGGAAAGTCGACGGTGAAGCATCACTGTACCCGTTATATCATGTTTTCATTTTGGAGGGATACTTGGAGAGAATCCAAAAACAATAAATTGGCGTTTGTATTTTATCCCAGAAAAATTGTATATCCCAATTTTATCATTTAAAAAAACACCATATTCTGGAGCTCTACCAGTATACCGGTATTAACCCCACTTGGAGACAAGCCAAAAATCATACCCTCTGGTAAACTAACATAATCACCATGTTTAATGGGAAAACTCACTATAAATTGCAATGTTCAATAGCAAACTGTTACAGTAGTTTACCAGAGGGTAACTTGGTGCTTGTTTTTTTATCCCATGAAATCCCATCAAATCATCCCTTCGAAATCCACCATGTTTTCGCAGCCATCGCAGCGACCAAGTCGCTTGTACTGCGCCTTTGCTTCATCACCGTCTGCGGTGCCATCCCGCAGCAGGCGAAATTCCTGGCTGTTTGGTCAAACCATGGTGCGTAGACCCCAAGTTATGGCAGTTTTCATAAGGAAAAGATGGAAAAATCATGTCTTAACATGGGATTGAGGGGCAAACCCATCTGAAGAACAAACGGTGGACATGGGAAGCACAGCATCTTTGATGGAAGCTTTTTTAAAACCAAACATGTCAATCCATCCTGCTACTTTCACAGTTTGCCAGTTCCATTTCTCAAACGGCTGTGTCGGGATGATCGCTAGGTACATTGGGATGATCACTGCTGTTTGGAATATCATCCCAAAATATTGAACATCCCCAAAATTCTAGGGGTTGAATCTCTCCCCAAAAAATACTTGGGATGTTGGGGAATCATGTCCAGCTACGGCGGAATATATCCCAAAAAAATACAACATGCCCCCAAATAGGGTCCAATCCTGTTGGTTGGCTCTCCATGTTTTCATGATCTTAAAGTGGATCATCAATTTGGTGTTGTGCCTTAAATATAGGTACCCCCAATCCCAAAGGGGGAGAGAACTTCTGGGGGAAAAGGCTTTTGACAAACGATCTGCCCAATCTGAGAATTTGATCAGTTTGATGATCTAGTGTGGTTAAAACCATCAACCACCCATGTGGGAATTGTTTGACCTATAAAATGGTGATGACTGGGGGATAGTTCATTATTGCTTTACCCACATTATATGATTAAAAACATATTAAACCTATTAATTATAGCCTACAATCATCAAAGAATCGGCATACCCGCTATCATCAAACGTGGGAAATCCCTTACCAATTGGAGGCGTAAATGGGAAAATGGTCCATTGCCACGCTGGATTCGCGGCGTCCAGATTTGGTCTCGTTGTAGGGGGCACCCAAATATCGATCGTGTGTTGTTTCACGTGTCCCATTGCATCCACAATATGCTTGGTTGTAAACAAATGATGTTTGTTGGTTAGATTCCCCAGTTCATATCCCATATATATATCCCATATATATCCCATTATATCCCATCATAATTTTTGAGGTAATCCCATTACATATCCCAAAATCATATCCCTATGAAACCCCCGTAGCTGCTAGACAAGACCCGGAAGACATGGCACAAATATATCCCATAAAATATCCCCATCAATATCAATACTATGTACCCCTTATAAAATTATCCATCATATCTTCGTTATTGGTAAAAATCCCATGACATATCCCATCTTCTATGGTTTGTCATAATGTTATCATAATGTTAAATCCCATAGTTTCATGGCTTCATCATGGTTTCATCCCCCATTCGAGCGGAACGTCTGGGGCGGAACGTGATGGGGCGTTTCTGGCCTCGGTCAGGGCCGCTTCAATGTCCGCCTTCTCCTTGTTGGCGACATCATGCGCGGCATCACCTGTGGCGTTTTGAAAAATTGTTATTTTTCATGCGGATTCGTAGGATTCAAGCGTGGTTTAATGATGATTAAATGGTGGTTAAATGGTGGTTAAAAACATTGGTTAAACACATTTAGTGACGGTTTAATGGGGGTTAAATGGTGGCTTAATTTTTGGCTTAATGGGGGTTTAATGTGTTTTTAACCATCGTATAATCCAGTGATGTATGGATTATTATATACAAGGTGAGGCCCCCCAAACGTGATGTTTGTTGCTTCATAAACCCAATTAATACTATAGCTATCCCCCTAGTCAACCCAAAGGTTCACCAAGTGATGTGCGTCAACTTAGCTATCTAATTCGGGGTCCTCACCAGCAACAAGACAAGAATTTTATGGGAGTATCATGGGGATATAGGTGGCAAAACTTAATAATGGCTGCGAAATGGGGTACTTCATCCTTGTCTAGCAAACAAAAATGGCTTCAGAACCAGATATTCATGGGATATAATGAAAGAATTTTCGTATGGCTTACAGTAAATCAAGGTAGATATGGAAGATAACCATGGTTTCCTCACAAAATGATCTATCAATGGGGACAAGTTCATAATCCATTAAAATTGGGAGTACTCCGTTTTAAGAGAAACGCGTGCAAATCTGATTACGGTGAACATATTAGAAATTCTATGGCGACATATAATGAATGCATCGCTAATAATTGGCGAGCAATAATATAAATACAGAGAAATGATATATGATTGCATCGAGTCAGCTAAATGGATATACCAAACAATGGGTCTTAGGCAAAAAATGGTGCTAGAAATGCTGGCAGAACCTACCAACCCGCCTTTCGGGACTACATCCAGGAGCCGCCTAAACCCGCGCCTTTTTTGGGACGTGTTTCCGCTGCCATGGGAATTACATGCCATGGGACCTGTTATAGATCGAACAGTTGGAAATCTGTTAGTTATGAGCTAAAGTTCATTTTCATCAATCCTGGAATGTATATGTATATGTATCAAAATTCACCAACCTGAAATTAGGTAATTCTAGGTTTCCCTTACCAACCGTCATAAATCATAAGGTCAGCCACTGAGTCACTACAATGAACTCAGAATACATCTCGTTTTTACGAAGTCTTTAACCCGTCCTTTTCGAAGGTTGCAGGGTTAAGTTCCAAAAATACAACAAAAAATATGCAAATTTATGGTGGTATTGACGTTCGATGTTTCAAAATGTTTCAAGGACACTCCGTGGAGGATCTACATATACTTACATATTACATATTAAATGAATATATATATATATAAATGGCCATGTTCAATAGCTATATTAGATTCCCAAATGGTACGTTTATATACACACATGACATAACATAGCACAACATAGCACAACGTAACATAAGATTACCTAATGCAACACCACACGAAACGACATTACATGAGATGACACAACATAACCCTACCCTACCTTATGTTACGTTGCGTTTCATTGCATCACATTTCATTTCATTACATTACTTTACATTTCATACAGGCATGTCCAATATATCTATACAGTATGTCATAAATCCCCACACACACACATTCATCACAAAAAGATCAGTACGAGTACCCCAAATTTCATGGCGAATCCTCCATGGTGTTTCTCTTAACGCCAGAAGTGGAAGGTAAATTCCTCATTTCAAGACACATCCAAATATCCTCTTGTAGGATTATTTATACATATATATATATATAATGTCAACCCTGGATTAATAAACCCTTAGGCTGTTTAATTGGGAGGGTACCATTTAAGTATCAAATCATGACTATTGGGGGGAATACCCGCCTAATTAATAAACCATGGTTTGTCAATCCGGGGTTGACATTATATATATATATATATATATGTATAACCATGTCTTTCTATACTTATATCCAAAGAATATATCACTGGAATATAAAATTGTTTCTCATTAAATCCCCATGAAACCAGCGCACCTTCGCTTCGCAACTTCTCCTGTTCCGACAACTTGCTCTTGGCCGCCAGGGCCGCACGGGTGGCCTGGCGCGGCGGAGAAGCGGCATGACCCGACCAGAAAAACAACCAACTATAATAGGGATGCAAAGATATAGATGTATACATATATATATATATACATATACCTATATATGTGTATATATATATGTATCCCATTTAAGAATAGGATCCGCCACTCACGGGTACTGATATGAAACCAACGAATGTTAGTAAAGCAATGGGATCCAGCATCCCGGATTTGTACCACGTGGGGCGGCTTATTATTGCTTTACCCACTATGATAATGGTGATGTAATGATTGATGTGTATATGTATGGGTTCGGTGCGTTTTCCTGGCCCCAAGGATACTATGATTGGGGCCTGTTATTATTATCATTGGTTTATTTGGAAGGGAAACACGCAGCGCCCATATCTCTATATAATATATATATATACATATAATATGAAGGTGTCCTAAAATGGAGGTAGCCGCAAATCATCCAAATTAGACCATGTCAGTATTGAAACCAATGGTTTTGGGGATCCCCCGTTTTAAGAAACCAATGTGTACATATCCCTTCTCCCGTTCTGTATGATCCCACAACTGCGTGAACCATGGTTTCTCGGGGTTGTTTAATAATATGGGGAAGGGGTTATATAGTGCTATAATGTGTATATATATATACACATACTGTATATAACCAACAAAATGATATCTGGGTTTTAGGTGCGCATCAAAATCGGGTGTACCGCTCCAATGTGTGGCATTTAAGTAGAAAATGACGATGAACCAGTGGATGGAATGGGGTGTGCTGTTTTCAGACAAACCCAGAATGAGATTGGATACAAGGGTTATGATAATGACTGGAAGCAAATATATACATTTGACGTACTTTGTGAAATGAGCCAACTGAGCTCATGATCGGAGTTTTTATGGTGATATGTATGATTGAATGGGGGGCTTACATGTATCTCCCCACAGAAACCAACCTTACTTGAGCAGTGTCAAAAACCTATAGTCCCATTTAGAAAGTTGATAATAAACCTATGGCCCCATGGTAAAATGGGGACTTTCAAATCCATCATTCTTCCTATTGGGAAATATCCAAAATCATTATTATGTATGCCATACAAACAAAAACCAAAACCTGCATCACAACATTAGGAATTCTCATAACTCAAACTGAAGATTGTCAAAATCCTCTTAATTAGATTCTCATACTCCACATGTACTGCCCGGTTTTCATGGAACCTCCCGAGCTCGGGATGTTTTTTCCTGGGTTTGATGAAAATTGGGCACCCAAATCCCCCGTTGGGGATATCCTACAGCATCCTTTGGAGCCACATTGGGAAAAACAGGCTGCCATGGATAGGTCATGGCCAGGTCATGGACGTCACCGATAGGTCGACATGTTGGATAACACACCAGGGATGTCCTGGAAACGGGGTCAAGATTGGGTACCCCAATCAGATGGTGAATGCCATCTAGAACTAAATACTTGGATTATAGACTTATATACACTATACAAAAATATTCATGGCACCATATAAATGCACTATATACCATATGATACGAGTATATGCTTAAAATCTCTGGTGCCAAAAATTGACTCGGGATCCTGCTGGGGTACAACCGACACCATTGTCTTGCTTCGTCTTCAACACTCTGTGGGGGATTTGCAATACTAAAATGGTCTAATGTGGGTAAAACAAAAATAAACCACCCATTTGGAAATGGTTCACACCACCTATTAATGGTGAAATTGGCGATGGTTTATGATTGCTTTACCAACATTACTATGGTAAACCCATAAATAAACCACCATAAATCATAAATGGGTGCTAGGTTTAGCATTGGGTTAATTGGGTTTACCCCATGAATGATTTGGATTTAGGGTGACTATGGGTGACTTGGATTTGGGGTGGCCCCCATTTTTGGAAACCTCCACTTTGGGACACTATAAATCATGTTGACTTGTGATATGCACCCAAAGTGAGAAGAATTCTGAATCCAGGCGGGCTTCGAACTCATCTGCCAGATTATAAGCAAGCAGCAACAAAGGGTTGACAGATACGGCATGAAACATTTACTTACAGTGGCCACAGAATAAGTTAACATATTTTCCCTGTTTCTGGATGTGGTTCCCATTTCACTACAGAGACGACACTTTTCTGTTCCTAAATGAGTGATTGCTGGTCTGAATCCAATCCAACTGGAAAAACGGTAATTATGTAGTCTTTGTTGCACATCATAGGCTGCTCACCAATATGGAGCCGCATCCAAAACTATGAAGACCACTTGGCAAGCTTACTCCTTCAAGGCTCTTGCTGAAACTTTGACCAAGAGCTAAGCTCTGAAGACCGCTTGGAAAGGTCACTCCTTCCAGGCTCTGGTTGAAATTGCCGCCAAATGTCAAGCTCCGAAGACCAGTGGGCAAGTTCACTCCTTCCAGGCCCTGATCAAAATGCCAACCAAACACTAGGCTCCGAAGACCAACGGGTAAGGTGACTTCTTCCAAACTCTGGTTGAAATTGCTACCGAATGTCAAGTTCTGAAGACCACTTGGAAAGATCACTCCTTCCAGGCTCTGGTTGAATTTGCTGCCAAATGCCAAGCTCTGAAGACCTCTTGGAAAGGAAACTCCACGCAGGCTCTGGTTAAAATGGTCACCAAATGTCAAGCTCTGAAGGCTACTTGGAAAGGTCACTCCTTCCAAGCTCTGGTTGAAATTGCCCCCCAACGTCAAGCTCTGAAGACAGATCGGAAAAGCCCTTCCTTCAATGCTTCGGCTGAAATTGTCATCTCCAAATCTTAAGCTCTGAAGGCCGCTTGGTAAGGTCACTCCTTCCAAGCTCTGGTTGAGATTGCGACCAAATGTCAGGCTCTGAAGACCGCTTGGTAAGGTCACTCCTACCAAGCTCTGGTTGAAATTGCCATCAAATGTCAGGCTCTGAAGGCTGCCTGGCAAGGTCACTCCTTTCAGGCTCCGGTCGTAATAGCTAAATGTTAAGCTCTGAAGACCTCTTGGAAAGGAAACTTCACGCAGGCTCTGGTTAAAATGATAGCCAAATGTTAAGCTCCCAAGACCGCTTGGAAAGGCCACTCCTTTCAAGCTCTGGTTGAAATTGTCTCCAAATGTTAAGCTCTGGAGATCACTTGGCAAGGTCACTCCTCGAAGGCTTTGATTGAATGTTTGACCAAGCATCAAGCTCTGAAGACCACTTGGCAAGGTCACTCCTCGAAGGCTTTGATTGAATGTTTGACCAAGCATCAAGCTCTGAAGACCACTTGGAAAGGTCACTCCTTCCAGGCTCTGGTTGAAATTGCCGCCAAATGTCAAGCTCCGAAGACCAGTGGGCAAGTTCACTCCTTCCAGGCCCTGATCAAAACGCCAACCAAACACTAAGCTCTGAAGACCAACGGGTAAGGTGACTTCTTCCAAACTCTGGTTGAAATTGCTACCGAATGTCAAGCTCTGAAGACCGCTTGGCAAGGTCACTCCTTGAAGGCTCCGGTCAAAATTGTCTCCAAAAGTCAAGTTCTGAAGACCACTTGGAAAGATCACTCCTTCCAGGCTCTGGTTGAATTTGCCGCCAAATGCCAAGCTCTGAAGACCTCTTGGAAGGAAACTCCACGCAGGCTTTGGTTAAAATGGTCACCAAATGTCAAACTCTGAAGGCTACTTGGAAAGGTCACTCCTTGCAGGCTCTGGTTAAAGTGGTAGCCAAATGTTAAGCTCTGAAGACGGCTTGGAAAGGTCACTCCATTTAGGCTCTGGTTGAATTCGAAGCCGAATGTCAAACTTTCAAGACTGGAGGGGAGGGAATACTCGGTGCAGCACATACCCGCTATCCTCGCAATGCCTTGTAGTGGCTCTTGCGCATTCATGGTTTTTCCAGGCAGTGAATCACTTTGGATACAACACCATGCAGCACGCAAATCCGTCGGAACAAAAGTGCAAGAGAGTATCGCGGTCTTTCCTACAATGCCTTGCCCTTGCAACGTGTGCTGGAGCATCAACGGTGAATTGATATAATGCAGTGTGAAGCCCCTCCCTTTCTTTGAAGGAAGTTGCTCCGAAACCAGTTTGTGCAGATCGGAACCCAGAGCAGAAGAGCTGAGTCTCAACTCGCATCCTTCACCATTCAAGCATCGCACATAAAGATCAATCAAATCGCTGGTTGGCTCCACATAGCCACCAGCACTGGTGGACATCGGCGTCGCAGACATTGCTACGTTGGAGGCGTTCACCTTCTACACAGCACCACAGCCTACAATCTATTCATCTATGTATGTTTGCATGCTATGCGTGAAGTATGCTGTGATTTATGCATACCAACAACTAGCATAATTGCTCCCTGGCATTCCAAATTGTCATGGTCCTGCTGAGCCAGCAAGAGTGGAAGGATATATTTAAATTATATGGAAATATGATGCAACATGCAGTGACCAGGGAATCCCAACAGGTGTGGCTCCAAATTTCGGCACAAAGAACCACAAAATCGGCCATTTTGTAATCAAACTGGTTCGGAGTCCATAATTTTGAATCGGTCTCGGTCATGAAACTACCTCGGCTTTCGATATCGCAACCACCCCCAGTCGGGGTTCCACTAAAAATCTAGTTGAAAACCCTATTTATTCCATTTTTCCTACTGAAAGTGCAGTTTAAGGGGCAACCCCCACTTGCAGACAGATCCCAATATCATTTTGTAGATGTGTTTTGAAATACTTATATATAGATTATATATATATTTTTTATAGATTATATGTATATTATATAGATTATATATATATACACATATGTGTGTGTATACATCCCAGCATTGTATTTTGCCCTTTTTGCTTTTATGAAGTTTTATCACCACTTATCTCCCATTTTTTAAGTACCAAAGCCATATTGCCCGAACTTGTTGCCGGAAGGCACCTCTGCCAGATCTTCCTTTCCTGGCTGAAAACATGGAGACAATCACTGCCGGAAAATGATCCAAACATAGGGATATCAATGTGTGTAAAATGCGAAAATAGTAGGGATAGAGTTGGGATATAACGGAATACGTATACATATGTGTATATCTGCGTATGTTACATATATATATAACCACAGGATGATGTGCGGGTGTGTCCGTCAAATGGGGTGTCCATGAACTGTAAACTACCGTTTTAGGAGGAAAAATGATGATTTACATAATAAAAATGGTACCATGCTCTCAGACATATTCTCCTGATAACTGAGCATATGGAACAATATCCACACTGCAAACTACATATCCACACTGGAAGGTTTTTTTGGTATTTTCAGACATCCCCGTGTGGATGAAACTGTTTCTCACCCTGAAATCACTGATGCAAAAAAAAACCGTCAACCGTGATGATTTCCGATAAAATCTCCACAAAAACCATGGTGTCTCCCAAAAACCAAAACTAATGGGTGCAAAAAAACAAAGCTTTGGTACTTGAAGATGATGAAATAACACCCTAATTGTAGCTAGTTTACATGAACCATTATCTGCCGATCATTTCACCTTACTGAAGCCCTTTCCATGAGGTCATTTTTCCAGCTACCTCGGTTTACCTATGACATAAAGATCCCCAAAAATAAATCGAAACCGTTGAATAAATTACATACAAATCATATACAATCTCATGACCTCGCAATAAATCGAAATTACCACCACTCAAACAAAGTCAGACGCGTAAAACGCATAAACTCCTCCAAGTTTCTTCGTCAAAACCCTGAATTCTGTACCAGAAAAAAAGAAACGTCGTTTTTTGCTAGACCATCAGAAATTTTGATTGAATGTCTATCCTTCAACAAGTCTAAACCCAAATGTTGATGAAAATCCCCAACCCCAACAAATGGAGGTTTACAGCTGGGAAAATCATCGAACAAAGATTTTGCATTATTTTGCATTGCTATGTTGATTCTATAAATCCTTATTCTTTGAAGTTTAAATTCCATTAAATCGACCCATCCTCCTCTGGGATTCGACAAAAAAAATCACCACAATACATCAATTCCGATTGGGGATTGGTAGACTTAGAATGCCTCGAATTAGTTTACGGATACATATATATATATATACATAGGTACTACTAATCCACCGCAATTCCATAATACCATCATGATAATTATACTATATAATCCATATACGTGGATCCATATAAAAGAATTACATATATATATATATATATGCATGTGCATAGCCTGCATCCATAAAAACAGTTCCGTCATATATGGATATATCTGCATATACAATGTGAGGCTCCCGCTCAGATCAGTCCCCTTGAATCCTACTGATGGTTGGTTAAATCACATACTTTTCCCATAGATTTCAGCAGAAAAATCGAGTTCACCAACAAATCAGACATGAAATCCTATGAAATATCATCATTTCAATCATTTCCCTGATATTCCCCATGTTCTTCCCATGAAATTCCATGAAAAATCACCACATGTCTGGGCTCGTTCCGCCAAGTCACCCTTGCTCTCGGTCTCCAAGGCCTTCTGCAGCGCTTCATCACTGGCCAAGACCTGGCGAGCCATGGGGGTGGAAAGGAGAGCCATGGGGGGAAACATGGGGGAAACATGGAGAAGATCATTTGGAAATCATGTAAAAATACTGGGACAATGATGGACACTAATAACGAGATATAGTGGGATGTGATGTCGATATCATGGGAAATAGTGGGTATATATGGATACAAATGGTGTTGCCAATGATTGTACCAGTGATATCATACGGGCTAGGTTTCAAAACGCACTGGTTTAGGCTTCTTTTGGACGTCTTTATTGGAGGGTTTTGTTTTGACATGGTTTGGTGGTTGCGCGGCGTTGGCTCGGAAAGGGATTCTCTCTGGCCTGTTTCGTCCAGCAGCAGTTCAACAGCACCTAAGGAACGCCTTTCACTTGCTTTCTGACACCGGTTCCGTGTAAATAGGCCGCGCCTGGTTTCAAAACGCTCTGGTTTAGGTTTCTTTTGGGCATATTACTTGGTGGGTTTCGTGGAAAGGGCTTCTCTCTGGCATGTTTCGCCCATATGGCACAAGGCGCTTTTTTCACTTGCTTTCTAATGCAATGGCTTTGCCTTGCATGGCGCGATGCATTCCATCAAGCTGAGACGCTCTGGTTTAGGTTTCTTTTGGACGTGTTTCTTGGCAGGTTTTCTGGAAAGGCCTGCTCTGGCATGTTCCGTCCAAAAGCGCCCAAGAAACTTTTCTGACTTGCTTTCTGACAGCGGTTTCGTAACTGCCCACAAAAGGGCGCCCGTTTCAAAACACTCTGGTTTAGGTTTCTTTTAGGCGTATTTTTGGGTGGGTTTCGTGGAAAGGGCTTGTCTCTGGCATGTTTCCCCCAACAGCACCCAAGGAAGTCTTTCCACTTGCTTTCCGAAAGCGGTTCCATGGCCGCTTTCAAAACCGCCGCCCTGTCAAAAGGAAACCGCCTCATGACGACAAACCACGCCAACCAGAAGCCCTTCACCCAGCAGTAGTCGCCAGCTTAGCAGTCCGATATCATTCATACACACATACATACATATATATATATATATGTATGTATACATATCCAAATTATATCACTAGTAATATGGTTTCAAGCCTGAAATCACTGATAGAATGCACCATGGGTTGAAGAGAAAATCTACAGGAAACCATGGTCGAAATTTAAGGCCTGCAGATGGACCGGTCATTGTTGTATTAATCATCCAATTGTAGGAGCACCCAACTATCCACATGTATGTATATATATATATGCGTGTGTGTGTGTGTATACAAGTTTGTATGGATATCACCTTTTGTATCATTGTGATTAAGATTCAATATGTACAAGTATTAGTACAATTGGCTGCAGAAATCGTTATACAATAATCACATATGTATATATATATACACCCATTCTATAATGTGATAAATCCAGTACAAACCATCCCATTAACGACGAATTGGGGGTTCCCTTCATACCATCCCATTACAAGGGGTGTATACCCAAGTTCGTAAACCTCTTTTGGTTTAGGGTCTAGGGTTTACCACACTACCCATCAAAAGAAATTGCCAAAACGAACCGCAAGGTGAGGCTCCCTAAATAGATTTGAGTTGATGCACATAGCTCGGTTTAAGGTTTGAGTTGACTAGGGGGCATTTAACTATACCCATACTTCATGGGGCTTATAAACCACTTAAAACTGAGGGGGCCCTTCCTTGCATAAACCTGAATATATATATATATATACATATGTATTATTGTCACTAATAATCATTATGCAAAAGTATTAGCACAATTGGCTGCATATTTTTTAATACACATCACAATTGCTAAGCAAAAACCAACAGGGCTACCCTTCACTGGCTTCGATCTCACCTGGGCTTGAAGCTCCGTCTTCGCTGCTTCGATACGAGAGACTTCCTCAGTGCCAGTCTCCACCTTCATCTTCAACTGGGAGAGAACGCCTGACGGTGATGAAATTGTCATATATTATGGGTGTAACATGGATATAACATGGGTATAATATGGATATAATATGGAAATATAGGATGATATACGGAAAATCTGGATATACAGATATACAGTCGACTGCGAAAGTCACCACGATTTTCTTGAATTTTATCGCCACGACCCGGTTTTTTGCGTCGCAACAATTCATCGAAACACAAGGGGATTGCCTTCATTTTGAGGACATAACATACCAGCAAAAAGAACGCGTTAATTCATGATTAATTTTCACTAATAATCATCTTCCATTGGTTCCATTCAAAACGAGTTTCCATTGCAAATGAGATTGATACTTGGTTACCATGCATCATTCCATTGATGCCATTGATTATTAACAAGGAAAAAATAATATTTTATTAATATTTATTATATGAGCTAGTTTTGATGATTAACAACTAAAATGAGTATGGGATTGATATTTGGTTCGTTTTCATTGACTTCATTAGCTTCCATTGATACTGGGATAATCACTGGGGTCCCAACATTATTTCCCCATTATTTCCACATGATTTCTCCACTATTTCCCTACGATGTCCTTATGACTTGTCTATGATTTCCCTATGATTTCCTTATTCATTCCCTATTATTTCACTGTGAATTCCCCATTATTCCCCTATTACTTCCCTACTACTTCCCATCGCAACAAAACCATGAGACAACATGACGTGAAACAGTCCAAACTGATCCCCTCACACTGCAAGACTTTTCAACAAGATGGTGATAAGAATTCAAATCATTCCCTCACAAGACAAATCCATAGACAACATGATATTAATACAATCCAAACTGAAACCCTCACCAAACCAGAATCTCTTTTGATCCAGAAGCCCTTTTCAAAGATCATTTCATATTGTATATCATATATCACATTTAAAAAATATATATATATAATATATCATGTATCATGTATTATATATTCCATATTAGAAATTATAAATTGTATATTGTATAGTATATATTCTTTATAATATATGATCTATGGTTTAGTGTTTTATTATATGTGACATTGGATGGATTATATACAGTATATTAAATAGTAATCATATATTATATATTATATGTGATATCTGGTATATCAAATATTATATATTCATTATTTTTCAAAAAATACACATTGTATATCATATATGTAACATATATGTATATATTAAACATATAATGTATGTTTATTTTATCTTGTATTTTGACTTCGAGATTAAACATTAAATTATGTACGTAATATATGAAATGTTATACATGTTGTATTGTATGTCTTAAATAATATATACTATATATCATATTCTATATATATATGTATTACATCTTATACAGTACATATTAAACATCGTAGCATATTCTGAGATATTACATCTTAAATATTATAAAATCATATATTTCATATATCATAGTATGTATTATCTATGTACTATATATTTTATGTTAAATATTTAGATTATGTATGTATTGCATGTTATCTGTTTTATGTAATATGTTTTATCGGTGTACATTATACTATATGTTACATATATATATATTGATTTATTTATGCTTTATCATGTTTCATATACTATATGTTATATATGATATGTCAAAGTATATACAAATATATTTATCTACATAGCGAATATAATAAAATATGTGTTATATATAATATATTGAATGTTTTATGTAATACTTTATATATTGTCTGTACTATTAACATTATTAAATATCAAATGTACATTATATATTATATATTATATACTATATACTATATACTATATACTATATACTATATACATTATGCATTATACATTATACATATACTAGATATGATACATCATATAGCATATATCTCATACCGTATATCATATTGAATATATCATATTATACATAGTTTACTATTCATCAGATAATAAATATTAAAGCTGGCTACCACCCATGACCCGCCCATGGCCCACCCCCTCCTTGCAAGGTCTGCGCCAACATTTCCACGTAGCTCTTCTGGAACTCGTGGCGCTGGTTGGCCGGCACGCAGATGCCTGGCGGGATCGTAAAGTTGTCAAGGGCCAAGGTCGGTCTGAACGTGGTGTATTCATACAGTGTATTTACAAATATATACATACCCGTGTAACAAAAAATATATAGAAATTAAGATCTAGGAAAATGGTCTATCTTTTGGGGGTGTATGATGCTTGGACGATAGCTGAGGTGGTCCAAATAATATATGCAGGGTTCGGGATCAAAAACCATCAAAATGGCCATAGATGTCCCATTAAAACTGGTCAATAAACAGCCGTCAGTAAGTAAATATCAAAGAAGATGTGACATTTACCCATCTGTGAAGCCTTTGAAAAACATCTCAGCTGATCCCACATGGCACAATTAGGTACTATACATGCAACAACCCCTTGAGTGCACCAAAAGAATCTTGGGATAGTTCCCCCAGTCCAAGTGGCGGGGTTCCTAAAACAGGGGTACAGTAACCCAAATCATCCACGTCATGGATGACCATGACTTAGCATTATACACCTATATATATATATATATACATATACATATATATATATATACATATTATATATATACATATTATATAGATATATATATATATATAACAACCCTGGTTTTCTTTTGGGCTACCCCCATCACATAGGAGGCCCCACCAATTCCCATCATCCGAGATGTTCCGGCGAACCCTCCAAAACACTGGCGATCAACATGTCCCTGGCAGAGTGCGTCAGATCCACCAGAGGGTGTTGAAGCGCCTGACGATTTCGACAAAACTCTCAGCTTGGCAACCAGGATGGGGAAAAATGATGGAATCCTCGTATTTTTACAGTTATTACATGTTATTACTAGGGTAACCATTTACATAGATGTGGAAAACAACCATGGCTTCACGTTCGAAGAATGATCTAGTCTAGCTGCAGCTGCGGCTTCTGTGAAAACTCTGCTCATCAGGGATCCTCATTGCCTCCATAGGATGTAAAATAATCAAGTTGTACTCTCTGGCAAACTAGGGTTGAATGGGATTAACTGTTAACTATATAGGGTTTTTGGTGACTTTTTATGAAATTCAATGGGGTTTACCCTGTGGTTATTTAAGGCTTTGCTATGGAAAACCACCATCTTTAATAGGTACTTCAACTGCAAATATATGGCCATGTTCAAAAGCAACTCCAGAGATCATTCCAAAATGGTTTCAAATAGTATAGAAAGTTGTTGAAACTGCCAATCGGATACTGTAAGTTGTTGCATGTCATCCAAGAAACTGTAAGACGTTCAATGATTATTCTCATGAATTGGGGTAGGTAGACATATCTATGAATATGGGTAACCATATTCAATTCTGATTTCTGACCCTTAGATCTGGGACAATTGGGATACATAACCATGAATTACGCATTGATTAAATTGGATTCATCATGGTCAATCTTAATGCCATGGAATTGCAATACATCGATTTCATTATAATGAATGAGGGCATCTAAGCATTCATTATTCATAGCCAAGGGCGACCTTTAGAAAAACAAACATATCCGCATCGAAATAGTCACCACAAAATGGCAAGATTCTCGATGTTGAATATCAGCCTCCTATGTATCTATATATCTATATATATATATCTATATATGTCAGTATATAATATCTATATCAATCTCAATAAATATAATGTACATAATTCTACAAATGCCGATGTATGAACGGCTCTGTTAACCGCTGCCATCAACGCTGCCGACGGCGATTTTGCATTGCGGCTGGGGACATCATCCAACAAGCTTCAAATCAGCAGTTTCGGGGTTTGGATTACCGGGGGTGGGTTGCTGCCCCCAATAGGGTAGTTGCAATTTTGTTGCAATTTTGTTGGGTCAACCCACCCCTAAAGGTAGTGGAAATGCTACCACCTCCATGTTTAAAGATGTTTCTCATCATTTTCCCCATCGAAAATGCCAATAAATTGGGTGATAATTGTGAATAATTATACATACCCCCGTATTTTCCAACGTGGAACCAGGATCCCGAGACGAGCCTCCACCACGCCGTTGTACAAGGTCTTTGAAACGCCATAGGCTTTCAAGGTCTCCTTCTGTTCGAGGTCACTTGGTTTTGGGGAGCGATATTTCACGATTTGCCTCACTCCTCTGTTAATAGTTTGTCCAACATACGTATGTGATATGCACAGGCCACAGGTAGGCTGACAGAAAACGGAGTCCACGCACCCAGTATCTCTCAGGTTCGTTGCTGCGATTTGGTTCCGGGTATGTGGTAGCAATGGACGTCTGATCGGGATGCCTGTGTGCGTGTGCAGCAACTGTTGCTTCACATAATGAGACAATAAGAAATCCTCAACCTCAAACTTGTGATACAGTATCACGGATAATAAACATCACCGACATAACCTTTTGCAAACATCCACAAGGCGTCCAAGTATACAGTACATTGCTCATCTCCAATGTGATTGCCTCAGATAGGAAAGTTGGTTGCTGACTATGGAAATCCCAAGCGGTGGATGTGCATATCCCAAGTAGCACATCGCTAGTATCCCACATCTACCTATCTGTCGGTCCGTCTATCTATCTAATTAACTAACTATCTATCTGCCTATCTATGTAAGTCAAGTATCTAACGAAATGACAAACAACATATCCAACGAACGAACGAACAAACGAACGAACAAACGAACGAACAAACGAACAAACGAACAAACGAACAAGCGAACAAACGAACAAACGAACAAGCGAACAAACGAACAAACGAACAAACGAAAAAACGAACAAACGAACAAACGAACAGACGAACAAACGAAGGAAGGAAGGAAGGAAGGAACGAAGGAACGAAGGAACGAAGGATCAAACGAAGGATCGAACGAAGGATCGAACGAAGGATCGAACGAAGGATCGAACGAAGGATCGAACGAAGAATCGAACGAAGGATCGAACGAAGGATCGAACGAAGGATCGAACGAAGGATCGAACGAAGGATGGAACGAAGGATCGATCGATCGATCCATCGATCGATCCATCGATCGATCTATCTATCTATCTATCTATCTATCTATACATCGATACATCGATACATCGATACATCGATACATCGATACATCGATACATCGATACATCGATACATCGATACATCGATACATCGATCAATCTATCTATCTATCTATCTATCTATCTATCTATCTATCTATCTAAACATCGATACATCGATACATCGATACATCGATACATCGATACATCGATACATCGATACATCTATCTATCTATCTATCTATCTATCTATCTATCTATCTATCTTTCTATACATCTATACATCTATACATCGATACATCGATACATCGATACATCGATACATCGATACATCTATCTATCTATCTATCTATCTATCTATCTTTCTATACATCTATACATCTATACATCGATACATCGATACATCGATACATCGATACATCTATCTATCTATCTATCTATCTATCTATCTATCTATCTATCTATCTATCTATCTATCTATCTATCTATCTATCTATCTATCTATACATCGATACATCGATACATCGATACATCGATACATCGATACATCGATACATCGATACATCGATACATCGATACATCTATCTATCTATCTATCTATCTATCTATCTATCTATCTATCTATCTATCTATCTATCTATCTATCTGTCTATCTATCTATACATCTATACATCTATACATCGATACATCTATACATCTGTGTATATTTATATTTGTATTTTTATAACTGGGGTAAACATCCGATATACAACAAGATGACCGCAGGATTGCTAAATGATTCGGGATGTGGCTCCTTAATTTTCTTGGCTTCGGAAATTTCCTCGACGTTGGCCACGGCGGCAGTGCGCTTGGTTCCCTTCTTTGGAGCCATTGTGACGGGTCGAGGAAGTCGGGGCGAAATCACAGGTCGTTTGTTGGGGCCGAAATGGCTACAGCTCTGGGAAAGCATGAACCTGTATGGACCTATGTGGAGTATCCTGGTTCTCGCTTGTTGAGCAGCAGTTTCAGGATCAGCTCCCTGAAACCTGATTGGGGGATCTGAGGGACCCAGTCGGTTAGGCAAAAAATGGCAGGAAGAAGTTGGCGCCGGCTGCAGCCACTTCACACGGAAAAACACAAGGTTTCGTGCTCCGGCTTCCTCCCCAACTCACCACTTCCCTTCCTCACCACTTCCCATCGTCACCACTGCCCATCGTCACCACCTCCCTTCGTCCACTTCCCTTCCTCACTACTTCCCTTCCTCACCACTTCCCATCGTCCCCACCTCCCTTCCTCACCATTCCCCTTCATCATCACCTCCCTTCGTCACCACTTCCCTTCGTCACCACTTCCCTTCGTCACCACTTCCCTTCGTCACCACTTCCCTTCGTCACCACCCCGTCATTGTCACCACCCCGTCATTGTCACCACCCTTCATCAAGGTCAATTCCACCGCTTCTTATTCTTGTGTTATGTATTGTTATGTTATGCGTTGTTATGTGATCTACCACCCTTCATCAAGGTCAATTCCACCGCTTCTTATTCTTGTGTTATGTATTGTTATGTTATGCGTTGTTATGTGATCTACCACCCTTCATCAAGATCAATTCCACCGCTTCTTATTCTTTTGTTGTGTATTGTTATGCTATGTATTGTTATGTGATCTACCACCCTTCATCAAGGTCAATTCCACCGCTTCTTATTCTTTTGTTGTGTATTGTTATGCTATGTATTGTTATGTGATCTACCACCCTTCATCAAGGTCAATTCCACCGTTTCTTATTCTTTTGTTGTGTATTGTTATGCTATGTATTGTTAGATCACGTACCACCCTTCATCATAGTCAATTCCATCAAGTAAAAGTCATTCGTAACTCGGAAGTATTGCTTCCCAACTTCCTTTGATTATTATAAATGGCGGTTTATAGTTGGGAAACTCATCGAAAAAATGGGGTGAGTCCAGCAAATCGATTTTTAAAGGTCTTTCAACTACCGAGACATTGAAATCTTATAAAAAACAATTCCCAAGCTGTGGCTACAAAATGCAGCGCCCAAACCCATTTTGGCATCCTGTTTTAAGCTCGAGCCTCGAGTATGCCCTTGATACGGGGCACAAGGCCTTCCATTCTGTGCTGGAAATTCACCTGTTCTACGGCGTATTGCAAAAGTCTGCCAATAGCCTATCGAGCCGGTTATCCGTAAAGTCCGTCACGCCGCAAATTGTAAGAGCCCCACCAGCCGAAGGGAAGCAAGCTTGGTTATTGAATGTTGAACGCGTGATAGTGAAGACGTCAGGTTTCAAATTCGCACCGAACAGAAAATTCCCCACGCAATCAAAGGCAACGGCGCCTCTTCCTGGACTTTCCAGGAGGACTGAATTGAAACCGTTCCCATTCCCACTTTGACAGCGGTCCCAGCAGCTTGTGCACTGATTCTGGTTGGTGTTGGCAACATCCACTCAGGCAAATTCAGTTCCAGTGCAATCATTGCTGCTGTACAGTCGGACCCAAAATGGAGCCTGGACAGGGCGAGGGGCAGTGTGGTTTGGGATCCACCAAGCAAAAATGTGCAAAAATCATAAACCAGTCAGTCAGCTGTATCAAATTCTAGCTGGGGTTGAGATGACTACAATGGGGCCCTCATTGTGGCGACCGCTACTGGGTGTTTGTGGTTGGAACCCAGTGTAGGATGGAAGAACGAGGGTGTAGACAGTGAACATCAGCAGTATACAACCGGGCCATCAATGCACTGGAATGTTCCAAGGAATAAACCCAATAATTACATCATAATACGGCATGGTGCGCCCCAATATTTTCGCAAGCAGGGTGAGTCAGCCCTGCTTGACCAATGCTTCACAACATAATAATTGTTGATTCGTAGCGTAATGCTTTGTAGATGGACCGACTGGGCCATCAGGGCCGATAGTCTTAATGTAGCTAAGAATGGTGTGGCTGCCTTGTTGGTAAAAACGCAGCAACAGTTCTGTGGCACAAGCCCCAAAATAGCTCGAACACTTCTAATGGCTAACGTTTTTCCAACACCCAACACCATTCGCACGCTCTCTGCCTGGTGTCGTAGTGGTGGTCGTGGTGGTCGTAGTGGTGGTTGTGGTGGTCGTGGTGGTCGTAGTGGTGGTTGTGGTGGTCGTGGTGGTCGTGGTGGTCGTAGTGGTGGTTGTGGTGGTCGTGGTCGTAGTCGTGGTCGTAGTCGTGGTCGTGGTCGTGGTCGTAGTCGTGGTCGTAGTCGTGGTCGTAGTCGTGGTCGTGGTGTGTAGGTGGGGTGGGGTGGTGGTGGTGGTGGTGTGGTGGTGGTGGTGGTGTGGTGGTGTGGTGGTGGTGTGGTGGTCGTGGTCGTGGTCGTGGTGGTCGTGGTCGTGGTCGTGGTCGTGGTGGTCGTGGTCGTGGTCGTCGTGGTCGTGGTGGTCGTGGTGGTCGTGGTGGACGTGGTGGTCGTGGTGGTCGTGAAGCCACGACGATTGAGCCGACGCTGGAGCCGACGGTCACGACGGTCTTGCCTGCGAGATTGGCGGGAAGGGTCTTGCTCGGAGGCAAGGCTGTTCCCCAATAGCCTTAGCAGGTTTCATGCACGCTTCCATGCAACAGGGTGCACGGTGCACTTCCCTCGAACAAATCCGTTGGCATGTTAATCGGCTACAAAGCGAGGTCTCGATCACTCTAATCCTGCGGGTTAGCCTTGCTTTGACATTGGGAGTAGCTACTGTACAGTTCAATGCATCTGCCAGGCAGGTCTTTAACTTCCAATGCATCCAAGCGACTCTTCACCGAGCTGCTTCTGAATCAGGGTGTTCTCCTCAGTCTCCACGGTCTCCAGGAAATTTGCACAGCTCAAAGCAGCATCACTTGTTGCCCAGGTCATAGTCAGTGCGTAGAAGGCGGAAAATGCAACAAAGCATTTCATGCTCGCGAATACACGTAATCGGGCACCAAGACAGAGGTTCGGTTACAATGGCTACGGCGGATGTGTGCATGTGTGTGTGTGTGGCTGCAAGACAGGATTGACAAATGTATGACGCAAACATGACATTCATTTGTTGAATTGATCTTCTGGCACAGAATATCAGGACGCAACATGACATAACACCCTAACATGACAATTTTCAAGCCATTCTGACATCTGCTCGGGTCAGCTTCGCCACTGGCCTTCTGACTGCAGGTTCGCATCTCTCTTGACCTGCAGCGCAGCATAAACGGCGAGTTTTCAACTAGTAGTTTGATGCCTTCGCAAAGAGTAGGAACATATGAAGGGATATACATTTGAGACAAAAAGGCACTATGTCAAGGTCATACCTGCATTTAAACTCATACGTCATAACTACTACTCTAATTTCTGTGATCTTAGCATCAAGCTACTTCTGTGGTATCTGTCAATGCGTCAAGGTGGGGAAACGCAGAACACTTTGGACTCAGGACATTTTGCCTGGCTGCTTTCAAGAACCGACACAACAAAGGTCAACAGTAAAGCACCTCACCTTTGAATGTTATACACATATCATATATGTAGTGTAGGTACATATCATGTGAGATAATATAGAGTTCATTTCGATTGAAATTGCATCTCATAGCTCAGACTGATCTCAAATCCCTGTGCACGGTCATGGCGTTTAAGTCCTATTCTTCTAATTAATGGTTTTTTGTATGTTTTCGGCAAGGATACACTTTCCCACATGTCATTTCACGATTTTTGGGCAGGACAAACAGTGAAATCCCCTAGAAACAACCAAGGTTTACTGAGGTTTGACCACTGCTTGAGGCTGTCCTGCTCAGAGCACATTGACAACAACGCATCGTCCAAAACATTGCAGCTGCGCCCATCCATGTAATCTCCCAAACCTCAAAACCACCCAGCTCCTAAGGAGAAAAATACTTTCTTCGAGTGACCCCCGCCCTGACACATTGTTCTGACATAGTTTCTGACATACCATCTACAAGTACGTATATATTGGAGGTATATTCTGACATTCTATCTGACGTTCTTTCTGGCATGTACTCTGACATTCTTTCTGGCATTCTACCTGGCATCTATTCTGCCATACTTTCTGGCATATATGCTGGCATTCTTTCTGGCATCTATTCTGACATTCTTTCTGGCATGCCGGACCTAAACCGCAAGCGCCAGATCTCAGTGGGCGCGGTTGAAGTCCGGCAGTGCCCACTGAGATCTGCCGCTCGCCGTTGAGGTCCGGCACTGCGGCAGTGCCCACTGAGATCTGGAGCTCGTGGAACGTGCACACTTTGTGGAGGTCATTTAGTGAAGTTTTGGAGCTGGTTTCTTGTAGCTTCAGAAAGCGATGCTACGCACGATACAAAGCAAGGTGCCTCCCTGATCCATTGTGCCCCAAAAAACCACCGTCCCCCTGGAGCTCCAGAATTGGGCGGCAGATAACGTAGCTCTTTTATATTATAGTAACCCCCACAAAAAAGGGGAAAGTCCTTTGCCACTGCCTTAGTGGGATTTTACATGTCCATCTCTTTTGGGGGTTACTATAGGCGGAAGAAATTACCATGATACTCATTTCAGGATAGTTAAGCCATGTTAAACCCCAATTGTTGATGGTAAAATCACCATTTATTATTCCGAAGAATGGATTCCCATGATAATGTCAACCCTAAATTTCTAAACCCTAACCCTATATAACTATTATGTAACTGAGGGGTTCCCCCCAAAATAGTGATCAATTGCTACCCTCTGGTAAACTAACATAGCTATGGAAATCCCCAGCTTTAATCGGTACATCATCGAACTAAATGGGCCATGGCTTCCGTAGCCATTGTTAGTTTACCGGAGGGTATCTCAACTAATCCAAATATAATTTCCGAAATCCCCACTAATCACCATAAGAACGTCCATGAACATCATGAATATCCCATAACAAATCACCTTTTGCTGGCTTAAGTCACCATTTTCGATGCTGAGATCACCTATTTTCCAAGGGAAAATCCCCATCATCATTCACCAACCGAGCTTCTTCGATCCAGAGAGATCATTATCATGTTTCAAATACGGCCACTAGACATTGGACAAAGCCAAATAAATCCACCAATATCTAATGTTTCTCTGGTTTTCATAACAGTTACTGTCATCAATAAAAATAAATCCATACTTTTTTCAGCAACTAGAGTAGGGATATCGAGGGGATTCGTGTACAGAAGCAGCAATACTTGGGGGGCCCTACCTGGGTCTGAACAGGGGGTATACCCCAACTTGGCGTATACTTCATAGGTATAATTGACCCTCTGGTAAACGTTTACATAGCTATGGAAAGATCCACCATTTTTAATGGGAAAATCCACTATAAATCGTCATTTTCAATAGCTATGTTAAATTACCAGAGGGTACTGATGATTAACTATCAAAACTTGGTGTAATCCCTTTTCCCTATTACTTTAAAATTCCCCGAAAGAATAAAAACTACCCCAGATTATTTGTGGGAAAATTCAGATTGGTCAATTTGACTTTTCAACCATTTCAAAATCAAGGTCCATTTGAAGGTTCTACCCCTTAATAATAAAAACTAGTTAGCACCGGGATGTTTTTACTAGGGTCCGTTTGTCAAAATCGAACATTTTGGTGTGTCTTTAATTGTAATTAGAATTTAAAAAGGATTTAATCGACATTGAAATCGAAAAAAAAAAGTTTGCTTTAATCTATTTAATATGGTTTTAAGTTTAATATTGGGGGCCAGCTTCTCCCCCGAATATTAGCGAATATTAAATACCTCCTAGTAAACTACCCCTAGGTTTTATTATGTTGGAGGCGGGACGTTTACTATTAGGGTGAAGGGATTACCCTATTTTCAGATAAACCCACGTGTCACTACCAATTTATAAAATTGAATGATGATTAATATGGAATTTCATGGGATTCAATGAACAAAAAATTGGGATTTCCTGAGATTTACTAACCATTTTATGGGCCTATCATGGGACAAATGATATAACAATATCCGAAAATTGCCCGTTTTTTACGGAAATGGCTGATCAACGAATGGAGGCGTCCAAGGACTCCATCCTCGGCTGGATCTTGAGCTCTTCAGAATTTGGTGTCTCCAAGTTTTGAAGAAACAAAAACGCAGAACGATCCTTGCCGGTCTAGCCATGTAGTGCTGCCAAACAGCCCAAACTCCAGGTCTTCGTTATTCATTCCATGGCACTGCTGAGATCATCGCTGAAAACATGGCTTGGACTGAACATGTACCCCATTCAGGATGGTGCCCCCCGGTTATAGGTTTATAAACCCCCATTTAAAAAAAAAACATCCATTCACTATAAACCAACCTATAACTGGGAATAGGTTGGATTATTAGATTATGGTTCGTTATATCTACCATAAACCCAGTCGAATTCAGCCACTTTTTTTTGATGTTTCTGAACGCCAACCCGCTCGACTGGGGGCCCCATCCTCCACCCATGGTGGAATGAAAATCCACAACTTCTCTGTGAGTTGATGGTCATAACTTGGGGTGAAGCCTACCCTTCCATGCCACTTTCGCAGCCTCGGAGACGCCCAGCAGCCATGATACAGCGCAGCCATGGCTCCGGGATCTGAAAAAAACTGGATGATTCATAAGTGATGTTGATGAATAACTGCTTGATCTTAACCTTTAGACAAATGATGATTAAGATATATTCAGATGGTGATCAAAAAAAATCTGCCTGGTTTCAAGGATTATAATTACTATGATAACCCCACCAATTGTGGCGCTTTGCCGGCCTACCGGTCGCGTGGTGTTGTCAAGTTTATAGAAGTTTGATAAGGCAACCAGCAGTTTCAGGTTGTTCCAGCGGCGCAAGATATAGATTCACAACCCGCCCGACTGGGGATGGAGGCACTTGTCAAAATCCTCACCAGCTGGTGAAAATGGATGTTCATCCCCTCAAGGATATGGTCATAGGTAATAACACATCCCCAACATATCCCCAACATATCCCCAATATATACAAGATAGCCAAGATATGGTATAGTTATAGGATGTTATAGGTAACTTGATCCCCAACATATACAAGCCAAGAGCCTAGGCTTCCATGTTGTTGAGTCTAGTCGCTCATGCTGAATGCCTGCGACCATGCCGCATCCAAGGCCAACCTCCCATGCCGCCATGTCCCCAAAATACCCCAGAAAATCTAAACAATTGGGGACATGGGATACCCTCTAAGAGGACTTTGGGGATAACCCTCAATCCCTGGTGGTGAGGAAATTGGGGTGATATCCACGGTGATATCCATGTTCCCCTCAACTTGCCACTTTGAGGCTCCCCCGTTCCCTGGACAAACCCCCAAATCATATGTTTGGTTACATGTCCCGTTATATTCCTATCCCATTAAATGGTTGGTTGTATAAACCCCATTTTTGTTAGCTAACTTCACCATTTATCATTTCCTGAGTCACTTTGGTTATAGAGAACTGTGAATTGGGACATGGTTTGAAGTGGATTGAATTGGTTTATTGCCTGTCTTGATTCATTCTTATAAATTAAAAATTCACTATAGAGTTTCCAGAGTTAGATCAATTCCATATAGCATTTCCACATAATATCACTAAAAATAACTCTAAAGAAAATCTTATTGATTCCCCATGTCGTGGCGTTCCCGTTGGGAAAATCAAAAAATCATCGGCAGCAACTCCAAGATTATGTTTGATTTCCCCAGAAACCTCCATTTATCGTAGATTTTCCTATATCAATGGAAATGTAAAAAATAGTTTCCCATATACTTTTGTTATCTATAGTTACTATAGTAGATGTTCCTACATCTATAATACTAGAAACCTCCCATGTCTCATTTATCCTATATTTTCCTATCATACCCTCTGGTAATTTAACATAGCTATTGAAAATAGCCATAGAAATAGTGGATTTTCCCATTAAAAATGGTGATTTTCCATCGTTTTTTGTAGGTTTACCAGGCCGGGTAACCATTAAAAAACCAGCTCCGATTCCCCCACAAAAAATCCAGCAACCAGCCGGCCTGTGCCACAAAGTCCTGGCAATCTTCAGCGAAAAAACTGGTGATTTCATGGTGACCCGGCCTGGTAAACCTACAAAAAACTATGGAAAGATCCACAATTTTTAATGGGAAAATCAACTATTTCGACTGGGCCATTTTCAATAGCGAACTGTTAAATTACCAGAGGGTATTTGTTCAATGGGAATTCAAGGATCCTAAATTGGAGGTACCTACCATATATAAGGCCTATTTTTTAGGGCTATGTAAGGGAATTTGAATATCCCCACAAAATATGGCCTGAAATATGGTACAGTACCTCCATTTTAGGATCCTGAAATTCCCAGTGATTTAATGGTGATCTAATGATGTTCGTAGTGGATAGATCTATGGTCGGATGCGTTCCTAAACCAAAACTAGCAACTGGGGGCCGGCCTTCCTATACCCAGAAAATGTTTTTTAATCACCAGCGGGAGTATGAATTCACCAAAACATGGGAACGTGATATGGCAAATACAATGGAAATGAAAAATCATGGATATCATGTTCCCATGTTTTGAATGGCATATCCAGAAAAATAATATTCAATGAGAAACAATAATATGTAAACGCAAATTACATCCGAGAAGTGTGACTGGAAAATTTGGAGTTTACCAAATATGATGGGAATATGAATGGGGGGCATGTTATTAGTGATTATCATTCTTAATGGCCATCGGCATACTACACTGATTATCACTATATAATTGGTTTGCCAAATGGAATGGGCTTATCCCTCCAGTAAATAGATGCTTGGAACAGCCAACAAATAACTTGAATAACTTGAAAGAACTTGTCGCCAAATTTCAGTGGAAATTTCATCAATCATTGTTTATCCCCATTCAATGGCATCCCGATATTTGCAGGTATATATCCCATCATATCCATATTTTTCATGGTTACATCCCTATAAATATCCCCATCAAATCCCAGTAAAATCTAGGAAAAAAACTATTGGTTGATGGTGAAAGCTCTATTCCCAACTAAGCCCCGATGAGATCACGGCTGAGAATCCCTTGACCCACCGAAGAAACGCCGCGAACCTCATAGATCTCCTGCCACGCTGCCAGGGACGCCGGCACCCCGGCGACGCAAGGAACGACGCTCAGCGCGAGGCCAAGCAGGGCCGTCATGGCGGGAAAAATTGGAGGGGTAGGCGATCCGGTTCTAATATGCCCAGCGGGTAAATCATGCATTATCCAACCATTAGAAGTGATAACCAACCATATCTGTATATTATCCATTATTCATATGTGTATATTTCCAACCATATCTCATTAGAAGTAATGGAACATCTAGAGGAAAGCTCGATATTTGGGTACAAGTTTGCGAGTTAGATCCATTATTCATCGCTAGGGGTTACCCCCCGGTCGATCGTTGTGAATCCTCGGCCCAACGTTAACAAGACAATCATAGTTCTCGAGACATCATGAGTAACCAAAGGGCACCATGTTACTAGGGTTGGTTGCTCTTTTGCGCACAAAGCAACATGCTCTCAATCCGAGATACTGTAGCAACGCCAAGATCGGGGCGGTTTTGCAGGAACCAAATACATGTTGCCCTTTCAAAACGCAAACCGGCTGAGAGCAGAATAGCAGGCAGGAGATTGCTGACTGGTAGACCTGACCGCGAAAAGCACCGAATAGACTTTCCCAAAAGCCAAAACCAACAACTGTAGGGGATAAGAAGTTAGATGTTGTTCGTTGAAATTGGCGGCTTCAAGCTGGCCTTTCTCAGATTCCATGGGCTACACGGGCTACGCCTTGGGTGTATCTGAAAACGGGGCTCCCCACTACATATATCATATTATTATTATCATATTATCCCATATCCCATCATATATCCCATTTCATCACCATTTTCCCGCGTGCGTAAATATATTACAGTATATACCACACTCATCCATATTCTATACATCTGTTTATTTGAAAAAACAACAAAATATACAGTAGATATTTCCTTGAAAGGAATACCCTCTGGTAAACTAACATAACAATGGAAAATCACCATTTTTAATGGGTAAACTCACTATAAATGGCTATTTTCAATAGCTATGTTAGTTTACCAGAGGGTAACAAATTGAAAGGACGTACTAGCGGCACAATGGGACATCCCCACCCTCAGGCGCAGAGATCCAGCCGTTTTCCGTGCCACGTGGTCACGCCGCGTTGCGCACGGGTCAACGCTGGGTCAGCGATCCGCAAAATTCTGCCGCCCTCTCCGCGAGAGCCCGGACGAAGTCGAGGGACAATATCAACCTGGGTTCTAGGTATATAGAAATCCCAAAAAACATACAGATTGGAACAGTAGTTCTTCATAGTTCTTCACTATGTTTGTGAGATATCCCTTATCTATCTTTTTGGGGCTTAATGGTTACCACCAACTCATGGCTAGGGGGTCGTGGTGATTGATTCCATCAGAATATATTCGTCGTCTCAACCATCCCAAGTATGGTTGAAAAAACAATAACATGCATATATATATATATATATATTATGTGTATATATATATTATATATATATTATATATATATACATGACATGTGTAAACAACCGATGTATACCAATGTTCTTTGGTCATGATCTTACCTAAATGAACCTATATGGACCTATGTGGAGTATCCTGGTTCTCGCTTGTTGAGCAGCAGTTTCAGGATCAGCTCTCTGAAACCTGATTGGGGGATCTGAGGGACCCAGTCGGTTAGGCAAAAAATGGCAAGAAGAAGTTGGGGACCAACAAACATGGGGAAATCTGTTCATACTATCAGTGACTCCTACTTGTGATAGGAGTCATGTTTGGCACGATGAATGTGAAGCCTGCCATTTTTGGCAGCTGAGCCCTCCATGCAACCCTATAGGGCCAGAATTGACCCATGATTTGTCCATACCTTGTCGTATCACAATGGCGACTTTGGCAGAAACAGAACTGCTCAGATGTTTGTGCCTTAAAAAAGTCACATGTATCAATGTATCCTGAAACAAAACCAAGGGTAAGGAAGAAGGCCATCCCTTTTGAGGAAGATGATGGGGAACTTTTTCCCGCATGGCTGCTGATTCCAAGTTGCTGTAAACTGATCCTTTAGCCAGTCACAGCCATTCCGAAGCTAGCCCTCTGATCGCGCAATGATCAGGTCATTAAAACCTCAAGGCCCTACGCGCCATCAAACGCGATTTCAAGGCGGCTGCCAGCTGCTAGCTGCTCTCTTTTCTAAAGAGGCCACTGGATGTAACAAGTGTTTCTCTTCCATCCGCAAGCGGAGTGACTGTGAGATGTTGGAGATAGAGGCCATCAGTGACTCGTTCGGAATTGCATGGAGTTGCAAACCATTTCGAAGGGCAGGAACTCAGGAACCTTCAGTTTCTCCAAAATATGCAGAGCAAAAAAATGGATGAATTTGGTACCCCGCTTTAAAGAACTACAGCCACTCCGCGCTGTAGTCAATGTTGCTGCCACCACGGCGAAAAAAGGGGGCCATTGAAGGCCGGGCAGGTCCACAGCCTGCCACGGGAACCAGAACAAACTGCTTTTGATACCAAAAACACTGACCTTTGGGATCCATTGGGTATGAAATCATGGGGACTTCAAAAAAAATCCATGGATTTTTTGTTTGGAGGTGGCGGTCTCAAGCAGACCAATTTCAAGAATCTTTCGCTTGGAAACCGTTGGATAAGAAAGTCACTTGGACCATCTTGAGAAATGTTAAACCACCAGACAGCATCACTCTCTGAGTCAGAAAAAAAGTAAGACAGACCATGACAGACACCCCGAATATCATTGATTGGTCCTGTCCTTGTCCCAAAATTCTGAGGCCGGGGGTCCAAATGCAAAGTTCAAAGTGGCAATGGAAAATCCCCTACCAGTATGTGTATATATATATAATTATATATATATATCGTCAAAGGAAGTTTAGGGGGAGAAACTTCCGTGTTACGGACTTTTAGAATGTCAGGGAAAGAGTTAGTCAAAGAAAGAGTTAGCAAAGAAAGAGTTCGTCAGTTAGGAAAGAGTTAGTCAAAGAAACAGTTAGTCAGGGAAAGAGTTAGTCAAAGAAAGAGTTAGTTAGTCAAAGAAAGAAGCAAAGAAACAGTTAGTCAGGGAAAGAGTTAGTCAAAGAAAGAGTTAGTGAGGGAAAGAGTTAGTCAAAGAAAGAGTTAGCAAAGAAACAGTTAGTCAGGGAAAGAGTTCGTCAAAGAAAGAGTTAGTGAGGGAAAGAGTTAGTCAAAGAAAGAGTTAGTGAGGGAAAGAGTTAGTCAAAGAAAGAGTTAGTCAGGATATATGAGGTAGTCCAAGAAAGAGTTCGCAAAGAAAGAGTTAGTCAAAGAAAGAGCAAAGAAAGAGTTCGTTAGGGAACGAGTTAGTCAAAGAAATTGTTCCCGCAATGTAAATGGGATTGCAAGTGGTGCTGGTGGATGAGTTGCCGATAGAGTTTTGAAGGAAGTCTCGCACGAAATGCGTTTTTGAGAGATAGCAGATGCACGAAACCCTGTGTTTTTCCATACAAAGTCCGTCCCCGAACGCCGATGATCTACCTCTGCGGTGCGACGGGTGCGAGACGGTCTCGTGTGTGGTCGGATGATGGTCGGATCATTCTCGGATCGGTTCCGCATTGTAAATGGGGTTTCAAGTGTTTTTCGTGCATGTGCGGTCGACAGAATTCCATTGTGATTTGCAACTGTAGGATCGTTCCCGCAATCTAAATGGGATTGCAAGTGGTGCTGGTGGATGAGTTGCCGATGGAGTTTTGAAGGAAGTCTCGCACGAAATGCGTTTTTGAGAGATAGCAGATGCACGAAACCCTATGTTTTTCCATACAAAGTCCGTCCCCGAACGCCGATGATCTACCTCTGAGTGCGACGGGTCGGATCGGATCTCGGATCATTCTCGGATCGGTTCCGCATTGTAAATGGGGTTTCAAGTGTTTTTCGTGCATGTGCGGTCGACAGAATTCCATTGTGATTTGCAACTGTAGGATTGTTCCCGCAATGTAAATGGGATTGCAAGTGGTGCTGGTGGATGAGTTGCCGATGGAGTTTTGAAGGAAGTCTCGCACGAAATGCGTTTTTGAGAGATAGCAGATGCACGAAACCCTGTGTTTTTCCATACAAAGTCCGTCCCCGAACGCCGATGATCTACCTCTGCGGTGCGACGGGTGCGAGACGTCTCGTGTGTGGTCGGATCATGGTCGGATCATTCGGATCGGTTCCGCATTGTAAATGGGGTTTCAAGTGTTTTTCGTGCATGTGCGGTCGACAGAATTCCATTGTGATTTGCAACTGTAGGATCGTTCCCGCAATGTAAATGGGATTGCAAGTGGTGCTGGTGGATGAGTTGCCGATGGAGTTTTGAAGGAAGTCTCGCACGAAATGCGTTTTTTTCTCCATTTTGGCGCTAGTGATTTTCCTTCTAAAAATCCTTTTAAAAAGTGCTTCAAAATCGTTTTTTTTTCTCGCTCTGGCATCGAGATCCGGTTTTGGAGCTACAATTTCCGACGCCGTTGCGCGTAGTTCTATTGTGTTTTGCAACTCAGTCTCCGCAGATCGCATTGTAATGGCTGCGTGAAGGTTGCTTCATGCTGTGGCTGCATGGTAATACTATTGTCTTTTGGAGCTGGACTTCGTAAATCGTATTGGAGTGGCTGCATGAAGGCTGCGACAGTGATTTGTCAGCAGATTTTCTCCATTTTGGCGCTAGTGATTTTCCTTCTAAAAATCCTTTTAAAAAGTGCTTCAAAATCGTCTTTTTTTCGCTCTGGCGTCGAGATCCGGTTTTGGAGCTACAATTTCCGACGCCATTGCGCGTAGTTCTCTTGTGTTTTGCAACTCAGTCTCCGCAGATCGCATTGTAATGGCTGCGTCAAGGTTGCTTCATGCTGTGGCTGCATGCGTAATACTATTGTCTTTTGCAGCTGGACTTCGTAAATCGTATTGGAGTGGCTGCATGAAGGCTGCGACAGTGATTTGTCAGCAGATTTTCTCCATTTTGGCGCTAGTGATTTTCCTTCTAAAAATCCTTTTAAAAAGTGCTTCAAAATCGTCTTTTTTTCGCTCTGGCGTCGAGATCCGGTTTTGGAGCTACAATTTCCGACGCCGTTGCGCGTAGTTCTCTTGCGTTTTGCAACTCAGTCTCTGCAGATCGCATTGTAATGGCTGCGTCAAGGTTGCTTCATGCTGTGGCTGCATGCGTAATGTCTTTTGCAGCTGGATCTCGTACATCGTCTTGGACTGGCTGCATGAAGGCTGCGAAATGGATTTGTTAGCAGATTTTCTCCATTTTGGCGCTAGTGTTTTTTTGTTGCACGTAGGTTTAGAGCAGTGTGAAGTGTGGGGCGTGAAGAGTGCAGTGTGAAGTGTGCAGTGTGAAGCAAGCAGTGGGAAGTGAGAAGTGTGAAGTGTGGAGTGTGAAGTTTAAGTTTGGAGTGCGAAGAGCGCAGTGTGAAGTGTGAAGTGTGAAGTGTGAGGTTTGGAGTGTGAAGGAAGCAGTGAGAAGTGTGAAGTGTGGACTGTGAAGTGTGAAGTGTGAGTGAAGTGTGGAGTGTGAAGTGCGAAGTGAGAAGTGTGAAGTGTGAAGTTTGGAAGTGTGAAGGAAGCAGTGAGAAGTGAGAAGTGTGTGTGGAAGTGTGAAGTGTGGACTGTGAGTGTGGAGTGAAGAAGTGTGAAGTGTGAAGTGTGAGGTTTGGAGTGTGAAGGAAGCAGTGAGAAGTGAGAAGTGTGGAGTGTGAAGTGTGGAGTGTGAAGTTTGAAGTTTGGAGTGCGAAGAGTGCAGTGCAGTGTGCAGTGTGAGGTGTGGAGTGTCGAGGGAAGGACACGGTCGGGACAGGTTGTCTTTGAACTATAGGTCATTTATGTTTGGGAAACTTCCGCCGCCGGCTTGCCCGGGTCTATGTTATAAATGGCGGTTTATAGTTGGGAAACTCATCGAAAAAATGGGGGGATTGCCCAGCAAGCCATTTCATATTCCCCTTTCGATCCATCCCACGGTCGGCTTTCGCGGCCTTGTGGCTACTTTCCCACAGAGTACCTGTGAGTTTTCAGGGACATCCGAGGTTCTGGCGGGCTAGTTATGCAGGGGATAGATCCTTGAAGAAACAAGTCAGGGATGATTCCGGATGGCAAAGGTATAGCAAAATCTCCTGATCATCATTTTTATATACCAGTCAATCTATGTATATAAACTGGTGGAATCAAAATCTCTACAAAATGTTGTTGGTTTAGTTTTCCGCAAGTTGGCTACGGTCGACAGACCAGGAGATCGCTTTCTACTATGGAGCCCTTCAGGCAACCTCGCCCCCCATTGGCCCACAAAAGTATACAGATCATGATCATCCCACTTAGTAAGGGGTTAATAACCCTGATTAGTAACCCCAGTTACTAACCAGTTATATACTAAACGGGATAATCCTCCAAGTAGAAAAGGGTGTCGTCAATTGTCAGGTGAACGATTGCCAGCGGTATTTGTTCACATCCGCCTATGATGGATTTTTGGTCGACTCCAAAGCCATGCGAGCCATTGACAGCCGGTGATGGGTCAAACTGGGGGTTCCATTTTTGGGGACCCACAAAATTGGTGATGTTTAGTATTTTAGTATCCCAACATGATGGTCAATAGTTGTCTGCATTTTGTCGGTTCTGCCCTCGTTTTGACGGATGGCAACAAGGGTGCTTGTTCTGTCGGTATGTACCAGGTACCAGTTTCCTGCTTCTTTCTGGTGAAATGGCCGCGTTTGATCATCTGCTCGTACCACCAACTAAAACGTCATACGCAAAGAGTCTGCATAGCATATGGGTAAACTGGAAAAATGATGGTTAAATATGGTTGAAAATGGTTAATAATGGTTGATATAATGGTTAATAATGGTTGATAATGGTTAATAATGGTTGATATAATGGTTAACAATGGTTGATATAATGGTTGATATAATGGTTAATAATGGTTGATATAATGGTTGATATAATGGTTAATATAATGGTTATATCCAAGGACTTCTTGGATGGCTGCCCAATATGTACCATGATCTCTTGATCTCGATCACCTGAGCTGCGCACGATCTGCCACCCGGGTTGTGGATAGGCTGAGGGGTTGGGGCGGTGACGGCCCACTCGTACCACACCTGGCCCAGGAATAGATCGTCCATGGGGATCATCAGGATTCAAAAGATGTGGTGATGAACCAACCAGAATCTACTGGATGGTACCCTCTGGTAAACTAAGATAGCTATGGAAAATGACCCAGTCGAAATAGTTGATTTACCTATGAAACATGGTGATTTTCCATAGTTACGTTAGTTTACCAGAGGGAAAGTATCACTTACCTGCACCACATGGCGGTCTTTGGGCAACATGAACACACGTCACCTTTAATCCCAGCAATCGCAACTGCGGGGGAAAGTGATTGACACATGTGCCATGGTCCAAACAAAGGGAGATTAGCCAACCAAAAGGGTGATTTAACATTATTTAACCAACAAGAATGGGAGTCATCACGGAAATATATCACCGGAATACACGGTTAAATACTACAGGGATAGATCATGGATATATCGGCTTTTTTGGTCATCCCACCTTCCATGGGATTCCAATGGCTATTACGTAAGGCCTGGGGGATGACCATCCCCTTGGACCCCAAATTTTCAGCGTCCGAGATGCTGACAGCTGCGTCGCGTGCTTACTGTAAAAGCGGGATCCAAGATTCATGGATCCAACATCGCCAAAATGGGATTGACATAAAATCTTTGGAAAATCCATGTTATCATCCTATCTTTTATCCTATTTTGACTGGTTTGGAAAATCATGTTCCCTGGTTGGTGGTATACCTACCCCTCTGAAAAATATGAAAGTCAATTGGGATGATGACATTCCCAATATGATGGGAAAGTCATAAAATTCCATGGTTCCAAACCACCAAGCAGTTCCCTATATTTTCCCTATGGAAACATGGCCATTTTTCCCAACGTTCAAGCGCCGCCATTAATATGTCACATGGCATTGAAGCCATCGCCACAATAGTCCTAAGAGCAGGGCGCTAGCCGCGCTGTTCCCAAAAAGGCCATCGGGTCCCAGGACTATGGAGAAGTGGGGCTATGGAAAATGGTGGATCTTTCCATAGAAAAATGTGGAGTTTTCCATTGAAAATGGTGATTTAGCCCATTGAAAACATGGGGTAGCCTCTGGTAAACGTGTACATAACGAACTGGAAAGATCCACCATTTTCAATGGGTACATCCACTATTTCGACTGTGCCATTTTCAATAGCTATATTAAATTACCAGAGGGTAAACACCATGCTTGACTGTTTTACCAAATGGATCATAAATGTGACTACTATTTTTTGAACATGGTAAACCCAGTAATAGACACCTCTGTTGGGGGATTGGTTTTTGATTGGCTTTACCACGTTAATTATCAATGGGACAAAAACGAATGACAACAGTTGATGGAACAATGGATGATTAGGGCATTTTATGGGAATAATCAATGGGATAATCCATGATAATCCTGTGACTAGTGGGTAAACCATGGGTACTGACGCGAAATTGGATGATTACATATGATTGCCATCACTAACGTAACGACCCTGCCATAAGTTGAGGGTTGGAAAAACTACCTTCCTCCAATAGAATGGTCGAGTCTCAGGGTCTATGTTAGCTAGAGGGATGGTAACTCTAGCAATCTCAAAGTATGAGTGTTTTTGTGAAAGTGGGGGACCCCATTTTTATCACATAAACATGATGATGAAACATGATGGTTTTTAACAGGGAAAACCATTGGTGGTTCCCTATTTAACCGCCATCTTGGGAAACCGCGTTTCAAACTTTCTTGGGCATCCCTACAATGGGGTTCCTCTACTCTTTGCTCCCTAGAACCAAAAAGTGCTGTTGAGCTCCCAAAATAGCTTTATGTTTTGCGCCAACGAGGAATCGACTAGGCAGTCTTAAAAGGTGTCTTTTCTGATTGATTCGAAGCCGCCCACCTCTCACAGATCTCACAGTGGAATTGGATGAACAATATATATATATATTCATTGATACGTATTCATCATTATTCATCATTATTCATCATTATTCATCATTATATATTCATCATTATTCATCATTATTCATCCCAAAATAGTGATTCGAGTCCAAACATCTTCGAAGCTTCCCGGGCGGAAGCCTTTGGCGGCCCTTGGCAACCCAACCATGTAGCCCAGTTGGCACCGCTCGTCCTCTCCTTTCGCTTGCCTTGGCACGTGGTCTACTTTTCACTTGACTTCTTCAAAGGGATGGGTACACCAGAATCATCCAAGTCATTCGACCATTTCAGTCATGAAACAAAGGCCTTGGGGACCATTTTTGGAAATACCCGAGTTTTTGGTGGTGAAACTCGCATTCTTGCAAAACCCTGGCAACACCCCCTTCGTTTCAGGTCGGAAGCATTTCTCGCTGGAATCAAACCGCCGGAACCCTGGTGAACTGGATCTTCATCCTCCACATATGATGTGAGTTAACCCGATGTTATCAAATGAAAATTGGAGATATCCCCATGTTCATATGGTTCATATGGGCCTGGGCCTTCAAAATTCCCCGTTTTGATATGGCTTAAGCTCCTAAGAACCATCCCATGGGCGATAAGTTTGTTGTGACCCATGACCCAGCCCCTTCTGTAAAGCTCCAAGACACGCATCAGCTAAGGTTAGCGACTTGCCATGGCACCTGAACCAACTTGGAGGTGCCCCCATGTTTTGTGGCGATGTTTGATGAGAAAATGTCAAATTGGGGGTCGCAGTGGGGATCCCTATAAATTTCATGGATACTTCAAGCTTAAACTAGCCATTTCCAGAAGGAAAAATCGTTGTTAAACTCCATTCCTGGAGGTTTCCCATATTTTTCCATGTAATCCCAAGATCTCTGAGGTAGCCACTCCAAATTCAGGGCTGACAAGAAGCCCTCAGCTGGCAGCTGGTACTGGGGGTTGCACCGGTTGACCTCCATGTTTCCCTAGGAGTTGACAAATGTTGCTATATGTTGGCTTCCACTTACAACGTCAATTATTGGCTATAGCATTAAGGTACTAAGTCACAGAAATTCGTAAGCAATAACTTGCCATAACTAAGTTGATGCACTTACAAGCAGTACTTGGATCTTGATCAAAACTGGGATCTGGCTGAGAAAAAAAAAACTAATCCATCGTGAACAGTGGGATAACCCCAGTTCTGAGGACTTGCCAACCAGAGTTGTAAACAGCTTTCGAAGCGGGACGGACATCCAAGTACCAATTTCATGGAGAAACAAGCACCCCTGGCAGGAGCAAAAGTTGCCCAGTAAAATGGACAATATGTCCCTCAGAAAAGTTACAACACTGAAAGAAAGTTGCACGTCGTTCTCCAAAAGGATGCTATCCTGCGTGGCTTTTGCTCTAATACCCCAATTCCGAACCATATCCCCCTCAATCAAGACACCTTCTATGGCATGGGAGTTCTTGGGTTGAAAGTTCCATGGTTTCAACTCAAAAAAATCGATCGATATTTTGGCTCCTTCCAACAACTTCGGAAGTTTGATTCGTCTGTGCTTCCTAGTTGGATGTGCCAACCGCCCCTCACTTCTAAGTTGATTCATAAATCCCATGAACTTCATGGAGTTATATCATATTATATAAGTTATATCCCCCTAAACCCCGTTCACCAAGTTATGTCAACTTAGCTATCATAGAGCATAAATCAGCTATAATTGCCATAGAACATCCCTATTTATGTAGGTTAAATCGCCACTTTCCCATGGTGTTTGAAGTTTGGGGGCCTCACCTTGTAGCTGTGGCAGCCATTAAAATAGTGAAGATTCAATTATAGTAACTGCCTAGTCATCTAGTCATCCCCATCAACCATGGTTATCCCCAGTTGTCTATCTATCTTTTTGAGGATTACTATACTGAATCAGCTATAATTCCCATAGAAATCCTCAAAAAGATAGAAAACTTGGGATCACCTTGAGAAAAACCATAGAAAAAAACCCTATTCCCATAGAAAAACCTTATTTCTTCTTTGGTAAATCACCATTTTCCCATGGGCCAAATCCAACGCCCCGCCATCCCCAGCCCCCCGAAACAGTCAAGACACATCCACGCGCACCGCGTCGGCCGCGTCGCTGCGCCACGTCCTACTTCGGAGCTTTGGCGCGAAAGGGGGGGGGTAATCCATGGTGGTTTAATGGGGGTAATCCATGGTAGTCCCAATGGGTTTGACATATGTGACCTAACAAATGTTATATAATGGGTTTTGACTTAGAGAATATTTGTTAGGTCACATTAATGTGACCTATAATGGTTATCCTGTTATATAACAATGATATATGTGACCATTGTTTTCCAGGAGAATGATGTTGCTAATGAACTAAAGTAGCTTATGATTCAAGGATCACCATTCTCCTTATCATGGGGATTCAACCCCAAAGCCCAAAAGAACTCTTGACAATAGATAGTTAAGAGTCGCCCTTATTGGTGGTGGTTGGTGGTTAATAAATATGTTAATAACCCATAAAAATAAACTCTTTTCTTGCCGGTGGTAGGTCATCCCTTTGATTTTTTGGCGGAAAACCCATCTCTATCAAGGGTTCCATTGCCAGATGAGATTACCAAGAGGTACAACTTTTATTCCACTTTCTACTGTGGATGGAAAAAATCCTGCACCACCTTGGATGGTTGAAACCCTATAAATAGTGGGATAAACTACCTATGAACTGGTGCAGGATTTCTTCCACCCACCGTATCACTTGATGTACATGTACTGTACAACTTCAAGAAGCCATGAAGATGGCGCAGCTAAACCACCCACATGCGAAAACCAGAATGGGTCAAAGCTCTTGGGTATCCATAAAACTGCATATTTACAGGTTGGTCCAAGAATTTACACATCACCCAACTCCCAAGGGGATATCAGATTCAACCAAGCATCCAATAGTCATGTGATGTCATGTGTAAAACACCCAAAACAGTATATTTGTTTCACTAAACTCCCGTTGGTCATGTGTTCAAGAGCCATTTTTTTGGGGGTGATCACTTTTGACCCATGGTTCCATGCGTATTTGTTCAGGTGATACCCATGGATGATCGCTCGGTTTTTTGGGTAAATGTTGAGGGTTTCTGGGTTTCTACCCCACATTAATGTCACTTAAAGGATATAACGGATATAATAACATATAATAAGATATAATAAGCCTGTTTCCCCACCTAGCCACCTGCTATCAGCGGAGTAAACTTTGGTCATCCCACGGAGTATCTGCGGAGTAGCGAGGTAGGGTAACATAATCCACCGGCTATAATCCTGTAATAACATACTTACTATATCTCACTATACAGGTAATCATGTATATATATACATGTAAATCTCATGTCTCATACATAAAAATGTAAATGTAGGTTTATTATAGTATATATTAATATATAGTTCTATGTATAACCCAGTCAGTACACTTCCCAACCATCGATCGAATCATCTTTTCCCCTGGCCATCTTAGGAGATCCTCCAACCACCCCCGGCTGCCGTTGCCTCTGCATCGCATCAGCGGGCGCCAGCATGGGCCTCTTGCGCTGATTGCCACCTTTCGCTTGCCTGGCGTTGGGATCTTCTAATGTTCACTATACTCGATGGACAATAAAATCAAGTTACAACTAGGGGCACCACGTTGTGATGAACTCGGTAATAAAATAAGTTACCCCCTTTGGGGTGCCTTGTTTTTTGATACCCCCAAATGTTAACATTGGGTAACTGGAGAATGGATGCGAATGGTTTAGTGTAGTTGGGTTTGCCACACGGTTCTAAAAACCCATGGATAAGTGAGGCAACCCGGGTTGAAGCCCTTGGTAGCCAGGCTTCTCCAAGTGATTCCCAAGTAATCCCCTTGTGGTCAAACAGGCTTCAGGTGCCATGAAAATCAGACATCACCATGAAACCACCAGATGTTCGCAGGCTCTCACAATCACTTTCACCCAGGGCACCGGGTTTGTCGGAGAGGAGAGGTCTCGGCATGTACCAAGACTCTCTTGGCTGTAGAAATGGTACGCCCCGAAATGGCATTATTGCCAAAAATATGAAATTGCAGAAATATATGACAAATTGGATTTATATGACAAATTGGATCCAATTTGGTGGTATTTTCCCATGGTTTTCCCATGAAGTTGATTAGCTCATGTTACCCCACTATCCCACTATCCCACTATCTCCATGATTCTGCTTGGGTTTGCCTGGCAGATGCTACAGCAGACGTTGAACGATTTTAGACGATTTAGGGATCTTTTGTTTGGTCATCCATCCCATAGGACTCAAACCATCAGATCCCATCATTGATGACCGTCTCCTAAGAACTGGGCACACGTTTTGACCGTCGACCTTGGCACATGAAATGATTGAGGAACAGCTAGGAATATTTTGACATGACCGAAATCTCTGGTGCCCTGGAAATCTCACGCCCTGATCCCTCGTGTCCCTCGGGTCCCTCGGGTCCCTCGGGTCCCTCGGGTCCCTCGGGTCCCTCGAGCTTCGCCTCAGTTCTTTTCGGAGTTTTCTGATCTCTTCTCCTGCGAGGAGGAGATAAGTGATCTGTGGTCCCATGGCTTCCAGATGATCGAAATCTTGACCTGTAACGTATCCCCACATTCAGAATTGAAGCCATGAGATCTTGCAACCATTTGTAACCTCAGTCCAAGTGGCTTTCCACAGATTTTTCTAACCTAGCACGCCTGGCGCAAGCTGTTCCAGCAATTCCTCCGCCGAAGCGGAGTTCGGATTGCCCGGCTCCAGCGCAATTTGGGTCATCTGACAGATGGCCGAAGTCCTGCGCGCTGGACTCTCCTGCAGGAAGGCGTCTTTCACATGAGACGGGTAGGCCAGCAGCATGGCGAGGACCAGCCGTTGAAGATGTTGTTCCCTCATGTGCTTCCAATCCTGCAGGCTTTGAAACAGAAGTGGAAGGATTTGATGCTGCAGGGCCATTTTTCGGTGAGGCTCTCCAAACGTCATCCGCTGCAGGCACAGAAGCAGAGTGTACTGATGAAGGCCTGTGGCGCGCCAGCAAGCATCGATCATCTTCGGGATGCAGCCATGCTGACAAGCAGTGATCACAAAGTCATCTCCTGCAAACATGAGCCGCAACAGTGCTTGAGCAGCCACATGTTTCATCTCATCACGCTCGTGCACCAGAAATTCCAAGACGTCTGGGATAACAACCTTCAAGTGCTTTGCGTCGCTTCCGAGGGCTAGAGAACCAATGGCTTCCACAGCAACTGGTTGATTCAGATAGCATCCTAACTGGGCGATTGAGATGATTGCAGGGATCACATTGGTGCCGGAGAGCCCCAAGCAATCCCCTCCCTCGTGTTCCACTTCCCCAGCACATACGATGGCCTTCAGGGCCACTTGCTGCACTGGAATTGAGGTATGCTGAATCAGCTGCACCAACACCTCACCAACACCCACCTCTGCCAGCAAGCCATGGACGTGACATCCGTCATGACATACCTGGACCAACTGCCACATGGCTGCGGCGGTAGACATCGAGGCCCAGGGTGCTGGGGCCACCAAGCCCGAGGCCAAGAAACGGACCAGGTAGTCTCGGTTTTTCAACTCTTCCCAGTCAGATGAACGCAGCATAACAGCCAGCGCCCACGCTGCTCGGCAACGATCTTCCTCAGCCCAGACGCGAAAGCAATTTGCTCCTTCCACCAAGGCGGCCCTGGCGACAGCGGGGCTTCGGAGCCTCTCCCCCAAGCGTTCCAGCTTCGATGCGAGGCCTTCCTCACTTTCCAAGTCCAGCGGCGCACTTTCAAGGTCAAAAAGAATTGAAAATCGAGGCCACTGCATCTGATAGAAGTGAAGACTAGCACCCCCCAACGCAGTGAGTTCGAGGACCGACAATGGAGACCGGTCGAAAGAGGTCAAGACCAACGACAGGATCTGCTCGCAGGGTGTCTTCGTGCTTGGCCAGGCATCCGTCACGACATTTGGACGCGGCATCTGCATGTGTTGAAGGTGGGGAATCTTGTCCACCACCGGCTGATCAAATGGCGCTGTACTAGAGTGAATTTGAAGTTTGGCTATTTGCAGCAGCCAATATTAAAGAATCAACCGGCTGTTATGAATCTTGGGTCGACAGGATCAAGAAAGTTCATCTGACATCTGCCCCTAGAATAGCATCTACCATGGTACCAAGACTGAGGTTTTGATAGGTGCCATGTAACTGCCAAGAATAAGCCTCGAACATATAAATATGTATATATATATAAGAGATATGGATTGAAAATGTAGAAGAAATGAAATATATAGCTGTAGTAAGCCCCGACAAAAATCGAAAAGTCAAGTCCTACTAACTACTGTAAATGGTGATATATAATTTACTTGTCTATATTTTTGGAGTTGCTATACACTGGAGGGCCACTAATTTTGACGAACATCTTCGGTCGGGGTGTGCTGTGCCTGAACTCTGACCCCATTTCGAGACAAAGATGACAGCGGCAGGTTGGGAAGCAAGATCTTCTCAGACGTTTTTCACCACAATCCAAAGTTCCAGAAAAATCTGGTACACTGGGTCGCCCAGAGAATTCACACATGCTTGATACCTGGCGACAACATGTCCCTGCCCAGTGAAGCTCGCCAGGCCAGGCCGGAACACTATCCATGGGGCCCAGTGTTTTACCCACAGCTTCAACAGAGGATTTGACCCATGGTTGCGCCTTGAAAACCCACGATATATCCAGCTGAATTGCAATGATTGATTCATCTGAAATATGTGAATGATATATGAATTGTTGCTGGTATTGTAAAAAGGCATTATATAAGTATATCCCTATGTATATATATATACATACATAATTCATCAATTCATTAAGCTGGATAGTCTGGGGTTGGCAGGTTCCCCTGACCAACCATCACTGGCTACTCAAGGGGGTCCTTGACCTTTCAAGACCTTTCAAAATGGATACTGATGGGGAAACAAATTGTCATATATCCTTACATAATCTTACATATATCAATCATTGACTGCTTAGTGAAAACCAATAAGTTTGGGTCCATCTAGTACTGGTTCAGCAAGAATCCAGCTGATTGCTTCCATACAACTTGGGCCCCGCAGTCATAATTTTATGTATGCGCTCTCATCCAACTGTGGATATATCCCACTGTGAGCTACATGAACTTACCTATCGAACTTGGGGAAATGGTTGATTCATGGTAATCAGGTCATCACCATTTTCCCTGTATCATCTACTAGGGTGGATAACCTCCAGGGTAAGGGTCCCAATTATATACGCGGGAAATTCCCTACTAAACCATCGGTTCGTTTGGGGGTGGTTAATATGAACTATGTGAAGGGATTAGTTATATTCCCCTACAAACACAACTGTTCACCAGGCCAACCCCATGGGCTTCAGCGGTTGCAGCTCCTTCATCAAGGGGCCCCAATTCTTCCAGCGCCTCGGGCTGTTGGTTGGGGATGTATAGCATCTTATAGCCGCCCATTTAAAAAAAAGACTGGGATGTACAACACATTGATGAACTTGTGATCCTCCGACCATCTTTAGCATGTAACTTTTGGCTGACCTTCTTTGATTGTCTTCCTTGGATATTTCGTCACATATGGATCAAACCCGGACCAGTCTCATGTTTTTCACATCAGTGCATAGCCCTCGGTCAGCACAGTCAGCTCATTCCCATATGGTAAAATCACTGGTTTTGATCCGTCACCCCAAGAAATGGCTAGAAAACGTTACTGCGAATGATGAGACAGCTTCATCTCGAACTTTCTCATCTATAGCCATTTTTTTCGCGGAAGTCCTCCTACTTGTGGTGATGTTGGGTATGGGTGAAAAATCGTCAAAAAGATTACCTCCCAAAAAATTGGATGGTTGGAGCGAAAAAAAAAAACGCTATTGATCCAGAGAGGTCCCACTGGGTCAGCCGACCCATCGCAGCTCGTTTTGGGCCAACCCGGCCCTTGGTTTGGAAGGTCTGACTGATGATATACAAATGTGAATCCATTTGGGCAAATTGTGGCTGTGCACCAAAGGCAAGTAAACCCTCTGCTAATGCAACATATGCAACATAGCTATGGTAAATAATAATGTTCAATAGGTAAAGCATCTATAGATAGATCATTTTCCATAGTTTGAAGTTGAATTACCGCAGGGCACTAACAATCGTTACTTGCAAAGTTGTGATCCAGAATCACGCGAGCAATCCATGCATCTTTACAACTGCATGTGTCTAGGTGAAAAATGGATACCTCATTAATAGTGTTGGCTGGGTACCCCCCCCAGCAATATACAGTAATCGAAGCTGGCAAATGGATGCAAATTCAAAACAACGTCCCCATGTTTCGTAATCCCACCGTGATTTAATACCGGATTTACCATCTGGTTATTCAACATAGCCATGGAAAATCACCATGTTTAAGAACGGTAAACCATCTATTTCTATGGGCCATCTATACCATGGCGAAATGTTAAATAACCGGTATTTGGGACCATTTTGAATGGGGGTTCTTACTCTTGGGATGGCATGAAATGTGCCAAAGGGACAGGCCCTGCTGCAATTTACACCTTCCGCGGAGGGCCAAAACCTGGCCGGGTTTTTTCCGGTGCAGCAACTGGTTCGTCGTGAAAATGATGAGTTTTCTCAACGGGTCATAGGGGACGAACACCGGTCACCCCCAGTCCAGGGGGTACCCTGCTGGCACGCCAGCCCACATGGATTTCCGGCTGGGATGTACACAGCAAAAAACGGAGATGGGATGTGATCTTCACCGTGCGTATCCAGGTACAGCCCCCCGCTTAAACCTTTGCTGGATTGATAAACTTTCCGGAGATCAAATCAAGAAAAATCTTTGGGCCGAAGGTTTTATTTCGATATGTTGCTAATGGAAAGATTAAATGGGATTTTCTGGTGATTTTCTAGATAACCATTTTAATCCCATTTCAATCTCTGGATAGTCAGAATGGTGTTGTTTGATCCCAGAAATATCCAGAAATGGTCCGTTAAATGATGGAAAAAATGGTGCTTTCCCCGATGGCCTTGGCCAACTGTGCATTGGCGGCTGTTCGCTTGGCCCGCTGCTGCGCCAGGTAGTCCTGTGGGGATTTCACAAATGAGTTGTCTGGAATATGTTGATAGAATAAAAGGGATATTACAGGGATATCATTTGGTGCTTTATCCCTGTAATTCCATGAATATATATATATAAAATCTGGGTAAATTATAATGATTCACTAACCTGAAATAAGGCCATTTTGGGATGATTCCCCTTACTAACCATGATTCCAGTGAGGTCGCAGTGAGGTCGTTATAATTTACCCAGATATAATAGTATGGGATTCATGCAACATGATATAATTCAATGAATTGGTCGTGGGAAAATCGAGAGGAAACCATGGTGTTTACTTCGAAAAATCTAAGGATCCCCTGCAGAGTTTCTTGCCCAATTTTGCAATTCTGGTATAGCTTCAGCCCCGGTGTCCTGAAAACAGACGTAGATCATACTCTTGCCGCTTAAATATCAGTATGGTAATCATTGGGACTATCAGACTATCATATTATCAAGATCAATCTGGTTTATCTGGTGAATTTAACAATCATTATTGATATCAGTTGAGCATGTCTTGCGATTTTAGATTGCCAAAGCCATACACTCCCTTGCTGAGGTGAGGAGGGGTTCTTCTGACCACACCAAAATACAGAACTACGACATCTACGGTCATCCCCATATATAATCCATCATACATCTACAGTACATATAATCCAACATATTACATATGTGTATATATATATACATATAATCTCCAAGAAATCCATGATCTCAAAAGAAATACATCTACAGTCTAGCCCCTAAAAAAAAATAATCATCATCATCAACAACATCAACAACATTCTAATCCGGAAAAAAAAAAAACATCATACAAATACAGTAAATAATCCCATATTCTATCCATCATCTATCATCATCGCCCTTTTTGCCATGATTGCTTCCCTTTCAACCTTCGGCATCCGAGACCCGAACCCACAGGAAGGCACCAGCGCACAGGACGATGCCCACCTTGCCGATGAAGGTCAAAATATCTAGGTATATGGGGTTAATAATGGTTTATAATGATTCATAATAGATGATCTTGGATCTAGGCTTTTATTTGGATATTCATAGGGATATTTATAGGGATATTTATGGGAATATTTATGGGGATATTTATAGGCATGTTTGAGATATGTGTATATGCACCAGGCCCTGCCACCCCCCGCCCTCCCCCCCATGGGATGGGTCCCATATACTGCCCATATGAGATCTTCCCCCTCCCCCTGTGGTGTGGTAGGGGTGTGTGGCACTGTCCCCCTCCCCCCCCTGTGGTGTGGTGGGGGTGTGGTACTGTCCCCCCCTCCCCCCGCTGTGGTGTGGTGGGGGTGTGGTACTGTCCCCCTCCCCCCCTGTGGTGTGGTGGGGGTGTGGTATGGTATGTTGGGTATGTATGGTGTGTATGGTCGGTCTGGTATGGCATGTTTGGAAAGTATGGTATGTTTGGTAGGTATGGTAAGTATAGCATGAATGGTTGGTATTGTATGGATGGTAGGTATGGTATGTAAGTCTGTTGGGCATGGTATGTTTGATATGACAGTATGTATGGTCTGTATGGTATGTATGGTTAATGATGGATATGGAATGTTTCCTATGTAAGGTAGGTATGGTATGTGTGGCATGTATGTTTGGTATTGTATGCATAGTAGGTGTGGTAATTATGTTTCATATGTGTGGTATGCGTGGTGTGTATGATAGGTATGATAGGTATGATAGGTATGGTATGTATGGTTACTATGATGGGTATGGAATGTTTCCTATGTAAGGTAGGTATGGTATGTATGGCATGTATGTTTGGTATTGTATGTATGGTAGGTGTGGTAATTATGTTTCATATGTATGGTATGTGTGGTATGTATGATAGGTATGATAAGTATGGTATGCATGGCATCATTGGAATGTATGGTAGGTACGGCATATGTTAAACACATGTAGTGTTGTGAGAGCACACAGGTAGTAAATAGGAAGTAGATACATAGCACGTGTATATATGACTATATATAGGTAGCACGTAGGTACTTTGAGGGAGTATGTGTGCTACGTAGGTCGCCTAAAAGGTAGCATGTACCTAGTAAATTCGAGGCTGGTAGCCAGAAATGCTGCAAAGACCTAGCAAATACGAAGCTGGACCTCAGAAATGCTGCCAATAGCTTGCAAATAGAAGGGAAGGGGGGGTGCTACCTGGGGACCCAACCCATTGGGGGGGTGGAGAGACGGAGGACGGGACCATATATATATATACATATAATATTATATATATAATATTATATATATATATCATATGTATATGGTGGCTTCCGTTTTGTCATGGGGGTACTCCCAGTCATCATCCAGTCCAAATTTGGATGACCATTTTAGTGAAACCGATGGTGACTTGAGCATCCCCCATTTTAGGAAACCTCCATATATCCAAACATAGTGAACATGGGGCTTCCGGCAAAGTCACCCTTGAAGTACCATAAACTAACCAGTTCGGGGACTTCAAAGGGACTCAAATCCAACCTTCAACTGTTGGAAGCACCGTTAATTGCTTGGTTCCTCCGAGGGCCTCATTTGGGTGTTCCTAGATGTTCCTCCGGATCGATTCGAAATGATGCCATTCTCAAGTCATCAACATCATCAAGCGACGACTTTCGTGATCGCCCTCTGCTAAACTAAAATAGCGAAGTGGAAAATCACCATGCTATTAACAGGTAAATCAATTGTTTCTATGTGCCATGTTCAATAGCAAACTGTTCAATTACCAGCGGGTAAAGCCTGATTTGAATATCTGGTAATATCTGGTAATATCTGGTAATATCTGGTAATATATTCGAATATTCTGTTCCATTCGCAAGCCTTTTGAATATCTTCGCGGTCATGCAACTCATTTGCCCGGGCTCCCAACTGTGAATTGCCGCGCGAAGGCCATGGCCTAAAGAGGCAACTCGCCACCCAAAAAACCAACCAATGGCCTTGGTATAGATACACCAATGGTTAATGATTATACACTAATTATACACTAATTAATTATGGTTAATGATTGTATTATACACATTTTTTGTCACGCATAATTAAAGGCTTCATTGGTTACATATGATCATATGAATGGTTCATGATGTTTTACAGCATTTTTTATGGCCAAGTATAGCTCAATGCTGTATCTGTTCATAGGAAAAATGCAGTCATGGCACGATGCCCAAGACCAGCAACGGAACGGTGAGCTCGAAGCCTCCGTTTTCAGGGAAAAAAAAAACGGCGGTGGCCAATCAAGGGACTTTCTGAAGGATTACAATGGCTATTGGGTACATTAATTTAATAATATGGCTGATTGGTAATTGGGTAATAATGACAATTTACTTTCTGGTAATCAAATACGGCTGATTGGGAAATCCCCAAACTAAATGGTGTTGCAGCAGCTGGGAAAATCATCGATTCAGAGCGGTGTTTGATTGCCGGAGGGTAGTACAGGTTCAGACTTTCTATTCTTGAGATTAGATACACCCGTGTGATAGGAAGTATACAGGTACACCATCACTGCACTTTGGTGGCAATACAGCCAGGTTTTAAGTATGCAATCCTATTCGTTGTCGCCATGCCCCTGAGGTACGACTAACAATCCCACTACTGGAACATGTGACTGGATTGGTTTAGAGTGCATAGTCATCCCCTGAATCTCTTGCGATGGATATCTTCTTAGTTCGGTGCTCCATATTCATTGTTGTATAACAGTCATCATCTGTCATCCATAAATATGTTGGTAACTCTCAAAAGAACCTAATGTAAATCAGACTTTGTCCACCAAACCCAAATTCATCTATCAATGTCCTTGAATTCATTGCCCAAAGCTTGTTTCTCTGTCATGGCAGCCAGCTGTACCACGGGATTTCCCTAACAAGAACATCTAGGCTACAGAAAACGAACAGTTTGCTGAGGAAAATGACCCATTTATATAGTTCGATGATTCGCCTATTAAACATGGTGATGTTCGATAGCTATGGTAGTTTACCCCCAGGGTAAATTGTTCCTAAACCCGACTCAAACCAAATGTTGGAAACTTGGGGACGATTCCCACAATAAAACACCACTTGATTGCCACATAGCACCACCCCCAGCCTGGTGCACGAGCAGGTGGTGGAGGCGCCAGCAAACGGCAACTGGGTCGAAGGGGGTCAATCCCCTCTTTTGGACCCAAATATATCAAGTTGGTTCTATATCCCATTACATCCCCATTGACATGGTTGGTTATAAGTGATAGTTAAACCCCCATTCTTGATGGTTAAGCCAAGTCAATCCTCCATGTTTGATAGTTCATCCCCCCATTCTTGGACTCACCCATGTTGCTTCACCATCCACTGAGGGCAACGCATGGCCAAAGCGCAACTGCAATCCAAAACTGCGTGCTGGGCCTTGGCCGCTGACCACTCCCAAGACTTCAATCGGACATATTGGGTTGAACAGAAACCGAGTGTAAAGATATTATATATATATATATGTATACATATATATATATATATATATATATCGCATCTGTATGTATTTATGTCTGTCTGTCCGTCTGTCTGTATGTGTGTATGTGTGTGTATAAATATAAATATATAAATATATAAATATATAAATATATAAATATATAAATATATAAATATATAAATATATAAATATATAAATATATAAATATACATATATATAAATATATAAATATATAAATATATAAATATATAAATATATAAATATATAAATATATAAATATATAAATATATAAATATATAAATATATAAATATATAAATATATAAATATATAAATATATAAGTATATAAATATACATATATATTATATATATATATTTGACCATAGTTCTAGGGTTTATCCAAAGCTGTGGAGGTTCAAATCCCATGGGGACTGAACTGGGATCTGCCGGCTGAATCCAAGGCGAGCCAACAGCGAGCACGACCTCAGGGGCTTGACCCTCTGGCAACCTGATATAGCCATGGGAAATGGCCATGTTCAATAGGTAATAATCTACAAATGGGTGATTTTCCATGGCTATATATGTTGAATTACCATAGGGTATCAGCCATAGGCTGCCATAGGTGGACTACTGTATCATGCATAAATATGAAATGGGTTTCATCACAAATGTTTAAGTGTGTTGCTTGAACTGACACTGGACGGGGCCGGGATCAAAACATGGGAGAAGAAAAAGGACTGGCTGTGTCTTTCCTAACTTTGCCGGTTGCAAGAACTTATTTGCATTTGGTGGGACCCCAAACAATTTCATTCTTGTCTTGTTTGGGTAACGTTTCGGATACCCAGAAATTGGGCAAATAGAACACATTTGCCATAGTTGAATTCTTCCAACTGTCGAGAGGTTGGAAAGAGATCTGCAAATTCAGCCTTGCTATCGTGGTTTTTGACCAAAAATGAAGTACCATTGTCAATTCATGTTCGTCATCAGGTTTTGTAGTCAATAATTTGATGAAATATACCCTCTGGCTAAAAAAAAACACATAACTATGGAAAATCACCATTTTCAATGTGTAAACCCACTATAAATGGTGATTTTCCAGTTCGTTATGTTAGCTTACCAGAAGGTAATGGTTTGACATCATGTTCCTTCAGTTTCCCCATTCAAAACGCAATTTTTAGCGGGCTCCAGTATCCCCATGGACGGGTATACTGTTCCAAATCTATATGTTTTTTGTTTAAAAAAACGCAGTTGTAAATGTTGTTTGTTGCACGGGTCGGCCTTTGCTGTTGATTTTGCGATTTTGAGGTCTCATTGTGTTTAGGTTCATTTTTGTAAAGTTTTTTGCATCAGGGCTCAAGAAGCGCAATGTTTTGGCTTCAATTGCAACTTTGTGGCTTATGGCGACCGGAAAGAGGCCCTTTTGAGCGAAGCCGGTTTTGAGAAGGTTTTCCGGACCCAGAATTGGGTCCGTTGGAGCAAGCTGTTTTGTAGATGATTTTGTTTCTTGTTGGGGCAAGCGGGGTGCATGTCCGTTGCTGCTTGAACCCGGTTGAAGTTAGCTTCTTATTATTTCGTTTCGTCTGGTGGCTTGATTGTTTGCTGCTAAAAGAAGACCCATCGGCCTTTTGCAGCGTTAGGTGATTGCTTGAGGTGTTTCTTGTTGTTGCGGAGTTTGCGGGTTTTCGCGCAGGTGGCCGGCTTCCATTTGGATGATTGTATTGAATGCTTTACTGCCCCTTGTTGGCCCCCCTTGCCCCCTCTAGACTCCTACCGAAGTTTTCAGCCCGGAAAGAAGATGAATCACGATCTTTCAGTCAATCCCCGGAAAGAAGATGAATCACGATCTTTCAGTCAATCCCGTTATTAATTAATAGTATAAAAACGGGATGGAGTAAGAATCTGCTTAGGGAAAGATGTGGGAAGGTGAAGTATCGAAGGAGCACGGAGTAGCGGAGTAGTGCGGAGTAGCAAAGGATTGGTGAATGTTGCCTGGGTCGTGCTGCATCGCAATCGCCACATTGGAGCCAGTGAACGGAGACAGCTGATACCACATGTGCGCTTTCAGGTTCCATTTTTGGGGCCGGAAAGTCAATTGAAATCAGGCTTCGCATGTGCGGGCCTCCTCTGTATGTATATATATATACTGGACTATTTGTTTATTTACTTAGTTATTTCTTTATTCATTTATTTATACATATACAGTAGATAGAAAGGTGGTTTCATAAAATGGGGGACCTAAGACACCCAGATTGGTCTCCGAAACAGGCCCAAGTCCCCGAAACGTCTTCCTCTCCGCATCCCATTGGCATGTTGATCTGATACCCTATCGATATATCATATCTCATTATACCTATCATGTTAATAACCTTATCGTCTATACCCTAGCAACACTAATTATCATACCATGTATCACATATCATCAGATATCATACCTCACATCTCATATCTCATATATCATTTCATATCATATTGCTCCCAGGTCTGCATTCCAGTCATTGCTGCGACTCCACGACTGGGACCCCTTTCTCAGGTGCAGCTCCATCTGTTCCACGCCCAAGTGCCCCGCATAGACGCTGCAAATCTGGCGCCATTGTGTTGCGGAGGAGGGATCCGGTGGATCCAAAAGGAACAAACAAATAGTGATGATTAGTGTAGTGGGACAAACAAATTCTTCGTGATTCTTAGTGGTTGTTAGGTTAGTGGTTGTTTGAAATGGTTTCAAGTGAAAAATGTTAGCTATTTAACTTGAAGCCTCTGATGATCCTGATAGGCCTTCTATATGTTTTAGTTTTGCCATATATAGGTAAAATGTAAGAATTGGAATCGTCATCCAATGGAACTCGGCGAATCTTGCGACGATTTCTTGAATGCCAAGGCGGGAGAGAACTCCGGTCATCGCAGACTGCGGTTACCCTCTGGTAATTTAACGTAGCTATTGAAAATGGCCATAGAAATAGTGGATTTTCCCATGAAAAATGGTGGATCTTTCCATAGTTATGTTAGTTTACCAGAGGGTAGATCGATGATTTTGATGATTTCCCTTTTAAAGGCCTCATCGATATCTGGTTTTCAAGTGACACCAGATTTTGAATCTAGCCACGTTTGATGACACCAGAGGATGATTTTCCCATAGAATCTCATTCTATCACATTTGATGTGAAATATCCCAGAAATCCCCATGAATTATCCCAGTCTATCACCAGAATTATCCCAGCCATATTTGATCTCCATGAGATCCCCATGGTTTTCGAATGCTTCTTGGAAACCTCCACCGGACGGCCCGTGGCGACCCTCTCGTTGGGCAGCATCTGTTCGCTGGGAGGATCTACCTGGCACAGAGAGGGCCATGGGCTTTCTGCTGGTGGCTTATTTCAAGCCGAAGAGTAGGAATTGGTTGAAAAAATGTTGAAAATGTGGGTGACATGTTCGGAAAAAATGATGTGAGCCTGCCACAATTGTCTTGGAACACTTCGACTTCATGTTGACGACCAGAATCAAAGAAGGTTGGCAGTCCACTGGAAGATTCGTGATGTCCGTGAAGAGTGGACCATGCCTGCAGCCGTCCGTTCTTGCTGTTCTTCCTTGGCATTTCGAGCAGCAGCCAGTGTTTCCACAATAGATTACCACAATTGAGTACCCAGAGGCAGAAATAGATGATGAATGCTAAAAATCGACTAGAGAGGTCCCCTGGGTCATAAATCTTAACCCATGACCATATGGAATCCATCACACCCTGCACCAAGCATCATTAGGCCACGCAACTCTGGTGACTCCAGAAGTCGCCCAAAACGCACCTGGCGGACTTGTTCAGCGCCAGAAAGTGGAGGCCTAAGGGTCCTGGCAAAAGTTGGGGAACCCCAAAAAAATGCTGAAATTGATGTCCAGGATGGTGAAATATGATGGTTTCCTCTATGATTTTTCGGCGTGGTTTCATGGGGCTACAAAGACGCTAAATGATGCCGATTTGGGGTGACTGTAAGCATGATTACTACTGACCATTAGTAGCCGCTTGCAAGCAAGAAAGTTGAATGACCCCAATTTTGATGTGTTAAGTCATGAACAACTTACACACAAACAAAGGATGCACACGCACTTAGGGATATGGCTTTGTCTGAGAATGTGGCACCCCAAAACCTTTGGGCAAAATGGCAATTTGGGCATATCCCATTTTCAGACACACCCATATGTTGAGAGCGTCAAAGAGGGGAAATGCACCTGTGCTTATTGTTGTGTGAGTACAACCCAGTACTGTACAACCCCCAGATCCCGCTTGGAGTTGGTCTACTTCAGGTGAAGTGTTGAAGCACCCAATACTTTCGACGCCTGGCCTAGACCCAATACGTCATTGCACAATCTACAGAAAACTGCTGTTGGTCGGATTTAACCCGACTAAAATCTGCCAAGTACAAACCAATTCAGTATATCACCATCTGTTACAAAAGAATATCATCTGGTCATTTAACATAGAAAATCCCAACCATAAATGGAGGTTTCTAGCTGGGAAAATCATCTATAAATGTGCCATTTCCCATGGCTATGTTAGTCATAACCAGAGGACTTTCAGTTTCAACGGAGATGTTTCGCGCCTGGCTAGTGCCAGCCTCATCGGCCTGAATGGCGAAGCCTTCCCAGATCTCGGCGAACCGCTGTCAGCTGTCAACATACCCGAGAGGATCAGGTAACAGCAATGGAAAATTGATGGGATAACTATGGTTTATGGCAGATATAACTATAATTAATGGGGTTTATAAAGCAACTTATAACTGGGGGGCACCATCCTGTAGATATGGAGTGATATGGAGGTTTTAATCAAAATCATCCATTTTGATAGGTTTTTACATGAAATAAACCATCCGTTTTAGGGTACCCACATTTATGGAAACCCCCATAAATGTATGTTGGCTATCTTTTGCTGGATGTGTTTCGCTACCCCCCCAAAAGTTGGATCGTCCGATTTGAAATGTCCATTGAGGTTTTTCAGTGGCTTCCCAGCCACATGTTTTTTTGGGTTTTTCCCCTATCCCCCACTTCGGTGTTTCATGTTGCCCCACCCAAAGAACTGGGAGCCCCACTTCTCGGCCCCTGAGCTGGGTCTGATGAGGGATGGAAAGAAAAAAAACGTTTTTTATCCATCGAATAATGGGGATCATATAGGGATAGTGAGGTCAAAGCCTGAAAGGATTGGAGGTGCCCTGTTGACAGGCTAATCTTTGCATCTCAACTTTGGAACTGAAGATTCGGCACCAAGGCCAGCATATCTGACAGTTTCATCCCCATTGCAACATCCACATATTCAATACACTACATGAGGGATCAACCCCGAAAATTGCCGTTTTCATAGGGAAAATGATGATAAGCCCAACCATAAACCATCAGATTTCTACCCAAGATACCCAGATTTCAGACAAACCCATATCGATATCATAGGTTGGCAATCCCATTCCAAATTCCCAAAACAGTTCCTCCTTAGCCTTGCTCATTCTGGATCATTTTAAGCTTTGTTGTATCTCACTTCACAAGATCCGAAGAAAGATATGCCATGATATGCCAGGTTTTTCAGGATGTGATATATAAAATATATAAATGTTGTAAGACAATAAAGTTCCGTTCCTTAAACTTTCCTGTCATGGCTGGCTGGCAAATCCCACCAGCCACGTTGATGACCCTATCGGATCCCCATTCAGTAGGTCCCATTAAAAAAAAAATACTTTACTTCGTGTGATCCCCACCGTGACATTTTTACATTTTCTGAATGGCAAATCTTCTGGCATTCTATCTGACATATCTTCTGGCATTCTATCTGGCAAATCTTCTGGCATTCTATCTGGCATATCTTCTGGCATTCTATCTGACATATCTTCTGGCTTCTGGCATTCTATCTGGCATATCTTCTGGCTGGCATATTCTATCTGGCATATCTTCTGGTATATCTTCTGGCATTCTATCTGGCAAATCTTCTGGCATTCTATCTGGCATATCTTCTGGCATATTATCTGGCAAATCTTCTGGGATTCTATCTGGCATATCTTCTGGCATATGTTCTGGCATATCTTCTGGCATTCTATCTGGCATATGGCATCTATCTGGCAAATCTTCTGGGATTCTATCTGGCATATCTTGTGTCATTCTATCTGACATTTTATCTGGCATACCTTCTGGCATTCTATCTGGCATATCTCATAGCATTTTATCTGGCATATCTTCTGGCATTCTATCTAACATTCCATCTGGCATATCTTCTGGCATTCTATCTGGCATATCTCATGAGGTCCGGCAGGGAACACTGGGCGTGGATGGTCGTGGTTGAGGTCCGGCAGGGAACACTGGGCGTGGCTGGTCGTGGTTGAGGTCCGGCAGGGAACACTGGGCGTGGATGGTCGTGGTTGAGGTCCGGCAGAGAACACTGTGGATCGCGGGTCGCAGTTGGACGAGGGACGAGGACGACGAGGACGACGAGGACGACGAGGACGACAAGGACGACAAGGATGACAAGGAGGACGAGGAGGACGAGGAGGAGGAGGAGGAGGAGGACGAGGCAGGAGGCAGGAGGCAGGAGGAGGCAGGAGGAGGCAACTGACATAAAATCTAACAACCCTCACCTGGCAGGTGGGGAAAAAACGAAAACAACGATTTTTCCGATAGTTAAATCCCATTAAATGGATGGTTAAATGGATGGTTATATATAATAAATCCCATGAAAACAAGAAAATGGATGGTTTAAATCCGAAAAAAAACTTTAAAAATCCCACCTCTTGATCCATAAATCTATGGTGGGATTCTTCAGCTCTACCCTGGGACGGCCAGGCCCAAAAAGCGGTGCAGCCCATGCACCTCATGGCCAGGACATGCTGCTCAGCACCGCCCTCCTGGAGATCAAATGGGTATTGAAACTGCGCAGTTGATTTAACTGGTTAATTTATGGTTAATTTGTACCCAACAAAATCATGGAAAGATAATGGAAATTTATGGAAACCAGTTAATACTGTTTATAATTTGTAACCAACAAAATCATGGAAAAATAATGGAAATTTATGGAAACCAGTTAATACTGTTTATAATTTGTAACCAACAAAATCATGGAAAGATCACATGCGGCAGGGGGTGTTTCGTGTGGTTTCCCACATTTTTGAGATGGTTGGATGATCTTCATTTGTTAGTTGTATCTGTTGGTTATGTTATCCCACGACTAACATGCAGACCCTCAGAATCGCCCCAATCTAGAGATTGAAAAGCAGGCCAATAAGACTCATGGTAGGGTCCATTTGTTAGTTGGATGGAGGATAGATACACTATAATAATAATAAATAAAAAATAATAATAATAAATAAATAAATAAATAAATGAATAAATAAATAAATAATAATGCATATTGGGATCTTCATCTACCTGAAATCAAGCATGGCAACGGAAAATGTTGTGCATGATATTATGTATATATATACAGTATATTATGCTGTTTCTGTTGCAGATAGTGATATTCCTTTGCTATGGTTGCAAACCAGACAGTACCAAAACTTGAGATGTTTTGTTTTAATAAGATCCGCGCCTCTGTACTGCAAGATCTAACTTACCGTCTAACAGTATGGCCTGATCTTGTTCCTGGATGGCAACATGGTAATCTACTTCTCACTGTACAGCACATTTCCAAAGCATCCCATCAAATCACGACGGTTTCCGCAATTCATGGAAATGTCGAAAGTTTTAGGCTTCCAAAAAACAACCTCCCCCACCTGGTTTTGATTGAGGATAGATTGTCTTATAGATATCCCATCTTAAATCCCATGTTTCAAAATGGGGGGGTTCTTGAGTTCTTGAGTCCCAGGGGATCGCGAGTTGTCACCATGGTTATTTCAATACTAAGTCACGGTCTGGTCATTCATGACTTGGATGATGAAATGGGTACCATAACTGAGAAAAGCCTCCATATGTTTCAACTGTTTTAACCTCCAATTTCCATCGAAGGATCGTTGCTTTCCCAACCCCCCGACGCTCCAGTTGCAGGGCCATGCGCTGCAAGCCCGCGGAACACCATTCAGCCGCCGCTTGGGCCTTGGCGTTCGGCCCATTGGCTGGTGAGATTCGAAAGGTTGGTAAACGTTTGGGCATCATGGGGGATATGTATATAATATATGTATATGTATATGACATTCTATAACTACTAGCTTTATATAAACCAACTTGTGGTTTTCACATGTTTTCATGATTCTTCAATTCCAGTTGCGGCAGGCTGTCAACAAAAGCTGGAGTGGATTCACCCGCAAAGAAACACCGATATGAAGCACCAAGAAAGAACGGATACCCTCTGGTTATGTCAAAATAGCTATTGAAAATGGCCATAGAAATAGTGGATTTTCCCATTAAAAATGGTGGATCTTTCCATAGTTACGTTAGTTTACCAGAGGGTACACCCAGCAAGAAAAATCGAGAAGAAACCATTGACACTTAAATAGTCTTTACCTACCAAAAATGACCATGATTTGTATGCATCCCCAAAAAATGGGAGCGCACAGATTATTTTCCAGAGCTACCCAGGGATCAAAGAACAGGTGTCACCACGTTTAGCTTCCCCGTTTTTCATCTTTTTCCAAGAGCTCAAGTTGGTTCAAACATGGAGAATACCCAAACATGCCCATGAAATGTGGGAGAATATGACGAGTAAGTCTGACACTGATGATGCTGAATCCAGGTCAGAGGACGGAGGGGTCAGCCCCTGCGAATACCTTGCTGAAGCAAGGGGGACTTCAGCTAGCAGAAGCTCTAGTGATTTAGTGCTTCTGTATGTAAAACTATAGAATAGATGGTATAATACCACCAATATTGGTACGCCACCACTATTGGTATATGATTAATACCATGATATTATACCATTTATATTAGATAAAATATACCATATTGGATCATATTGATTATTGATGATTATTGATGATTATTGATGATTATTGATGATTATTGATGATTATTGATGATTATTGATGATTATTGATGATTATTGATGATTATTGATGATTATTGATGATTATTGATGATTATTGATCATGAATTCTCCTCTCATTTAACGAGTTCTTCTCTACTTTGTCACCCGTGGTACCCAGCAATCGTCCATGCTGGGCTCACCAAACATCCTTGGCCTCCAAGAGGAGCTCCTCGGCTCGTTCTCGGAGGCTGGCTGCCTGGATACCAGCTGTGTGGCCAACGAAATCAAGGTCTTATCCCAAGTTATACTATGTTTAAATCATGGTAAACCCATCAAAAAATCCAAAGAATGCTCGAAATGTCAGTCTATGGCCAACATCAAACATTCCTCAAACTGGTAAAAAAAATGTCCGAGAACAAACCCATTCACATCCATACACCGAAGGTATGCAGTATACCCATTTTTGTTCGAAAAAAAGACCCAGTTTTTTTGGTGAAAGGCCCCACTTTCCTCAAATCCTCCTGCCTCCACAGCACTCAAAGGGCCCACGATGCCATCCAGGGGATCCTGGAGACACAGATCTGGAGAAAATGGGATGGATCCCAAGTCATTTGGGTAGGCACCCATGACTTTGGCAGATCCGAGAAACAGTCCAGAAATTGGTCACCCCAAGCTACCTGAAACATTGGTTGAAAGCCTCATTTGGGGGGATCATCAGCTCATCCAGATGCATTGCAATTCCCCATCTCCCTGCGCCTTGTTTTCGAAGCCTTTCAGGTCCTGGACCTCCTGGCGCCAAAAATATTTGGTAGCTCAACGTTGAGCGTTCCAATGTTGGGGTCATCCATTTTGACCCATACCTAATATTATGAATATAAATGACATATGTATAATATATATATATATATACGTATATGTATGTGTATATATATATACATGTATGTGTATATATATATATACATATATATATATACACATACATGTATATATATATATATACACACATACATATACGTATATATATATACATATACATGTGTATATATATATATACATAGAGAGAGAGACCCAAGAATTAGCTCCTTTTCTATTCACTATGACTTGGACGTTCTTTATCCTCCAGGTGTTGAAACAAAAAGAACTATAAGAAGTATACTGGAACACACTGTCTTGACAGCCATCATTGCTTGCCCTCAAAAAGGTTCGTTGGTTGAGATCCAACTGCTGCGAATCTGGTCTAATAGTCTAATCATGTCTAATCAAACACGGCTTACTGAAAAACTCCCCAGCTCGATCTTCCAAAGCTATAAATGATATAAATGATGCCATGGTTAAATACCATGGTTAATATATGGTTCATCTGTCTATTGACTTCGGGGATTTCCCAACCAGCCATAAAAACACAAAGGGTCCCAGGTCCTCGGCAGCTACGGTGACCTGGCTGTCAAGCTTGGAGCCGAAACTCGCTCTACTTTGGTTTTTCGTTCGAGGCTCAGCACGGCTACCCTCTGGTAAACCAACAAAAAACGATGGAAAATCACCATTTTCAATGGGAAAATCCACTATAAATGGCCATTTTAAATGGAAAATCACAATTTTCAATGGGAAAATCCACTATAAAATCTATAAATGGTCATTTTCAATAGCTTTTTTGACATAACCAGAGGCTACCTAGAAAAATGACAGGTCTATGGCTCAGCGCTTCTGGAGCTCACCCCTTAAATTGGCAGCCTCTTCTCCATTCTGAAAGCGCACGGGCACGGTGCTACCCGTACTGGCAGGGGCCTCAGCGCTATATCATTGGTGTTCAAAGAAACCCCAAAAGTGACTTTTCACCAACAGACATGGAGGTTGAACTGTTGAACCACTAAAAAACTCTAGATCTTTTGGCGAGAATTGAGGTTTTCACCAACGAAACTGATCAACAAATGCACCAACGTTTGTTCCGCTGTGGCTCCATATGAGCCTCTGACCGAACAACAATCAAGTTTTGACCACTGGGAATCGGGGTCTCAATCGCTGAAGATGTGGATGTTAAAAAAAAAACGCTAAAACACCACCCAGAAATGTGGGTAAGGCTTATCCCACAAGAGCGCGAAAACAACAAAAACTAAGCTCTTTCTTGATTGTGTTCCACTGAAAAATATAGGCTCAGCAGCATAGGGGAAACTGATGGATTTGCTGATTTATCTTTTCTAAAAATATCAAAGAAAAAAAACATCAAAAAAAAACTCCGAAAGGTCACTCCCGATGGCCACAGTTGGACGTTGCCCTATCCTAGGCACACCTCTTGAACACCAGGCCCCCGGCAGTGGCTCGCCGTGCTGCACCCTGGAGGGATGAAGGGGATCGGAGATGGAGGTGTCCAGCTATTGGTGTACCCCCATTTATGGAACACACCATATGTCAGTTCCCAAAAACAAAGTATACCTGCCTACATGTGCATGCATATATATATATATACACAGTATATATATATATATTTATATTTATTTATTTATTTATTTATTTATGTATTTATTTATTTATTTATATATAGTGTGTGTATATACAGTATATATATACATATACAACTTCAAAAATTCCCTTCATTCAAAGTTTGCCATGCAGCTGCCGCTGTCAAGTTGGCATCAGTGGAGCTTCCAATCTCGTGGAGAGCTCCCAACAAACCACCGGTAATGTTATGGATATTGATAACCAATGTCCAAACAAGGGTCAAGGACTCAAGAAAATTCTTGATTTTGTGGATAAACTTAGATCAATGACTCAATGACCAACTTCTAACCCACAATTTGAACATTTGAGCTCAATGGCGGTTTTCTTTCAGACTCAAACAAATGTAAAACAGTTAGAACAGAAAATCGCCTTGTGTCAACCAGGATCAACAACCCGCCAACTTATCAATAGGGACGGTTAAAAAATGATTACAGTATATATATATATATATATCATTGAATTTAAGCTATAAATAAATGGTACCCGTCCATATTGATAAACATCACTTGCCAGGAATGCCTCGTAGCGCACTCGCACACGGCGCCGCCCATCGGTACCTTAGTTCGAACTAGCAAACGCCAATCTGGGTTGTGCTATCCGAAACGTGGTTGGTTTAAGAGAAACTTTGTATACCGGGAAACCTTCACAAGCAGAAAAAAGACCTGGGATCCTGTCGAGTTTCCCTGAAACTCAATCGATAATAGATTACAAGAGATGGATATACCCGGTAATCAAACGTGGCTGGGAAATCCCCGAACTCAATGGAGGTTTCAAGCTGGGCCGATCCCACTCCCCATGGCGGCAAGGTGTAACTTCAGCGAGCGCAATGCTATGGTTGAAGCTTCAGAAGATCCTAAATTCATCCAAATTGCAGGCGTTTATACGTTCAAAAGTGGTGCCAAATGTAATTATGTGGTTTTGAGCGTTTTTCAAGTCTTGTGTTGGGTTTCAAATAGATTGTCTATTGTGCCTTGAACGGGTTTGTTGTGATTTCTTTGGCGATTTGCACCTTTGCGTCTGAGCCATGGCTGGTAGCACCCCTTGTCCAGCAGCTTGCCGGTCGAGGTCAGCAAAAGGCTATGGTGAACCCGAGGCCCATCATATAGTTTTGGCACACATGGCGCACTTTTGGATCTCTTGGTATCTTCGGGGTCTCAAAATGTGGTGTGCTCTGTCTCGAACTATGTTTATCTAGTTTTGAGCTTGCAACCTGAAAATATGTCATTGGCAAATATCCTTGCAAGCTTGAACCGGTACGGCCATCCCAACAGCTTCAACCGCTTAATCATGGCTGATGCTTGAGAGAAGCACAGAAACTTTCTGAAACTTTTGGGACCCTTTGGGACCCAATGACCGAAGTTCTGCTACCCCTGACATGGGCATTTTTTTTGGATAAATTTCAAGATCCTTTCAATTTGGGATCCATAAAATCTCCAGACATTTCATCGAGATTCAAGATCAATCAGGGACCTTCCGGTCATTGCTGCAGCGCCACCAGTGGCCTCGAAGAGATCCCACAAGGGGGGGATCGGGGTCCCCGTTGCTTTCTGGTTGCTTTGATTTATGGTAGTTGTAATGATATTATGGTAATGTAATGATAAAAACGGGTAATAATATGGTAATGCAATGGTAATGATCAAACTATGGTAATAAGCTTGTCATTATGATATTATGGTAATGTAATGGTAATGATGTGTAATAAATAATATGTAATAATAAAAATATGTAAAAAAAATGTGTAATAATAATGATTTATGATATATATATATATGATATATGAATTATTTAATTTACGAACAATTACTTACTGTCCAACAATGGCGTGATTTATGGCAAAGTTATGGTGCCCTCTGGCACTCAGTCACATGGCTTGCTGGAGATGTCCCCAGCTTCCACTGAGATGCCAAAAGTCGACCTGCTAATCTAACCTGGCTGCCCCATTGCTCAATAGGAAAATCTTCTATGAATATTAAATGGATGATCTTACGGCTAAACGTAATGGATGATCCAATCCATAATCCATTCTACCATTCCCTACGTTGAGCATCCGTGCCATCCAGCCCCCAAAAAACTTGGCCACCCCGACTCGTGAGTTTCTGTCCCGATTTCAGGTTCACCGGGGTGCGCAACGGAAAGTAAATGGGAAACCTTGGCCGAAGACAACGGCCCAAGGACGACCAGCATCGTCCTCTTCCAGTGGTTCATCATCGTTTGCTCGATTTCAACTGCGCCAACTGGGGGGTTACCCTCTGGTAAACTAACATAACTATGGAAAATCACCATTTTTCATGGGAAAATCCACTACAAATGGCCATTTTTAATAGCTACGTTAAATTACCAGAGGGTATCTCTCCCATTTTCGGACGCACCAAATTGACTGGTTGATGATGGCAGTCCTATTGGGGGGAACGACAGCCTGACGGAAACTTCTCACCTTGAGGTCGATGAGGGCCACTGGTCAAGCCCTTGGGGGCCATGTTACCCTGTTACCCTCTGGTAATCAGTCACATGGCCATATGAGAATCCATAAAATATCACCTATTTACAGTGGGTATTTTCCACTTATAAACCTCCTAGTTCGGGGGTGGTGTGCAACCAGCCATGGTTGATTCGAGATGATTCGAGTACATCATGGCTCGACATACCTTAGTCGTCTGAGTTTCCCTGCCATGAAAACATTCCTTCAGAGTAGCTCTCCGGATTGATGGACACACTTAATCCTGGCACCGTGTGGCACGAAGCGGACGCGCTAGACTTTCCAAACCCATCATGGCTCGAGGCTGACGCACCTGCATAGAGCTCGCAGTGGAAGTAGCCCGCGAAGCCATGAACCAGTGCATCCACCTGCGCACAGACATCTGCCTTGAGCTTTCCCATGTCCTGTGAAAATTAGGGATCCGTAAAATTGATGAAGTTGAAATCACAGTCTTCTCCCCCCCCCCAAAAAAAAAAGAGGAAAAGAAGGCGATTTGGGATGGCTAATGCCAAGTCTTGCACAAAGCAATATAGATTGCCCGTCACACGAGTATCATCCATCCCCTGCCTCAGAGGTAAACTCAATCTGTGCGTACCTGCCCGGCAGGGTTTATGAGACTGTTTTGAAGGGGTCACTGAGCAGAAGGGAAACCCAAAGGCTCTTGAAGTACAGGCCAAACATGTTTTCCCCTCTGGTAATTTAACATAGCTATGGATAATCACCATCTTTACTAACTTTCTTAGGTAAATGATCTGTAAATGGGTCGTTTGCCATCGCTATGTTGAATTACAAGAAGGTCATCTATGGCGCCGATGGCACTTTTGGGCCCAAAACGCTAGGGATTCGCCAGGTCGTGGGTTTTTTTTGTGGAAAATCCACCAGCAACAGTTAGTTCGATGATTTTCCCAACGAAAGCTGCATTCATAATATTTCATAATCATCTATTGAGGATGTTCAATTGCCATGTTTGCCAAGTGGGGTAACCCTTAAAATGTCCAAAAAAAACTAAAAAAACTCATCAACCCACTTCATCGTCGGCCCGGGTGATATGGCTATGGGTCCAAACCCTGGCATCCTAGCATTCATCACCCCATACTACTGTTAGGTGAGGCCCCCCAGTTATGTTTGTTGCTTCATTAACCCCATGAACTATAGCTACATCCCCCATTCATCAACCCAAACGTTAACCAAGTTATGTGCGAAAACTTCGCGTTTTCGTATACGGGGGCCTCAACTTGTAGGTTCTGACATGTCTCTGGGCTGAAAGGGTAGCTGCTACAAAGCTACACCTGGAACGCTTGGCGGCCCTGCCGATCATTGCTGGTCAACTCCCAATTGGGATGTGAAAACTCGAAGCACTTCCTGACAGCGGCCGCGTTTTCTTAGTGGCCCTTTTTTTTTCCGTTCGACAAAATGATTGCATACAGTAACTGGTTGGTGGTTTCAACCAACCCCACTGAAAAATGATGGAGTTCGTCAGTTGGGATGATGATGATTCCCAATATATGGAAAGTCATAATCCATTCCATGGTTCCAAACCACCAATCAGATCACCATCATATTCCCATTCTTGTTGGTTTATAGCCTATGAAAACCACATTTTTAACCATCACTATTAACCAACCAGATATATAAAGTTGGATAATAGGTTATTGTGGTTAACCATCACCTTCCTATGGATCACATTAACCATCACTATTAACCATCACTATTAACCAACCAGATATATAGATATTCATGTTCCAAACCACCCAGGTAAAGTTGGATGGAGGTGAATCGGGTTTTAACCAGCGCCAAAAGGCATGGCAGGTCTGATCAATGAACAGTCTGACTTCAGAGATTGTCGCGAAAAGGTAAAGGAAACAAATATCATTTGAGCATACTCTATATATATACATAATCATATATTTAATCATATATATATATAATCATATATGTATAGTCATATATACAATATATCTACAGTATATATATATACGATAGCATTACCTTGGTTTATGGACAACAAGTGACATATCAACGTATGAAACCAAGCTTCATTAATCTGGCCACAGATTCTGTGGTGGTGCCCCCTGCTCCACCCAATCACAGTCTGTCTACCAGGAAAGATAGATGAAAGAAGAAGTGAGAAAGATGGAGAAATGAGAGAGATCAGATGAGATGAGAAGGATTAATGATTAATCAAATGACATGTCGATGCACCGAAATGAAAGAGATAAGAGATGAGGAGGGCACCCTCAGAAGGTTGATGTTCCATAGATCTCCCAATTGCCGGATGAGTCACTCGCTGACTTTGGGGGTTCAAAGACAGCCGACATCATCGGTAAACCCCTGGCCCTGGGTGCTTCAAATTTGTTTGACTCGACTATTAAAATCACATAGCTGATCTTTTTTGCGGGGAGAAACCCAAAATTCATCAGAGTTAATTGATCCAGAATTGACACTATCAATCACCCATTAGCGCAGTGGCAAATCCATCAGGAAAAACGCTCGTGTCCAAAATCGGAGCTTCCCACAAAATGCTGGGCCTCATCGAAATTGGCTGAGTTTCCCTGTTCTAACTACTTACCCTCTGGTTATTTAACATAGCCTATAACAAATGATCCATAGAAATAGATGGTTTACCTATTACAAATGGTGATTTTCCATGGCTATGTTAGTCATAACCAGATGGTATATAGTACTTCAGCCACACATCCATAAATCCATCGGCCCCAATGAAATCAACCAATCACCGGGCCCCCTGGGAAGCCGGACTCGATCTGAGAAGTGGGGTAGAAGGCCTGGTGAAATTTCACCACATACCTCCAGGTCAGCCATGAAAATGACCGATGATTGGAAGGTCATGGACAAAGCAGCTTATATATGTATATGCTATGCTGGATGTAAAATTATATCCTAATCATTCTTAGATGGTTTCATAGTGTTATGTACCAATATCATCCAATATCCCCACATTCCATGGCTAATATCCCCCCATATCCCTATCACAAGAGTTGGGCAAATTACCCAGAAGAGCTTGGGATTAAACTTCAAAAACAACCAACGATGATGAGACGGGTGCCGATTCATTGGGATTGAGGCTGCTGGATCACATCACCAACACCTGCGTAGAGAGTAGGACTAGGATCAACGATTGAGGGTCTCATGATTCCTTCCGCTACTCCATGGTTCGGACAACGGGGATGTCTCAAAATTGGGTACCCACCCAAACCCCAAGTTTGCTCATGAGAATCTTCCCGCTGTTTCACCGGAGGAGTATCTATTTTGACCCGCTCTTGCCGAGGTCCCGCACGCAGTTTCAAAGTGAGCCAGGTCATTGTAATTTTTCACGTCGTTCCACAGCTTGTGCGTGGTCACCTCAGGGAGTACGGACTGCTGATCAATGTTTTAAAGACCCTTGGGAACTCCCGGAACCATGGATTTTACCATTTGCTTAACGTATGGGTTGATGAATGGGGGATATAACTATCGTATGCATGGGGCTTATAAACCAACAAACATAACTGGAGAGGGGCCTCACCTTTTAATGGGTCTGCTAAAAGCCGATTCCATTTTAGGGGCGTCAAAATTGACTGAGACCTTCAAGGATCCAAAAGGTGTTGCTGAAGGTTTTGAATGTCAAGATGTCAAGATGTCTACCAATTATGGGTTATTCAATCATAATAATATCATAATCCCCAATGAATTAGGTAGTATAGGTCCCTACAATAAGCAATACACCAAGCTATTTTTGGTTTCTCCATTGGTGGGGCGGCTTTTTCAACTGCCGAGTTCACGGCTGGCGTGAGAAAGGAGGTGTACTTCGATGGGATACACGCCTCAACACGGGAAGCAACGAAGCTTTGGGAGTTGGGGTTTAAACCTGCAGACATCGGGGGTTGTCAATCTGAAATAAGCTGGGCATTATGTGCATATATATATATATGTATATATATATATATATATGTGTGTGTGTAGCCAATTTACAACAAAGAACTCACTCCTGAATCTACCATAGACTATCCAACCAAGATTTACCGTTGGTTACGGAGGCTCTGAAACCCATTTTTCAGGTGCTTCCGTTGGCCCCATGCGAATCGTCTTGGTGGGGCTATAAAAGGGTATAAACATAGGGATTATATGGCCATTAGGCCATTAGTGTCATATGTTATAATATGTTCTAATCTATCCATTATAATCACCATCAAATGTCTTAAGCCACTCTTGCGTAGGGGTTGTTTAACCCATTTTCTCTTGACAAGTCGACTGGTTTCGACATGCCATGATTATCTGAGAGCCCCAGCACCATCAGGTTCAAGGAAACGCTGTGCCCCTGGTCGATCTTCCAGGGTCGTTTAGTGCTTGTTCCAATGAGGTCTGATCGAAGATAGTTGTGATGATCATCCGTTAGTAGGGGCCCATCATTGTCACTAAGAGAAGGTCGCGGTTACTAGCTTGGCCTGGCCTCGGGAAATAGCCCCTTCAAGGGGAGTTAAGTCTAAGGTGAGCCGGAGTCTTGAGTTGCTATGCAATTTGGTGGCAAGTTCCCGGGTCACAACATTTCCTACGTTCATCTGTTGCTCATTCTCTAAACTCCAACTCCCCCAACACTCCAAAGCAAACAGTTCTGCCATGACTCCCAAGTCAGGGTGACATGCCTGTGGCTCAAAGTGAGGGGGTCCCCGTGACTATCTGCATGGCAAAACCCATTCTAAACCATACCCTTTTGACCCCAAGGTCGAGTTTAGGGATGCTAAAAACCACAGACTCAAAAATGATGGGTCGTCCGTGGGTTTACCACTAGCCATATTGGAACCCAACCCACACTTTCAGATAATGAGTACTATGGCCATAAAATCTAAGAAAAGGAGATCATTTGTGACAACTTGGATTTGGGAAAAATAACCGTATTGGCATGTGTGCTTTCCTTGAACAAAAATCTCGCAGTCTAGACCGTTCGAGAAGATTTTTTTTCACCCCACATGATCATTACCCCATCTTGCCCACTGAAAATGACCGTTACCCCATATGACCCACATCTTTAGATCGTTTTGACCCAAAAAAAACACGTTCCACCCATCCATCGCCAGTGACCGCGCCGTCCAAGCACTCGGGGCTCAACTCGTTGTCTGCAAAGGAACCCAAGAGCTCTGAGACGATGAGATCCGCCTGGGGACGGTAATCCCATTCCCCAGAAACCGTGGTGGATGTAGGGGATTTATATATACATGCCTGGGACCATTCATATATGGGGTCATTAACTTTGGGATGAGAGTACTTGGGGTTGTTCTTTGGGATCTAAACACGTTCTCAAAATATATTTCGAGCACTAGGATTGGGACGTCCGCAAGCAAGGCAAAAAAAACACATGCAAGAAACTACCTATGGTCATCTACTGCCAGTGATTGTGTGGGAAAATCTACAGTTGAAACCATGTTCTTTACATTGTTTACCATCTTTCATAGTAGGTCCTATGGAAAAATCTAAAGTTTGATTGCCACAAAATCATCTGTTGAAGATAGTTTCTGACATTTTAAATTAGCATTTCTACCAAAAGTCCCAGTAGATTTCAAAATTCTGGTGGGTTAAACAATGGGGAAACATGAAATCCCTCAGCAAAATGCACGGTTTTGGCGGACGGAACCCACGTCTCCATCCTTGTTGGGGGTCCTTCTTCGGTTGGGTGCGACCGGCCTTTCGCGGAGCATCCCAAAAGCGCATGTCCTTCTCGATAACCTTTCCGAAACAGCCAGAGATGATACAGGCGGCTATGTTTTGGTACAGGACTAGGGTTTAATCCTTGCAACTGGGATATAATCAGGATATTTAGAGACATAGTCGGTATATACATTGGCTATATGGTTTGGTTTGGTTTGGCTTGGTTTGGCTTGGTTTGGTTTGGTGGTAAGCACCAATAGGTGAGACCGGGCCCGCACTTCCCCCGCGGCCGGGGCTTGGGGTTCAAGTCGGCCATCTAGAACTAATGCAGCCAAGACGCAGCGAGAAGAAAAGAGAACCAAAAACAACAGAAGGGCCGAGCAACATGTGAAGCGCCACGAGCAACACTGTGAAGCGCCATGCCAGCGCAGAAAGAAACATGAGACAGAGAAAGAAGACATGGAGGTACCGCAAAGAGGCCAGGGGGGAGGACTGGTGGAGAGCAACCAAGCGCAAAGAAGATTGGCGAACAAGAAAGAGGAGGAAACGGGAAGGGCGCACCGGACTCGGGGTCAAAGGCGGCCAAGGCAAACCCAAACAGCAAAGAACCTAAGCAAGAAGGATAGCGAGGGAATATATGGAAAGGCCATTGGTCCTGAAAAAGGCACCACTATCATTAGGGCGCATACGGCGGGCAGGAAATGCATAGCTATCTACAAATTATCTACAGCCTTGCTGCTGAGGTGCAACCCCACACACACCTGGACAGTTTCTCCGAAGCTGGTGAGAAGATGGCGAAAGATGACAATCAACTTGACACATGGTTTGGAAGCGCAGGGTACTGAATGGGCTCTGTGGAGCAATGACAAGATTGCTGGCGCTTCGTTGGACGCATGGCCAGGAAAGCATCATAGAAGAGCACTGCGAAGAACAAAGCGGGGCCAAAAGAGCCACACCGCGGCCAGCAAAAACGAAGCACAACAAGAAAGAGCAGAGGAGTGTTGGACTTAAAGCCGGGGCCTGAAGGGCCACGCTGCGGCCAGCAACAAAGAACACGACAAGAGTGAAGGGCATTCTAGGGCCACTCAGATGAGGTTTACGTTCCCCAGTCCATACAAAAGTTTGCTTTGGATTCTAGCCTCATACACTTAAAAAATTCCATGCCAGGGAAAAATGTGCCGCTCTCCAAAAAGTACTGAGTTTCTACCAGGTTTGCATGACTTGCTGAAATTTCAAGCTGACTTCTTGTCCGATATTCATGGACTGTGACAAATGAGGGCCCAAGAAAGCGGTTTCCGTTGTCCTGTAATTTGACACCATCCGTGGAATTTGACTTGGTGATTCCCATTCATGGCTATAAAGCAACACGTTCCTCTTTTCAAACGGAGGCCGTATTGCATAGACACTTTTTCTATTTCTTTCAAAAGTCTGTTCAAAAGTCTTATAATATCTGGATATCTGGATGCTATCGTATGATGTAATATGCGGATATATGGGTAGAGTCATGGGATTCTAACCTCCATAATTTATGATAAGTTTTTAATATGCAGGAAGTATAAACATAAACTTATACAGTAACTGGAATTGCACCATCAAGGAGGTATTTGATAGATCTTGATAGTACAATGTAATTACTGTTGATGGGGCCTCTTTTTGGAAACCCCCAACAAGGGAAACCAGATTTTTAAAAAAGGAACACTCTTCACCATGGTTTTTCCCAACACCCCAGATACAAGGGATCGAAATGGGTGGGCAAAGAGAGTATCTCAAATGAGTTGGAGCAAACCCTATATAGTTTGACTTAACCGGCAGAAACTCGTAAGATTGTCCCAGAAATGAAACAGTAGGACTGACCTCAACCTTGTCCTCCCTCGAAAACAAATAACTCCAATGATCAAAACAAAACACGGATGGCCAGAAGCTGCTGTACCTCCACATTCCTCCAATCCTCGACCACACAGCGATGCCTGACACGCGAGCAGCATCTGGTTGAATGGAGAAAAGGGTGGCTGATTGACCTACAAACTGATCATGGCACTTACATAGTTTCTTCTGTGAAAAGTTTGGCCATGAAAAATGGGATAGTTATATATATATATTACATGTTGTATAAACCTGAACCACTGGAAAGTGGGGCAATGCCAACAGATGGCACGGAGGTTGAAGCCAGGCTGGTTCGGATATCGCACCTCAAGGTCACCACTGCGTTGGGATTCTTCTCGACAGCCCAAATCTTCACATCAGCACCTACAAAGGATCGCCTGGATTTTGGGGGATCCCGTGAAGGTCATTGGTATTTTATTTTGGGGTGCTTTGGTTGGTTTTGTGTGTCTGAAAATCGACACGATCCGCGATCCCCAAGAAAATCGGCAAGTTCATTCAACTCAACTTGTTTTTTGATGTGTATAGTGTGTGTATATATATACATATATATATAGTAATTTGTACATCTATATATATATATTATATATATGTATAATTATATATATACATGTATATTCAGCCATATTTGGGATGATGATCCCTGGTGACTGATCACCCAAAAGGAACCCATCCGCCTGCACGTACCGCAGCGCTTCGGACCTGGCCGAAGCATGCCGAGACGCGACCGCCAGGAGATGGTGGTCTCGATAGGTACCTTTTTTTAATGTGTAACTACCATCATATATAGTTAGATTAATAGTGATTATATCATTAATCTATATAACTATTAATACCTATATCATTAATAGTGTTCATTTTTTAAATACCTATATCTTAAGTCTCGTAAAAATATTTTTGTTATCTAGCGTACGTGTAATGACGAGTGACATGAACGGGGGTATGAACGTGTGTGTGAACGACATGCGTGCGAGTGAACGTACGTGCGAACGTATGTATGTACGAGTGAGCGAACGTGTGAGCGTACGTCCGTGCGTTTGCACGGTCACTCGCCACGCGCGCGCGCACGTACGAAAATAAGGTCGACTTGAGTCGACCTTATTTTTGCACGACCCTGCCTCTTTAGTATTGATTTAGTATTGTAGCGCTTTGCACGTACAGAAATAAGGTCGACTCCAGTCGACCTTATTTTCGTACGTGCCTGCGCACGCGGCCAGTGAACGTGCAAACGCACGCACGTACGCGCACACGTCCGTCCACTTGTACGCACACGTCCGTTCACTCGTTCGCTCACACGTGCACTCGTCCGTTCACTCGTTCGCCTTACGTTCGTCACCACGTCCGTTAGCCACTCGTACCCCATACGTTCACCGCGTCTCTTGGAGCTTTAAAAGCATTGTTTACGAGGCTTTAAAAAAAGCTAGAATTCATCAGAATTAATAGTTATTAATCATAACATTCGCCCACAATTACCCACAACTGCCCACAATTGCCCACAAGAGTTTTCTGTAAATCAATGTTCGATGCTATACTGGTTGGTGGTATACCTACCCCTCTGAAAAATATGAAAGTCAGTTGGGATGATGACATTCCCAACTGAATGGAAAGTCATAAAAATCATGTTCCAAACCACCAACCAGCTATAATATAGTAAATATGGATTGTAAATGTGAGTAACAATCATATATTGTTAGTAAATCATATATTGTTAGAATAGGATCGATGTTTACTAAGAATGAATAGTTGCCACAATATATCATGTTGTCGTAAATGGTGAATCTATGTAAATATACTAGGTACATTGTTGGAATAGTATTGAAATGTATTGAATATACTCTGACCACCCGGCTGCATTTCATTTATTGTCAACTTAGAATGTTATAGAATAAATACATCCAATATATTCCAATACATTGAAGATTCCAAACAAATATAGTGTTAGGATTTATTGAAAGAGTGAATAGACATATTAATCCAATCCCATCGAAGCCGGTCATGTTGATCATGTTGCAGCCCAGGAGTTCAGGCAATTGCTTACCCTGATTAAGTCCCCTGGCTTGCCATACTTGTCACACTTACCAAGTACTACGATTTGTTCTGACTCATACTAAATTAGATATCCCATTCAATTCATTGATATATAATGGTGTATATATATATATATCATTATTATTATGACTATTATTGTTTATTACTATTAATTATTTATTATTATTATTATTATTGTATACTCTTATATGAAAAGAAACATCTTTGCTCATCAAACCCCCAGAAATATGCGAGATGTCGTTTCCAACTTCGGCCCCATCCTGGGACCCCCCCACTGCGACCACCAGCGGCCCTCGTCCGGCTCCAACAACCATGGCCTCAGTTGTTGCCACGGCCCAAAGCTGGGGATTCAACCAGCAAAAATGTGCATTAGATCAGCAGAAATGGATAGAAATGGGGGTTCAACCGGCAAAAACGTTCAAATTCAACCAGCAAAAAATTGGATTCGAGGAGTAAAAAACGGGGACAATGGGATTTAGAACCAGCTGCAAATGTGGATTTGACCAACAGTGTCATGATCTACACAAACTACATCATGAATCGGTTCAGGGCATTCAACCCGCACAGAGAATCGAAACTTCATCCACACGACGAGATCCCCGGCGACCAGCTGCTTTTTGCCAGCTGCCAGTTTGTCCTGCTGGATTCTTGGTGACAAAATCCCATGAAGTGAACAGCTGAGAAAACCAAGGGTTAGCCATGGGGGGGTCGTTTTGAATGGGGGTAGCCATGGGTTATCTTTATTTAAGAAAAACAACCCAATAGCTGGATGGTTTATTTCTATAAATTGTTTATGAATTATCCATTTTCCATGGGTTTTTACATGAACCATCCAGCTATTGGGGTATCCCGGTATGCCCATTTCCCATAGGTCCTGCAAACATCTGTGGATCGCTTCCTCGTACTGCACGTACCTGCCAGGAGGTTTCAAGGCTACAATGAGCAGTGGGGGAACCCGCTTGACCCGGTTGACATTAATGATTTCAGTGAAACTCTGTGATTTTCTGTGCCCTTTCTAGATCTTTCTAGTACACCAAAGGTCTCTGGATGGATAGGGCATAGTTTTTTCGTACCATCTACCCTCTGGTAAACTAACATAGCTATGGAAAATCACTATTTTTAGTGGGTAAATCCACTATAAATGGCCATTTTCAATAGCTATGTTAGTTTACCAGAGGGTACATGTTCGATACTGCAGCTTAGTGTAGATATCCCAGTAACTTTCAGACTTCGTGTCCCATTGACGGGACCAAGTCGCCGAGATTGTTTGGCGTTTGGCGTTTTTCTGAGGCCACCTGCTATGGCCCAAACAAGTTGTGTTATCACCCCCGCAAAAAGTAATACCATCTGGTTATTTAACATAGCCATGGAAAATCCCTCATAAATGGAGGTTTTAATGGGAAAATCATCTATAAACAAATAAACACATAAATAAATAAATAAATACAGTAAAATCAATGTTGATGAATTTGGTTCCATTGGTACCTCCAAGAAAATTGCATGGTCTGAGACCCGAAATGGGTTTGTCTGAAACTAGAGTACCCCAAACTCATCTGGTTTATCATCGGTTTCCCTTCCTAGCCATTTTGGGATATACAAAAAAATGACTAGCCTCTCCAGCAATCAGTCACATGGTTTGCTGGATCCCCCATAGGTCGAGAATCCCATGAAAATCCCCAATCAATCCCCATCGGTTGATTGATATGATGGGCGAGGCAGATCGCAGATCACTTCACGGGATCTTTCTCAAAGGTCTCGTACCTGGAAAAACCCATGGGAAAGTCGGTATCCCAAAGTCGGTCCGTATGGTGGAAAAAAATCTCGAAAACCATGGGTTTTCTATCATGAAAATATGGGGGAAAATGTCAGATTCAGATCCTCAAGTTCGGTATTTATGTGTATTTAGGAAAGAAGTGGGGGGGAAACCCTGGTGTTTGAATGGTTTTTAATGTGTTCTTCACCATCAACTTTGGGATTTTCCCGGAGATTTCTCTTAGCCAACTAGAGAAAATGCTTGGAAACGGCTGGATGTTCCTGGAAATCCACCCAAGTCCACATCACCAGTGGCCACAGAGCTCCACATCCCCAGGTCTCCGCACGTCTGAGATTCCAGATTATCCTGCAGGGGTTGCAGAGGTGCCTGCAGGTAGTCGTGGTACCTGGACACCGCGATGGGGCCCTGGGGGTCCATGGTTCAAAAGAAAACAAAATGGTTTGTCTGAAAATTGGGTACCCCAAAGTTTTGATGGTTTATCATCCCAGTTTTCCCTGCTATTTGGGGGTATACTCCGCCAAAAAGTGGAAGGGTTGGTACGAATCTTCCAGAAAACTCTAGCCTCTGGAACTGCCAAAAAGTTGCCAATAGAGAAGCCCCAGTGTTAGATGTTGATCTTTACAGGGAGTGCAAAGAGACTTGGGGGTGCACACGGTGCAGTTCCAACTAAGTGAGTGGATGCCCCATATCCCAACCGATGGGGCTGCCATGGTTCAAGTCATCCCTACTGGGCTCCCAGGCGGTTGTTCAAACGTTTCCTGCGCCGTGGGCGCGGGACGCGATTGGAAGAGCCGTGCCACGTAGTGCAGGTACCTGGCAGGGTGGAAGCGAATGTCAAGTAGGTAAATCCAAAAGAACCTTTTGAGGGGCAAATAAATAAACAAAAGTGTTGAGGGATCAATAAATACAGTACACAAACATTTTAATGTTGATAGATTTGGGTTCAAAAAATGCGGCTGTCACTTGGAGCTCCGTTCTGGGGCCCTAGGCTTTGTCGTTCTGGGGCACTTCTCCGTCTCCGTCTCTTTGACGTTCTCAGGGAGGCCCTGCAGAATCACCTGAACTTTGTTCCTGGCATCGGTGAGAAACCACGCCGCACAAGAAGTTGGGATGCACCCAAACCATCCCAAACCATCAAACATTGGGTTTTCTCCAAGTTGACACATCATGAAATGATGACCTTGAGGGGTCTGTTTTTGTTGACATACCTGGTAGGAATCATGCAAACCAGAGATGCGGATGCCACAGGAAATCAGGGGGCACCTATACCGGCCACGTCAGAAGGTATATCCCGAGTTTCCCAGTCATGACGGAAAAAAAACTTCACCACAAATCACCTCCTAAAAGCACATGTGAACTCAGCTAGGTGAAGATTGGGATGACATGCTGACCCAACAATATTGGCAGCCGCTGGCGCCGCTCCTAAAGAGTTGCATCAAGAAAGCCTTGTGTCTCTTCGAAAGGACCTCACAGCAGGTTGCAGCTGAAAGCGACCCCAGGAAGGCCGCAGCCGCGGCCAAAGAAAGAGGTGGATGACCATGACAATGATAAAAACAAGATAGTCAAAAGAGGGAGAAACCAAAGGCGGACCAGGGAGGAGTCGAACCTCCAAATTCTGCTGGAAATGTCAAAGCTGACATCAAGAAGCAACGCCACACCCATAAGGCCACTGGTCCTGCTCATTGTCATGATGAAGTTTCCTACTTGTAAGTCTGTGCAAGAAGGAAAGAGGAAGAAAGAAGAAGAGGAAGAGGAAGGAATAAAGCAAGAAAAACATGTCAAAAAGACAAGAATACATACATACCTACCAACCTACATACCCATCCATATATACGCACATACGCACATACGCACATACGTAACATTACATTACATTACATTACATTGCATTGCATTGCATTGCATTACATTACATTATGTACATTGCATACATGCATGCATACACATACGCATACACATACGCATACACATACGCATACACATACACATACACACACATACACACATACACATACACACATACACATACACAGACACAGACACAGACACATACACATACAATACATTACATTACATTCCATTGCATTGCATTGCATTACATTACATTGCATTACATACATAAATACACACACATACACACACATACACACACATACACACACATACATACACACACATACATATATACACATACATATATACATACACATATATACATACATGCATACATACATGCATACATACGTGCACACATACATGAATACATACATGAATACATACATGAATACATACATGCATACGTACATGCACACATACATGAATACATACACGAATACATACATGCATGCATACATGCATATATACGTTACATGCATACATACATGCATACATATACATACGTATACATACGTATACATACGTATACATACGTATACATACGTATACATACGTATACATACGTATACATACGTATACATACGTACATACGTACATATACATACATATCATATACATACATATCATATACATACATATACATACATACACATACACATACAGACATATACATACAGATACATACAGATACATACAGATACATACAGATATACAGATACATACAGATATATACAGATACATACAGATACAGACAGATACATACAGATATACATACAGATATACTTACAGATATACATACAGATACACATACAGATACATACAGATACATACAGATACACCTACAGATATACATACAGATACACATACACATACAGATACACATACACATACAGATACACATACACATACACATACAGAGACACATACACATACACATATACATACAGATACACATACACATACAGATACACATACACATAGAGATACACATACACATACAGATACACATACACATACAGATGCACATACAGATACAGATACACATACACATACAGATGCACATACAGATACAGATACACATACACATAGAGATACACATACACATACAGATGCACATACACATACAGATGCACATACACATACAGATGCACATACAGATACAGATACAGATACACATACAGATACAGATACACATACAGATACACATACAGATACAGATACACATACAGATACAGATACACATACAGATACAGATACAGATACACATACAGATACAGATACACATACAGATACACATACAGATACAGATACACATACAGATACAGATACAGATACACATACAGATACAGATACACATACAGATACACATACAGATACAGATACACATACAGATACAGATACACATACAGATACACATACAGATACAGATACACATACAGATACAGATACACATACAGATACACCTAAATGGATTAAAGTGGACCAATAATGTGCAGGTGTCATAGATTTGAAGGATAAGGATGTGATACAGCCAACAATAACAGGCACAACATGGACAACTGACAACAACTGTGTTACCACCATTTGACATGCGTGGTCCAAGGTCTTGCCATGTGGCTCCACCTGTCTCATCCTCATCTGATTGGTGGTTGAGCCCTACCCCTCTGAAAAATATGAGTCAGTTGGGATGATCATTATGATATTCCCCAACTGAATGGAAAGTCTGACTTTCCATTCCATGGTTCCAGTCACCACCAGCCAGTCATGTAAAAAACCCACGGAAACCCCAGCCCATCACATCCACAGCACGCCCGGGCCCCGGCCGGAAAGCCCTGCTTGTTGGTGAGGAAGGCGTCCGAGGGGATGATCACGGAGCGCACTGCCGGGAACAGATGAGATATAGCTACCTTGATATATAGCACCATGAATCTAATAGATAAAAAAATATAATTGAATGATAGATAAATACATCTACAGTTAGGTTATCTATATAAAATCTACCCTATCCCTGGTTTGATTTCTGGGAAAATCCATGGGAATATATATATATATATGGAAAATACCTTCTGGGAATAGCTGACATATCTATTGAAAATGGTGATTTTTGTTCGTGATTTTACCCATTGATAGCATGGTGATTTTCCAGTTCGTCATGTAAACGTCTACCAGAGGGTAAACCTTGATATAAAAGACCTCCGAACTTGCACAAATCATGGATTTGGGCACATGTTGGGGTCTGGTACTTGCTCTGCTTCTGCTATTTGAAATGAGAAAATATCTGTGGGCCACTCCAACTTGGACTTAGACTCCAAGTGACACACCCTGCTCTTTTCCAAGTCCTATTGATTTCAGGGTTCCCACCTTGACACAGTCACCAAGGGTGGGCCATCCTGCCTGGTTCCCCAAGCCATCTCATGAGTTCTTGATCCGTTTCCGGCAGATCGGCAGAGAACTCCAGACACACCTGAAGACAACTGGGTGTGCGACGTGGCTCCCTCGCGAATGCAGAGACTCATGGCATAAGAATGATGGTTTACGTCATGCCAACTGAAGACAGCATGATGTCTCAGCCATTTGGGTTCCTATGGTCGAAGGCTTCCAAGGTCATAGGATTGGGTTCAGCAAAATCTGGAGCTGACAATTAGTAAACCGAAAGGTCACTTGAAATTCACCAAGGCAACTTGCCATCTCGTCGATCAGGTTTGTGGAAAATTGGGTGTATCTCAATGGATAGGTTCAAGGAAAGGGTTGCGCTTGAAACCATGATCGTTGCATATCGTTGCCCTACATTCTTGGGGTCCTGTAGATGTGCCTTTCAGCCAATTCTGGAAGTATCGTTTTCTTGCTGAACCGCCACACTAAGAGTGACCGGTGACCAGAAGCTTCACTCGCACATTGGCGAGCTATGGATCGGTTGGTTCAGGGTGGCATGGCAGAAATTGTAAAGGAAATGCAGTTTGGGTGACCCAATCACAATGAAATTAGTGTCTAACAGTAGAGACATAATCAAGTTATATATTTGGATCAGTTGTCACATGATGTGCTGATTCATATCCCATGACTTACAAACAAGATGCTTCATCAATGGGCTGTCGGCACTCGAGGCCCAGCGTGGTGCGTCAACATCGTCAAGCACTCTTCGCAGACCGGTGCGGCGCTGGCCAAGAAGATTGGAAAAAGGGTTACGTCCTACCATAAACTGCATAAGATTGAAATACTTCCGAACATATCCATCACTCATTCCAAAAAATGATTGCACCCCAGTCGATGGTAGGTGTGGTGGAAGAGCCGTGCACGAAGACGACCTTCATAGCTTGATGAGTCACTTGTCGGTCCAGGCCCAGTCCAAGGGCCCTTCAAGACTCCAGCCAACATCGGATTCAGAAAGTCCTCTCCTGCCAAGCTCTTTCTTCAGCATCTCTGCAAAATGGGTGAAGCGATTGGTTGAATCCAGCAGCTGGTAGGAGCCGTACAAAGCACAAAGACCCCAGTCCTTGAGTGATGAAATGGTCTTTCGGTTCTCAAAACGGTTGGCAACTGCGGACAGGAGCCCATCATTGTGAAGTCCTACCTTCGCACAGGCCCAAACAACAGTAGGGACATCAAGTAGTAAGTCAAGTCCGCTCAACTTTGGAAGCAGCTTGACAATCCGTGAAGCAGCCACTTCTACGAAAGCATGGTTGCTTGCAGTCCCATCTACAAGGATAGATCTGACTCTGGGAACTGACTCTTGCAGTGGGACCAGGGCCACCAGGCTATTGGCGAGGTGTTGTGGGCTCATGTCCTTTGCGTTGTCGGGAATCTGCTCCACAATCGCAGGCACCACGTCCAGCACGTCAGGTGCATCATCCTTCAAGTTTGCAGCTGCCCATAGAATGCTAGACAGTTCTTGCGGCTTCAAACCTTCTGCCTTCACAGAGATCTGTGCGACAATGACGGGCACTAGGTCAAGCACTTCAGATACGTCATCTTTCATTTTTGCTGATGCACACAGGATGTTGGACAGTTCTTGCGGATTCAAACCTTCTGCCTTCACTTGGATCTGTGCGACAATCGCAGGTATCGAAACCAGCACGTCAAGTGCATCATCCTTCAATTTTGCTGATGCCCACAGGACATTGGACAGCTCTTGAGGGATCATATCTTTGGCCTTGTCTGGGACCTGCGCCACAATCGCAGTCACCGCGTCCAGCACGTCAGGTGCATCATCCTTCAATTTTGCCGTCGCCCAAAGGATGTTGGACAAGTGTTGCGGCTTCATGTCTTGGGCCTTGACTGGGATCCGTGCGACAATTGCCCGCACTACATCCAGCACATCAGATCCTTGATCCTTCAAGTTTGCTGACGCCCACAATATGTTGGACAAGTGTTGCGGGATCATATCTTTGGCTTGGACCAGGATTTGAGCGGCAATAGCAGGCAGCATGTCAAGCACATGAATTGTGTCGTCCTTGAGCTTTGCAGCTGCCCACAGGATGTTCGAAAGTTCTTGCGGCTTCATATCTTTGGCCTTCACTGAGATCTGTTCCACGATGGCGGGCACCACGCCCAGCACATCGGGTGCAGAATCCTTCAAGTTTGCCGTTGCCCAAAGAATGTTGGACAAGTGTTGCCCAATCATATCTTTGGTCTTATAGGGAATTTGTGCTACAATTGCTGGCACCGCATCCACGACGTCAGGTGTATCATCCTTCAATTTGGCGAATGCCAAAAAAATGTTGGATAGCTCTTGCGGCTTCATGTCTTTGGCCTTGACCAGGATACGTGGCACAATCACCTGAACCAGTAAGAGCACCTCAGATGCATTGTCCTTCAAGTTTGCTGTTGCCCAGAGTATATTTGACAACCCTTGTGCATTCAAGCCTTTCGCCTGGAGCTTGATCTGTTCCACGACCATCGGCAGCATATTCAGCATATTTGGAAATTCATGAAGTAGATATGCAAAGCTCCAGAGGACATTAGCAAGTGCTTGCTCATTCAGCCGGCCTTCACCAATCATCTCTTGGACTCGTGCATTGAGCTTGGCCAACTTCAGATTGTCCGCCGCCTTCACCAGTTTCCCTGACCGCTTCCAGGTGGCTAATCGATGATAGGCACATGAGGCGTGGAAGTAGTTGAAGATGGGTCCATCCACAGCTGCGTTCAAAATCGTCACAAACTCTTCAAAGGATTCTGCGTCCTTTAAGCTGGCTGTCAACTTTCTGGCAGCATCTTTGCCTGGAACTCTTCCTCGCTTTAAGGAAGGTCTCTTTCCACTACTCCTTTCTCTCACCTGCATCGGAATCCTGGTGGCCTTTGACCCACCCCAGCTGGCACCCTGCACATAGCCGACATCTTCACAGGTCGCAAGGTGAGCCGCTGCCAAAGTCAGCAGCCACAAAACCACTTGAGCACCACGGGCAACTCGGTGCCTTTTTCTATGGGCGCTTGACGCGGCTGCCATGATGGAGCACGAGATCAACAATGTGAAGACTGCTGTGTTTTGCAAGTACCGAAAAAGGGTACGGTCCCTTTCTTGCTCTTCTTGGTTGTTTTTGCTGCAAAACCAACAACAGCCTGATGTGAAAAAATGACTGGGAATTTCTTGACTGAACTTCTTGTCAGTGGCGGGGCTAGAAAGAGTGAATGCAAATCAACATCAGAAAGCAGACCTTACTGTGATTGCAGCTGCAAGGTAAAAGGGATCTGTGGATCTGTATTTGTGAACGAACAGGATGGGCCAGAATACGGCTATGGATCACTTCACCCGATCCATACCTTTGAGAATTGACATCAGTTCGTAGCTGTTAGTTATGGATCATAGCTTTGACTCATCCCCGTGTCAATCTTCACGCGACATTCTTTTGAAACCAATGTCCACGTCGGAGTGCTCTTCTTAAGATTGGTGACTCGGCTGCAATCCCATCTATACACTGTGATCATAATAACCCCCTTCTGTGGCTATATGAGACCCCTAGAAATGAAGACATGCACTACATTCTGGGCTGCTTGTGTCATTCACAATAGTGCTGCCCAAGATTAGTAGCTATAATCAGCTGTAAGTTAAGATTTCATGTTTCCATCCCTATCCAGTCATCTTCACACTACCACTGGTTGGTGGTTGAGCCCTACCCCTCTGAAAAATATGCTCAAGTCACTTGGGATGTTATTCCATTCCCAATATCTGGAAAGTCAGTCAAAAAAATCCATGGTTCCAGTCACCACCAACCAGATATATTGTTATTCCAATTATCATCCATGCAGTTGGATATTCCAATTATTAACCATTATTAACAATCATAGATTAACCATAGATTAACCATAGATTAACCATAGACTAACCATAGATTAACCATAGATTAACCATAGATTAACCATAGATTAACCATAGATTAACCACCGACCACTACCAGTACCAGCTGAAGAATTCGCACCTGCAGCCGTGGATTCTGATCGCACAGCAAGCGCAGCTGGTTCCAAGAGTTCCAACCATCCACCTGCGGGCGAAGGCGCTGAGTTTTTGCTGAGTTTGTGCTGGGGAAAAATATGGCAAAACCATGGGAAAATGTGGTGAAACCATGAAAAAATAGGGTAAAAACATGGAAAAACCATGCAAAACCATGGAAAAAATGAAAATCGACCTCAAAATCAAAGACTTGTTGGAAAATCTTCTGACAAAAACTTTGATGGCTTTCCAATTTTGTCAAAAGGGATTTCAGCCTGATCAAAAAAAATGGGGAAGACCACAAAACATATCTTTGGTCTTTGGTTCTCGTGAAATCAGAAAAGAACTTGCCACTCATGTTGAGATTCCGCAATGGATCAGAGATGTCAAGACCTACGCCATTAGCCTGGACATTCTGCCCACAACTTAGGGCTACCTGGCTACCAAGGAATGTGGTGAAACCAATCGCCTCCATTTGGGGAGTGAAACACAGCCCTCATTTCTGGTACCTGTTGGCCCGTTGGGGATGGTTTATGGAGGGTGTCCCACATGGTAGGGTAAAAAATCCCGGCAAGTATAGCTGGTTCCAGATCTGATCTCTCGGGTTTACGATGTTGCTTTTGGATATAAACCATAGATGTACCCCATTTCATCTTCAACCCTATTGAAGGTTTTATACTATATAGATCCACTACTAAACAAGGATTTCTTCTGGGGGGTACTAACATTGGGAGGGAGGGATTATCAAAACTCACTAGCCATTTATGGATTCCATCATGCCGTTTTACTATTAACTATTTCATGGATCATGGTTATGATAATCCCCAAATAACACGAACGGTCCATTAATAACTTCCAAATGCATCATCAACCACCATCACCTATCACTTACCATTACAAAAAAAAATATTCGTTGGATAAACCATGTTAAACCCCCAACCAAAAACCCGGTTGGAAGAAATGGTGAAAACCAACTTCCACCCCTGCCACCCCCCGTCCTCCACACCATCCTCTTGGCGTAGCAATGGAATACGCACCATCAGCTGAGTGGTGCAAATGCCTGCGCTGCTGGGACTGGGGATGGGGGTTACAACGGTGATATGATGGGGATAGTCTATGGGAGATATCACAAATGGGGGTATATATCATGGGATATAATTGGTGTAACAGTGTATAATATTGTATAATGGTGATGAGTGTCGCTCAAAACGGATTCACCATGAAAAAATGGTGATTGATGCGGGTGCGGATTAAACGGGGCGTATCACCAACTATCTCCAATTTGGTATCTCTGACTGGGGGATTGACACCAATTTATGGCCAGCGTCACAGGAAAAATCATGAGGAGGGGAGTGGATTTGGAGACTCTATTCTTTGGACAACAATTGATTGATTCCAGGGAACTTCCACAGAAAAACCATGTGTTTTGTACCAACAATATGCCCAGGGTTGTCTTGTTTTTTCCTTGAATCGATTCTGGGAGGGACCTTAGCCTGGAGCCTTGGAAATACTGGCTAAGAAAGGAGGTCCTTCATTATGAGAATCGCCAATCTAAAGGGTAGCAGAACTCCCGGAAAAATCATCAAGCAACGGGGGTTGATAAAAGCCACAACCCCCAAGTCCAAATCCTGTCCCATGAAACACCAGTATGGCCCACAGCCCAGGCACTGCTAAGCCCAATCCGACTCAACCTAGGAGCGGATGAGGAGAGGAAAATCAGTTTTTCCCCTGTTTAATCAACATCCCTCCAGACACCCTGGACCCTGGTTGAATGTGTAAAGTATGTGTATATATATATAGAGTATGTGTATATATATAGTATGTATATATATATATGTAGTATGTATATATCTATATATATAGTATGTATATATATAGAGTATGTGTATATATATATAGTATGTATATATATATATGTAGTATGTATATATATATAGTATGTGTATATATGTATATATATATAGAGTATGTGTATATATATATAGTATGTATATATATATGTAGTATGTATATATATAGTATATACATATATAGTATGTGTATATATATAGTATGTATATATAATATGTATATACATATATATATAGTATGTATATATAATATGTATATATATAGTATGTGTATATATAGTATGTATATATATATATTTAGTATGTATGTATATATATAGTATGTACATATATATAGTATGTATATATACATATATAGTATGTATATACTGTATATATATAGTATGTATATACTGTATATATATAGTATGTATATACTGTATATATATATATAGTATTTATATATATAGTATGTATATATATAGTATGTATATATATATGTAGTATGTATATATATAGTATGTATATATATAGTATGTATATATATAGTATGTATATATATATAGTATGTACAAAAATATATAGTATGTATATATATATAATATGAATATATATATAGTATGTATATATATATAGTATGTATATATATAGTATGTATGTATATATATAGTATGTGTATATATATGTATGTATATATATATAGTATGTATATACTGTATATATATATAGTATGTATATGTATGTATATATTTGTGTATGTGTAAGCCCCAAAAAATAGAAAAGAAAAGTCCTCCTATAGTGACAATATGTTTTAATAGGGATCAAACCTCCAGGACCCCCGACGCAGCGGCGTAGAGCTCGCACTGGCTGGTCGGCGGCGGAAGGACGATGCCTCAAAACATGGCTAAAATATGGGCACAAGATGCGTAAAACTGGAAAAATGCGGGAAATATATAGGTAAAAAGTACTGAAATTATATACTGACATAGTTATTGAATGGGATATTCATGATACTAATTTATGGGATATAACGAGAACCAACCATTCAAGAATCGAATGTGAGAAAATATGAGAAAAAGATATCATCTAAAAATGTCTAGAAAGCCTGGATAGCAAAATACCCACCATTGGAGCAAGATCACCAGGCGTGTTGAAGGCTACACCGTGACTTGACCGATCCCACCCACCAAAAACACTCACCATAAGACCCCATATGTTCAAACGAACGTATCTATGGCCCACTCTGACAAAATTTTATGTCACAGACATACGTGTATGATCTATCTGTCTATCTATCTATCTAGCTAGCTATTTATCCATGTATCTATATCTGTTTATTTATCCATCGATTTCCCTATTTACATATCTACATACACAGAACTTGATTTATCCTTTTATCTTTGTATCTGTCCATCACATATATCGTACATCTTGGATACTCTTCGATCTACTTGGATCTTCTTAGATTGTCTGTGCGAATCACTGAAGTCCGCTTTCTAAGAATCAGTGGTATGTGAATTAACTCCAAGAGCATATCTCGGATTGTCCAAATTCTCAGAGAATCATCTTAAGTGATCAAAAATTTCTCAGATCATCATATTAAGTTGTCTAATATCAAAAAAAAGAGTTTGCAAAATTACTTTACTTCGTGTGATCCCCACCATGACATTTATACATTTTGTTACTGGCAAATCTTCTGGCATTCTATCTGACATATTTTCTGGCATATCTTCTGGCATTCTATCTGGCATATCTTCTGGCATTCTACCTGGCATATCTTCTGGCAGATGTTCTGGCATATCTTCTGGCAGATGTTCTGGCATATCTTCTGGCATATCTTCTGGCATATGTTCTGGCATATCTTCTGGCATTCCATCTGGCATTCTATCTGGCATATCTTCTGGCATATTATCTGGCAAATCTTCTGGCATTCCATCTGGCATTCTATCTAGCATATCTTCTGGCATATTATCTGGCAAATCTGCTGGCATTCTATCTGGCAAACATTCTGGCACTTTATCTGGCATATCTTCTGGCATTCTAGCTGACATTCTATCTGGCATTCTATCTGGCATACCTTCTGGCATTCTATCTGGCATATCTTCTAACATTCTATCTGGCATATCTTCTGGCACTCTATGTGGCATATCTTTTGGCGTGGATACTCGCGGTTGAGGTCCGGCAGGGAAACTGGGCGTGGATGGTCGTGGTTGAGGTCCGGCAGGGAACACTGGGCGGGGATACTCGCGGTTGAGGTCCGGCAGGGAACACTGGGCGTGGATGGTCGTGGTTGAGGTCCGGCAGGGAACACTGGGCGGGGATGGTCGTGGTTGAGGTCCGGCAGGGAACACTGGGCGTGGATGGTCGTGGTTGAGGTCCGACAGAGAACACTGTGGATCGCGGGTCGCAGTTGGACGAGGAGGACGACGAGGAGGACGAGGAGGAGAGGAGGAGGAGGAGGAGGACGAGGCAGGAGGAGGCAACTGACATAAAATCTAACAACCCTCACCTGGCAGGTGGGGAAAAATGATTAGCAGATATCCAAAAAATATTGATTTCTCAGATCATCAGTTTGCTATCCAAAAAAAGATCTTGGAAATTCCAAACGACACCACCCGCGCTCCGTGTTTCATGATCTCCAGCGGGGGCCCGACCATAGACACCCAGGTGTGAGGCCCAGGACAGCTCCTGACGGTCACCAAGAGAAATTGGGATCTGAGCAATGAAAATGGAGAAGATCATTAGGATCTACCATCTGGTTATTTAACATAGCCATGGAAAATCACCATTCTCAATAGGAAAATACAGGTAAATCATCCATAAATGGACCATTTTCCATGGCTATGTTAAACAACCAGAGGGTATATGAGTTAAGCATAGTTAAGCCATGAAAATGATTGAACATGGATATTTTTCAGAGGAAAGACCACCACTTTGCTCATGGCGATTTCATGCCATCTGACCTGCGTTGCCAGGATGATCTTCCAGGCATATCTCAAAAGATGGCTCCGGCTGAAATTGGATTTTGAACCTCCAGAAATCAAAAAGCCATGTCTGTGAAATCCCACGAGAGGGTGGACTTTCCATGACCCATCCCCATCCAAGTCGACCTCGGCCAACCATCACGTGGTCTCCAAAGGGTCTATTTTTTCTACATGTGGCCCATCTGATAGAAATGTTCGTAGGTCATTAAGGTCATTCGATGTTGATGTTCTAAACATTCTAAACCATGGGATGAAAAAGTCCCTGGATCCCGAGGTTTCGAAGTTGATTTCATGGTTATCAAGTTGATTTCTGATTATTGCTACCCTCTGGTAAACTAACATGACTATGGAAAATCACCATTTTTAATGGGAAAACTCACTATAAATGGCCATTTTCAATAGCTATGTTAGTTTACCAGAGGGTATTCCACTATAATAGTCACTATAATCTACACCAAATTCCGGAAAGACATCCTAATCTTATTGTCCATGAAACCCCCAAGAATGAATCATTCCAATAAACCTTTCTAACTAGGGCATCTTTAAATTACGGGGACCGGAGTTTCTCCAAGTTTTGGAAATATGTTTCCACAATTCATAATGATCCATAATTCTTTATATACCAACGATAATTAAGTATATATTAACCATTAACCCATGATCAACAATGATTAACCATCATCGACCATACAAAAACCACATCATACTAACCATATACTGAGGATTACTAGCCAGTATTAACCACTACCAACTATACATTTTGGTGCGCAGCTCCTGTTCCAAGGCTTGGAGGCCGTAGCTTTGCTGCGCCGGCCTAATGGCGATAGAGGTTGATGATATCATATTTATATATATATAAATATTTGTGGTGGTGAAATGTGACGAGTTTACAAACCTGGTTGAATTACAAGAGTTCACTAACCTGAAAATAGCTGAAATAAAGCCAACCATGGGGATAACTCCCTGTATATATATATATATATGTATGTATGTATGTATGTATGTATGTATGC